CAAGTGGTGTTACGATGAGAAATCTTCGCCTCTTCCCTTCAAGGAGAGGAGTTACACTCCGTTAGTATGTATATACATGCTTCACTAGGTTTGTATTATCTTGGTTAGGATTATGTATTCCTGCAGCAGCTGAAACCGATAGGGCTGACCAGAGACCATGTCGGCTAGGGTTTGTTTATTGAACCCGGCAGTTCTACAATCTGTTCGACCAGAGCACCTAGCGGCCACGTAGATTAAAGGGATAATAGCTCCTCGTAGAGGCTATTGTCTTCCCCTGTCTTTCGCTTGGGCCTGACATGTCCTTGGATGCCACGAGCATGTTAGATAGAACACCTTATGGCTTAGTTACCGCAGCGAGGGTTATATTGGGCAATATTGGGCGAGCGATCGTAAGTACCTATATTCTGTGCTTCCGGTAAGCCTATCGGTTTGTTTGGTTGAGTAGCGTGCAGTCCAGGGGAACACGCACAAGTCGACGTTTTCCGGGTCGGGCTTGGAAGATCGGCATTGTCGTATTCGTCCATAGACGCCTAGTCTCAATATTTATATAGAAGATCACGCCAACTCGAGTGTCTTTCTTCGGCGTACCCGTATATGCATACACGCACGCGCCTACATATCGTGCCTCGTGAAACTAACAAAGAACACGCTAGCTTTCCTACGAGTGACCCATCGCCTCGTCTCTGGAGAATTTCGTCCACCGCTAGATTTGCGATAGGAATTACCCGTGCTTCTCGCCGCCATCGCGGGTCCTGGCATCGAGCCGAGGAAAGGCGACCCGAAAAAAACGTGACAGGTCATCGAAGGCTTGGATTAGGGGTCAAGATCGACGCTGACGGCGTGGGCTTGGGATGCCATCGGGGGAGTTAGCCTGCGGGAGCCGGGTGACTTCGAGATCAGCGAGGTGCCTTAGCGCACATCGCTTAGAGGAAATCCCCAGGTGTTCCATGTCAGATGCGGGTGGGGTGAGCTATAATAGCTCTGAGAGATATCAGCTCGATGGACAAAATAATTTACACGCTGCTTGCTGGTAGTTGGCGGGGAGGGCGTGCTAATTATTATTGTCACTTGGCTCATCCCAACAACATCGTGGCACTATTAGCAGGGATTCTGACAGAGCCTCCGAAGTAGCTCCGTCTTCAACCCGCCTCCTCCAGGTTAGCTGTTAATCTCCCCTCCCCTTCACCCCTGCCTGGGAGGACCCAGACCCCCAAGTTCCGTGTACGTGGAGGAAAAAAACCTCCGTGGGAATGTTGTATGCCAGTTGGCTGTACCATATGTATACATACATAGCCGTGGATATGCGGCCTTCCTTTCGGGTCCGAATCACCAGGGTTCCGTTACTGTCGGTTACCGTCTACGTCAACAAGCTGTTGAACCCGCCACAGCCGTGAGAAGGTGTGTATGTACGCCCTACGCGTTGGTTTCTAGATCTGGACGAGGCTTATAGGCATGTACCACAACGAGATACGTAGCAGAGAATGCCCTGCATGGTGCGGATGAAAAGAGATAAAACTCTGTGTTATTAATAAGAACAAATGATAAATTGGGTAGTGGAGAGAGAGGAGTTGGGCGGGAGAGGGAGAGGGGTTGGCGCCCGGTGCTAAAATAGGAGGTGATACCCCATTCCGGCACGTAGATACGTCGTTGATTGTTGGGCAGCTTGATAGCAGACGATTCTTATTGAGAACTTGGAGATTCCATACTGATGGTCTCTATAACAAATAGCTGAAGAAGACCTGCATGCAACGTGTATACGTATGCGACTCTTCTAAGCCACGAGAGGCCTCTTACGGGTAAGGAGTGTTAGAAAGCTGCGGGCAGCCAGCACATACCGACCGGCAAACCCGAAGCGATAATAGCGCCTCTAATAAGCATCGACTTCATTTCATATGACTGACTCGTCATGCTGGGCATGCGTAGCGTGGAGTACTAGCCAGTGCGGTGTTCTGACCCAACCGAACTCGTATTGCCGGCGGCGTCTGGTAGGTAGGTAGGTATGTATGTATTCCAGTATCATGGGAGGATGGACTACCCACTAGAGCGAGGAGCATTGTCTCATTACTGTCGCCGCTTATCAACAATATTGGGCGTCTTCTGGCGTCGTTCTGGCGTCCATCTAGCGTGCCGTCATGCAAGCCTCAGCCCGATTTTCCATGCTCGACAGAGATGGGTGGAGGAAGCTAACAGACGGGGCGGAGAAGAAAAAAGCAAGCTACGCCATACTTCACGTGGGGTTTCGCGGATTCTTCGACATCTCTGCCGCTTAGACTTGTCAACTTCGCCCTCTCCACCCTCCGTCAAAAATTGCAGGTGTGGGAATGGGAAGTAGGACGCTGAAGGAGAGCAGGGGAGGAAAGGAGGGAGGCGCCCTGCCCTCTCTACGATGTTATACTGGAGGCGCCGAACACAGTCTTCTTGCGGCTATGACGCGTTCCGATCCGCAAACACCGCGGATTCGTTAACAAGAGCATCAAAAGCCCGGCTCAATATGTCTCAACGTAGCAATGTGCGCATCGAATCCGTCTACGTGTGTACGTACATACCTACATAGTCGAGTCTGACGAAGTGTACATGCCTGCATGTGTAATTCGCACGGAACATACTGAAGCTGGCGGGGAGGTCCCTGATGACTTGGCTCGTGCCAGATAACTCGGAACTTGGCTGTCCCTTCATGCCTTTTTTCCTCACGGGGAAACTAAAGTGTCAGGATGACAGGGGAGGGCCTTGTGGTGGGTGTAAGCAGGTAGAGAAAGCTACTATCCGGAAGCGGAGGACACGACCCTGGCTCGGGGGTCTAGGCTGTCGATCACAGAAACCGAAAGGGGCCATCGAGGCCAAAGACATGACCAGAAAAACCACTAAAAAAGGTTGTCCCGGAGCGAGAGGATCCCCCTGCTGGCCACTTGGACCACCGCGCGTTAGCGAGTAGATTCCTGGCGCCAAGCCGATGATCATATGAGATTAAGCCTCGTTTCTGATTTTTTGTTAAAAAAAAAAGCGTCCGAATGTTTCTCACGAGAAACATTTCTTCCAAGACATCACGTCTCTCGAACACACCCGCCTTGTCTGGGACTCGTGGTGGAGGTTGGCAATATTCTTCAATGTCGTGGCCCCCCTCTCGCGCTCAGCCTCAGGCCAACTCTTGATCATTCTCATTGTGGTTATCACCGCAGACCTGAACGCATACCTATACACGTTGTATTATTTGTGTACGCATGGGAGCATAAGCTTGTTTAATGAGGCTATCTCCTATCGCCAAGAACTGTGGCCCTCGTCTGGGGTCGGTCGAGGAGGACCCGTCTCGAGGGCTAAGCGGAGCCTGATATGCAAAGACCCGTCTCTCGGATATTCCCATCCAACGGATACAACAGATACAACAGGCACTTCGCCGCATGATCTGGTAAGGCGCATCTCAATAACTCTTCTTACCAAGTCCTATGACGACGGTGCCAGCTGCACCTTTACTTGTACTATTCGTCTTCTTTAGCGCCCCCCCCCCCCTAGTTTCGGCTCCTACATACGTACATAGTGAATCCGTCTCAGATCTTTAATATCATTAAGTTGTGATGGCATAATTGATCGTCACCATGATGGAGTTGACGCTCCGAAAATCGCTCGTGGCACCACGGGACGAGCATACGAAGGATCCTCTATCGGAATTGCTTCTGCCCATCCACCACCGCTCAGTTGTCGCCCGAGAAGGCTGGCCTAGTCGTACACGGGAAGAAGGAAGGGGGTGGTGGAGGGACGGACGGGATCGACTCATAACATCGACAGACAGGCTAGTTCGTCTGTCAGGCACGGCAACTCGGCTACCGAGTGACTCCTTGTTGCAAGTCTTCGCGTCCCGATCAATGCTTTGGCACCTCGTTACGCCCCAACGGGTTGGGCCCAGGCCAGACGGCAGCCTCGCAGCTATGTAGATCCGGCAATCTGATGCACAGTAGACGGCATACGTGCGGATGGGAAAAATATCAAAACAGTTTGGGGAAGAGGCTGATTATCCGAAAGATTGGTCGGCAGGCATACATCCAGGGAAGAAAAAGAAGAAGAGGGAGGTAGGCATGCACACATCTACCAGCATGCGCCGCCAGGGTTCGTGGGGATGAACGGCATAAGATCAGCCTGGAAATCCGGTCACAGCACAGGCTCGGCAGGGCTTAAAAGGCTGTGTTGATGAAGCTCTTGTGGCACTAAGCTCGAGTCCGTTGTCGTCTCAAATCCCCTACTCCACATAGACTAACCCGGGCCCCCTGTTCGAGGTGTACCAAGACAAGGATCACTGACCAGCGATCCGGACGGCAGAATGACTCCAAGGGGAAATGGTGACCCGGGTGTGTGCTATGCACACCAAGTACCACAACGTCTACCACACACGTTCGACGACGCATGCTGGTCTTAGCTGGCCAAGACTTGGAGGAGAGAGCCAGGCGAGGACCAACAAGTAGGGATGAGCTTAAACGGTCCACCGGGGATGTCCAGAGTGCAGACGACCACGCACACGGGCGTCTTGTTAGACCCTTGCTGGTGCATAGGACGTAGCCAGTAGCCGTTTGACCTTGAGCGATCCCACGAGAATCCCAGCGGAGCCGTTCTCCCACGGCCATCCTTTCGATCTCACCCCCATTGCCCAGTGTTCTCCTCCCTCCTGCTCTCCCTCATACTCCCTCCCCCCCTGTCCCCCCCCTTCTTCTTTCTCCCGTCAACACACATACATGCACATTGTACATACACACACGCATACGTACTACCCTTGCATCAGCCCATCCTTGGGACCACTTAGAAAGAAGCGAGCATAAGCAGTCCCGGATACCTCGCCGTACATGGGGCTCTACATACATAGCTATTGTACTTCGAGGATCGGCGTCTGATAGGGAGCGCTCCAAGTACTTGCCGGTGACGCAGGAGTACCCTTCGATACCGGCGATCTACTGTTGATTCCAACCCAGGTCTGCCGTGACCCACACTCAATTTTGTGACAGTTGTTCTCCAGGGATTGCCGTATGGATTGACGCTTGATCGTCCTTTTTATTATACATCCCGGCAAGATCTGGTAGATACATCGTCAACCCTCGTCGCTTGTTCACCATCTCCTGTCCCTTTGTACTTAAGACTCCACACTCCCCGTTACCGCCAACCCATCGTCCTCTAGATCATTAATAGAAAAGACACTCTCGATAACACCGAGCAGACAGACACGCGAGTAATATTTTTTTCATCAAGCCAACTCCTGAACCGAAAGCCATCGTGGGCACGTCCTTGTAATAGCTTCTCACGACCATCGTCGGCAAATCACCAGTCACTAATACTGCCGTTCTGGAATCACACACACACGTATACACCAAGTCCACCGGCCTAACACCCTTCCCGATTCCCCTTTTATACAATGGCAACCGCCATATACGCAAGCCAGCCTGGTGCTCAGTACGGATACCCGCAGCCTCCCCCATCGCCTCCCATGGATGAGACCTCAAAATGCTCTCTTCCATCTATCTCCAATCTGTTGGTGGTAGCGGACGCTGGATCGCCGACGACAGAGCAGTCGCCTCAGCCCCAACAAGGTATGACTTGTTATACGCTCCCCTGATTAGAACAGCGTTGACTGAGCCTCCCCAGCAGCATCGTCAGCCAAGTCTGAGACTCGCCCGAATTCGTCTCATTGTGCGAGCAACGGGCCTTCGCGAGCGGCTCTACCGCCCACTCCTCCTATGAGCTCCGATGCCTCGTTCGAGGGATATAACTCGCCCTCGACCAAATCAGTTTCCATAGTTTCGACGCCGAATTACTATTACGAGACGACACCGCCTCTGGAGGACCTTCACCGCCACCATATGGTGCCTCGGATTCCCGTGCCGGCCGCGGCGTTCCCGCAGTCAACCTTCACACCGCCGTACATGACCCAATCAACGATCCCACCTTATTATTCTGCCCTCGCTGGAGCTCAGCCAGCTCAACCGCAGATCTCTGGCCTCTACTACCAGAGACCACTACCACAGGTATGTTTTCGCTGGCACGTGTCGATCCCGAACATCGCAACTAACTCCTACGTAGGCGTTTCCGCCACTTCCAGTAGCGGTCTCTCTGGCGCCGGCTCCGAATGGCAACCCGTGGCAGCACCATCACTACATCTCGCCGTCTTCGGCAGCCTCCTTCCCACAGTCGCAAGACCGCTACGTCTGCCAGACCTGCAGCAAGGCGTTCTCGCGGCCCAGCTCCCTGCGCATTCACAGCCACTCGCACACGGGCGAGAAGCCTTTCAAATGCCCCCACGCCGGTTGCGGGAAAGCGTTCAGCGTACGGAGCAACATGAAGCGGCACGAACGGGGATGCCACAACCTGGATAACTGAGGCGGCCTTGGCTACGTGGGATCCGCAGAGACAACACACGCACATACATCCACACACACGCCCACCGATAATGCCTTCACGTTCGATAATGTCATTGTTTAACCACTAATATCACTCGCAAGGGGAAGGGATCGAAAAAGAAAGAGCTAGGGAAATGAGGGATGCATTTTTGATACCCCACACAGGATTGCGATATGATCTGAACGGCCGGCCACCTCTCCAAAGTACATTATTTTCGCTCCCCTTCTCATCCGAGTATTGTCCCGCCTCGATGCGATTATGAATCGGGGCATATATTTTGACGCCTCCGCAAGGAGCGAGGTTTTCGGAGGCAGTGTGCTTTTATTTTTTATCTCTATTTTTATATTGCTTACTGGGTCGGAATAGCGGGACAGGGTGCCGGTTGCATCCAAACTTAAGGGGGTGTGATTGTGTTCACAACAAGGCGCAATGGGTCACCACCTTTAGGCATTTACACCGGCGTTATACCATCTTAGGGGAAGGGAATCTTGTCGAACCTATTTCCCAAACAAAAATTAAGAGCAATCTTAGCCCCTTTCGCTCGAATTGTTTCCCCCCCCTTCTCCCTGCCTACTTGTGGTTTTCTTAGTCCGAATGTATAGAATAAGGACTGTGAAGACGGTGTACTCGGGGGTAACATCAAGATCGGAACGACAACACCAATCTTCCAAAGTGATGAGCAAGCCACAGCTTGTACTATGAGTAGGGGAGAATCCATACGAGGAGGGACTGGTTAAGCAAACAGAGTCAGCCAAGTCCGGAGAGTTACAATACCAAATAAAGTATCTTGATAATAAGTGCCTTAGTTTAGATGCATGATGCTTTGTGACAGCAGTCCAACATCGTCCTCCCGTCTCTCCCGCATCTAGGGATGAGGCTACAAGCAGGCTGGTTACGAGGGAGCACCCTTCTCTAAGCCAGCCAACTTAAGCTTAACACAGGCGATATTATGCAGGTAACCCTGTTTCGTTGGCAGCGGATATTCCCCGGCGTGGGGAATTTCGGCAGGAGTTTTTTTTTTCTTCTTTTCTATCCTTTCCCTTCCCCTCTGTGTGTACACAACCGAACGGAGCATTGTTTCGAGCTTCACGCGTGTAGCTGTCAACCGCCGGGAGTCTACATAAGTAGAAACAAACCCTACTACGGTAACATATGGGAACCTTTTCCCTACTCCTTGGGAAAACGACAAAAGGCAGGGTGGTCTGTGAGAGTGAGTGAGGAAGGGTAGGTGGTGGCTCGGAAATTGGGAAGAGGTGGTTGTGACCTGGATGATGGACAAGTCCCCCCTGCCGATATCAACGGTCAACTATGGAGCGATTGTTTCAACGCTCAGACCGTCGAAGTTGACGTTTGCCATGGGAGAGAGGGTATGAGAAGTGGAGGAGGTATACAATAAAACAAATAGATACAGAAAAAGAAAAAAAGAAAAAGAGAGAAAACAAAATCCCGAAAGAGAAAGGCCTTTTCGAGTCATTCATCTCGGTCTGCCCGTGCTCAGTCCCGTGTCTAATAGGGCCGAATTCACCCAAGAAACGCACATAGCTGATGAGAATAAGTAATCTTCCTCGCATCCTCGCGTATTACGCATATTGCCTGCTGCATAGATGCACTCCGTTACGCGGCTATGATGTTTTACAGCGTAGCAGTCACATCACCCCATCTGGCAGCTTGCTCATCTCGGTATCTCCCCCCCCCCGGCCTACATAAATCCTGTCTCTGTTGTTGTTCCGTTTCTACTCCGTGCCTCCAAGATGGGCACGAAGAAACCTAGAACCTTTCCCTGTTCGCCGTCTCCTCGTCGTCCGCCTGTCTTGGCGTTACGACATCATCACGTTCCGCAAGCTCTCCCCGATGCCCAGGCGTTACCCCGTTGTGACCCAACCTCCCACGGACAGGTTCGGGAATTGCCTATGTAGGCAACCTCTCCACCCGCAATATGTGACAGTGAGATCGCCGCGCACGCAGATGATCTGTCCCTGTATCCCCTTTTGTTTCATAGATTTACCTGAGCTGCTTGCCTGTTTTTCGCCCTCCCGCCGCCTAGCCAGCCTACTTACTCGGACCATCAGCACCATGCGGAGGGAAGGTCAAGAAGGAAGGGGGGGGTGAGGGGAGGCAAATGTTATAGGTATCTAGGTGCGCAGTCACACACCATCACCATCACTATTACCACCACCACCACTCTCCTCGTCACCGTCCCCTCCACCGAAGTCGCGTTATTACCATTGACCAGCTCACCCAACAGGTAGGGTGCGTTGTGTGCGTGTGCGTGTGCGTGGACATGTGCACATACCGACGGAGCGCGCGTGTGCACGTCTGCGTAAACGCCTTGCGCTGACATAGTAATGCGGCGCTACGGAGCGGAGCGAGCTAGGGAATAGGTAGGCAAGTTACCCATTTCATGATAGTGATTTTGTAGATCACAAGCCCGGCCCTGGTCCGTCGCGTGGGAGATGGAGTTGAGGTTAAGGGCTTGGCACGAATCCAGGCCAATGCATAGGTACATTAGGTACATCTCACCCTCGTGTCCTCGTTCAAGGTGAGGAGGAGGGGGTACCTAACCTGCTCTACTACCGGAATACCACACGTACTATTATTATATAGAATGAGGCTTCGTGTGGGGGGTCATCCCGTGGGAAAGGACATCGACGCGGGAACGCCCCGAGGCATGGTGAAGGTGTCTGCCTCTAGGAGGTATACATGTGTGTTCGTCATGGGTACATACATTCGACAGGCACAGGACCTACCTGTTAGGATTCTATACGCAGGGGAGGCAATTAACGACGTTGTCCTTCGGGGACTTTCAAGAGGCTGGCCCGAAGGGGACGAGGAGAGGGGACGGCCCTGGGAGAAAAGGGTAGATGATTTTCATCAGCAGCAGCGACGTCGATCCCTGAGATTACGGCATAGCAGTCGGTGCCTAGGAAGGCATATTTATTTACCTACATGTAATGTATTCATCGCGATGGTCCCATACCGCCGTCCATCCCCATCACCGTGTCGTATATTCGGCACATGTCAACATACCTGCCCCTCTCCCGTAGGTACCCGGTACGATGTGCTGGCGTAGACGACAGAGATACCCGTAGGCAGAGGCGTCATCTACAGTCTCCCTGCCTATTCTCTCTTTCTGCGCGCGGCATAGTATTCCTATGTACATAGACAGTACAATACCTTCATGGTAAAGAGTCATATACCTTAGGTACCTAGGTAGGTATAATACCTGCTCATAGACCCTTAGGCGCCTCCCACCTTTTCTTGTATCTATAAGCACCTATAGACGCATACAATAGCCATCGTTGGTAGGGGTAGGCATACCGCATAGGTGCCTAGGTAAGTACTAGGAGTACAGGCTGCCGCCGGTGGTATTAGTAACAGCGGAAAGCAAAGATCACGAGCATGGGTCTATTTTAAATGTCCTGCGTCCACGTCGTCCCCATCTTCGGTAAGCCGCCTACCTACACGTACGTAGACGCCGCGCCGTCCCTGAACGCCAACATCCGTGAAAACCTCCCATTAGCGAACACAGTAAGCTCTGCTGATCAGATCCTACAGATCAGCACACCCTTGTCCCGCAGCCTAGGGTTCTACACAGCACAGGTGTATACCAATCCCAATTCACGCAGGGGTCGCCCATCGCCAATAGAACAGCTACTCATCCCTCCTCCTCTCCGTCGACGTGCACGTCGCCAATTACCTGTCCGGGGCATCGGCCGCCTACACTCTCGGCCGACCGCATCAGCTGTCCACTGGGGTGTTCGTTCATTGGACCTCGCGCGGCTCATCTATGCTGGTAACGAGCCAATGACGCCCGGATCGAGAACCGCCAGCGTTCCAAAGAGGCAAGCCTGCCCGGTCGGCAGTGGGTGGGAGGCGGCGACGGCGACAAGTACGGCGACAGCGAACACATCAAAGTCGCATTATCGACGTGCACGGCATATCACCTGATGCGAAATGTTCGCACCGCGCTGCATATAGTCCTTATCCTATACCCAAGGATCTCGGTAGCTGCTCGCGTCCGGGGCCCTGCAACCCGATGGAGCAGGGCGTAACCAGCCAGGCGCGCATCCGCGGTATTAAGTCGTTCGACGAGTTGGGACCAGGCCGGCCGGATCTTCCATAGCACGCTGTCGAATTATCCGCATCGCCCGCCCTTCTGGGACGAGCCATGTCGTGGCCCTCACATTCCGCCCCCCTTTTCCTTCCTATTGCCACGCCCATCCCGCTTGAGGATTACGTCGACAGGGTTTCCCATTGGGTCGGCTGCCCGTTCCGCTGACACCGCCTCGAGAGATTCTCTCTTCTTACCGTTCCCGCCCGGCCTCTGCTGCTGCTGCTACCTCTGTATGTATGTGCACGCGCGTCGACGACAACGCCTCACTTGCATACAAGCATAGTCACGGAGTCGTTGTCACCTCGAAGCCCTAACCGGTTACGGGCTGGGGAAGGCTAGGGGGAGGGGGGGTATGTGCTCGGAGAGGCCCCAATCTGTAGTGCGAGTTTCGGTGTGTCGCATTGCACTTTTGCTTAATTAATTGGCCCCTTGATGAAGATTGACAGGACAGCGTCCGTCAGATGCCACGCCACGCATGCGGTCGCTCGTCTTCTGGAACCCCAAGGCGGTGCTCGGGTTGAACCATGACATATTGCCGTCGCTCTCCCGCCCCATAACTAAGTAGGTCTTGCGCACGCGTAGTGTCCGCACCCGAGGTATCTTGAGAACGAATGCCCCTAGGCAGGAGGAGACGATCACGGGAGACGACAGATGCAGCCGGGCATGTATGTATGGGGGGTATCGTCTGCGGCACCGATATGCGATCTGCGTCGACTTTACGTAGTAAGGCGAGGGCTCCGTCATCCCCACATTCGAGCCTTTCTCCGATCAGCGGTCGCCGTACATCCACCCATCCGTCCATACATAGGTACACATTAGCAAACCGCGTTGGCAACAGATGATCTACCGCCATTTCTGCAAGGGGTCACCCCCTCGCTGGCGGTTCGATGTCGCCCTACATCGGTAACTACTCCCAGCGCGTCGAGAGGAGAATACCCAGGATTCCTCGAGGTCTTCGAATCTCGCTTAGGTGAGATACGTAGAGATCCCCGGGGCGCAGCTAACTTGCCCAACGTGAGGGGGGGGTGTGACACACACACGCACGTCTGTACGCGATAGCAGCAACGAGACCGGAAATTTGCGCCTCGGATGCATACAACGTATGGTCTGTACTACTACTGCCACCGCATATCTATGCTATATAACATATCGCGCGGCCTGGGCCGGAACAGCGTCGCGCGCACGCAGCTGTCCTGCCGTCACATCTCATCACCAGAGTAGTCTCGCCAACCCGTCCCACCGAAGTCACCCTCCCTCCAAACCCCCCACCCGGTACGTCCGGGGATTGCCTAGAACGAAGCCAGGCGGGTTTCAGATACGTACACGTCCACACACCACCCTGAGTTACGCCCGGCGGAACGGCGGGCAGGGCGTAAGATACGAGGAGGGCGCTGCGGTTGCGGCTGCTAGCCAGATGGAACGGGGTCGAATGTCGTGCTGCCAGCACAAGACATGTGGCTAACGCGTTGGAGTGCATCTTACTCTGCACACCTCTGAAAAAAGCCTCAGTCGCTTCCTTGCACCTACGTGCACGTGTAGGGATATACCTAAACTTGGGTATACCTACTTGGGCATACGTATCACGCAGGCGTGTACGAGAAACTTGTTGGGTTATCAGGTAAGGCGGGTATACGTAGGTAGAAGAATCGTCGCCTAGAAACATACCTGGAGCCGAATGCTGCAATCACGTGACGAACAAGATGGGCCTCCCCATGCAGAGGAGCTCACACGGACGGAAAGTCGAAGTCTGCCCGTGCTGGGTGCCTGAGGTTGCAGCTTACGTAGGTACCCCGGGTACTACTTCGCTGTGTACCTATATGTAAGGCAGGCAACTGCAGTTATAGGTAAGTACCTAGGGTGCCTATTAGGAGGCGCCTACCTTACTTACCTATGCCCTGGTACGTTACCTGGTATTTCACCGCACCGTTGCAGTGAAAGTGCAATGGAGCCCTATAAAAGCGCCTGCTATATGCCTGCCTCATATTTGAGGTGTAGGGTAGGATCTACCTACTACAGGTACCGAGATACCTACGGTACTTAGGTACTAAAGGTACCCAAGGCAGCACCGAAGGCACAGGGGATACGTGGATAGGTACCTAGGTACGTTGGTACGTAGCGGGTACGTACATATCGACATGTGTACTTGTAGGTACCTATGTACATGCTTGGTGCGGATCCCTGCGACACATCCTCCCCCCCCGGAGAGCCCCAAACCGCTAAAGCCCCCAAAAAGCAGGCGCCAAGATGGAAAATAGAAAAATGGAAAGTGGGAGGCAGAAGTGGAGAGAGGATTTAGTGGAAGTCGCCAGCCGCCAGCGCAGATCCCGGGCCCACAGGCCGATACAGACGCTTGGGACCCAGGACGGCCCACGCGCGGTTGGCCGATGGGATTTGGTGCAATTCCTTCTCTTCGTCGTTCTTGGGCCATTCGGATCCCTCCTCCACTCTCCATCGCCATGCCACCCTGCGTCCTGGTCCCTACGCCGTTGCGACCTCGCTCGAAACCGCTTCGACTGCCACGCCGTACGTCATCCGCTTGGCCGGCCAGTGAATCTGTGAATCTGCGAACCCGCGAATCCGTAATCCGGCCAATCCATTTGGTGGCTCAAGTCACCCAGTCAATTTAGCTCCCCGTTCGTCGACCGCCAAGGGGCCGTATCTTGGCACTTCGTCGCCACGCCGACGCGACGACGCTATCTTCGACCGACCAGTAAGGCCAAATCCCGAAAAGAGAGGGGAGCCGAAAATGGCACTCGCCAAAAATAAAAATAAGCAGCCGGCAAATCGATTCCGTCGTTAATCTGCTGGCTGCTACGCACCTTTAAAGCTATACGGCGGGCCGAGTCAACAGAGGGAGAGGGGCAAGTGGAAAAAAAAGGAAAAAACCCTCGTCAGCCGGACCGCTCGATTTCCTGACCGACTGACTCGGGACCATCAACCGCCAGTTGTCCTAGAGCCGCTAGGGAGGGGTGTCGTGAGCCCTTGGCCCGCCCGGTGATAACGCAGGAGCCGTCTCTTCACCTCCGTTTCGGCACTGCATCCATACCTGGGTTAGCCCTCGCCGACCAGCATCGTTATCTCCACAACCATGCGAACACGGCTGCTCTTACGCATACCCGGGAGGGCCATCGACCACACTAGCGTGAACTCGCAAACATACACATCATACCGCCCGCGGAGCTCTGATCTCAGATAGTCCTCGTTTAGTCCCTCCAAGTCGTACGTTTCCTGCAGACCTAGATTGGACGTGCTGGTACCGTCGCCAACCCCCATTGTAGTAAAGACCTAACGAATCATGTCTCCCTGGCCGGATACCATGTATCGCTCCTGGTAGGTATGCAAAGAGCGGTCACTGCGGGTTCCAGATCTGCTGGATCTGCACCCATCTGGGTTTCGCGGTCTTGGGTATTCGCAGGGGCTAGCGGAGTATCCCCGTTCCCACCGGCTCGGTCGTCCCCAGTTCCGATGATGCGTCCAGTCAGCGTCGTAGCCGATGGCACTGAGTGTTTTGTTGTTTCGTCCAAAGTCTGCGAGCGTGGTGTTCGCGGGGACACCAGACGAAGACATGATCTCTCGGCGTCATAAGACCTATAGCGCCTTGCGTCGGCCTGCAACCGACTATCAGAAGGACCGACCAAAACCACTTGGTGCCAGAACAGGTAGAGATGATGCCGATGTGTAAATCCGTAGGTACCGGATGTTTTGTGCTACAGAGAGGGTCTTTTTTTTTAAGCCCCTGTCCCCTCCGCCCGCAGAAAGCCGCAACTGTTGCGAAATGCGGAGATGGGAGAGATACCCCCCCCCCCCCGTCCACAGTCGGTTTCCTTTCCAAGACTAACACTGGATCGCCCGGACACGTTGATTTGAAGTCCCTACTCTCGAGTCGGTGACATTAACGGCGGTAATGATGCCAAGATCACCGTCGGCCTTCTCCAACACCGCAAGTACGGTGTACCCCTTGGAATCGCTTACGGACTCGTTTCTGTGGCCGAGACAGATAAGGGAAGGGCATGGGGGCATCGTGGCCAAGTGTTTCGTCATCCACGGCTCTAGATCTACCCGTGCCGGGGGTCATCTACAATAGGTCTGGCACGTTCACCTACGTACTAAGACGGCGGTCTGACTTAGTAATTCCCGCATCGTCAGTGCTAGCACTGGGAGGATTTGGCCTCACTCTGAAGGAAAAAAAAAGCCAAGTGATGGAAACTTCCGTTCGTCGGAAGTCAACGGAGAAAACAAGTTAAGCTAGGTGACTACCTTAGGATGACTTGAAACCAGGTAACGATGCCAGAGGCCAGTGCGCCCTTGGCGGCTCTTGTTACGCCAACTATCGAAATATTGAAACGGTGCGCAGGTTGCCATCCCAGTCGGTCGCCTTCTAGACCCGAGCACTCGCACATCCAGATCGCCCACGATCGCAAGCATAGCGAGCGATGGTGTCAACTTCCGCCACCGGGTTATGCCACACAAGTCGCTCGGCCGTCGGATATCAGACGCGTCTAGGTCCGATACGACGATGGGGGCGGCTAACAGCCTCCTGACTTTCGGGCGATGGTTTCAGCCTTGCTAAGCTTATTTTCCCCTGGATCAGATCGATGCATGTATGGAGCTCTCCCCAGGTTCGCTTATTGGCCCTCGGTTAACTATACGAATCCTGACCGCTCTGCCGAGCTCAGCTCCTGAAACTGGAGGGCCCGAGAGAGAGCCGTGCAGTAGACCCCGTCTCAAGTCGTCCCAAAAAGGGGGGGGGGGACGGCCCTCAAGATGAGGCTACGCATATCGCTGCTGACCACGGACCGGGAAAATAAGACTTGGGACGAGCGAAACCCCTGCCGGCTCTGGACAACCCCAGGATCGCTGATTCACACTTGGGCTGTTACAGACGTCACGGGTCGTCAATCGTCCGAAGATGCTGTGAACTCCAGATTTCGAGATCACCTCAGAAATCCACGAAGAGCCTCAGGGTCTCCCTTGCCACTAGGTCGGGACTAGCCTACGCGCATCACAGCGTCGGCACGACGCACCCCTGAGTTCTGCGCGCGCGCGTACGGACCACTCGCTTACAAATGGCTGCTTTGCGGACGGGGACACACAACCTTCGAGACCACATGGCCCAGGGGGGCAGTGACAACAACATGCATACCTACGCACCGGGGAAGGGACTATTACACCCACCGTCCCTTTCGCGGTATGATGTCGTCTACGTAGGTATGTAGTTGGTTGGCTAGCGAGGTCGAAAGAGAGAGGACGATCGCTGCAGCCGTCTCGTTGCGGTGAGCTTTGCTACGGTGAGGCCCAGCCTGTCCCGGGCGATGGTCCGTGTCTACTACCTAAGCGGCACATACGCCCCCCCCTCTGCCTACCCACGTAGCTATGATAGCTCCCCGCGGCGGCGCACGCATTCTTCAGCGGGGCCGCCGTGCATTACATCTCTATGTACACACATGCACATATAGATATACAGGTATACATACATTAGGTATGTGTGGACAGAGACATAGGTATGCACGCGAGCACGCGAGGCCGCCGCGCAGACATGTGGATGTTTATTACCTACTGAGGTAGGTACCTGACCTCGCCTTCTAACGAAAGCGGGCCTGTGTGTTGGTAGGTATGTACGCGTGTGTGTACGCGTGCACACCCCGTCTCCGCCCCGACGCAGACGCAGCCGGCGCGGGACATGGTGTCGTCGCCGTGGCTGTTGCCGCTCGCGCGGGGTGGGCAGGGCGCGTGCTCTAGTCAGGGTAGGTGAGGGGGTAACGGAGGGAGAGGGGAAGAGTTGGTGCGCGTCGAAAGGGGGGGTTGGGAGGGGAGTAGATAGGGTTGGCATGGATGGCACGTCGCGTGGAAGCAAGTAGAACTTGGATTGGTAGATTTCCTGTCTATTCGGCGGTGCCTTCTATAGATTCTACGGCCGTGTCGGCAAGAGAAACGTCTCGATCCGGCGGATGAGTGAGTTGGGGGAAGTTTTGGGAGTCTGTCTTCCGTATTCCCTCCTTTGGTATCGGCACGCATGCTTAACAGAGTGCCAGGCTTGAGAGGGTTCCTTCTGCCTCCTAGGTGCTATGCGTACACGCGGGCTACGGAGTCTAATAGTTCTGCTCGTCGTTCCAGTACAGCGTCTCGTGGAAGATCCTGTTACAGGCACCGGCGGTCAGTTACGAAGTCGACCCGACATCTGCCTAGTCTACTCGATATGGCACCAAGCACCCAGAAACAGTTTGGGTAGGCAGGGATGAATCGGTCATCTCCTCTGGTTCGAGGTATGTGAGGTGTTCGCGAGCAGGGCGATAGAGAAGCGGCGACGTGCGTGTAGAAGTAAAATAGGGGTGAGGGCGCGGAGGCGGGAAGCGAGAGGAGAAAAGAAGACAGAAGGGGGGACGTACTCCGGACCCGTGGCGACTAGCTCCCATCCGAACGTTAACTTGATGAACTGGCTCAGGTGGCTCGCCACCTTAATAGCGCCGACGTCCGTCGGATGCCACGCGGGGCCGATGTCGTTATGCTGCACTATAACAATCCGAGTGTCGGACAATCAGTATCGAGGTCTTTCCGTCCCTTCACACAGAGAGTGTGTGCAGCACACGTGTATGAGAAAGGAGAGCGGGGGGGTTTACTGATTCCTCTTGTGCTAAAGTAGGACACGAAGGGCTCACTAGGGGCGTCGAGCTTCGTCGTCGTGTTCGTGGCTCCGTCCCAGACTAGCGGCGCGGAGAGATACTCGTCCGAGTTGAAGTAGGCCACGATGTCCTTAAGCTCCTGCTCGTAGCCCTGATTCTGCGCGTAGCTGTTACCAGAAGCGTAGAACCCCATCCAGAGTTGCTAACAACGTCGACAAGATACGGTATCAGCGAGCAAACTCGGGGACTCGAAGGTATTTGGGAGGCTTAAGGAATAGGGGGGAAGAGTTAAAGAGGGACATAGGCGGATCAGGAATAGGAAAAGGGGGGGCGAGCACCATCACAATAACCTGAGCCTTGGGATACTTTCCGTGTATCCCTTGGATGAGCTTCGTATAGGCGTCGACGTAGGTTGCGGTGCTGACGTTGTTGGCAGAGTTGTTGTCGTTGGTGCCGAGGTTAATGACGACGATGTCTGGGGTCGTCTCCTGCCTCTCGAAGTCCCAGGGCTCCGGCGCATCTGTATTGTAGCGGCTCTCAGTCATCCATTTAGTTAAAGAATTAACAATGACTAGGATATCAAGTTTCGTCCCCTTTAACCAGGGGAGAAGAAAAAGGGAGAATGATTTTCGGGGGGCCGTTTAGAATATCATCTCATCCGCTTGATGAGAAGGCCTGCCGCCCACCTACCGAGCGCCGCGACTCTGATCTGCCTTCTTAGGTAGAATCTGGCAACAGCATGCTGATAACGTACCTCCCCAAATAGTCGACGCCCGCCAGCTTGTGTCAGACGTATAGAACCACTGATGCGCCTGGCCCCGGGGGTTGCCCCAGCAATTCTGGTCCGAGACGCAGATTCCCGGGTACGCCGTGACGTAGTACTCCGTATCGCCGAGCCCGGCACCCACGCCGTAGGCGAAGCTCGACAAGCCCTCGAAACTAGTGTACATGCCAGCAGACAGGCTGTCGCCGATGAACTCGATGGTCCGCTGGTGAGGCGGGATACGGACAAGCGACTCTCCCTCGGCGACGTGGACTTGAGCGATCTGCACGCCGTACGCCCAGTTTGTGACACGAAGCTCGAATGGTAGCGGATTAAACGGCCACGTCTCGTGGACGCCAGGGGTGGCGCTCGAAACGAACAGGTGCGTAGCCCCAGCGCTCACGTTCGTGAAAGACCAGTCCATACCTCCAATGCGGTATCCGACCAACGTCGTGTCCGTGGTCAAGTCGCCAAAGGTGATGGCCACAGTGTCCCCCGTGAAGCCGAAGACTAGGCCAGGCGCTCTTCGATGGAAGATGATCGATTCCCCAGTCAGGCGTAGTTCCCTTCCTTACAGATCCCAGGGGCAGAGACCGGGACGAGACGGGGTGAAACGAAAATGCTTACGACCACCACGACACCTTTTTTGAGTCCCATCGCCCCTTGTACGATATCTCGGTTGCGTTGGCATCGTAAGTCCTAAACCTATAGGAGGCGACGTCTATCTTGATATCAGGGTAGTTCGTAGTCCTCACTTGGCCGTTCTGAAGAATCGTGCCGGCAGCAAGGCAGCATAGGCCTAGAGTGTATGATAACTTGCTGAAAAACATCTTCGTTCTCCGGTGAGGTCTTCGCTGCTGTGCTTCCCCACTGTCCTGTCCAAACCTCGGACGAGAGGGCTGACGATGAGAGATGCGTTCGGCATTCAAATAGGTATATAATATTACCGCAATGCAGTCGAATTACGGAGACACGCGAAAGAGAACAAACTACACTAACCCTTCTGGGGTTCTCAACCCCGAGACCAGGGCCAGATCCAAGGGGTGACTATATAGCGATTGCCATCTAGAATCGCACGTTCGTCCCCTACGGGGGGGTTCGGCTACGGAAATAAATCCATGTTCTGAGGGTCGCGGTAGGCAGGTCAAGACGGCCCGCCGTTGTCCCTTTTGACCACGGAGGCTCGACGCCCGTGTCTCCAAGCAGAAAGGACATGCGAATGCGGAACCACGGCAAGGCAATTGAGATAGATGAATTGGAGAAGAGAGCACGGTCTATGTAGCTGCAGACGCGATGCACGCTTGATGTCCGTACCATGGACGACGGGAGCAGCGAGCTGTGGCTCTCGGTCTTAACACGGGAAGAAAACAGGACAACGGACCGGGGGAGTTCGCGCGTGACAATGCGAAGGGTGCGAGACGGATGGATCCGAGGTCTCAGTGACGATGCGGCTCATCTACCAGCGGGGTTCACAGGTCCATCGCGACGGAGGCGAGAGAGAAAGAGAGAGAGGGACGCTGGCCCAGACCGGCTTTGCATCGGGAATATACGACGTTACATGCATTACATAAGGCGGCTTCGGGTTCGGTTCATCAGGTTCAATAAGGCAAGAAGTAGGGTTGTGCCTATGACGTTGTGGTCACGGCGTCGGTGTCATCACTTTAGCTGTGCGTGCCTGCCCAACGCGCGCACCTGCCGCGGGTAAGAGAGTTAGTGAAATAGGTACCTCACAAAAATCGATAATGAACATGGCAAGAGGGCGGGCGAGATGTATCTGCCTGGTCCTTCCTCAGAGGCGTGCTGTGATTGGTAGGTCGTGGACTGCGACATGTGGTTAGGTCCCAGGCCTTAGCGAGCCTAAGTACCTAATGTATTGATCAATATATGCGAATATTGGCCGATGATTTAGCGTGGGCGGGCGACAGAGTACGGTATGTACCCACCTACCTGCCTAGGTACCTAGGTAGGTACCTGTGAGTAGGCCAGGCACCTTCCCCTACCTTGGGTTAGGTCCCTTGACAGCTGCGCGGTGTACTCACACGTTAGGTACCTGCCTGAGGTCATAGGCTTGCGGGGAGGTACTGACTTACGGAAGGTTGTCAATCTCTGCAGAGACATAGGTACCTACCTACCTACCTACCTAACCTACCTAATCCAATCCATCCCATCCCATCCCATCGGTCATGACACCATCGGCTGCAAGCTCATCTCGCTACCACACCATAGCTCATCTCATCTCTCCAGGTTTCGAGCTGTCTGTCTACCCACGAATTCCACCTCCCCTCTCCTGTCGAGGGCCGCATCCACGAGAGCTTCGTCTCGGTCGAGTCTCGCCTGCTCTCGGCCGCCGTCTCCCTCTCATCCCTCGCTTGAAAGACCCTCCCGTCGGAGCCCTCGGCGGGGACGGCGACGACGACGGCGACGGCGACGCCGCCGCCTCGCTTTCCGAGCTCTGCGTAAGCCGCAAGCGCCAGAGCGCCTCGCACGGCTATTGTTGGCCGCTGTCCGATCCATGTCTTGTCTCTGTTCTCTCCCGCGCCAGGGGAACATGTTATCGTCCGTATCAGTTAGCGCGTTGCAGTAAGAAGCGAGGGACAACCCGCGATTCGGGGCTCGAGTGGGCCGACGAAGCCCTGAAATCATTCGTCTCGTCCGCTGGGCCTATAATACCGACCACAGTCAGCGATGGTAATCTGGAGATGTTTACACGTCCGTGGCGACCTATGATATCCTTCACCCTCCCCGAACCCTGGCTGTTGCAGCGAGCCCCGCCGGTTCCCCGGTATTGATTCATGTTCATCCATCGTCTCTCTCTTGGTCTGCCTTCTCTCAACCTTCTCTGCCCAATTCCTACCCTAGCCGGCTTATATACCCTCCCTTATACCCTGCCTTGCCTATCTACGTACATACATACATACCTACGTACATCCATCCATACATAGCATACCGCCCCGGCTCGCCCATCACCGGCTTAAGTCGAAATACATACATTTCTTGTAAGATTACGAGACGGGGGAGAGGTGGTCGTGGCCATCGTTATTATTTGCATCGTCATCGCAATCATCGTCACCATCATTACCAACATCACCACCATCCTCCTTCTCATTGTTAGTACTGCCTCTTATTCCACGAATGCACTGGACCGATAGTGCCCTGATCAAGTCGAGAAACCCCAGAACAGGAAATAAGGCAACCCTCCCTCAGCTGACCGCTAGATACTACGGGTTTACCCCCTTCTAGCTTCCTCTCCCGTCGCTAGAGGATCCAAATTGCGCCGAGCAAGCACGTTTTTGGATGGGTGTGGCAGACGGTAATAGTAGGACGACCAAAAAAAGGTACCTATTAAACGTGGCTCGTCCGTGGTATCACCAAATTTCAGACGATCCCGGATACAGGGTGTCTGTGCAAAATCAGCCGTCCATCTCCCCTCCATCTTCTTTTGCGATCTTCCCTTCCGGTCCTGATAACCTCCCCAGCCATCGTGTCCGACTTTTCGACCTCCCCCTCCTGCTCCAATCCGCCCTCCCTTTTTTTCCTCCCTACTACCTACCACGGTACTACTGCAGTTCAGCACCAGCGTCACTGCCTCCCGTCGCCATTTCGAGACAATGAAGCCGCGCGCCGCGGCCACCTCGACGCTTGACCATAGGGTGTCGCGACCTACTCCGTCCCAGAACCATACGACGTCGCATCCGAACCGACCCCGCTTGCCGACGCTACACAGCGCTTGATTTCTAGGCGGGAATTGCCGTCGCAGGCGCGAGAGACGAACACACGACCAAGCGCCGAGCAGAACCATGCCGCCCGCGGAGCCCAGTACCATCGAGGATACGCAATTGGGCCTGACCGACGAGGAGGTGAATCTCCTCCGTCACCACCAAGCTCAGGCCGGCTCCTCGTCCTCGCGCGCCGCCAGCCACGCATCCTCCCAGGGGCGCCTCCTACTCGACAGCTCCAGTCTTGCCGCACTGTCACGACACCTCGACCGCTTGATGCACCAGATCCAGCAACGCATCGAGTACCTCAGCGAACAGAGCTCCGTCGTGACGATGCAGCAGTATGATCACGCAGGTAACCTGGTGGACAATGCCGATGCTGAGATTGCGCGCTTTCAGGGTATCATGAGCCAGATCGACGAGCTTGAGCTCGACTTCGATCGCATCGCCCACATTAGAGATATCGTGAGGGATTACCGTCAGCGAGTCGAGAACCTAGAACGCGAACTCGAAAATTCGAGCTCGTCGCGGCGCGAGCACCACCACTCTCACCGCCACAGCCATTCGCACCGGCAGGAAGCGGCTTCTTCCGGCGGTCACAGACGTAGACACTGATGAGAGAGAGGGAGAGAGAAAAGCGTACTAAGAAATGAGCGGACATAAGTACCATCCCGTGGATCGGGGTGTCGATCAGAGCAGAAATTTGGCCTCGGGGGGGAAGAAAAGCCGCATCGAGCTTCCCCGAGTACCGGCTTATTTTATTATTTAATGGCAAGCTGCCAACAGGACCAGAGCACAGTGGAAAAGGAGGGGGTATGAAAAAAAAAATATCGCAGCACGAAGATATAGAAGCATAGGGTCACACGACCGCAGAAAACGGACTTCGAGGCATGCTCGGCGCCGGGTCGCCTCGGGACAGAGACGCAGCATCGTCTCTCTCTTTTTTCTCTAGGATTTACGCTGAAGAAGAGGCTTGCTTCTCCGAAAGGGGACAGGGCACACTCCTCAACGATGGAGGTGCTGTCCCACTACCTAAAACGGGAAAATATCCACGTTTCTTACATGTCTATTAAGATGGGTGGATGCCTCGCGGCTGGATAAGAAGGAAGGGTCGGCCTCACGGCTCAATTTGTGAACCTTTAACGGCGTTGGTTCTTGTGTTTTCTCTCCTTTCTTTTTGCGTCATCTCCCTTCTTAGTCTAAATACCCCTCCCCCCCGTCGTCGTCACGAAAAATTGGAAATTCTAGGTTCCCCCTTCGGACAAGCGCGAAGATACTCCTCAAAATCGTGGGCATACCATCTGCACCACGTTTTTTTTTTTGTCGTTGTTTGCTATTGTTGCTTCGTGTGCATTGCGAGGAGGATGGGAGGAAAGAGAAGAGATACCTTGTTGTCAGCGGCAGCTATTATTTGAGTTCTATGTTTGGAGTATAGCATCTTAGTTTTCCACACAAGCGACGGGCACGTTCCTGTTCCTGCTTCTGGTCGACTAGAAAGAGATATACTATTCTAACTCGTCCTCGGTTTATGACGACTGGTGCCAATTCGTGTGTGTGTGTGGGGGGGGGGGGGGGGGGTACGTGAATGGTGTTGAAAGCAAAATCCGAGTATGTCGGCGATAGTTGACTGCCTACTTACATTACAGCGCTCGAATCCGTCGAGGCGGAGGAGCGGGGGGAGGAGAAGGAGAGAACGAGGCAAAAGCAAGCCGGACTGTAGGCGTGTATCGTGGATACTACGCGCTAGTTGGAACCGTCCTCTTCCTCCCTTCCGCTGTCCGCCTCCCCGTAGGTGTACCTATACGAAGAACCCAGGTATACATGCGCAGAGGCTTGCGGCGTAGGTAATGCCTTCCACACCCCCAACCACTAGGTGCCACGTCCGCTCTCGCGCCTCTGCGCGGGCGGGTAGGTGTGGTTCGTTGTTGCTGTAACGGCTACCATGTGCTCCCATGCGTTTCTCGTCCGCTCGCTGCCCGGGCGCGTAGGCGACGCGCTGCTGTCCCGGGTATCTCGCGACGCCGGCTACTCTCCTACTCCTCCTCCTCCTCCTCCATAGCAGAGTAGATAGGTACGCAGATAGATAGACATGTGTGTGCGCGGGCCCGTCGCGTGTAGGCATATACCTAGGTAGGTATATTGCCTCCTCGCGACCCCCACCCCTTTCGCCGCGGTGAACGTAGACCCTGTGCTCTCCGTCGCCTTCGTGCGCCGCTCAGTGCGGCTACGGCCTGGCGCGGGGCGCGGCCTCCTTCGGCGACGGCGCCGGGGAGGCCTCAGTAGTCGAGGTACTTGACCTTGGGGCGCGTGGCCGGCGGCAGGTCCTCCTCGCGCAGCAGGCCCAGCCGGATGCAGTCGCCCCAGAAGAAGAGCGCGCGCTCCTGCGCGTACGCGAGGTAGTCGAACTCGGCGGCGTCGCCCTCGTCCTCGTCAGGCCCGCCACCGCCGCCGCCGCCGCTACTCGCGCCCTCGTCCTCGTCCTCGTCCTCGTCGAACCCCGGGATCTTGGCCTGCATCACCCCCCACGCCACCCACTGCGCGCTGTTCGCCACGCGCCACACCCGCGCCTCCCGCACCAGCGCCTCCACCAGCGCCTCGGCCTGCTCCTCGGCGCGCTTCTCCTCCTCGCGCCACCCGCCCGCCGGCGCGCGCGCGTCCAGCGTGAACTCGCGGATCGAGCTCGTCGGGCGCAGCCGGCCCTCGGCCTCGGAGACCGCGCCTCCGCCCCCGCCCCCGCCTCCTCCTCCTTCTCCACCGCCCGCGCCGACTATCGTGGGCCCGAGGCCCGGCGTGCTCGGCCGCATCGTCGGCGTGGCGAGAGGCGTGGGCGTGGCGGCGGCGTGGGGGAACTCGGGCCGGTGGCTGACGTAGGCGCGGATGAAGCGGCGCTGCTCCTCGGGCGCCGGGTACGTGGCGACGTCGCAGGCGTAGGGGGCGCGCGCGTCGTGGTAGTTGTAGCACCACTCGGTGAAGTGGTTCGCGAACTCGAGCCCCCGCGTGTTGGCGGCCGAGTACTCGAAGTCGATGACGACGAGCTGCTTGTGCTCGTAGTGCGGCTGCAGCAGCGGCGATTTCTTGTCGTCCGGCCGCACCCGCAGGATGTTGCCGTACTGGGTCTGCCGTCGCTGTCGTTAGTAACAGGTCTTCTTAGTCGCAGAGGAAGGAAGAGAGGACAGGAGGGGATAAGAGAGGGAGGGAGAGAAAACTTAAAAAGGAAAATGAATGCATATCATGAGATGAAACGAGGACCGCCCCCTCCCCCTGAAGAGAGATAAATGCAAAAACATCTGTGATGGATCAGCTCAACTAAGCACTTACGTCGCTATGCGCAAACACCAGCGAGTCCCGTATGGCGGCGGGCCCGCCGTGGTAGTCGAGCAGGAACTGGCGGTACTTGTCGACCATGGCCTTGAAGGCGGGCCACTCGGCGCCGCAGACGAAGCCGCGGGCCTTCCAGGCGTCGGCGGGGCCGGCGCGGACGGGGCCGGGGCCGGGGCCGGGGTCGGGCGAGAGGATCTGGCGGTCGAGGAAGGCGACGACGCGCGAGGCGCGGCCGAGCCAGGCGTCCCAGTTGCGCAGCACCATGGGCCCGCCGTCGCGCTCGCGGTCGAGCAGCTCGATGCCGTCGTGCAGCTCGCGCATGCGCTTGGCGATCTGGCGCGACGTGTCCGGGTCGCGCAGGTCCGCCGCCGTCAGCGCGGCCGCGTTGAGGTACTGCTCGAACCGGCCGTTGGTGAAGGTGCCCAGCAGCCGCGGCCCGATCCGCTTCTTGGCCAGCCGCCGCAGCACGCTCAGCTCGTTCTCGCGGTCGATGATGTGCTCCGCCTGCGGCCCGTACACGCGCAGCAGCAGCTTCGCCGGCGTCCGCTTCGCGCCCTCGCCCCGCGCCGCGACGCCCTCCGGCGGCGACACCACGTACACGGCGTTCGTCAGGGCGCCGCTGAGGCGCGTGACGTCGATAGCCTCGCTGCTCTCGAGGGGCACCCGCCGCCAGCCTTTGAGCGCTAGCGTGTGCGTTAGCTTTAGGATATCGGTTTTGAAGGCGAGCCAGGCCTTGCGCTCCTTCTCCTCGCGCTTGCTCGAGAGCAAAGGGGCGCTGCTGTCGCCGGCGGAGGCCTTCGCCGCCAGGTAGCCGAGGGTCTTGGTGTTGTCGAGGACGGCGTCGCAGGCGGGGACGAGTACGTCGCCGTCGTGATAGTCCGTGTCGGAGGACGCGGTGCGGTGAGCGGTCACGGACCGCCGCCGCTGCTGGGTCTTCCGCGCAAGCTTCCCCAGCGCCGCCATCCCATCGTCGACGATCACTTGCAGCCTATCGAGGGACACGTCGCTGGACTCAGAATCGGTCGAGCGCGACCGGGCTCGCTGAGACGGCGGCGCGTCGGCCTCATCCCTGGCGGCTTTCCGCCTGCCGCCTGAGTGGACTCTCTTCGCCTTTCGGTTTTCCTTCTTGGCTCGCTCATGTTCCAGCCAGTCGGCCACCTGAGCGAGGAACTTGTCCAACTGGGTGTGGTGATGGGGATGGTGATGCGAGTGGGCGCGGCTGCCGTCCTGCGGATATTGATGGAGAGACTGGCTGCTGGTGTGGCTGCTCAGAGCCTCTACGCTACTTTGGCTGAGGAGAGACGTCCTGGATGAGCTGCTGTCCTGCAGCGGGGGGCGACCGCTCAGGCGTCTGGCAACTCCGGCCGAGTATTGCCTCTTCGGTGCTGTCTCGTCTGCGTTGTCCGGGTCTGGCGGGGGCTCCGCAATCTGTACGGCTAGAGTCGAATTAGTCTGGTATACCTATTTACTGGGCATCCTATTTTTTTTTTTTCAAAGGGGGAAAGGGGTTCAAGGTGAGGCTAGAAAGGGCGATGAACAGAATATGAGAGCTAGAGGGAGAGTACAGGAAGGGAAGGTATTGCTAATACGCCTTGGTTTTGCTACTGCCATGCGAGAGTAAACAGGAGGGGGACGTAAGACGGCGGCTTGGATATCACCACAGACAAAGATGCAGAGACATAGGTATATATCAACATGTGTGAATATGCGCAGTGCTAACTATACAGATAGATCACCCCCTCGAGGGGCAGGCAGGCGGAGTTCAAGATAAGGCCGGGGTAAACGCCACTAGGCCGCGAATCTTAGGTTATGAGTCTCCTCGCGGAGGGCGACGGAGCAAAGGTAAATGTGCCAGGTTAGAGGGGGGGCCGGAGGACCGACAGGGCAGTCGTCTCAAGGAGGGCCCGGCTAACCGCGACGGAAGACAGGAGACACGGACTAGGCCAGGATCACCAACCTTTGGCCACCGGAGTGTTATGCAGCGAGGACGTCCTCTCGGAATCGTCATCCTGTTTAAGGACGGACCGCAGCGGATGCCCGTCGGCGGTGAAAGTAGGCGTCGACACGGCAGACATCGAGGCGATAAGGGACAGCGGCGAGAAGGCGTGACATGAACAGGGAGTCGAAGGGACGCACAGGACTCGAGGGGACGGATAGGGCGTTACACTTGTTTCCAGTTATCACCGGTTTCTACGTTGCAGCAACGATAGGAATAGTAGCAAAACAGCACGGTGGGTAGGAGAGGGAGAGGCGATGACGGTACGAAAGATGACGTCCGTCGAAGGTTTTGCGGAGGCAAAAAAAGGGAAAAAAAAATATGGGATTAGATCATGTCTGACGAGGCGAACTTGACCAACGACGATAACCTCTTTTTATTCGTTCACGATAAAAACTTACGCTGGCTCGACCTGGGCTTGGGGAGGGGGCAAAAAGAAGGCGAAGCCACCACATGATTTAGGTAGGTACGTAATATAGAGAAAGGTGACGCCTGAGGGGGGGACAAGGCTGGTACCTGTAGATACTATGAGGTAGGTACTTACCTAAAGCCAGGGATATCTCACGATGTACCGAGATAAGGTGACGACGGACGCAGTTGCAGTGCATACCTGCGCTAACGTGTAGGTACCTTAGGTACCTATATGAGTAATACCTGAGGGCATGTGATATATACAGGTATATCTCAGGTACCTAACCCGCCCGGGCTAGACAGGAAGTACCGAAGAGGTAGGCAAGATAAGGCCGCTCCAGGGAGGGCCAGATGCCTTGGCCCTTAGGTTGAGACCTACCTACCTAGGTACCTAGGTATAGAGGCAACACCTGAAGTAGGGCTTATAGGTACATTAGGGAGGTATCTAAGGTAGCTACATGCTGGGTCCGCCCCTGCAGGACAATGCGGGGTTGTTTTGGGGGGTCACATCCAGGTAAAGTAGGTACCTAGGTACGCATCGGCCTGCGCCCGCCCCTCGCCAGCAGCCTGCCCGCCTGCCCGCCTGCCCGCCAACCCCCGACTCAGTGCCGCTGTCCTGCGCGACGTCATCGGGGGGTCGACGCGAGGCGGCCAGCGCTGCGTCCCGAATACCACCCCAGCCTCAGCCCGTTCCACGGCCCAGACGAGTGCCCCGTCACACGCCCTCTTGACAGGAGCGTCGGCATCGCGCGCCACCGCCGACCCGTCTTGCCGTCTCGCCGCCGGATGCGACAGCACTACACATACCTACTTACCTACCTACATGCCCGCCGACGGAAACGTCGCGGGGCAGGCAGCCCGCCCGAGAATACGCACGCGCGGATCTACAGCGGCGCCGGCTGCCGCGCCTACGCACCGAGACGGGATGCTAGGGTGCTGCTAACCCCTAAGCTGGCACGTAGGTAAGAGCGCGAAAGGAGCTGGGTTCGATTCAGCTACCTACTAGACACCTACTTAGGTATATTACCTACCCGGTCCGCGTAAACGTACAGACTCTTTTTCCCTCTCGCCCCCTCAGCCCTCCCTCGCCGCCAGCGCGTCGAACCCCGCGCCGCCGGCCGCGGGCCAGCCCTCGCGCTCGAGCGCCCACGCCACCGCCGCCGCGACGTCGTCCGCGATGCGGCCGGGCTGGTGCGCGGGGGCGCCGGCGCGGTCCGGGTCCCACACGCCGGTCCGCACCAGGATCGAGGTCCAGGGCGTGCCGTGCGGGCTCGCGTACTCGTTCGCGCCGCGCACGTCGCTCGCCGGGTTGTCCCCCACCATGTAGACGCGCCGCAGCGGCGGCAGCTTCTGCTCCCCCGCCCCCGCCGACGCCCACAGCGTCTCCCGGTGCGCGCGCAGCACGCGCTCCGCGAACCCGTACGTCCGCCCGTGCGGCTTGCCGATCACCGTCCGCCGCAGCGCCGCCTGGCCCCCCGTCAGCTCGTGCCACACGCCCGCCAGCGCCGCCTGGAACGCGCCCTGGCCGAGCCGCGGGTGCCGGTACCCGGCGCTCCAGTGCAGGTCCGGGTTGCTGAAGTACAGCGCCGGCTGGCCGTCGGCCTGCCAGCCGCGGCCCGGCAGGTCCGGGCGGCCGTTGCGGCGCGAGTACGTGCCCAGCACGCCGCCGCGCGACGCGAGCAGGTCCGTGATGAGCTGGATGTCGAGCGCCCAGTCGCGCGGGTCGTCGAAGACGAGGATGGCGTCGATGCGCAGCGGGTGGCCGCCGCCGCTGCTGCCGCCGCCGGCCGCGCCGACGTCCTCGGGCAGCGGCGGCGGCAGCGCCCGCGCCGTCGCCGCGTACCGCTCCCGCATCAGCGGGTCGAACGGAAAGATGTCCGGGTGCGCCGCCAGGATGTCGGCCGGGATGACGACGCGCCGGAACCCGTACTGCTCGGCGATGGCGCGGCACCGCGCCGCGTCCGACCCCGTCACGAGCACGTTGCGGTCGCGCAGGCCCTCGCCGGGGCTGTCGACGAGCTCCCGGAAGGGCGTGTGCGACTGCACGAAGTTCTCCGTGGTCAGCGTCACGCCGAGGCGCGCGCTCAGGTCGGCGACGCGCTCCGTCTCGTGCTTGCCGCCGCCGTTGGTCAGCAGGATGAAGGGGATCCGCTGCTGCTGCAGGTACGCGAGCGTGCGGGCCGCGCCCGGGATCGGCTTCGCGACGTGCATCAGTACGCCGTCGATGCTGCCGAGGTAGGTAAGTAAATGGGCTGTCTAGTTTTTCCCTTCTTTTTTATTCTACGTCTCAAGGTAATTGGGAATTCCAGAAGAGCGCAAGAAACAAGGTTGGCCGTGTGGCGGTGTCGATAGGTTGATAGTAGGAGGAGGGGGAAGAACTTACTCAAAGGCGAAAGCGAACGTTGGTGGCTGCTTCGGCGCTTCGTGGCCGACGCTGAGAGGTCGCGAGGACGTGAGCGGGCCGAGAACCCGGTCGGCGGCGGCGCTCCCTCGCCGTCGGCATCGCGCGGCACTGCTTGCTAGAGTGAAAGGGACGGTAGTGGTGGTTGACACGGAGGCTGTTCGCGCGAGGGGCGCTCGGAGGGGTGAGGATGAAAATTGGTGGCACAGTTGGCGGGATGCGGCCCCGACGGGCGCGACGACGCGGGGGCGCAAAATCCTCATGGTAAAGTAGCGGACGAGGTCAGGCGCGCAGAGTGCCTCGTATTGCTTAGCATAGTTCCTCGGATGGTCACGGTGCAGGCTGTCGTCGCGGGCGCCTCAGGTATGGTATGCGAATGTGGTGAAGCGCGGGGATGTTAATGTTGGTGGTGGGGGTGTATAGGCCACTTTTTTGTAGGGGGCCCTGAGAGAGCTGGCAAGGCAATAAATACTACCTACGTAGCGACATCAAAAAAAAAAATACCTACGTAGCAGCCGCAGCTTGCCTTGTGGGTTGGGTGCGGGCACTCGCGATGGGGATCCGTCGACTTTGCCCGGAGAATATGTGCGGGAGGTAAACGCCGAGATTGTGAGGTGAAGAGTTCGAGTTTCGATTGATAGGTACTTGGATTTTTATTCTTTATTTTCAAGCCATCCGTCTCCCGTCCGACATGAACCCACGCCTCAACGCTTCCGACTCGTCTGCATAACTCTCCAGATGTTGCCAGGTCCGGCAACAAGCCCAGTGGCGCAAGAATTACCTACCAGCAGTACCTACCACGCAGACGTCGACGTACCTGTTGCATTCACCTGTATAGACACGTAAACTTGGCCTGCCCGAGGTAGGAAGTCTACATTATGGCATGAAAGGTACATCCGGGGAGCGGGTTGCCTTTGGTTACCCTGTCACCGATCCCTCCAGTCCCAAGCCGTAATCCATCAGGTATCCCATGATGTTTCCCTATCTTCCGCGGCTACAAACCGCATATGTACAACCTGCAACTTTACCAGCCAGATCGATTAGGCCCGTCTCTGGCGGGGGAGTAGTGTGTCTCGGTTCCAATGTACATCCATCTCCCCCCCCCTTCTCGCCGTCCCCATCACTGCCGCCACCCGCCCTTCCAGTCCTTCATGTGATCGAGGATCGCGTTAGCCGCCTGATCGGGGCTGTGCTGGCGGCCTAGCGCCTCCACGAAGTCGCCCTCGGGGTCCATCAGGTAGAAGTAGATGCTGTGGTCCACCAGGTAGTCCTGCCCCGGCTTGATGTCGCGCGGCGTGCTGAAGTAGACCCGGTACGCCTTGCACACGTCGCGCACCTCATCGTACGTCCCCGTCAGCCCCACCAGCCGCTCGTCGAACTCGGCCAGGTACGCCTTCAGCGTCGCCGGGTCGTCCCGCGCCGGGTCGCACGTGATGAACACCGGCGTGATCGACCCCGGCCGCTGCTCCTCCACCAGCGTCACCATCCGCGCCATCTTGTCCAGCTCATCCGGGCAGATGTCCGGGCAGTGCGTGAAGCCGAAGTACACCTAGCCCGTCGCAGGTCGTCAGCCTTGTTCCTCTTCCTCCCGCCTTCTCCGTGTCGCCGAGAAAGAAAAAAGAGACAGACAGGGAGAGCTAACTCACCAGCGCATACCGCCCCTTCAGCGCCTCGCTGCTGAACGGCCGCCCCTCTTGGTCGCGCAGCTCGAACGGCCCGCCGACCTTGGGCCGGCCGGCGCCCTTGGTCGCCTCGGCCACCCGCCGGCGGTGCATCCGCTCCTTCTCGCTCTCGAAGTACCACGTCAGGCCGACCGCCGCGGTCACGAACAGCACGCCTGCTTTCCACGAGAACGGGCCGGTGCGGTACCGGCTCCGCGCCTCCTCCACCGTCTTTGCCTTGTGCCGCCGCTGTCCCGCCCCCGCCCCCGCGTTCGCGCCCCGCGGCCGCGCCGTCACCCGCCGCGCGTTCGGCTCTTGCCGCGGGTGGAAGAGAAGTTGGTGGTGGTGCTGGTGTTGGTGGTGGTATTGTCGCGAGGGGAGCAGGGGTGACACCGACGAGCCCGACGAGACGGAGGGGCGCGGCGAAGATAGATAAGGGGGTGCGGACGACGACGGCGCGGATTTCGCGGCGCGGTGGAACAGGCGTTGGCTCTGCGCGAGGGACCGGAAAAGGGGGCGCGAGACCTCGAATAGAGGCGGCATCGTTGCGGTTCGTATGCAATCCCTCCTCTTTTTTTTGGTTAAGTAGCAGCTCCGAGCTGCTCGCTCACAAGAACCAGCAGCGGTTCACCTAGTGGACTGCGTGGATTTAGCGACGGACTTCTCTTGCGCGCGTGAACTTCTGTCGACATGTACGTGGCGCAATGCATAGAGGAAGAGAGAGGGAGCTTCGAATCAGCGAGGTTAGGTGGGTAGAGGTGCGGGTGAGTGCGGTTCAACGTCAAGAGAAAAAAGGAATTGAGAGCTGCCGAAGCAACAGCAAAGCCGGCCAGTTCCGGGCAGCGCCACTGGAGGGGTGAGCAACAAGCTTCAGCCACATCGTACCTAGGCATAACCAGGTACCTATGTAACCACTCTTAAATACATAGGCGTACCGTGTGTATGCACGTATGCACGTGTATGCACTTACAGAAGGGCCGGTGATCATATATATATGTCATGCAACCAGCCTATGACCTGTGTCGATTATATAAAAAGCAACTAACCAGATCCTATAAAAAAGGCAGCACTTCCTTTCCAATAACCAGCCCGTTTCTGAATAACGTGCGTGGGATCACTCGAAACCCTGCGACAGTCCGCTGCCTGCCTCCTTAGCCCGGGCAAGTCGTGTAGGCATGGAAAAACACCGCCGGAACCCGCCTCGTCAAGGTATGTCGATCCCTTCTTCAGTCATGGTCTACGGTGCTCCAACCCTAGGTACCCTTCGTCATCGCCATCCTCTGGAATGGCCTATATGCCTGGTGGGACATTGAATTCCGTTGTCATCACATATTACTATAATTACAACTGCACCACATACAATATTCCCAACACAGGTAAAAGACCAACTCCATCGTTCCTGTCAGGTCGTCGCCTCCCTTCCAATACCACCGCCCTCTCTCACACCAACTTTCCCTCTTCCCGCTCCCGCATCCCCCTCCCTTCCTCCTTCGCCGCCTTGATCTTGTTCGTCGAAGAGAAAGGGGTGAAACGGGGGGGAGAGAAAAAAGAGAGGGGAGAAAAGAAATAAAACGAAAAGCAGCAATACCATCTCCTCGGTTCACCATGCCAATCAACCACGGCCCACAAGATGATCGGATATAGCCTACGCCTTTCGGCACGCATTGAGAATGGGGGGGAAAAAAAAAGGAAAATGGGAGGACAGAAATGCTCCAATGCCGCCGCCTCTTTTTTTCGTTTTCACAAATGCCGTCATGTCGCCCGCCTGCGATTACCCTTCCCGCCAACTCGATTCCAGACATTATGGACCCCTCGGTACGAGATAGGAGGAGGGGAAGAAAAAAAGAAAAGGAAACAGAGTGCGGCTCATGCAGCTCCTTCTATTTTCGTCGATGTCCCTCGATACGCCATAGATGTGTCCCCCCTCGCGAGGAGAAAGTAGAGACAGACAGAAAGAGAAGAGACAGAAAACAACCTCCACGCAGAACTCCAATGGATGAGGTATTGGCGTCGGAATATTAGGGAAATCTTATCCGGATACCAACAGCGCGCCGACCGAAGCGAACGAATCTACGCCCTACTTCTCCGCAAGACCTCTCGAAATAGCGTTCTCCTGCATCTTCGGAATGGTCGAGGGAAGGGGACGAGAGTTACTTCCGTCAGCGCGTCGCATATTTGGCCTGGGAAACATTCGGAGCACGCAACGGCTCGGGTCCATGTCGGAGCTGTGCGCATTCCATGGCCCCTCAGGGCCGGCTGACCTGGCTCTGGCTTGCGCTCGTCCGACTGCGCTCGTCCTCTTCCTCGATCACGTCGCTCAGGCGCGTCGGGTGGTGGTGGCGATTGTCCGCGTCCTCCCAAGGCATCGTGTAACCCGAACCGCTATAGTCTGGGGCCGTCGAATACTGTGGTTGTTGAGTGCTGGTGCCGGTTGGTTGATAGACGTTCGGTTGGGTCGCTTGCGGCTCGAACTCTTCTGCTCTATTGTCAGAACCATTTAAATCAGGGGGCGCGAACGGGGCTCTCGTGATCTCGTGAGTCTCGGACGGGGCCTGTCGGTATGCCATTAATATACCCACCTTCACTGTAGGCTCCCTCGGAGCCGTAGCTCTGCTGGTGTTGGACGGAAGAAGGCGCTTGGAAGGAGGTGCTGCCGCCAGCCGGTCCCGGGGTTGGTTGGGTTGTGGGGACCTGGGGGAATTGGTAGCGAGCAGCAGCAGGCGATGGCTGGGGTTGGGCATAGTCGGAAGGCTCTTGCTGGCTCTGGGAACGAGTGGTTCGCTGCGTGTTACCGCGACCAAGACTTTGGGTCATCGGAACGACTTGGACCCCGCCGACGATGGTCGGGTGGCCGAGCTGCAGAGAAGTGGTGCGATCTCGCTCCTCCTGCTCGCGTCGGCCAAGCTCCTCCCACGCACGCCGCGCCTCTTCCTTAGAAATTGTCAGCTCCTTGCGCAACTCAGCTAGCTGCTTCTGCATCTTGGAGGTGCCTTGCTCGTGCTCGACGGCTTCGCGGATCGCGTCTGCCCGGCTTCGTCTCTCCTCTTCGAGGGCCGCCTCAAGCATCGCCGTAATTTCTTGCGAACGTTCTATCTCGGCCCGGGTCTCGAAAAACCAGCGCTGGAACTTGCGCTCCGACGAAGCGCGCAGGCGCTGGAGCTCAACCACGGCGTGGAACAGATTGGCGCCGGCAGAAGAAAGATCCGTAACCTGCCGAGACAGCTGTGCGGAGATAGGATCCTGGCTTATCTCATGCGCGCTCTGCTCTAATCGGCGAATCCAAAAACTTGTTAAGCCTTCCCAATGGGCGGACAGGGTTTCCCAACGCTCAAATGCGTGGGGGAATGAGTTTCTACCCCGTCCGATGGCCGTCGAGCTTTCGCCTGGTTGGGGTTGTGTGCCAGAAGGACCCGCCATTCCCGGGCCGGATGTCGACGGACCCGGGGCGCCCTGTGTGGCCGAGACGGCAGGTCGGGCCTGCCGAGGTTGCTGCGAGGCTTGGGCCTGAGAGGTGGCTCTAGGGGGTATCGATGCGCGAGCATCATTATCTCCGGGTATGCGACCCGAGGTAGTAGGCTGCGCGGGCCGCCGCGGAGTGGAGGGTTCAACACCGGATTCGTAGATACCAGCGCCAGCGGCAGCTGCAGTCGCCGCAGCAGCTCGTTGCTCCGCGTCTTTTCGCTCTGCTTCTCTCCGGACTGCCTCCTCTTGCCGACGTGCCTCGTTCGCGGCGTGCTCACGCTCCAACCGCTCCCGCTCTTGCTCCTCACGCTGTCTGGCCTCTCGCGCGGCTTCTCGCGCAGCTCTTTCCTGCATAATCACCCGGGGGCCTCTAATTCCCGAAGGGGAACCGACGGCCGCTCGTGCAGTGGTAGGTCGTACGGACGAGGCGCCATTCCCGTTCGTGGTGGCGGGGCCGCCTCTTCCTCCCATCAGGTCGGACATCGGGGCGTATAGCTCGACGAGGTCGTCGGTCAGCTGTTTGGGGCCGCGAAGAGTCTGCTCGAGCGCATACAAGATGGCGCTATGGGACTGCCTTGAGATGCGAAGGGCTGGGTGTTGTTCAGGTGTGTCCGATTTCGAAGTAGAGGTGGTCGTCTGCTGGTGGGGCGAGGGCGGGCGAGTGTGGGTCGAGGACGCCTCGGAATCGTCACTTAGGTTCCCTTGGGAGAGTCGTCGCCTAGGAGGTTTGGGGCGTTCGGCTCCGGGCTGTCGCTCAGGATGCGCGAGGATGTAATGCCCTTGAGGCCCGAGAGTGACGGTAACGCGGCCAATTGGCTGGCGGGGCTGTCTCTCAGGCGGTGAGCTGGGAGAAGCGGAGAAGCGCGGTGTCCTACGGAGTCGGTGAAGGGAAGGGGGAGTAGCAGCGGATTTGGGCTCCGGCGTACGCGGCTGTGGAGACTGGCGGAGGAGGTCACGCCGCTGGCGCTGGGTGGGTGTTGGCGTAGAAAATTCGTAACGGTCGTGACGGTCGTAAGCAGGCGCGGTTGGGGTTCGTTCGGACAACTTTGCGGTCGTCTCCCCGGCAGCACGAGCTGACGGTGAAGCGGACAACGTGAGAGAGAATCACCACCGTATGCAGTGGTGAGTGAGACACTGCAAGAGGGTAGAAAACAAATGAGTATGTTGTAAGTGGCACGCTAATCCCGCAGGAGACAGATCGATCTCTCCGGCCGTGCCCCGGGTACCATCTAAGCGGTGGTGAAAAACGCGATAGGAAAGGTCTGCTGCTTACCTTAGGTGCAGTGGCGTATACGTGGATGTATTCGGGATGTGCGGTGGTGGTTTTGGGTAGGAGGGTAAGTATGGGTAGTTGAGGGTACACAGCAGAGCCAAGTCAGTAAGAGGTAACAGGTAAAGTGCTAGACGGGTCTACTTGGCTGCCAGCTCCAAGCAATGGAGAAGACAGGCAAAGAGGCGTCTGAGCTGGAGCAGATCGCAGATCTCTCTCCCTCTTTCTTTCTGTGGTCAGTGTATCGGAATTGGGTACTTCCCAGACGGAGGAAAGAGAGGTGGCAGCGGTGGTATCGTAAGGTGCATGTGGGAAGGGTTGCGGTGTTCGCGTCTCGAGTTCTGGCTGGTGTCCTGTCTGGTGCCCGTAAAGTCGGAGGCTGGGCTGGGCAGAAGCGCGGGAAATGCGATGGCTGGTGGTTCGAGGAGCCGCAGTCGAAACCAATCGGCCCCAACACCAAAAGGGAGAGATAGAGCTAGCTGTCGAGACCAAGATCGATGTGTCGTGAAGACGTGTTCGTGTTGTTTGTGGGTTCTCGTTTGTAATATTTCTTTCCCTTCTTTGCCTTTCTTCTCCTCTGCATGTGGGTTTTTTTTTTTTAATCTTCTCTCAAAATTGCAGTGTCGGTTAATCTCGTCTTGTTGTCGCGGCGACTCGCCTGCCCAACCGGCTTCTCGTCTGCTCACCCTTCGCTTCTGGCCTTCTGACCATCCGCGTCCAGCAGCGCCGGCGGTGCCAGCGCTGCCCGGTTACCAGAGGCAATCAGCTGTTGCAAGGGGTAGTAGGGCTGCGCTCTCTGGACGCTAGCAAGCGACGATATGTTGCGAGCATACCTACGTGCCAATGGCTGAGTATTCTTCTTTTTTTGTCTCCCTCTTCTCTTCTCGGACACTGCAGCTTGCCCGATCTTCCCCCCTGGAGAGCTGTGATGAAGAAAAGGACGCGCAGGGGAGAGAGAGGAGCTGGAAGCATGCTGCCAGGCCCTGGGGTCTCATCTGCGGTAGGAAGGTGGTAATAATGGTGCCTACAGATCGCAGGTACTTCGGTACCTGTGACACGCCCTGGGCCTGCAGCAGTCGCACTGTCCACGTTGCTATTGTCGTTTCCTGCCGTTGCATCGTTATTCATGTGCCTATTCAAGTGCCACCTGCCTCCCTCCCTCTTGTGAAGGAGAGAGACGGGTAGTTCACACTTGCGCGATTCTACCTGCCCACTTACAGGCTCTAAGGTGCAGGCGGCTAGTCGGCCTAGGTGACAGAAAGTACACACTAAGGCTATAGAAGGTATAAACACTCTCTTTGATACGGCTTCCCAACACGGCTCCAAGTACCTTGAGTAGGTAGGTACCTAATCTAAGCAAGGTACTGTGGAAGGTATGTCAGGTACATAAAAGGTAAGGTAATAGCTCAGCTTCACCGGTTGAGGTGTGGAGGTCGGTATAGAGCAGGCACCTAAGTCAAGTGTCTACCTACGTTGTAAGTCAATGCTACAATGGAAGGTGACGCTTACCTTAGGGACCTAAGTCATCGAGGATCTCACTTGGAAGTGAATGTGGGGGTATAAAGAATTGTCTAATCCGACCACAGGACCCCCCCCCCCATCATTTGGTGGGAAGGACAAAGATACCTGTAACATACCTACATCGACCGGATGACAACCCATTATAAGCGTATCTTAGCCTCTCTGTCTCAATTGTTGTCTCGTATGTCGTCATTCTGTCTATTCTATATATATAATATATATATATACAGAAGGAGGACACAGGCATCGACGTGCTAAGGCTGTCCGACTCGAGCCGTGGCTAAGATGACATGCATCTACCTGACCTGTAATTCAGGCTTCACATCAGACCGGACCGGGACTCGGCCGGGTGACAGGTCAGAGCGTGCCGACGACAGCGAGAGGGGCCCCTCCACCAGTGACAACGTCCCTCGGCTCGAAGGGGGGCAGGCACGGAGCTAAGCTGGGGAAAAGCAGCGAACCTTGGAGCTGGGTCTATTTGTAGGCGGAGTTCGACACGTTAAGATGCTCAAAAGATACAGGTAGGCGCTATATCAACACGCATGCATGGACTGGTGTATTTGCCTCCATCGGTTCATGCAGAGGCCGGCAGAGGCAAAGGCGTATTATTATGCGTAGGGTTAGCAATACGAGAGCAGAGAAATCGAACGTACGAGTACAAGACGCAGCAACAAGCGAGGGAGCGAAAAAGAAGAACAAAGAAGAGAGGCCGGTGCGTTGGCAAGTTTGTGACGAAGCATTCCGGCTTAGCGTCCTGCGGGTCCTGCAGGTTGGGCTCGATGCTGGGCAGAAGCTGGCGGGACGAGGCCCAGACTCGTTCCAGAGCGCTGGGAGCGACATCACGGTGCATGCGTGCTCTGCCTAACGTAAGACATACAAGACCTGCCCATGAGTGGGAGCGTCAAAATGGAGGCGCGGGCAATACGAGGTCTCTACGACCACGACCTGCAGCACACAATGTATTGACGGCAGGTAGGTAAAATATTGGTGTGCGCCCGAGGCAAGGGATACGCAGGTACAAGCAGGCGATCTCGAACTTTGGGGCGTTCCGCGGCTTTCGTTATTATGAGTCGGTGTCCGTCGTGCCTGAAGATCACGGCCGCCCTCGTCTCAGCGGCTAAGACATGGGAGCGGGAGATTTGGATGCTCAATGTCTCGGTCACAAACGCGACAAGGCAGCGCGCGGGAGCGGATCGACGTCCATCCGTAGGCGTGCCTCTACCTAAGGCAATTGATGTATGTACATAGGTAGGTAGGTAGGTACCTGAGGTGGGTAGCTAGCGGAGCTATCACCAGTCTAATCTGAGGGTCGGGAGGAGAGAGCAGCAGATAGGTAACTCGACGGCCTCGGGTACGTACATGGATATATCTCCATACGTGAACCCCTAGAGGTGACACAAGGAGGATCTCACACTCGGAACTGTGACCCTCCAATCTAAGCCGGCGGATAATTCCTGGTTAGCCAACGGTGACGGACACGCCCAATTTCCATCACGCAGCTTGCTGATTCACGCTCTGTGACCCCAGGGTAAGATGAGCCCAGTAAGAAGAGATGGAGTCCTATCACGTGCGGGCCTGTCCTACGGAAACAGACTCCGGATCCCCTTCTTGCCAGAGGCGTTTTATAGGGAGGCTGGTTGGGAATATATGTATAGGGTAAGGTGATATACGTTGGCGACGGGAAATTAGCGCCTAGCCTAGGTCATTTGTTATTTGGCCTTGGCCTTTAGGAAGTAGGTAGGTAGTATCAGGGGCCAGCCAGCCTCGAGTTAACCGCTCTATGTTACCTCTAGGTATGTTACTGAACACACATTGAGGCAACAAGCACGTCTCTTCTTCGAGGGCACCTAACTTCTCTCTACGTAGGCTGCCCCCACACCCAGTGGGCATACCAGGGACAGCTATTAGAATCTGTCCATGCATGCAGCATCACATCCTCCGCGTCTAGGTGTACCTATATCTAGGAGGTAGGCACTGTAGCGATATCCTCCGCCCATCGACGAGTTCTAGTTAACACTGTACGGAGGTCGCAGCAGCAAGGAACGACCCGTCCCTCCACCAAGATCCGGTAGCTTTGGCCATTGACCAATTAGAAGCTCCGACGAAGCGTCGACTCGTACTCCGCGGCGACGGGATGTGACGAACGACGCGGGGTAACGACTGTACCGAGCAGTTGTTGGGAAGAAGAGTGTTGCTACATACCTCCTACCTAAGGTGCCTCCCTACAGGTAATATCATAAAACTTCTAGGGCACTAGGTACCTACCTGAGTAGGTACATATATGGAAAGAAAGCACGGCTAGTGACCGACGTAGCTTCGCACATTGCTAGCTACCTACCCAGGTAAGTATGAGACGGAGACAGCGAGCAGCCAGCCAGCCAGCGAAGCACAGGACAAGGGCGATGCGCAGAGACGCCAGCACTAGATGCATTGGACTGAGATACGTAGGAGGGCGCTAAGGGGGGGTTGTGGTCTGCCATGCGCTCAGCCTCTCGGCTCTCGCGGCTAGGGGGATGTCCAAAGGTCCCCCCCCATCACACGCCGAGCACACGACTTCTCGGGAACCGGCGCGGGGGAAGCAGGCAGACCCGGCTCGTCTGCACAAGCTCGTATGTGCTATCGCGCGCGGCTGGCCGCAGCAGTTCGCCCTCGGCCGCGCGGGGGCGCGTGGCACCCCTCCGTACGAACAGGATGGGGGGGGAAGGCTGGATCTTTAGCTTGGGCCGACAAGCAAAAACATCACCTCCAGCATAATCACATTCAGTACTATGTTCGCTAACCTCACTCATATGAAGCGGGGCAAGGAGTGTACGTGTGGTCCATACCATACTACATTCATCCACGCATCCATCGATACCTATACATACCTATGTGTGTATGCAAAAGAGAAACAGAGAGGACAGAGACACGTTTGCAAACGGCCGAGACGCAGCAAGGCAGGAGAATACGAGGTGGGAAAGGAGGGGAGAGCCAGATGTGCGCACGCTCACATACACGCCCGCATACTCGGGCTCGCTGACGTACGTAGCACCCATCGGTCCCACCACTACCCGATCTCGCACCTGCGCAGGACTGGCGAGAAAAACTATCCGAGCCGGCTGACCCGAACCAAAAAAGACGTTGCGACTAGGTCGGCCGTGGCTTGCTGTTATTCCAAAACGGGTGGGTATGGTAGAATGCAAAAATGAGTGCTATTATTTGATGTGCTTCTTCCCTCCTCTCTATAGCGGTGACTAGGTATATATGTGCAGTGGGCAGGGTAGGGTAGAGCCAAAACCAGATCACCCCCTACCGGCTAGATTCAGCCATGTGTAATGTGTATATATAAATTCTGTCGGCTCAGATACGCTGCCCGGCATCAAGACGTGTGTCCGTGTGGCAGTGGGCCGCCGCGGCCCGGGGAGGGGATATCGAAAAAATCTGATTACCCCAAACCGCCCTTTCTCCTCTCTTCTCCCCTTCTTACTCAGCCCCCCCACCCTTTCCAAGGGAACTCGGCCTCGCTCTAACACACCGTAAGCGCAGGAAGCTTAGTAGTTGTAGCGGTAGCAGAAGTGGCCCTCCATGGTGTTGAGGATGTCGCGGACGCGGAGGTCGGGGCACTTGGCGCCGCAGATCTGGCCCACGTACACCATGGTGTCGAGGGTCAACGGCGAGCAGTTCTTGTTATCGGCGCAGCCGCTGATCGTCGTGCGGCGCTGGACGTCCTCGATCTGCCACTTGCGGAAGGCGTAGTCGACGAATAGGTGGTGCATGAAGAAGGCCGGGTCACCAGGCGACGCGATCGCGTCCGCCATCATGCCGCCCATTCCGTTGTGGCCCTGCGCGTGGTAACTATGGCGCGTGCAATATTAGCATAGCGAACCACGAGGCGAGAGCAAAAATCACGTGGTAGAACAACCGGAACGGGGGGGGGAGGAGGTTATGGCGGCTGAACAGGTGGGTGGTAGTCTGGGGAAATCACTCACGTGAACTCGACGCAACTGTGGAAGTCAGGGTACGATGAACGCGAGAAGCACGCATCCCACGCACTCAGACCGGTCTGCGCCGTGACACCCTCGTTGACGGCGCGCTGCAGGCAGTGAGGGTTGTTGGTGGTCATGCCGGGACCCAGGCTGACGGACATGCCGGCGAATCTCTACAGACGCCGAGGCGGCGATTTAGTTAGTCATCTATTCGCCGTCCGTGAATTTCCGCCCTCATCAAGGCCGTCAAGTATGCACTCCGCAATGGAGCGACCCCAACAACGCCGGGGAGGGTAAGGGGCGCGGGAAGAATACTCACGCCGTTGTTAATGCAGGTAGCGGCACCGTTGGTAGGGCCGGGCAGGCTGCCGAAGTACTCGGAGGTGAAGATGGTGGCCTGGGCGAAGCGACCAGCCCACTTCTTCTCGTCCCACCACGGGAACGCGCGGTTGAAGCCGCACTCGTCGCGCATGACCTGCTCGAGGGCCCACACGTAGTAGCGGTGCCAGAGGAGGAACTTGTGCGTCTGCTGGGTGGTGCTCGTACTGTGGATGTTGGGCGCATACGACTGGTGTAAGCGCACGAAATCTTCGTACCGATTGCGCGACGGGCTGAACCGCCCAGATGGCGGCGCGTTGATGAGGCACTGCAGCGCGTCGACAAACGCCTTCTTGTCCGACGTCGAGTAGTTGTCCCACTCGTACCGCACGTGCGGGTTCGTGCACTCGGCGGCGACGCTCACACTGTCGTCCGCGGCCGTAGTGCTGGAGACACTGAAAGACGAAGGCGAGGGCGAAGGTGAGGGAGAAGGCGAGGGTGAGGCCGCCACCTTATTACCGCTGGTGCTGGAGGTTCTGAAGCTTCCTTCGTCTACTTTGTCGCCGCTGTTGGGGGTGAACAGGTCCAGGACGGGGTCGATGAGGCCGTCAATAGTAGAGATAGGCAGGGCCGAGAAGTTGGTTCCGATGAGATCGACTCCCTGAATAGCCTCGATGATGGAGATGGAATGGACCTCGCCGAAGGCGGATAGCGGGAGACCCTGTTTTGCCGGGGCGGATGGGAGCACGGCGGCCGAGACCGCCGGCACGAATAAAGCGAATGTGGTCTTCATGATGAGTAGCTTTTCCCCCCGTATATATCGAATATTATATATATACAGATTATGGAAGTTAACGAGCGGCAGACGATCGAGATCGCTAGGGGAGAAAGAAGCCTCACCTGCAGATCCCACAGCGACGGCTCAGCTAGTTATATAGGTTCTCCCCCCCTACGCGCTGTCTGCGGGTAGGCTGATGTCTCCCAAGCCCCCCATGTGGATCGGCCCTCCCCAGGTACTACGTTGTATGGAAGTGCACCCCCGGTTCTAGCATGGGCGGGCTTGTTATCCGTGCACGCGTCTCTCGCCCTCTCTCTCTGTTATGTCTCGCCCTCCCTCTTTTCACTCACGCTACTCCTCGTTCGACTTTTCTTCTCCAAGGCCGAGAACTTCGGGAACCTGGGGTGGCACGTCTAGAGCCTGAGCTCGCGAACGACGATTGGCCGATTCACGCAATACGGCACGCAGCCGAGTTCACGAGACGTACGAGCGAAGTGCCCGACGCTGACGGGAATCTGCCACTTGACATAGTATACGAGATTGACTATTGCGACGGCGCTCTAGCCAACAGGTTTCCCGGCGGGCTCTCAGGTAGGACGCAGAACGCGCAAGGGGACCAGTCTAATCCTAATTCGAATCCGGCATGATACTCATAAGCTTACCAGGACGAATTGAGGAGCTGACATCTCGACAGCACAGTCGAACCCTACTAGCGGCCAATGGGAGATCGTGACATGGCAGAATCTGCAGGGCCAGGCGTCTCCTAGCGGCTCCGCCAGCAGTCGATGAGACCCCTCGATACGAAGTCCTCCCCTCGGGTTTATTCCTCCCTAGGGCAGACTGGGGAGGGGGGGTTCAGGGGATATTCCAACGACTCGCTTATTGTCATTTTAATAAGCGGATCCATTTCGAGATTCGCCGTGGAAGGCTTAATAGACGGATACCAGATGATTGTATTTAATGATCGAGAAAGATCGGTGCCATGGGCAGTCCCGAGGGTGTGGTGCCAGTTTACATGCGGAGAGAGAGAGAAGCGAGAGAGGGAGCGAGAGATTGGGAATAGATGATGATGATTCAACGATTAATGGCCGATGGGGGTGGCTATTTTAGGAGTGGGAAGTTGGCAGGGTCTGGCGAGGCCGAAAATACCTACTCATGCATTCGGTACCTTAGGTACCTCTAACGGAAGGACCCGTTTAACGTGCTATAACCTGTACCTATAACCTGTACCTGAGGTCCGGTAGAGGTACCTGATGTCGATACCTATCGGGTATATTAAGTACTTAACGTCAGCACTTGACTAGGGCGGATAGGTACCATACAGGGAGGGGGGGGTCTATGGACAGTATGTCAGCAATAGAGTCGGGGTACCGACACGGTAACTAAATCTAGTAAGGGTTACCTTAGCTGGTCATTCTTTCGGAGGGGCTAAAAGAATTATAGCAAGGGTCGCGGTACCGACCTTATTACCTTCCCTTCTTATAATTTCAGGATGGTTTTTATGACTACGTAGGAACTAATGTCCAGACGGATATAATGTCTATATATTCCATAGGTACCTACCTACCTACCTACCTACCTACCTACCTACCTACCTACCTACCTACCTACCTACCTACCTACCTAGACCTACCTACCTAGACCTGTTGTCTTTATCTTTTTTCTACATACCATGATCTACTACCCATCTTCGAACCCATCTTCGAACCTATCTTCGAACCTATCTACGAACCTATCTGCGAACCTATCTGCGAACCTATCTACGAACCTATCTGCGAACCTATGGGAGCTAGTTCGGGCGCGTGGAATCTATCTATCTTCGAACCTGTGGGAGCTAGTTCGTGCGTAGAATCTATCTATCTTCGAACCTATCTGCGAACCTATCTGCGAACCTATCTGTGAACCTATCTACGAACCTGTGGGAGCTAGTTCGGACGCGTGAAATCTATCTATCTTCGAACCTATGGGAGCTTGTTCAGGCGTATGGAATCTATCTATCTTCGAACCTATAGGAGCTAGTTCGCTCGTGGAATCTATCTACCTATCTTCGAACCTATCTTCGAACCTATGGGAGCTAGTTCGCGCGCGTGGAATTTATCTACCTATCTTCAAACCTATCTTCAAACCTATGGGAGCCAGTTCGTGCACGTGGAATCTATCTACCTATCTTTAAACCTATAGGAGCTAGTTCGCGCGCCCGTAGAATCTATCTACTACCTATCTTCGAACCTATGGAAGAGGTAGGTAGATAGGTAGGAGGTTAGGTAGGTAACAGACGTAAAAGATACAAAGGTACAAAGGTACGTACTTCGTAACCTAGAGGTAACCGGGTAATCCTATAGAATGTACCTTTTTTTAAAATAAAGACATTACGTCCGGATGGTAACTATGTCGAGAAATGGTAATAATGTCAGCCTAGAGTTTAATTTACTCTTATTACGAGGCAGACACTATGTCCAGTCATAGAAAGGGTTGCTGACATAGTGTCAATAGACCCCCCCCTCCCTGTATGGTAAGTAGAGGTACCTAATCCGACCTGACCCGGGGCACCTAATCTTATGTAGAGGTAGGTAGCGCATATGTGACTTCCATTACAGGCATGTAGAGGCAGAGGTACCTAGGCAAGTCGGGACGTGGAAAAAAGGGAGGGAAGGAAGGCCAAATCCCTAGGTACCTGCACCTTGACATAGACAGGTATGTATGCCTATAATGTAATGCACAACTTTGTCTATTTATGTATGTTCGATGTTCGCGTTTTACGAATACGGTATGTAAGTATAGCCTACCCAGCCAGGTTGGTCCCAGGTAAGTAGGTAGGCTAGGAGGGGGTAGGCATTAGAGATAGAGATAGGCCTATTCATGGCAACGATGGGATTGACGTTCAGGGGCTGACACGCTCGCGACGAGGATGCTGGGAAATACAAAACACTTGTACCTGCCTGAAATTAACCCCCGTTGGCCAATTCCGGGCTAAACAAGCCCGAAAAGAGCCAGGCGGCCAACCGGGATGGGCATCTTCACACCTCGCAGCCGAGCCAAACCTAGGGGGATGCAATGTGCAAGGAGTCCCCAAAAGATCCCATCACCGCACAAGATGGGCTGATCCGCAGAATTGCGGCTTCGTATTGAACAGCATCGCTGACACCAACGATGTAAGCATGTCGAGGAAAGACTGGGACGGCCGCCTCGCATTCTGGGAATCGGTGTTGATGACAATTTTAGCAGTATTAGGTAGGCTATGGACACCTGTTGGTTCTGTCTATGGGTACACGTCGCGTGTTATGCGCAGGTAGTCGTATAGCCTAGCTAGCCCGGAGTAGGAAGAATTGCGGTATCAATAGTTGGGTATTAAATGACTTACATAATGTGTCATCCCATCTCCTGCCGAGGACCCCCTCCTTCATCCCATGTACGGACGGGATACGGATAGATGGGATGTGTCTCTCCCAAAAACCAAGTCGGCGAAAAGCTTGGTATAGTCTGGAGGAGGTGCCCCATCCCTCGATCCGCAGATTGGGCCGGCGTGTGCTTTCCGAGGTACCCTGAGGTAGGTACCTGGGTAAGTAGTCTACATGAAGCTGCACGTACGCATGCATGTCTACTATGTATATAAAGGATGTAGGTATGGTGCGCATGTACATTATGTTAGGTATTCTAGGTACGCTGGGTACGTGTCTATATACCCACTTAGGTAAGTACACGCGTGGCAAAGTGGCGGTGCTGCCGGTACTTATGTCATTCCCTGCTACCGTGGGGCGTCGGCGCCCAATACAGACCCTGGTAATGTAAGTCCCCACCAATATTAAAGGAGAATCGGACGTGCAGTTCATGGCAGTGGAGACCTGAATAGGGGGTGGTGGGCAGACGATCCCGCAGAGCTGGGCTGGCCATTGCGGCGCCTCCTAACTGTACCCCCTTTCATAGGCACCTAGAGGAGTCCACACCACCTACCGTAGTAGCACTCTTATCACCAAGCCGCGCATGCGTCGAGCTAGGTGTACCGCTAAAGCCCGCCATTGAACCATTGAATCAATAGCACCTAGCCCAAGACGACTCCAAGACGGAGACGGAGACCTTCTGCCGCTCCTCGACGCTAGCCGTCCTAACCGACGTCTCCAACTGACTATGCCTTCTAACACCACGCTGGGCGGGTCGGCCGGCTGGCTGGCCACGGGACAGAGAAGAAGGAAAATGAGTTCTCCAGATTCTAACGGGAAAGCGTTCGAGGGCCAAGAGATTTCTCGCTAGCTCCGGACCCCAACGAGTCAGTTAAGATTCTCACGCGGCAGACCGGGTACCATCGACGCAAGTGGAGAGTGCTAAGAGAGATCGGAGGATCTCTCCGTATATATAAATGAAAATATTACTAAAAAAAATTAAGGAGAGAGTTTATATAGGTATAGAGCCTTGAAGAGGAGGAGGAGCTACAGGCGGTAGCCAGCCCGCCGTTAACTATGCGATTACCAAATGTCCTATCCGTCTACCGCGACGAGGCGCGTCTTCGGGCTGGAAGTGGTCGCATGATTACCTATACAATTTGCGCTGATAGTACGGCTGTGTAACCTCGGCTCGTGTGCATCGGCATATAACGTACGGATACTTGAGCCATGTTGGACATAGGTAGGGTATTAGGTAGGCATGCATTGGGTGGGCATGTGGGCAGTGATGTGTCGAGGTGTGTCGAGGTGTGTCGATGTCTGTCTGTGTGAAAATAAGGATATCTACGTGTGCCTACGTATGCATCTATGCAAGATCCAGACATACGGTACCATGCATCTAATTAATCTATCTAGTCCGTGTACGGAGACAGGCCCTGGCCGTGAACAGACAGCATATTAATTTATTTTCATCTTTCTAGAACAACATGCAAATATCCCAGCTGCCCAACATAACTGTTCCTCATTCATACGTATTATGTGGACTACATAGACAGGAGGGACCAAAAAAGAAGGGGACCCGAAGAGAGCCCTCCGACCGGTTTATTTTCCGAGATTGTCTAGCAGTAATAAATATAGCAGCCGGCTGAGTCGCCGGCCGAGGACGAGGACAGCAGCTCCCGATTACCGATATTATGTTGACAGCCCAGAAACACCAACTCTCACCATTCATCTACTCAAGTCTTCCCGCCTCCTGGAGGCCGCTTGCGTAAGTAAACAAGCAGCCTACGAAATAACACTAGGGATGGGTCGATAGTTCGCAGGCTTTCGGCGAATATCTGTATACACCCGAGACCTCGCGGCCCACCGACGCAAGTCGGGCTGCCTCGAAGACACATCGCTACAACTTGCACCGTAGCTTCACGGATGACAAGCTGGACCCTGGTGAAAGTGAGGTATGGCAATGTCGTGCTATCGCAGATGTAGATAGCGACGTATGGTCGATTCGCCATACGGGAATCCCCTCATCGAGGCGACAGTGTGTCGGGGTTCATCCTGGATTCCACTCCGATTCTACGAAGCCTGTGTGTGCGCAGAGACATCCGCCTCACTGGGCCGCACGCAACTAAGATACCAAAGAGGAAATCCTCCGAACGCCCCAGGCGATATATGACAAAACGATGGAGCGTACGAAGTAACACTGGATACAGGTTTGGGTAAGGAGAGCCTGTCGAGTTGCCTTGCCTCGCATGCCCGCCCGAACTTCGCGTCCCACCTGAAAATTCTCTCCCTCGCTTGACAGACTTACACGGGCAGCCCCAACCCCATACAGGTAGCCAGGGGGGTAAGTTATCACCAGTTACACACACACACACACACACACACACACACACACATGCATACATACTGCGTACAGGGAAGAAGAGGGAAAGACAGCAGGTGCAAATTCAGAGTTGACAAGCTTCCCACAACTAAACTGCGCCGCATACACACGTATCACGTAGCACGGAGATAGATGCGAGATTCTGCACCCTGTTGAACGGCCTCTCGTACTAGGAGGGAGTAGTAGGGAGAAGGGCATCGGGGTCTAACGGGTTTCAGCCACGGTGGGCGAGTTGACCGCAGGGGACGCTGGTCTCGAAAACCAAACGGAGACACGGTAAGGGCAGGAGCCTCCGGCATCCGTCCCCATCTTGCTTCCTCCCATCCATCCATCCCTCACTCCCTCACTCCCTCTCTCTCTGTCCCTCCAACCCCTCAGCGCCTTCGACTTTGGTCAACTCCTCCTCTTTCTCCTCCTCCTCCTCCTCCTCCTCCTCCTCTGCCGCCGCCGCCGCCGCCGCCGCCACCTCCTCCCCTTTCTTCTTCCGATGTCAATCTCAAGACATCATTGGTAAGTTCGTAAGCACCCAAGACTGTTTGCATCACCAGCCTAGCCCGGTGGACTCCTACCTGCCTAGGTGCCGAGTCGGTCTTGACATCCCTCGTGTGCTTGTGGTATATCTCCTGGCGGACGTCGATAAGGGGGCCAGAAGAGGTTGAAGGAGGGGGAGGGAGAGAAAGGATTCCCGACACGAGCAGCCCAAGATTCTAACCCTCGGCACGCACCTCTGCAGAACCCGCCCCGGAGACGCGTCTGCGCCCCGTCCACTGCAAGACACCCGTCTTCCCGCTGTATGATCCTGAATGCGGCTCAAAACAGCTGCCGCTTCGCCTGTTTTATTGGTTCTTGACCTCAAACACCGAGACAGAACCGCAATCGGGGCCCGCCCATCGACTGATTGCTCCAGTCTTGCGGCCAGTCGGCGCTCATACACATGCACACGTATACAATATGCAGGTGACAGAGCGACAGAGTGACAGATCCCGGACTATTGGACGATCGGCAAGGTAAATGCCGGGGGGGGGGGCGCCGATCTGCAGGAGCCTCAGAGGGAAATACTGGCTGGCGCAGCCATCAGATTTCAGCTTTGCTGTACCTTAAATCGCCTCCGGAAGCTGTCGGCACCCGGTCAGCACCTACATCGCGAGAGGTCGTGACGTCGATGTCGCGATCCTGTCTCAGTAACCTGTTGACTGCTCTCGCCCAACCAGAGCAAGTTGGCGGGTAGAGAGAGACGAAAGAGAGAAAGAAAGAAAAAACAAAACAAAAGAAGTGACAGCTCGACTCAATACCTACACACGCCCAGATGGGAGAGGCCTCGGGTCTACCGTCTACGTATTGTCGCCGCCAAGGGACCGGCAGGTAAGTATGCATGTACCTGCAGAGCAACGCGGCCTGCAGCCGGTCTACGAGGAGCGGGCCCACACGCGACACGAACGGGCTGGAATGGGGAGGGCCGAAGATGTAAGTGCACTCTGAGATGGAGATGGATAGAGATGGGAGAATAGAGAGGGAGAAGGGGAGAGGGAGAGGCGACGATATTCTTTCGTGCAACCTCCCCACCCCCTTTTCTTCTCATTCTACCCAGCTTCAGGGGGGGGGAGAAGGGCTTGGGGGGAGCATTGCAGAAGTTTTTTCGTGGCCGGCCTCGATGGACGACGGACCGAGTTCCCCTCGCGGTGGCTGGAATGGTGCAACCCAATACATTCTTCTTCTTCTCGCGGCCTACGCGGAAGGGATCCCTCCCCCCTTTCCCCGGCCCTCCCACTCCTGTTTGCCCTCCCCTCCACCCCTACGTTCGCCGGCCGGCTCCACGAGCGCCTCTTTGCTCGTCACATATGAGTTCTCTGGTGTTACACATGATAAAGCAAGTCGGACGATGCACGAGAATACGGATGTGCATAGTATACAGGATCTATCACCGTCCGAGTTGCCTCCTCTCGCTTCCGCCACCAACGTATCGGGTAGTGCTATCGTATGTATCCTTCAACCTCTTCCGATCCCAATACTACCGTTTGTCCTGCCGCGCTAAGTGTTGTTGTTGTCTCCCGTCTTCGCGCCCCCCCCCCCCCCCCCCCCCGTCCTCTCTATCTCTCTCCACAGTGCCCAGCTACATTCCCGTCCCTCGCCCGTGACGTAGCGCGCCATCCGACTGGAACAGCATTGGATGAGGACCCAGATGCGAGACGCACCTCGGGCGGGCTGCCTTGACATCTCTCTCCCTTGCTGTTATGCATTCTGCACACCCGTTGCCGCTGTGCTAGGCGTTCCCCCCGACTTAGACGCGAATCAGGAGAGCGACGCAAATCGATCATAAATATCCCTATCGGCCACACCAGCTGTTGATTCATCCACATTCTCGTCCTGGCTCCCTCCCCCGCCTTTTCTGTCTATCTCTTTCTTCCTTGTATTATTTACCTCAAGAGATCCTGCCGTCGACGGTTCGGATCTGCGAATCCAAGGGCTCTGTCGCGCGCACCCCCCTTGGCCGATACTGTCTTGGTGGGACGCCAACGCCAACGCCAGCCCCTCTCCCTCTCCTACCACCGCCTCCTGCTCCTCCTCGGGATACCTATAAACTGCACATATCCGTCATAGGGACTCAGGGCCGGGGCTTCGATCTCGATCGATCATTCAACCTCATCGAGATCATGGAACTCGCTAGCTACTCTTTCCAGCCAGGACTTATCGCTTCTGGGTCTGGGAAACGCGCGGGGGACGTCATAGCAGCAGCACCGGGCTTGTCGAAGAAGATGAGCCTCGCCAACAACCCTGTCTATCCCCGGCCAGAGGGCCAATTAAGCCGTCACGGATCGAGCGACAGCCGATCGTCGCTGACCTCAGAAGACTCTATGCCCGGCATGACCGACTCCTCCGACTCGGACACGTCGTTCGACGAGGGCAGCGACTACAACACGTCGGCGAGCGAGCTGTGGGACACCTTCTGGCGCCACGGGCCCCAGGTGCCCGGGGAGCAGTACCCCGTGCTGCTGCGCGCCTCGGCGACCAATTACTACTTCCAGAAGGCCTTCCCGCGGCGCGAGCACGCGGGCCGCGAAGCTGACGACGACACCACCAAGCTGCTACCGGGGCCGCAGAGGACCCCGGACCAGCACCCCCACCACCACCAGCCCCCGCGCCCCGTCGCGACCCCTGCCTCCGCCCCCGCGCTCGCCGCCCAACCCTCGCCCCCGCGCCCCGGGACCAGGCACGGCTCGAGCCCCTCGTACTCGGTCTACCCAAAGCCGCAGCCGGGCGACGTGACGCGCGTGCACCTGCCGCCGCGCACGTCGTCGCTCGCGCCGGCGCCGGCGCTGCGCCGCCACGCGCTCAAGCCCAGCAAGTCGAGCGCGCACCTGCACGCCGGGCGGCCGTCGGCGCAGCGTGCGCACCACGTGGTACCGCCGCCGCCGCCGTCCCCAGCTTCGCCGCTCCCCAGCCCGCCCTTCGTCTCGACGCGGCCGCCGCCCTCGCCGCCGGCCCTGCGCGCCGCGGCGTCGGCGTTCAACCTGCGGGAGCCGCGCAGCCCGGCGGGCGTGGCGCCGCCCCCCGTGCCCCAGGTCCCGGCGTCTGCGCCCGCGCCCGCGCCCGCGCCCAGCCCGGCGCGGCCCTCGCTCGAGCGCTACGTGTCCGTGTTCGACTTCGACTCGGACCGCGAGTCGTGCACCGAGGGCGTCGGGGGCGGCGGCGGCGGCGGCGGGAGCCTGACGAGACGCATCGCCCGCGGCTTCCACAAGAAGAGCGCGAGCGAGAAGCGGAGCACGGCCTCTGCCCCTGCTGGCGCGCGCCGCGGCTCCGCCGACGATAGGTACCGCGACGGCGCCCCCGACGCGGGCAAGGCGCCCGGCGCCCGGCGCCGCGGCGGCAGCCTCGGCCGCATCCTCGGGCTCCGCAACCGCTAGCTGGGGTCGGCGTCGACGCGTCCGCCCGTGCTATCATGATGTACCACCGACTGGGTCCGGAGCCCGGTGCGCTCCCAGGCCTTCCGTATCTTCCCCCCCATTAATCTCACGCGAGTGAAGGCATAACCGCCTTCTACTGCCTTGTACGAGTACCACACGCACACGATCTTCTGCCGTAGTTCCGTCTCTCTTATGTCCACGAGCACACGTGTCCACCTGTTCACTTATTCATTCATTCGACGACCCGGTTAGAGCAACGAGTTGCTCCGAACAACGACTTACGGCGGCGCGCGACGACACGGTTCTCTATCTGTCTAGCCACGTATTTCTTTCTCTATATTTCTCTCGGTTTTTCTTTCCATCCTCTCGATTTCCTTACTGTTCTCTTCATCATTTTCTCCATGTACGATCGGACGACGAGAAATGTAAGCATAGCATGTACGCAACGCAACGGGGAGGGGGGTTATCGCCCCCCACCCCCCCCCCCCCCCCCCCCCCCAGGCCGACCCCAACATTACCGTCTTCGGCTTTCACGAACGGCGCATACGGTTGGGAGATCGGGGTAGGCGCACCCGGTCGACGAGGCGCGGGTTTTCCTGCGCAGACGGATCGGACAGGGAGAAAAAGGGGGGGGGAGGGATCTTCCTCCGCCCCCCGACCCCAAAAGTAAATTGAACAAAAGGAAGGAATATAAAAGAGGCAAAAGCAGGAAAGGGACAGGAAACGGAGGCCTGGCGGCTGCGCAGCCGTTGGGCTAGATTCATTGTTAACATGACTCGCTCGCGCGAGCGGCGTAGGCGGGCAGCGCATGACGCATTTGACGGTACTGAATTTCCCCCCCCGCGCGCGCGCAACGAGAAGAGGGCAGGGGAAGGGGGGGAACTGCGTGAGTAGGGGAAGTCCCCCTCCCCCGTGTATTCTGTCCGTGTGAGCGGCAGACATGATCTATGATCACGAATGGTTTTCGCGACGGGCGACGAAAAGCACGGAGATGACCGCACGAGGACGACGGCGTTGGCTATTGACTATCATTGTGGCTGTTGTTTCTTGCCCCCGGGGGATTCCTATCGTTTCTCAACATGCCTACCGCAAGGGTTTGCTGCTGCTATGGTTGCGTGAGGATGCCGCGCATGCTAGTCGGCGCTGGCGTTCTCCCTCCCGACTGGCCTACCGAACTGAGGTAGTGTAGCTAGTTAGCAACAGCTACTATGTACTACGTGTGTGTATAATAACCGTGTATTCTCATTCCTCTACCGCTATGAAATTGTCTGGCTACCAACTATCACATTGCTCAGGGGCTGAGCCCTCGTGTTCTTACGACGGCTAACGGTAAGGAGTGTTACGACTGGTGGGTTAATACCGTTGGTATTCTCGACTGCACAGTGTGGCTGTCAAGCCCGACTCTTCAACTTCCATATGTGAGTGCCCCGTCCCAGACGACAGGTTTAGGCGATTATTTGCATACTTGTCTCGTAAAATATCAGCCCAACCACTGTTGATATTGATGCTGGCGTTTGTCATCGGCTCGCGTTGTTTACTACGAGATGGCGTCTGCATGCTCTTCTCGCGTCTATTACTTACTTGCCGATAGGTAAACAGAAGTGTTTAATAAAACGAACGTTTAGTTAGCAATAGTTGACCCTCGCCTAGATCTGCGTGGTTCGGGTGACAACGGTGGCTGGAAAGGTTTCACTTCTGGGACTTGCCCAGACAGCCGACCCCCTAGATGCCTACCTCTTGCTTGCTGGTAGCGTGTAAACAAATACCACCGCCTCTGGGCTGGGCGGATAAACGCGTAGCCCTAAATAGGGCGTCGGCTTTATTTTTTTAGATCGTCTTTTTTTCTCAGGTAGTTGACTGGTTGGGAAGTAGCTTGGATGATGAACTGTAAGGGTAGGAGTAGGCATGCTTGGAATTCGCGGGTTTGGAATTCGATAAATCTTGCCCCTTCTTAGATCGAGGTTTGCCTCGTGAATTCGATTGGATTAATCGATAGATAGTTCCTAACTTAACGATTTGTTCGATGTCGGGTTATTTTGTCAGTGTCGGCTGTTATAGAGTCGGCCACAGTTAAACTGTAGCTGTATGGCTTATATCTCGCCTCTTGACCCTGAGCGGGTTTAAACCAGAAGGCCAAGCTGACCAGCCTACGCATCTCGACCGAGATCATCGCCAGCCTCATTTACCCCTCTTCGAAACTTAACATTGTAGTCTAGGCTGGGAGGTTGGATTTATTGCTTGTGGGAATCTTCACGCAACCCGACCTCTTCACGTCGGCCTCAGGAAAGCCACTAAACTGCAATCCTGCCGTGTTCGGCATTGCCGACTTAGTTATTGGCTTCAACCGCCCTCGGCCCCTTCAAGCTGCACAAGTTGCTCTGCAAGCGCGGAGAGTCACCCTCACGAATAGCGGGAACAGAAATAACAAAAGTCAGCAAAGGTGTAGAGGCGCCAAATCGACGCCTCCCTTGGAAGTTAACTTTTAAGTGGCCTGTCTGATTTCTACTCTCTAAGGTGTGAGCAAATCCCGCTGCTAGTAAGGCAAATAGAGGTATCAACTTCCAAAGCAACTCGTAGAATCGTAATTCTGCCTCCCCCCGTGATTCTCATGGTCCTCATAGCGAGTGTCTCTAAGGTCGATAACGTTCATGCAGCCGTAATCCATTACCCGTAAACACCATTCCATGACATTCGTGTCCCGTTTACACAATTCGATACAGTCCGTCAATCTGTCGCTGGCAAATGACGAAAGAAAAAAAGACATTATTATGCAATAAATTAGGTATAAATCTTAGCGTTTGTTGAATAAGGAGCCGCTGTCCTGGGGTAGCGGTGCCGATATGAGCTGGCCCCTTACCTGCTTGTCGTACGCACGTAGCTTGCTGGGGTTCACCGTGAATTTGCTGTAGTGTTGGATGCCGAGATGTCCGGCATCGCTCCGCCCGGCTCCGAATGCCCATCGGCCTTGCCTGTGCCAATCGAGGCCGATGCCGAGCTGGCCAGCGATGTCCCGGTGTCCCATCACCCTCTCGAAGCCGAATGACGGGTTCGAACGCAGTTGCTCGTTACAGCAAAAGCTGATAATCTCAGCCAAGCAGGTGACAGCGTGAGGCAGGCGGAATTGCTGTCGGTAGGGGATTAGGCAAACGACTCCAACGACGTACAGGATGAGGAGGGCGAGGATGATAGCGAAAGCGGGCAAGTTGGGATACATGCGCACGGTGCCGGAAGACGGGGTCAATGCCATAAACACGCCGCCGCCCAGAACTGGCAGCAGGGCAAATAGCGGGGATAGTAGAGATATGAAGGCTACCCGCCAGTGCTTGTTCCTCAAGGCCTTGAACGTCGATCCAAAAGGCACGCACGCTGCATAATCCAAGAGGAGCGAAGTTTCTGCGCGTGAGCCCTCCGGCCGTGCGAGCTGGCCCCACGGGGTCAGGATACGCAGCGTCAGATCCAGAGACTGGAACACGAGGAAGAGCAGAAGGCCGATCAGCGAAGGGAGAAAAGAATAGAGGAAGTTGGCAGCCGAAAAAGCCCCTTCCGTGGGTGCGGCGCTGAGTCGAGGGAGGAACCCATCACGAACATCGGTTGCGTCGAGAAACGAGACGACGAGCAAGGCCACCACGAGGGCGGAGCATGCTATAGCAAAGACGACAATCTGAGCATCTCGGAAGCACCACGGAAGGTAACGGTAACGTACGGCCGGGTCCGCAGAAACATCGCCCACTTCAGGGTCTGCAATTAACCCAGCCTTTTCTCGTGGCCGCCGATTGTCCCAGGCCTGGCTACCTGGCTTCTCGGTTTCTAGACCGTTCTCATCGGTGGCTACGCCAATGCCGTACCACATGCCATGCTCCGGTATGCTAGGGGCGGACCAGAACCCGAGCCTCTCCGCAGTTCCGCCAATTCTTTGCCTCATGCTGCCTCGCGTCGCTGCCGTCTCTAAGCCTCGATACTGCGGCAACGAGTTGCTCTGGGACACGAGGAAGATGATATCGGCTATAGTTCGTATGTCCCAACCCTTCATCATGCCGGTCCTACGGTCTTGCCAGTCGATGAACATGACACCCACCGACAGGAAAAAGGACACGTACAACGCCACCAATGTCCATGCTACGCCCTGCACAGTGGCCCAGGTCCAAGTTCCATCGACGAGAATGACGGTAAATAGGCAGCTCTGCAGCGGAATCGTGAAGTTTAAGAGCCAAACATTAAGTGTGGGTAGCCAGACATGCCAGCTGCCGGAGAGCTGGGGCCAGAGAAACGATTTGGGGTATAGAGATAAAAAGACGGCATCTTGTCGCTCGCGGCGGTCGTCGGCCGCCATGGCCGAAAATGGCCGGACCCGAAACGCCGTGGCGATGACACATTGGGCATATATTAAGAGGGTGATGGCTAGCAGCGGGGGCAGCATCCGGAAGAGGAAGTACTGGCCTCCGTATATCGTGCCGGCGTACGGCGTAAAGCCGACTCGACTGACGGACCAAACGGCGCAGAATATCAAAGCGGCGATCATCAATAGGCATAACAGCGCCAGCAGCGTCAGCGACACAGGCCGCAAAACCCGGGGCTTGTAGGTCAGAGGGGCAAAGTCCTTGAAGGCTTTTCCCACGCCGTGGAAACCTTTCTCAGGATCGACGACCTCGTCTGACTCGGCTTGCCAATGATCCAAAGCTCTCGGCAGGCTGTTCTCGGGGCGTTCGGAGGGTAGGCTCGGGGGCAAACCCATGTTGGCATCCCAGGGCGGCTCTAAAGCTCTCTGCTGTTCTCGGCGCTCACGCCTTTCGCGAAGGTCGTCCTCAGGGGATAGAGCGGTCGGAGGTGTAGGCGTGGGCGTAGGTTTATCGCTAGGGGATGGGACGGCCCACCAATATCGTGGGTCGTTGCCTTGTGGAAATCTGACTTCTTTGGCCGGGGGCTCTGGCGGCTGAGGCGCCGACACAGTGGTGTGAGTGTAATGTGGCACCGACGGCTGAGATTTCTCACTGTCAGAAGACGAGGGGTACTCCGACGGCCCTTGTCCGTCTTCGCGAGGCCTGGTCATGGCATCTAGAGCGTATCGGATGTAGGGGCCGTCGTCAACGCCAGGAGTGACGACACCGGCGGCCCTAGCCAGATCGTCCTTGAAATCCATGGCGGACACAGTGTCCAACGGAGCAGCCATGAAGGGGAACTGGGACTGCTCCAACCGTACGCCGGGACTCGGTATCAGCGAGCGATCCACATTGTCGGATACTACGGCCTGACGACTGAAGAGCCGATCAGGCCCGTAAATCTCGGGTTCAGAAGGTGCCGAGGGAGGTGTTGGAGCGGTAGGGGGCGTCGGGGCGTAGGGCACGACGGTGGGTTTGGAATCGGAAGATGGCTCTTCTTGTTGTTGCCGGGTGCCTGGATTGGGTCCAAGGAGCGGATCGTGGACGACAGTAACCTGGGAATCGGTGGTGGCTGGTTGAGATCCGGCAGAATTATTTATACCAGCCGTATAGGCTGGATCTGGCCCTGGGAACATCTGTGTTAGTCGGCGTGGCATAAGAACAGCACTAGCAAGGCGGACGGTGACGGTGCTTAGAGATGAGGGAGGCTGGCATACGACTTAGTTCGCCTAAGGTTAGGTCGGGATCGGGATGGTGAGAGGTCATGCTTGGACTTGGGTCTCTGGCTGATGTGCGATGCTCGGAATCGACGGCCACAACCCACTTGGACAACGATGACCAATTAGTCGCACGAAGAGCGGATTCTACCGGAGAGATAGATAGGAAAATTGCATGAAGAGGGAGGTGAGCAATGAAATATGGTTGGAGGTGGGTTCCCGCCGTTGCATATCGAGAGGCTGGTTGCGTTGGGTTGCGCGATGCGTGAGGCTGGGCGGCCCAACCACCGCGGATGGACAGTGGAATCCTACCATACTGATACCATAACTACCGTGAATAAAAAAAAAAAGAGGGTAAAGGATACGACCACGAACCTGTCGAATCGATTGCTCACCGCAGCCGCATTTCCTGAGAGGGACAAGTCACAGAAAGAGAGAGAGAGAGAGGAGAGGCCCACGCCCCACTGGCATATTGCACGTAAGTAGGCAGGTATGTGACCCACGATAAAGTCGACGATAAAGCCGGGATTGGTGTTGAGACGGAGCTGAGGTGGGCCGCAGAAAAGAAGGGAAGTACCTCGGTACGCGGATTAGGCGTGGTGCGGTGAGCGGTGGCAGAATATGTCAGCACGGGCCAATAAAGCACGGGCCAACACACAGCGCCTTCCTGTTTTCTTTTCGCTCTTCATTCTTTCGGCCGAGGTTTTCCCCCGGGGCAGGGACGCTTGGTTTGTTTCAGATTCCCTGCCTGGGACTTGATTCAGGTACCACCGGGTACCTTGCACCTCAGCACACGTGACTTGTGGAAATGCTTACTAAATGTGACATGTGGCGGTTCTCTCGCTGTTGATATCATGCCTCGCGAGGTACCTCCCAATGTACCTGCCTCCAGGTACATATGTACCTAGGTACCTACATAACGCACCTGTAAATAAACAAAATGTCAATCAACTTCATCTCCGTCACACCACCCTCTCCAAACAATCGGCGAAAAGCCTCTTGAAAAGCCTCCTGAAAAGCCCCCATTACGCGCTCTTAATTCCAACGATACAGCCCTGTTCATAATAACAACCTCCACACGCCGGAAAGCCGTAAGAGTTCTCGTTCTAAATAGATGCCATTTGAAATCTTCACCTAAGCCATCTTCACCCAACACGAGAAGAACCTCCTGAAAATTGGCCCCCCTAAACGTAGACGGACTCCTTTCGATGTAAGGGGGGAGGTTCCCGTCTTGGTCTATGAGGAATCCCTTCGAAGTACATGGGATACACGCAGAGTCGCCTCTCGATCCCCGCTATGAATCAGGGGGGCATGAGGGCAGCGAGCCATAATTCCGGTCTTGAACCACTTGCTCATCGTTGAATTATGCCTAATTGCTCATTTTCGACCGTAGATACTCCAGGTCTGAGTAATCTGTAAGTACATCTGCTTCGCTCCAGCGACATCCTCAATCCTCATGGCTAAGTCGCGTAACCTGAACGCCGAAATAGCGACAGTCTGAATGAGTATGCGGTTTTGTCCAGCAGGGAACGCACGCTGTCTTGGTGGATGTGTGCCGAGGGCCCATAGCCCACTCGAAGACAGGAGAGGAGGGCTTCACGGCAGCCGCTGGAATGACTGTGTGTGAGGAGTCGTGTGTCGAGAGGATTGGGCGCGTAGCTTCGTGGCAGGCAGCTATCGAACTCATGGCACCGGCTGCTCTAGCTTCTAAGGGTGGACTACGGGGCATACGCGCCAAATTGGCCTGTCTCGAAGATTTGCGTCGCCAAAACATCGAGGCATCATTATGTGGCATTTCCCTGCGTCAATGGTGTTGGGATCGGCATTTCGTTCGCCGTGGCGTTCGGGGATACGACAGAGGTGTCTAATTTGGCCCCCTTTCGGTCTACCGCCGCTTCCTAGCTCGCGTCGCATAGCCTTTGCCTATAAAGCGAAAGCTATCCCGTCGTGTCAGTGGGAGGTCGTCTCTTGCTGCGACAGGACAACATACCTAGAAGACAGCGAGGAGTTGTAGAGCGGACTAGCAGAACGGGAAGCATTCTAGTCTTTACACGGTAGCTCAACAACCCGGCAGTTCAGCCGTGTAATATCGCTAGTTACCACGATGCTGACCCAAGTTCTCCTTGCGGGTCTTATCCCCGCCCTCATGGCCAAACCCATCGCGTAAGTCTCACTCGTCCCTGAACTCATGATCTTGATCTGACAAGACCAGTTTGCAAGATGGGCCTGCTGTGATGCAGCGAGGCAATGAAGTTGACGATACCCTGTCATTCGATCCTGCGTTGGCGGCTCACCACTTCGTTCGGGACGTGGCCGCCTACCCTACTCCTAAGCCCGTCTACCACGCCAGCGAGCCCCCCAAGCCGCATTATCCTGCCAGCGATCCACCCAAGGAGGTCAAGGTCCAGGAGAAGGAGGATGACAAGCACCACAAGCACAAGGATCATGACAAGCACAAGGACAAGCACCACGACGAGCATAAGGACAAGCACCATGACAAGCATAAAGATAAGCACCACGACAAGGCTCGTGATGTACAGACAGACAAGCATCACGACAAGTCTAAGAATAAGCATGAGAAGTCAAAGGACAAGCATGATAAACATGACAAGCATGAGAAGCCCAAGTATGAGGATGAGAAGCCCAAGGAAAAGCATCCAAAGAAGCTCGAAGACAAATACTCTGTGGAACCTCAAGAAAAGTACCACAAGAACCCTCGGGATACTCAGAAGGACAAGCATCACGACAAGCATGACAAGCACGACAAGCATGACAAGCACCACGACAAGCACAAGGATAAGCACCACGACGAACCCAAGGAGAAGCATACCGAGAGTAAAGAACCGTACCCTCAAGCGGCCGGCCACCCGCAGAAATCTGCCAGCAGGCCTGGCTATGTTCACGCGGTAGATGTTGCCAACAAGCGATGGGAGACAGCCACTACTTCCTCCAAGCACTCTGCCACCGCCACCTCTACTGCCGCTTCCTTCTCCAAGTCCGGTGCTGTCAAGTCGCCTACCTCTTCCTCGGCAGCTCAGCCCTCGGGCCAGGCTGATTGTGACTGCGCAGCCCAATGTGAAGAAGTGAGCGGCAAGGCCCAGGCAATAGCATGTTTCAAGTCGTGCATCGAGTCCTGCGGTGCCACCAAGACCAACACGGACAAGAAGAACCCCCTTGACGACCTGCTCAAAGGTCTTCTCCACGGCAAGCGTCAGCTTCCGGCCGGCCTCGGCAACGGCCAGCGCCCTCCCCCGCCGATCCCTAAGCCCGAGGTATCCATGTGTGTCAAGGACTGCAACCTCTATTGCAAAGGCGCCGTCAACCCCACGGAGGTGCAGAACTGCGCCGATATGTGCGTGAACACGTGCGTGGGCGAGAACGACGTTGAGCACGGCGTCAAGGGCCACCACAGCGGCGTGTCACGGTTTGGCAGTGACAACGACAATGGCAACGGCAATAGCGGCAACAGCAACAACAACAACAATGACAACAACAACAACAACCACAGCCATCTCCAAGGCCTCCATAGCCTCCTCACTGGGCGTAACCCGGCCGGACCCCTGGAGCCGCTACCACGTCTAGGCTCGTCGTCGGCCGGGTTCGAGCACTCGGAGGCGTTCGCGTCGTGCGTGAAGGCGTGCAGCTCAGACTGCCAGAAGATCGAGCTGGGGGGGCAGCCGATCGGGCAGTGTCACGAGGCGGCGTGCGAGGAGAAGTGCGCGGCGTCGGACGAGCACGGGGCGGCGCACGCGTCGCGGCCGCAGGCCGCGCCCGCCGGCCACCCGGGCCCGCTCGCGCCCTTCGACGCCCACGGCCGCGTCCACGCCCCGCCGCTCAACCACCTCCAGCACGGCCCCGCCGCCGGCGCCCACGGCGGCGAGAGCTTCGAGGCCTGCGTCCGCACCTGCTCCGCCACCAACTGCCAGAGCGCCGCCATCGGCCTCAAGGTCGAGCAGTGCGATAGCTCGTGCAAGGACGCCTGCGCCGAGCACAAGGAGGGCGGCGCTGCCTTCGTCCACTAGACCCGCCACCGCTCTTACCCTTCACCCGCCATCCCCTTGCCCTTACTCGTCTGACGATGGGCCATATACGCCTCCCCCGTTGCCTCGCTACCTTTCGCGGTCCTCCTTCTCCCCACAGGGGCCTGTTTTACTTGTTCCAATGGCATCCGTACGCCGACTGGGTAATACCGTACGACTAGTGGACCTAATAGTTTACCCTTCCACTCTCCTTCTACAGTGTTTCTACTATTACTCGGTCTCTCGCACTATTGACGAGTACGCGATGTATGAGTGCTTTACGACATGTGCCACCGCCCTCCCATTTCTTTTGTTGTCACGTGTACTTATTTTCTGGGAGCTGGGTAATACTGGACCGGCACGTTTGTGGGCGAGACGGAGTCATGGGGTCTAATATCGCAATGCCACTTGCGACGGGGTACTCTGCCCCTACATATCTTAACTTTCTGAGCCAGCATCATCCTAATACACCCTTGCTGGGCCTTCCCCTATTTACCTTGCTCCTTTTTGATACGTTAATCAAGTCGGTGACCTCCCTGGCACTTTTCCACCTTGTAATACATAGGCAGATCATGTCTTTTCTTCGGGCTCTCATCCGCATTTTAATAATGTCATCGAGTGCCTAAGGCGATCGTCGTATGACGAACCACAATCTTCAGCAGCCAAAGTACCGATTTGAATTTCGAAGAGTGACGGCTTGTAGACGACACAGTTAGTAAACCCTGAAAACCAAAAAGCACAACGAAACGCCGAACCGAGACAAATAAACCCAAGCCCCAAACGCCAACACTGACACTAGCGGAAAAACCAAAAACCAGAAAAAAAACCCCGAAACACAAGAAAGGGAAAAAAAAGCCAAGCCCCAAGCCCCGAGAAGATAGCCTGCCCCTGACGCCCCTTTCCAGCTTCTTCCTGCCCGGATTCCCGCGGTTTTGCAGCGCCCGACACCACCCAACCAACCGAAGGAACGCCCCCAGCCATACCAAGCGAGAGACCAGAGACAGGCATGCAGATGAGTAGTAAGGAAAAGGGGTGCGGAGACAGAGATGACAGAGTGCGTACGTGAGGAGTAAAGGAAGAGGGGAAGGGAAAGAGGGAAAGAAGGTGTATGTACACATGATTACACATTGATCTAAGTCCACCAAGTACGCCAGCGAAAAACCCCTGCCCCGAGAAGAGAGAGCAAGCAAGAGAATGTGTGCACGAAGCAATAAGCAAAAGGGGTGAGAGTCAAGGGTGTGGGATGAGAGAGCGAGAGAAAGAGAGAGGGAAAGGGGTACATGGAACCAAGACAAATAGACAACCCAACCCAAATCCCTCGGGTGCTGCAAAACCGCCTCGCCAGAATCAACCGGACCGAAAGGAGGGACTGGGATGGGTTATCAGGCAATGCACAGCGTGAGACGATGCGGGGTGCCACGTACTCGGCGCCAGCGTCGCCCGGTTCCACCGGCGCAGCCCGCCCAGGTCGACCCAGCGCGACGTCGAGGTTGATGAGTGCGGGCGGTCCGACGCGGCGCCGTCTGCCGACAGCGCGGGCATGAACGGATCCGGCATGGGCGCGTTCACCACGAGGACGCTGGATGCGGTCAGGCTCGACGCGGCCGGACTCGGAGGAGAAGGGTCAGCCGGCGACTCCTCCGCGCAGTCCTCGGCTTGTTGGCCCTTCTTCTCGCTGTCAGGACGCGGGTCGAGCAGAGGCGAGGCTTCTGATGACCCAGAGAAAGAGTGGAATTGTCGTCGGTAGAGCTTGTATGCTCCTTGATGCTATGCTCCCGGCACTATGCCCGGGTCTTCTCGCTGTCGATCCACATTTTTTGCAGGTGGTCGGGCCACGGCCGGGCATCCACATCAATCCAAGAAGAGGACTCGGGAGATTCCGGACGGGTCGGTTCGCCAGACGGGAATACCGGTGAAGGCAAGTCGGCCAGCTTGAGGCATGCATCCTCCAGCACGCTGTTGCTGGATTTGTTATATGTGCCGGTTTCTGTTATGTTGATGAGATTTGTCGGGCTCCGCGGCTTCATTGCGAGAATGGCCCTGATTTGCTCCCTAAGTTTCGGGGGCAGAGCAGCGAGCGGATCTCTAACTGGCCAGTCGTCTGTCTCGTGTGAGACATCCTCGAGTTCTCGGGAGGGAGAGTCCCATTCGGACCAGCTCCAGTTGTGACGGTCGACCTCCGGCTTGAACATGCTTGGTGACTAGCGTAGTGGGTGATCGTTCAAGTCGGGATTCTGGAAAGGAGCCTGTGTATGATTCTTTATTGGAGTTTTGGTAGGAGTTTGGGTGGGAGTGGGCACTCTGACAGCACAGTCCTGAGGCGTCGGGGTCTCAGATGGCACAACCGCTTGGTTCTCCGTCATTTCTTGAACTGGGGACAGGATAGTGACGCGTTTCTCACGCTTCTCCTTTACCTGCTGGCTGGGGTTGACCGGACTTGATTCCTTCTGATTTACACTCAGATCGGGCTTGCCTGAAGTTAGTATCTCTCGGAGTACAGACTTACCAGCAATAGTTGCCTTAGCCGTTGCCGGCTTTGGGTAGTTGGCGGGAATCCGGACGACACGCCAACCATCCTTCATTCGAGATGCTGAACGCGCAAACAGGTTAGCAGACGCGTCAGAGGACCGATTTGAGGATAGAAGGCTAGTCATGGACAAATGCTTTGTGGTAGGTGAAGATGACGGACCACCACTTGATGGGGAAATTGTCTGGGTAGGTAGCTATAGAGCATTGATTTAGGCGAAAGGAGGGCCAAGTGAACAAAATAAGGGGCCTGAACGTGGTTGGATATTATAGATAGGAGTCCAATGGCCCATGGGATGGGCGACAACGGAGACGGAGAGCAAAATACAATAAACAATCGGGATACAAGAGCCGAAAGCAGCAGCAGTGAATGACGACTGATGTAGGAAACAAACAAAAGACAAGACAGAAGGAAAGGGGAGAGGAAGGAAAGCGAGGGGGAGACGTGCGGGAACGTCCCGGAGTGAACACGTTAGGAGTCTGTACAGGGGAGCGGGAACAAGGAGATCGGAGACGGAGAGGAGAAGGACATCCTGTGAACCTTACTAACTACAGAAGGGTGCTCCTAAGGCTAAGGTTACGTTCGAGCGACTAGGTAGGTAATCGCCACTAAAGAGGAACAGCGTAGGCACGCTATAGGAGCCCCGTATAAGCAATAGACTGGCCAGCTACTCAACTACTAACAACTGGCCTAGTACCGATCGAACGAGATCACAGCTATAAACAGCTGTAAACTGTCAGGCGGCAAGTTTCTCTCCGAGCGCATCAACAACGAGCGCGCAACAGACCGTTCGGTTCTTCTCGTGCGGACGCAACCGACGTGATTCGATTGCAGCCAAAATGATGCTACGAACCTCGAAAGCCTTGCGCTAATAGCACCTCCGGGGAGACGAACGCAGACGAAGACGCAGCTAGCTACGAGATAGTCGAGCAACCTTGCGGACTATCCAGATAAAAGAGCAAAGGGAAAGACTGTTAGGAGCAGGATGCCGAAAGCGGGCGTCACTTCCACAAACACTCAGATGGCAGGATCACTTGGACTATTACATCCACCACGCTATCGAAAACCCTGCCTTTGGGCGTTACAACGGACACCGGGCTATCCCATTGACCCTTTAGAGCGTGTTTTGGCGCCGCTGGATGGTCGTGATTCCAAGAATTGCATTCTCGCTGAGAATAATGTCTTTCGCAGCCCGAGCTTACAAAGGAGGGCGCAGGAAGAACCTATGGGTCCAAGACTGAATTTTACGCCCAGTCGCCTCCTAATGAGGCATCAGGCTCTGAACCAACACACCCGATGCGGGATACCAGCGTAGTAAGCCCTTTTCGTCCTTGTCCCTTGGACCAACCCAGATCCCCGGGTTTGCGGTTGCTGTATGGATCCGGGGTTAGTGACTATTGAAGGAACCGATCGAACCCGTTTCGGGTCATTCCTTTAGGCATCTCCAGGCTCTATTGTTAGCCTCCCTTAGGTAGCACTAACTCACTGACCAGGTAATAACTAAGCTGGCCAAGCTCTCTTATATCTATAAGTATCAGCTTCCCCCCGTTGTCAACCAGGTATCTAGGCAATAAGTCAACCGATTCACCTTGTTCAACAGTGACAATGGATTGGTAGGCGCCATCTGAGGCGGTCGACCATATTTGACTAGACTGGGGAGCATTTGAACGGTATCCGATCGAGGCAGACTAACCCGTGAAGCGCTCTCGAATCAGAAATCGGCATACCCGACATCGACACGGGAATTTCAGTCGCAGCTGCAGGAAAGAGGCGAGAATTAATATTTTTGCCTAGCTGGTCTTTTAATCATTGCTTCTGAGATTTGATCATTGCTTGTGAGATGTCTGCCCTGAGCTTGGACACGGTTGTTCTTCGGTAGGAATGCCCAAATATACTACGAGGGAAAGGGGGTACTTTGACGGGTGAAAAGGGGGGGATCGGAGTACTGACGTGCCGATATACTGTGCGAATAGCCTCGTGGCGGCATGCCGGCGCACACTATGATACACGGTGTTGTTATCGATAAGGGGGTCACTTCCGTAAGGTACCTAGGTACCTGGAATGCCCGAGCGCCACTTTGGGCTTCGGGACGAGGTTCGCTTTGCCGCAGCGCCTTCGATGGCTTCTTCATTCTCTCACACGGCTTGGATGCGTCGCCGCGCCCTCTCTCCCTTGTTCCCTTCGACCTCAAGCTGGCACAACCCGGACTTGACTTGATGGGAAACCGTAACAGAGGTAATATTTGGTTATGTCTGGCTACCCAGACGCATCCGGCTTGATAGACAGACAGCCCCGGGCCATCCTTGGAGGCACATAAACAATGCTGGCCTCCTCGACAACTGGCAACCGGTAATCTCCCCCCCCGATGAGCGCAACCCGAAGAAATATTTGGCCATCCACCGAGGTGTAATAAATTAACCGTACCTTGTACATTGCCCCCATCATCCTCGAGACCTTAAACGAGGGCTTTTTTCTTTTTTTTTTCTTTCGAAGCCTTCGATTATCATAAGTATCATCGTCGCCCTCGTTAGCGGGATTTCGCGATGGCGGACCGCGACGTAGGGGGTGGCGATCCGTTGCGCCGCGACGATGTCGAGATGGGGAGCACCGACTCGTATTCCAGCCATAGACTGGGCAGCAAGGCGTCCGGCGGCGGCGACACGCATAACCATATCGCCCCCTTCCTGGCGTCCTACGACCAAACCAGCCATCCTCACAGCACCCTCATCTTCCAGGTCAAATCCGACGACGAAGAGAATCTGCCCTCTTCGCCGTCCGTCGAATCCGGCAAGATGAGGCCTGCATCCAAGAAGAAGGGCACCGCTGCCAAGAAAGGCCCGAGGAGGGCCAAACCCCCCAAATTTAGGTCCAAGAAGGACCGCAACCCTCTCGGACGTGTCGCCGGCGCCCCGAGCTCCGACGACGAGACCGACAATGGCCCGTACTGTATCTGCCGTGGGCCGGACGACCACAGATGGATGATAAGTTGCGACGTCTGTGAAGACTGGTTCCACGGAGAGTGCGTCAGCCTCGACAAGGAGACTGGCGAGAAGTTGGTCGAGCGCTTCGTCTGCCCCAATTGCACCGATGGCAAGGCCAACTATACCAAGTACAAGAAGACCTGCTCCCTGTCCGGCTGCAAGAACCCCGCGCGCCTGTATACCAGGACCCTCGACGAAAGAAGCGTCTTCTGCAGCGGCGATCACTGCGACGTCTGGTGGGCTTCCATAATCAATACCCTCCCCGCCAAGGCTGCCTCGCAGAAGGCCGTCGAGGTCCTAACCCAGGAGGACTTCGTCGGCCTCCTCGCCAACACCGCCGAGCAAGGCGGCTGGAGGCTCGGCGACCAGCCCTTTGGTACGTTTTATTTCTTGCGCTCGCCCCCGTTTTCTCCCCTCCCCTTCCCCCCAATTCGCCCTCTCCTTTGCCACTGATCTCAGATGTGTAGGTAACGTCGAAGGCCTGTGGTCGAACGGGTTGCCTACCCGTCCGGGCGTCCTCAGCGACGAGGAGCAAGCCTTCCTACAGAGCTCGGCGGCCGAGCGTCTCGCTCTCGGCAATGAGATTGTGCAATATAAGAAGATGATGCAGCTCATAGACTGGGCGAACCAGCGGCGACAGCTCGCCATCGAGGCGGGCAAGTTTACGAAGGAGAGCTGCGGCTACGACTGGCGGCTCGACACCGTCTCGGTCCGCTACCAGTTCGCCGCCTGGCTGGAGACGCCCGAGGGCCAGGCCACGTTCAAGGCCGGGAAGCTCGACGCGCCCCTCGACCCGGACCTGCAGGGGGACCCGGCCATCCGCGGCGCATGCGAGAAGAAGCGCTGCAAGCCGCACACCGGCTGGTATAAGCTACTGATGAGCGCGGTGCGAACCCTGATCAAAGAGACGGCCACGGCCGCGGCGAACAAGCTGGACGCCGAAGATGTCATGCGTCAGGAGGCGGAGACTCGCTTCGAGCGGCGCCAGCTAGAGAACAATTGGGCCGAAGTCCTAGACTGACTCCGCGCCCGGCCGGTCGGTGGCTTTCCGTGAGAATAATCTCGGGGAGAGGGCATCTTGTTATCTCTTACTAACTACACACATGCGGTTTTGGTAGCCTCGGACAAGAGTGGTTGGTTTCGTTGTTAAATGGAGACGACAGGCTGGAATCTACCCGTCTTCGGCCGCTTAGGGTTGTCCTGCGTCGGAAGTCGTATGGATCGAAAGTACCTACACCAGTTTCCCTTCTCTCTTGCGGTGTTTGTTCGTTATGGAAAAGGCTTTGTAGTCCCCAATCCCTGATGGGCCGCTAAGTCAGAATTGCCACGTAGGATTCTGAGGGTAGACCCTACGCAGCCCTCGGTATACAGAAGCCATCCACTTTGGCCGCGAGCTTACCGCGTACCTACGCAGAGGACATCGCGTATGTATTAAATACGAGGAGATAAAATGCCGTGGTTGTTAATATTTCCAAGGCATATAACCCTATACCCCGTCCTATATAGCAAGCCGCTCTATCCCAAACGTTTTCCCACCATAACCAAGTTCCGCACCCCTACACCTGCCAATCGTTCTACCCCAGCCCTGTATCGAATCCCATATCCAATCCCCGAATCTTGCACAAAATCAGTACTTATTCGTAGTGATATCGACGTCTGATTCTTTGGCATAGCATCGTCCTCGTCTTGGTATCTAACATAACGGGCGTCGGTGGACACGTGAGGAGCCGGTGGTGCCCCGGAAAATAGAACGGTGTTGGCTGGGTGGGTCAGGTTCGAGATATTTCGGGCGTGAGAGCGTTTCTTGGAAATTGTCGTTACGAAGTAATACGCCTCAGCTCTGGACGAGCGGTGTCTGGCTGGATGGATAACGCAAAGACTAGACGTTCTTAGCCCCCCATATCGCTTCAGTTTCCCTCCAGAGTTGGCAGTGACCTGTTCGAGTAGAAAGAGCGCGTCTCGTTAATGAAACATCTCGAGGAAGCCTTCGCTCACGATGATACGCGGTAGTCGCTATGGTGGCGTGAGCTACCCACCGCAAAGACGTGGTTAGGTAATCAACACCCCTTCCTTTTACCGTCTTGTAGTGGCAGATAGACGTCCATGGTATTTCGGCAGTGTCAATGTGGCCACTTTTAACCCAACATCTTCAGAGTCCCATCGACAGCCATCGAGTATCGCCTATATAGCCTCCCTCCAGTTCTCTACGCGCTCGTCGGTCCAGGCGAGAGTGCCATCATTAATTGACCCAAGGCCTCCTGAACGTATACCTTTCAAAGCCTCTCTGCGCTTGAATCAGGCGCTGGCGTGGAAGTGCCAGCCGAACCGAACCGAAAGCGAGACCGCATAAAGCAACACGCCTCAGACTTCGGTCACTGATCTACTAACTTCGGGACAGCCAATCCCACGTACGGGATGTCTTCCCAGAAAGATCAAATTCGTACTGTCTGGAAGAGAGAATTCTTGGCTGATGGACAGAGGGTGGACTGGACGCGCAAGAAGAATCTCAATGGGTCATGGACAGAGTGGAGGAAAGTGAGCCCTGGCCCAGAGTCAGATGACCCCGTCTGCCTCTATATCGTCCAGCAGCGTCAGACTCAAGGCGAACCGCTCCACTGGTCTTTCTTCGTTGGCGAAGAGGGATGCAGCGGCACGATCTACTAGGTTAAAGGCGACAACACATTCATACGACATAATCACGTCGCCGAAATAAATATCTTGAGCACGCGTTCGTTCGTTCATCAACGCCTAGCAGGTGTGTGAGATCGACGACAGCGGCATTTTACGGCTCGACTATTTCGCCAACGAGGTGCCTCCGCCGCAGGCTAAGGACATGGCTTCCATAACGGAAAACTGTCAGAGCTAGGTGATTCCAGTCCTCCGGGAGCTCCAGTCCGTTAATGTCGTCGATAAGGAAACTGCGGATACCATGGAGGCGCAGGTTAACCCCATCAACTAGTTTCGACACTCCGAGCGAAATGGCCTTAGCGTTAGTAGACGCTGACCCTGTGGTCTCTCTAGTGTTGAAGGGAGATCATCTTGGCTCAGCGAGCGACATAATAATCTTATCAAAACCTAGGTAAAGCCCCGTAAGAGCGTGCCTTTAGATTAACGACATTCACGACTTCTCATCAGCCGTCGAAGGAGTTGAGCAAGTCATCCCTAAACAAGGGGAGGGCTGGGCGCAGTGAGGCATATGGCACCTCGCAAACGTGAGGCAGTGTTCACCACCGGCAGGAATCAGCGTGTATCGACTAATGTGGATGCCGGTTGGTGTAGAAAGGAAAAATATGCCAAGTCCTGACAACAAGGCTGCCTAGACAGGCCGGTCTTAAGCAGACCGCTATGTTTGGGTTGCTTCGCGGACACTGTCAGAACTCCTACCAATTTGATTCACCAGGCGAGTGGCCTATTCCCAGGGCCTGACCAAATGTCGAGAGATGCTGGACAGGATAATACCTAATGCATCTGCAAGGTTCATTTTTGGCCCTCACATCGAGTCATACCTAATAGGTATCTGGCCCGAGGCTAGCGATGTCCTGGGGAATGGTTACTCGTGAGTAACATGCACTTATGCCCGAAGCCCACACCTTTATCCTGCTGCTTGAATGTTCCGTTGCGCCAGAGCAGGTGAGACTCGGTGGGAAACAGATACCGGATGGGTTGGCTACAGTTAGGTATTAGGTAATGTACCTATCGTTCCAGTTCGCCTAGAGTTATTGTGAGGATCACATATCGCACAACTCTCCGACCGGCAAATCATCGCTCTGGCAGTTTGACCGCTGATACTGCGGAATAAATGTATCGATATTCGATTAGGTGTCTGAACTTGGAAGAGTTCACCAGCGCGTTTTACACGAATTTGCGAACGCCTTCGGACCGTAAGTCATCTGAGCTACCCGGACGGATGACATCAGGCGGAAGATCCCCAACAACCAATCGTTCTTAGCTGCCTACACATTTTACTATTGGTGGTATTTACCTACCTAGGTATGAGGCGCCGAGCTATTAAAAGTGCGACTCTCGACTTCACCGACGACCTCTCAGCAGGCCTTCGTAACGGCCAGCCTTAGTCACGCGTCACGCGGGCTATAGATGCACCTATATCCCTGCGGGTGGACTCACCGACGATATCTGTTTGTCGTGTTGACTGGCGTGCTACCATGAGCCAAACTCTCGACCAGGACTCACCATCGTCTTCGGGGCTCGGTGAACCACTCAATTATCATCTAAAAATGCCGCCGACTTCAAACGCTGTACAGCGTTGATCGCCGACAATCGCTTCTCGGGCTCGTATGCCAGCATCTCTAGGAGAAGCTGGGCAAATTCCTCCCGTTGAGGGGCGGAGAGATGTGGTGCGCTTTTAAAAAGCCGGGCGTTCATCGACTCTTCGAGAGCTTGGTCCTCAAACCACCACGGCGGCTCTTTTCTGTCCACGTTTTTAAGTTGTCCCCTTTCTCTGTAACCGTACTCATCAAACATAAACCGACCCTTCCAACGCGGGGGAAGCGGGCCTAGCATACCCACGATAGTGCCCATGAGAATCCCGAATATCGGAAAGAATACAGGAAATAAATAGGCTATGCCGTGGACCTGATATAGGACGCAGGCGAGGTCCCAAATATCACTTCCGGCCGAGGGGGGAAGGCCGAAACAGACCTCTGGAGGAAAACATTGGATAGGGATCCCCAGCGAAGTGGGCGGTTGATTCGCGAAGAAGGCCTGTCCGAAATCGACAATTCGGACATTTACGAGTAAAGACAGATCCAGGCCCGAGAGATCGGGCCTCTGGACGACTTGTTTTGGGGCGTGTGGCGAGTACGAACCATTAGGCAATCTGAGTTTCTCGGCCTTTATGGGGCCTAGAAGTTGGCACAGACCGGTCGGAGACATGAACCGGATGTCTGGAAGCTCGAAGACAATATTAGAGATGGTAAGATCTGTGATTGTACCTCATTTAGTTGTGAACCAAAGCTGGGCTAGATAGTACTTACCGCCGTGGCAGATTCCCTGTTGATGAAGGAACGCCATGCCACTGGCAATCTGTTGGCACACGCGATGCCGCACAGGACCGGATAGGTTCTCGGCGACACTCAAGTTGTAGAGGCTCGGTCCTAGGGCAGGGAAAACGAGACAATGGTGCGAGCCATTCGGGCCCTCGATCTGGAATGAGTCGTATAAAGATACGACATTCGGATGATCGGAGCCGAGGCCTTTGAGATGCTGGAGGATTCGCAGCTCGTTAGCGTTGGTGACGTCGGCACGGAGGATCTTGAGGGCAAAGTAGCGCATGTCTTGGCACGAACGAACTAGCCAGACTGTCGAGAAGCCGCCGAAGCCGAGCTTGTGGATAACTATATATCGCTTGTCATCAGTGCCGATCACATCGTCGATGTCGACAGGGTGGTAGCCGCCCGGGACGTACTGCTCGACGTCTTCGACATAATCCATACGCGGCTGGCGATAGCGGAATTTAGGTAGCTCAGGCAGAGACATGATGATGTTCGACTTTGAAAAAGCGTGCACTGGAAGCTTAAGATTGAAGAGAGAGAGAGAGAGAGTGTGTGTGTGTGTGTGTGGCTGTAGGTAAGTACCTATAGGTACAGACCAGCCTAACTACGAGTATGAGTAATCCCCTGTAGGCAAGATAACCTATTAGCTCCTTTCAAAACAACCACACTCCACCAACAACCAACAGGTCCGGGCGAGGCTTTTCGATTACTGCCACTGCACTACCACCACCACCACTTGTTATACCTACCTAATGCATATCGTTCCTCATACAACGCATTTGGATCCTAGTAGATATCACGTTCAGCATTGGATGTGTTGGAAGCGAGGCAGATCCGATCGAATGGGAACATCTAGGTATCAGGAGCTCCGGCTAGCCCCCCCGGTAGATGAGCACGAGAGTACACCCATTACCATTTACCCTCATTACTCTCACGGGCGTACCGCTGCGCACACCAAGCTAGAGCGCGTCCACCTTTCCGTATGTGATGTGCGTGAGTATTTCCCTACTAGTCCCCGGCCACTAATCAATCTTCGCTGCCGATGCTGTGAATCCCTGGGGCCGAGAATTCTACCTGCTATCCCTCCTGCGGCCTCTTTGGAGAATGAAGTCTGCGCTCCAATCCAGCGAGTCGCTCTCCAGCCGCTGAGTCGAACTCTCAGCTCGACGGCGCAGCGCGAACAGCATGATACCTAAGCCCTAAACAGCATTCGGTAAATGGCGACATAGGTAGAAGGTTAAGGCGCCGACGCTGAAATGTTACCCCCGCACGCCTGTGGGAAGCGCGAGATACCTACCTATTAACCCGACAACCAATCGTTTCTTAGCCGCTCCCACGACCTGCTGCCTGCAGACAATTTTCCTGACGCCAAGGACGAACAACCCAAACTTCACCGCGATATCGCGGATCTCGGCCAAGATGAGGTGCCTGTGCAGTCCGTGAAAAGGCAACTTGACGCGGCATCCGAGATCGATCCGTAGCCTGCGAAGAGAGCCTGGCTGACCCGAACGGATACCTGCGTAACAGCCTAGAGTCGTAGACGAGAAAGTAAAGCAGGCAGATAAGGTAGGTATCGCCTGCCTATTATTATATCACCGACTAGTAGAGAAGCTTATGCTGGCGACTCTATACTTGACAATGGAAGCCTAAGCCCCCCCAGCATCCACACGTCTTGACCATTAAGCCTGAGGCGAAGCGAAGAACAGAGATGCTAGATAGGGGGCCGAAAGCTGTAAATAGCCTAGCCTAGCACGCCCCTAGTACCCTAAGGGAGGTCACGGGATGGCCTCAGCAAGCAATCCCCGTAGGCGTTAATTACCTATTACCTACTAGTATTACTACTTTAAGTCTAGGCTTCCATTTTCGAAAGGCCAAACACCAATACGGGAACTTGATGTGCAATATTCTCATCAAGACACGAAAGCTCCAGTATAGCTATCCGAATGAAATACATATAAACTCAACACCCAGGACCATGCAGGTAACTAGCCAGAGAGAGAGACAGAGAGCGAGAGAAAGGAGGCAATGATAATTCGTAAAGAAACAAGCACAGAAGACAAGCGAACATGAAAGACAAGCTTGGGGTATCTGCCGTGAACCGGAACGCCGCCACTTCCTAATACGATGCCAACGCAGATCCGACTTGACAGAGAGGGAGAGGGAGTCATGACGCGTATCCGTCGCCCTCCTCCGACTCCTCCAGCTGCGGGCAAAACCCGCGAAATCCCGATAAGAATCTGGGAAGTTCGACAATAGCACAAGATCCAGTGTTCGGTGCCGTCCGAGCGCGGATGCATGGTATTCGAGAGAAAGCAAGCTGGGAGAAATTCCGAGAACCCCGGAGGTCCCTCTCCCACCTAGGGGAGAGGGTCGGGAAGGAGGTGGATGGATTAGTTGGCCTGGCGCTGCTGGAGGCACCCGCTGCAGCGGGACCTCCGCGTCCGTCCAGCGGCTGTTTGGGGCTCGCCGCCGGAGGGGTAGTGGGAGTTGTATGCATACTAAGCCCTAATGAGCCTCGAAGCTATCCAAAGGGGAGATACGGGATGTGTATGTTACATATATACCTAGCACCAAGTTGATCAAGCCATTGGTGCTAGGACATACCCTCTTCTGGATTCCCTACATCACCTATCTCTAATCTCGTTCGGTCTCGTTTTGGTCTCGTTTTGGTCTTAGGACCAGTTAGGAACCTTGGTGAACGTCTACAGAATACGTTAGGATCCGGAACCCAACGCGGAAGATTTTATTCATAATATCCTAAAGTACCCAGCTTAAGGGAAATACTGCCCTAGGCTATCTGTGCTGTTAGAATCACGGGGTATTCTTAAATGGAGCCGGTAGGTAAGAGAGTCGTTGGTACGTAGAGTCATATGGCCTGTCCTCTAGGTTAGTACCTGCTCAATTTATGTGATGATGCCGTACAACTGAAAGGTAATACCTATATACCATATACTAGTTTACAAGATGGGGGAGGTAAAAAAGGCGACAGGGGAGGGTTAAATGGGTGAGGCTCGCGGATGACACTCTAATAATACCGGCTGGCGTGTTCGGAAATCTGATTATTAGAATTCCTACGCTTGCAGACCTAGTAATGTCTCCATAGATCGCATACCCCGTGTTAAATATGCATCGTGTGGTCTAAATGCGTAATCTGGAAATGATTCTGTGGTAGGGACCTGGGCGTGAAACATATTGGGCATCGTGAATAAACATGGGCGACGTATTAGTTTATTTAGGGCTGATGGAAGGCAGGTATAGTGCCAGGTGAGCAGTGTTGCCAACAGAGTCTCATAAGCCTATCTATTATGAAGCTACCAGAGTATCCATTTGATTGGCATCAACGATGGGTAAACGCAAGTCTAGAACATTATACGTAAATGTCACGTAGCTGGAACTACGTGCGCGAGAGCGCGCGCGAGGAGCTATCTCACGAGCGGCGAGTAACGGGAGGAGGAGCAAAAGGAGGAAAAAGGTCTTAGTTCTATCTAAGAACTAGCTAAAGGAATGGAAGCAACGGGAGCGTATATATAGGAGCTCTTGTTGCTGAGGTAAGCAACGAAGAGGAGCAACCTCTACGTGACAGTAAATTTAATAGGGTGTATGTGTTCAGGGGGCACTGATTCCGAGTTTCTGGGCAGGGGCTAATATGATGCGTAGATACTCGTAGGCTGGGACACCAAGAGAGGGCTCCAAAACAGTGCACAGAAATATAATACAGCATGAGCACTGTCAATCGCCCGTCGGCGAACCAAGGGATCTCTGGCATCAATCATGAGAGTCGATTAGTTTAGCCAGGCGAGCGAGCCGGCGAGCAAATCTCATAGGGGGCAGGCTGCCCTCCAGTTAATTGCCCACAGGCTAGTGAATATTATCATCAATACCCGTCCTGGGATATATACAAGTGCTCTTCCTCGTAGACACGCACACACAGACACACATACAGACATATAACAAGCCCCCGCATGTTGTTGGCTTTGGTATCTCCCCATCCAAGAACGCCGGTCCGGAAGCAAGTCGTCATCTCCCCGCGCGCCGTCTCGTCTCGTCTCGTAAGCAAGCAAACCGTGGCCATCCATCCCACCCTATTATCTCTCCGTTCCTCGCCTGATTTTCAGCATTAGATTCGCGTTTATATACAACCCTGCCCCCCCTGCCCCCCCGGCTTCTTAATCCCCTCTCTCCCTTCTCACAGCGCGTAATTCTCCGTATGCAGGAAGATCTCCTCGAGCATGGGGTCGCCCCAGATCTCTGCCTGGAGGCGCGCGACCGTGGTGGCGACGCCGATGCGCATGCTCGGGGGTCCGCACACGAAGACGGCGGTGCGGCGGCCGAGGATGCCGCGCCCGTCCGGCCCTCCCGTCGCCCACTCGCGCAGCATGTAGCCGAGGTCCGGGCGCCCGTACTCGACGCTCCACCCGCCGTCGATCTCGTGCGGCACCGGGAACGCGAACCGCATCAGGCTCTTCTGGAACTCGGTCGGCGTCGACGGGAACCCGAAGTCGAAACCCGACGGCGGCCCGAACGTCGACGTCGGCCGCGCTCCCGGCGCCGGCGCCGGGGGCAGGTTCGTCGTCCGCAGGTGCGCGAATTCCGGCGCCCGGATCGCTTCCGAAGGCCCGGCCGTCGATGCCGAGGAAGACGGCCCGCCGCCGTCCGCGTTGGCTGCCCCCGGCGGCGGAGGGAATTTGCGCGGCGAAGGCGGCGCGTAGTTGAAGTGCGGCTGCTGCTCGGGCCGTGTATGCAGCGGCGGGAAGTGGAATTCCCGCTTGAGCTTGTCCTCGGGGGACTCCTCTATCGAAGGTGAAACCGTCTTATCTGGGTCCTCGACATCGTCGTGGTCCCGGCCCTCGAGTTTGCGTAGGGACTCCTCCTGCGGCGAGAGCCGGTTTGTGGGTTGTGGGCCCTGCGGCGGGATGTGATGCGGCTGCAGGTATTTCTGCTGAGGGAGGGCGGTAATCCGGTCCTCGTCCTCGGCTCGCAGCTCGCGCTCGTATTCTGGGTTGCCCTGCGCTTCGTCCCGGATCAGCTGAGAATTGCGTTTCGAGGCGATGCCGGCCACAAAGCCGTCCAGTCTGTCATGGAACATGTTGCTGAGTGGGCGAGGCCCCCGTTCGCGAGGGTGGGCGGCGTGTGTCTGCCTCTTCGCCGAGGTAACGAAGAACTTGCAGGTCACGCTCTCCGGCGGCGCTGAGTCGCGGCAGATGCGCAACTCTTCTCGGAACCAATCCATGGCCTCGAGCCTCTTGAGGGCCCAGACAACCACCACTTTCTTGGTGATGGCCTTGCCGTCGCGCATGCGCTTGATCAGGTTCAGCAGCTGCGACATCAGCGCAGTTACGCCGCTCCCGCCGGCAATGAGAATGCACGTGTCGAATGCGGCCAATTCCCGGCGCATACCACCGTACGGTCCGTCGAGATATGCCCGATACGTATGGAATGGGCCTTTTTCGATCGCCGTTTCGAGGACCCTCCGAGTGAATCCGCCGTACGGCTTGAACACGAGGGTGCAGTCCCTGTACTGCTCGCCGTATTCGGAAGGAAAGTCATCGCTACAGAGCGAGGAGATGGTGAAGGGGTGGTTGTCGAAGAATGAGATGCCGGGCATCCGCAGGTAGACGTACTGCCCCGGCCGCCACTTCATCTGCGTCGGGATCGTGATCTTGATGGCGTTCTCGTTCATGAGGGTGATCGCTGCCTCGTCGCCTACGAGGAACGACATCCGCCACGGCTTGACCCAGTTAAGGTTGAATATTCGGAGGAAGTAGCAGAGCACCCAGATGGCGATCGTCGCCCACAAGTAATTCCACGACGCCAGGAAATTCTTAGTGTGCCAAAACAGGCAGCCGAGATATACGAACCCGACGGGAACGTGTAGCGTAATGAATAATTCGTAAGCCGTTCTGCGGATAAAAGGGAGCGAGGCGACGCAGAGCCAGATCAGCGGGACTAAACACGCGATACCCGTGCCATAGATGACGCCACTCCCTTCAGGGAACAACCTCTCGAACACGTCCATTCCGCCGTCATCCCATACCGGCTGGACGTAGAAGGGAATCGTGTGCACAAGCACGAGGAACAAGCAGAGGTAGCCTGCCCACCTGTGGAACACGTTGAGGCGCTCGGGTCCGATGCCCGTGATGAGGGTGAGAAGGTTGGCCTTCATGCTGGTCGCGACGATCCAAGGCGTCATCGCGACGGCGATCATACCCGAGCGGACCGCGACCGGGGGGGAGCCATACTGGATGCTGTCCCAGTATAGGGGTTGCCTCAGAAACGTATATATCGACACGAACGCTAGCGCGATGAAGCCAACGGTCAGGACGGCCAGCGACGAAAAGGTGAACCGACGCTTCCGCCACACGATGTCTGGTATCGGGCGGTAGAAGACCCATCTGAACAGGGCGAGCGCATCGAGGACGGGGCCAACGGCGGAAAAGTCAGATTTAGGCTTGAAGTCTTTCTTCTCGCCTCCTCCACCCCCTCCCCCGTCTTCCGGAAAGAATCGGCTCCCGGTATGGCCCGTGTACATGCCCGTTGCGGCAGCGTACTCGGGGTCGAGGTTGTATAAGTCTTGGTAGTGCTGTTCCACCTCCTGCTTGTATATCGCCTGCCGGATCTTGTCCTGCCACCAATGCCATATCCGTACCAGTACCACCACTCCCATCAGCGCCACGCTAAAATATGTCCATCCCAGGCCGTATTTCCCGGAATCGTTCCAGGGGTCGACCGTATTCGCTTCCACTAGCCCTGGTGGGCTTGTTGCTGTTAAAGGAATGTATATTCGTTTTGCCAGCGCCGTGAGTGTCCTCGTGGCTCCCGCCATGACCGTTGAGGCTTCTTTGGCCGTGATTGGGGTCTATGGGTGAAGGCGAAAAAAGAGGAGACGACGGAGAGCTCTCTTAATCCCGTGTTCTCGCACCAGGTCTAGATTTTTGTATGTGTGAGTGCCCCCTCTGGTCTCGAAAGCCGGCCTGGCTCGTCCTCCTGGTCTTACTGCGATATATGCATCGACATATATATATATATATATATCTTTAATGGTTACATAAATTAGCACCGAAGGCCATTCTTTGGGGTATCTTCACTGCGCTTCGATTATTTTCCGGGGAGTTTATTGGAACGAAAGTCGGGGACGAGTTGGCGAGGAATACCAGGCATACACCAATTCATCGGACCTGTAGACATGGGAAGGTAGTGATAACGGCCATTGGAACTGCTGGGCAGACGAACAACGGCGTGGCGACGACAGCGAGAATGGAGCAGAGGGAACCCGGGCCGACCCTGGGATGAGAGTGCCGGAGGCAAGAGGTAGGTATATATCAGCGCAGGCCAGGGTCGCCGAAGCAGGGGTGGGGGAGAGGAGGAGGAGGAGGAGAGACAGAATGTAGAGCACTTTCTCTCCGCCAGCCACAGCCAGTAGATAGGTTTTCCAATCTCGTCACACAACTGTCTCAATTGGGTTTTCCTCTCTCGAGAAATATACCAATAGGAGTTTTACGAGAGATAGACCTCGTGGGAAAGCAGGCGGGGCGAGCTCGTCCTCATACCAGGGTCGTGCAATCAGGAGCGAGCATGGATTGGTGTGAACTGGGTATTGCTCGGGGTCAAAGGCACCAGCGGCTGACCATACCTCGATATTGGCTGTCTTGGAAGTGAGATTGCTTTCGTCCCCTACACCCCTAACCCCTACCTTATTAGTGATTCCCCGCAGTCTCTACAGGGTAGCACGGCATGCGTGCTCCCAGGCGTTGGTGGGAGAAGGGCGTGGGCGCTAGGAAGCGTGTGAACGAGGTGAACAATACGTGTACTCGACTTATCACCGGGCCTGCCAGGGGTCCCAGGCTACGGGAGGATTGCCGTGCCGGTAGGTTGGCCAGGATCCATCCTGTTCTGTGCTAAGTTGTGCATACGCAGTATACATGCACCGCATAGGACGTGCGTATGGGTGTGCGGGCGTGAGGGTATGTGGATGCGGTTCCGTCGTCTAAGAGCTTTCTAGAGCTTCCGTAAGTGACGAAGACACACATAAACACTTACATACACTTACATATTGACTCTCTAGACACCGGTGGCGGTTAGAGAGTCTAGAAGAGCTCGGATCCCCCCCCAGCCCTCTCCCTCTCGCGATGCTGTATAAGTGTTAACACGTGTCGGTTTCTCATTTTCTCTTCTGAGCATCGACTCCTCGCGATGTCTCACCCTGGTGCTGCTCCGCTGCCCCCGCCTCTTCCCTCCCTCTCTGTCTCTTGCTCTTTGGGGGGATGGGGGCTTCGTTGTATCTAGCATGATGATAATAAACCGCCCGCATCCAACCTCATAAGCGACCTGCCTGTCCGTGGGTATGGGACAGAATAGCGCAATAGTCCGGCGATTCAATTACTCTCCGGGTGTTCTGAGCTGGGTTAGAACGAATGAGCCGCTGCAGCCAGTGAGCACCTGACGACGACCTGGATGGCCCCATCGGTTGATTTCACGACCCAGGCTTCTCCCAAATAGCAGCAGGATGCGGCGGAGTTGCTCCCCCAAAGGTCTCCCAGCTAGGGTTTGGTGGTATGAGCAAGGAAATCCACCTCGGAGTTTGGGTGACGAAGCGATCGGATTGGATCAAAAAGGGGATATGCCAGGCGCTTAATGGCGCGTCTTGATTTGTTCCTTTACCCTCACCACCCACTCCACCCTTCCCTTCACACACCCCGGCCAGTGTGCCAATGGCAATAATTGAGCCGGATAAGTAGCATGGAAAGGTAGGTGATTTCGAGCCGAGCATTGATCGTGTCCTGTCCTGTTCGACGGAAATACAGGTGACAGCTGTGATAATGTGATGACGCCGCCGCTTGCAGATGAGATGTGTCCCGGACTGCTGGGATTCTAGAGCGGCAATTCTGGGCAATGGCAAGTAGCCCTGGGGATAGCGCCTAACACGCGAGGGCGCCATGTTTCCTTGCGTCACGCTATTATCCCATTCTTCTCCCTTTTGTTCTTCCTTTCTAATCAGACGCGGCAGACGCGGCGGACGCAGTGATCTCCGTCGATCAATAACAACGTTGCTGACTCGGAGCCGGCGACAAATTTGGTTCTATAGTATTACTCTGGGTGAAAAAGAATTCCCGTAACCTGCCTGTTGGCCCCGTAGTCCCCGCTGAAGATCTTCCTTCGATGGGGGCAAAAGTAGTATCCCGTTTAGAGGCGATCCACCCAATGCGACATTGGTCTACTCATAGAGCACTCATAAGGAGTCTCTTATTTCGGTCCGGGCGTATCTGACCTGTAAGATTTACCATGATGTGCATGTCAGGCCGCGGCATGTAGAGATGCGGCGCTGCGAAAAATGCTTGTCTCTGCTTAATCTTGGATGCTTTGTCGGCATTGTGAACTCTCAATCGCCTTATTGGCTTTGATATTAATGGTTAATGCGTATAGGCCATGGCGACGATGTTGCGTCGCATGCGCTTAGATGACAATTTCTTCAACTGGATCTCTCTTATAGGTAGTATGGGTAATATACCCACCCAGCATAATATTGGCGCTTATAGGCTCCCGAGTCTGTGTTCTCGCCCGTCAGTTAGCTACCTAGCTTCTTCGAGGGCATCAGCCGTAGATCTCGATTCGGATTTTATCCTGGTCACCTCAGTACCAATTAATGCCTCCCCTTCCTTAAGACTTTGCTTCCCTATCAATCGCCGGGCATCGGCTTTAGATGAGCGTTGAGTCGATCCGCCCACCGAGATAATAATGCAAGAATGCCGGATAGCAAGCGTCCCGGTGTTGTGGACAACTGGCTATCGGCTTCGCACAGCACAGTTAGATCCCGAGTTGTAGACAGGTTGATTGGTCAGAAATAGCTGATGAGGGTTTGGGACCAGGTTGTGTCTCCTCGACTCAATGAGCGGATCCCCCTTCACTGTGCTGCTAATATGCCCGTCGTGATAGTGCCGTTGAAGACTCCTGCGTCAATCGCCGCCGGCTGCCCACATAGCTAGCAGCTGGTAAGCGCACCACGGATGCCACGTAGAAATGAAGAGAGTTAGTAATGCAAAATCGCTCCGGGTTCCATAAAACCAGGCATCCCGTAATTCTTTCGAGGTAAAACGGGCTGGAAGATCTTGTTAAGTGTTTAGATCCACAGGCCTTTCCGAAAGTGGAAAATGGTGATGCTGGGGAATATGTCAGCTTTCGGATTTAGACTCAACGAAGCCCCCACGAGAGACGGGATACAAGTACAAGACACGGCTATAAAGGACATTCAAGTCTTCACGACTGAAAATAGATGACTGTGCGATTATAGCCAACCCATCAGGATATCCAAAATCATGGCTTTCGTTCCGACGACACGGTCCGAAGTTGAAGCATGGCTGCTCAGGGTGAGTGCGGACTCACGACGACTGCGACGCTCGGAGCTCACTGCGTACTTAGTTTCATGCGTCTAACGACTCGCTCGACGTGAACAAACTACCAAATATATACGCGAAGAACGCCGAGGTGCAGTTTGGTAACATGCCGATTCTGGTCGGGCACGACGCGCTCCGCAACTTCTTCTCGGCTATTTGGCCGAAGCTGGAGACAATGCACCACGCGATCGAAAGCTACGGTGAGGGTTGACAAGCGATTCCTACCGGTTCGAGATATTGAGATTGGATTGGCTAATCGTAATGGATGGTAGACATGATCGAAGACAGGATCTACTCGCCGTGCCGCATAACGTGGGCTATCAAGGACGATCCAGAGAAGGAGATAGTCTCGGTCCCGGCCTTCGCTGCCATCCACCTGGTGACATCCGGGGAGGAGAAGGGATTGATCCGCCGTGCTGCGTTTTATATGGATGGTGCCCCGTTAGCAGCCGCGCTTCAGAGGTCGTCATGAAATGCGTCATCAGTAGCGGGCAGTGGATTTGCCCAGATAGGAGGTCTAATTAGATAGGTTGAACAGAAGTAACAATGTTATGCAATGTACCTAATGCAATCTTATCGTGCTCGACACCTTGATTTATGCATATTTGTGTATATATCGGCGCTTGCCAGCCTTGTGATATAGTTCGCTTACAGATAGGTATGTACGCGATCTCGTTGTTGGTTGGTCCGTTCTCAAGATCCCATTTATTGACGAAGCCCCGCGAGGCTACCAAGATTGGGTTCTGTTCTACTTATTTTTCTTCTTCTCCTTTTCTTCTTCTGTACATATATCTCCGCCCCATCGGCTAGATATCATGACCGTCCTAAATTTCCAGTGAAGCCTTTCCTTGTTAATCATCAACTTTTTCCCACTACCAGCAATGGCGGCGCCAAGCCCCCTCACAATATCGAGCGCGACCTTCGCGAAGCTCTCCCCACACCCGTTTCTCCTCGCGAACCTCCGGCCACCCGACTCGTCCACGCCGTCCTCGCGCACCAACGGCCGACAGCCGTCTCAAGCACGTCCGTATAATATTAACACGTCCTCTCTAACCCATGCGCACGGCAGCGCCGTCGTGCGCACCGGCGACGCCACCGTCATTTGCGGCGTCCGAGGCGAGACCCTCCTCACCTCCCAGATCCCGAACTATCGCCCGTCGCAAAGCAGCAGCAGCAGTGATGATTACGAGCTCAAAGATTACGACCTACTTGTTCCCAACGTTGAACTAGCCACTGGATCCGCGCCTAATTTCCTTCCCGGTGCACCGCCGACGACGCTCGCCCAGACTCTGAGCACACGCCTATTCTCGTTACTCCATACGTCCAGACTCCTCGATCCTGAGGATCTGCGCATATATCAGGACAGTTTCACGCAGCAGGTTGGGGGGGAGACGGAGAGGGGCGAGGAAGAAGAGGAGAATGGAGCTGCAAGAGAAGTGAAGGCATACTGGGTGCTATATATCGACGTCTTATTCGTTTCGTTCGACGGGAACCCCTTCGACGTGGCGTGGGCGGCCATCCTAGCTGCCCTACGCGATACGAAGCTCCCCCGTGCCTACTGGGACATCGACCGAGAAATAGTCCTGTGCTCTCGACAAGCAGCCCCCCCACTGAAAATACGTGGACTGCCCGTAGCTTGCACGGCGGCCGTATTTACGGCCAAGGAGAGGCAGAAGAAGGGCGGCGGTCAGTACTGGATCCTCGTAGACCCGGACCGGTTGGAGGAAAGCCTCTGCGACGAGACCGTGACGATGGTGGTTGACTGTACAGAAGGAGAGACGACAGTCTTGTCCCTCTCCAAGAGCGGTGGAACCGTTATCGGACCTGCGCTGCTGAAGGAGTGCGCTGGCGTAGCTGAGGCACGATGGAAGGAATTTCGTGCCGTCTTACGGTAGAAACAATCTGTGATACCCAGTTTCATGCGAGATGTAAGCGGCACAAGATGTACAATGGTACGAGTTCACGAAGTCCCGTTTACGATACGAAGCACAGCGTATAAAATAACCACAATATAGGTTACCAGTGTAGCCACAATACAATGCGACCCGGGTAGTGAACGCCTCGTATCTGGATATAGCCGAGGACCCTTCTTCGGGGTTGGGGGGAAAGGGGGGAACAGAAAAGAGCGACATGTATCGACCCTTCGAACCGTCCTATCAGGTTGCGAGCAATCTAGGACAGTAGATACGGGAGGAATGCTTCGTTCTGCCGCCCGATCAAGCAAGTAGCCTACTGAAAGGCCGCTCTCAGTCACCAGCATTGCGAGGGAGCCTCAGGCATGGGCAAATTCCGCAGATACCGGAGGGCGGCACTTAGTATGGGAAGAAGGAAGAAAAAAAGGGAGGGAAAAAGAAGGCGACAATTTATCAAAATTCATAAGACGGCCCGTGCACAAAATACGTACCTACAAGTAACGCCGCATTACCGAAGCTTAGCTAAGCACATTGATCAGGTACTTCAGTTACTAGCCTAATCAGCCACCGTCTAGAGGTACCTACTCGAGCGACCTCACAAACAACCCCAGTCTCCAACCTCCAGCAAATATTTTCCGCCGAGCTCGCAAACCTCTACCTCCTCCTTCTCCTCTTCTATGATGGATTCTCTAGGGGACGAGCCATGGGATGTAGTGATCTGCGGCACCGGCCTGTCTCAGTCGCTATTGGCTCTGTAAGCATTTCTTCCTCCTATGCTTCTTCCTGTTCTACTTCGTCTCCCTAGCGGCAACAGGCAGCGACAGCGTCGGGAAGCTTGATCTGACTGACCCAGCCCGTCTGCTCTTCGCTTCTTCTTTTTCGATATGAAGTGCCCTCTCCCGGTCGAAGAAACGCATTCTCCACCTCGACCCGAACGACTACTACGGTGGGAATGAAGCCGCCTTCAGCCTCCAGGAGGCCGATACTTGGGCTGCCGCCCACGCCGGATCCTCTCTGACCCCGGGCGTAAGCGGCGAGGGCGAAGAGATTACGGCCGCCTCGGAACGTGCGAGGAAGCCCGTGTTCGCGAATGCCAGTGCGTCGAGGCACCCGGAAGCCCAGGCGCTCGGCCTGTCGTTCCCCCGGGCGTACTCGCTTGCCCTCGCACCCCAGATCATACACACGCGCTCCCGGCTGCTAGAGCAGCTCGTGTCGTCGCGGGCGTACCGTCAGGTCGACTTCCTGGCCGTCGGTTCCTTCTTCGTATATGATGGCTCGGCCTCTCCCGGCACGTCCACGCTGGCCCGGATCCCGAGCAGCCGGGAGGACGTGTTCTCGGCGGAGGCGATCGCGGTGCGCTCGAAGCGGTCGCTCATGAAATTTCTCAAGTTCGTCGTCGACTACGACGCGGGCGAGGAGCAGAGGGCCGTGTGGCGAGGCCGCGAGCGCGAGCCGCTGGCCGACTTCCTCACAACCGAGTTCAGACTCGACGAGAGCCTGCAGCGGTATATCCTCGCGCTAACTTTGACGCTTGATGGCCGCGTTGCTGTCGCCGATGGACTCGCCGCCATCCACCGCCACCTCACATCCATGGGCCAGTTCGGCCCCGGCTTCTGCGCCGTCTACCCCAAATGGGGCGGCTCGTCTGAGATCGCGCAGGTGGCCTGCCGTGCCGGCGCCGTGGGCGGCGGCATCTACATGCTCGACACGCAAGTACAGACCAAGGACAGCTCCAGTAGCAGCGAAATCTCGCTCTCCCTGTCGAACGAGCTGTCCGTCCGGACGCCCCGCCTCATCACCTCGCAGCAGGACGTCGCGCCCGGTGCGCAGACCATCGCCCGGCTCGTCACCATCATCAACTCGCCTCTCCGGGCCTTGTTCGAGGTCGTCGTCAACGGCGCCCCGACGCCTGCCGTAGCTGTCGTAGCGTTCCCCGCCGGCTCCATCGCCGGGGACGCTGATGCCGCGTCGCTAGAGACTACCGGGCCAATATACGCCTTTGTACACTCGAGCGATACGGGAGAATGTCCCGTCGGTCAAAGTAAGCTCGCTTTTCCTTCCCTCGACCCCCATTCTACCGCGTTCTCCTTTTTCCTTCTCCTCTGTGGTGCTGTGATGATCCAACAAAAACGAATACTTATCTACATTGTCCGAGCCATTGCGCGCGTTGACGATACCATACCTCTGACAACCTGATCGCACCATCCTATTTTTTCTATTTCTCGCCCCTTCTCCCCCTACCACCCGCAATTCCAACACGTAAACTAACGCGTCTCCCACCCTTTCCTTCTTCTACAGGCGTCATATACCTCACCACCCTCGCCACACCTACTACCGCCTCGGACCGCAGCCATCACCAGCGCCTCGACGCCGCTCTCGACGCCCTTCTCCGCGCCGCCACCCCCGCGCCCGCCGACGCGCCGCCGGCGCGCCTCTACGCCCTGCGGTACGAGCAGTCTGCCGGCGGCACCCTGTCGGAGACGCCCCCGCGCGAGACGCGGCCCCCCGGCGCCGCCGTCACGTTCGCGTTCCCGCCGTCGCCCCTGGGCCTCGCGTTCGACGACGCGTCCCTCGACGCGGTCAGGGACGCCTGGAGGCTGGCCGTCGGGGAAGGGACAGGAGACGAGGGGCCGGACGGCGGGTACATGGTGTTCGAGGACCGCGAGGGCGCGGCCGAATACGATGACGACGGCCAGGCGGCTTACGACTAAGGCTGGTCTGTTACAGTTGTCGTAATCAATGTGATGGCGTATATACATGTACCTAGAGCTCGAGCCTAGAGGCTGTGTGTGTATGTGTGTACATGGTCTTAGGATTGGCGTATATATGCATGAGAACCTACGAGCAAGACGAGGTTGGCAATGGAACGGCAGATCGATTCACTAACTACACTGCAGCAGTGAGGGTTTCCTCCTGCCTAGGATATGTGAAAAGTAATGACGGGCCTCGTGAAGCGGGTATCTTATGTGATGCAAACTGCGCAAATATCCTCCTTCCCCTCTAACATCGTCAGAAACCAGACCAATTCTTGTGTCTATTTTCCGTCCGCCTCTCCATCTATCCACCCATCCGCGTAATTGTCCGTTAGTTCGCCTGTATCCCCGTCCGTCCCTTCCTTCCCTTCCTTCCCGTAACCCTCAGATCTAGACATATCTCTCTCGTTGCTGGCTCTTTTGCAAATATCCAGCATGCAGAGCGATCCTATGAATAAGCGCGCTATGAGCGAACCCCCCCCCCCCCCCCAGAAAAAGAAAAAGCCCCAAATCAGTTACTTGCTCCGGATGCCTTTCGGCAGCTTATGATATTAGTACCGGTGTCTCTCCTCACGAGAAACCTCAACAGATCCCGCAGTAAGATACCGATCGGGGTAGCCGCCGTTCCCGTCGGCGAACTGCGTTGCTCGCCGTGACCGTGTGTGCGGTAGCGGCGGCAGCTTAGTAATGCTTCAGGCCGGCCCAGATGCCGCCGAAGGGCTCGCCCGGCAACGTTCCTTCCTGCATCACATACATCCTACCTGCGCTCGCCAGGTAGAGCACGTAGTAGAAGGCCTGCGCCGCCGTGGCGCGGGCCGTCTCGCCAGACACGAACACGTCGTCGAACGCGACCCACTTGCGGTTCATCTCGAAGTCCTCGTCTCGGCGGTGCTCGCCGTGATCGCGGACCGCCGTCTCCATGAAAGAGAGGAAATTCCGAGACTCGGCGTCGAGATCAGGAACCTGCTGCTGGCTCTGCCTCTGCTCGTCTCCGTCGTCTCGACGCCCTTGCAATTCGGCCCCAAATGACGTGTCCAACGACTGAAGGCCGCCGATTCCAAGTCCGCTATCATCGAATACCATAGCTGGGTCGTCGCTGTAACGCACTATGTCTTGGATGTCGCCACGGTTTCCGAGTGGGCTAGACACAATGCGACCTTTTTGGGCGGAACCGCGAATCGACGAGCCGGGCACGGCAGAGGAGCCTCTATTCCAAGGAGCGGGAACACCTGAGGATGGTTGATCGGACATGGGTGCCTGGGCTTCTCGACCAATCTCAGGGGAGCTAAAGCGATGTATGACATCTTGGCCCCCTGTGCCGCGACCTTGCTGATCGGCGTCATCGGAGAGTCGCGGTCTAACGCGACGTTCCGATTGCTCTTGTTCATCATCCTTCCCAGCTTCGGATGCAGTCCGACGTCTACCACGGGGCGCCTTCGGCACATTAAGCCCAGTGAGAGCGGTGAATAACGAGTCGCCGGAGAATTGACGAGAAAGTGGGTGAACCAGTCCAGGAATGCCGACGTTCTGGCCCACGTTGCCAATTCCAAGGCCAAATGTAAGAAGCATCGCATTCGTCCTCGCCTGGGCGGCGCTGGTTGCCCGTACATTCTTGACACCACAGTTCTCCAGGTAGTCCGTTTGCCATTGTCTCAACGTCTCTCTTGAAACCTGTGTCTCTTCATCAACTTGGACAGGATGCACCTTTCTAGTCCGTCGAGATCGTGTATGACGGTGAGCACCGGCGGAGGCACCATCGTCGTCTAGGACCGCACGTTCTAACATATCTCCTGCTCCCCGCCGCGCTTGCTGGAGCACTTGCTGTGGTGCTTCACCCCCCATAACTATATCTTCCTGTTCATCAACGTGTCGTCGAACTTGCTGCTCGGCATCGGCCTCGACTTCTACACCGTGCCTTCGACGAAGTGGAGGTAGATCGGGCTCTCCTTCGGCTATAGCGGGTTCTCCAAACTCAATTACGTTTCCGTGCTCATCGATTTCCATCCCCCAATCGCCGAAGCTGGCAAGCTCGTCATCTTGTTGGGGAAATATCTCGCCGCTGTCCGGTTTTTGTGAAGACGAAAGACCCCGAAGGCCAAAAGGAGAGCTAAGGGGACCGAGAGAGTCTGAGTGCTGAAGGTTGAGCCGTACGGGGAAGTCTATTCCCTGCATACTAGCGCCTGAGAGGAGTGTATTGGGAGGCGACATTTGGGAAGAAGTCTTGTTGGTGACTTGGCTGCCGGCCACAAGAGCATTAAGGTCAAACTGGGGAAGTCGTTCGTCAGGGAAAAAGTCGGGATCGTTGGTGATCAGAAGGTTCTCCGGCCTAGAAGGAAGACAGTCAGGTGTTTGTACACCCTTATCTGACATGGCCAGATTCCACCTACCTTGCTTGGCCGGCATCCGAGTCGAGCTCATTCGAACCGAAGCTCTTGAAGAATAGGTGCATGTGCATCTGGATTTTCTGCACATCCGCCAGCATATACGCACATTGCTGACTGTAGACACGAGACACGCCATAGAGAAGATGTCCCTGGAGTCTCAAGGCAACAGGTGCGCCAGGCTCGCTGATTTTGCCGCATGCCTTCTGGACATCAACTTCCTGGATCGCCTTCCGAGTAACTTTTCTGGAGGCTGATCTATTTCCTATGGTGGCTACAAGCCTGTCCGAACGGTAAGTCGAGCGGAAAACGCGAACCGGGAACCACAGGCAGGAGGATGCTAGAACCAAGTACTTACCAGATAGTGGCAACGCCGTACTGGCGGTTGGTCAGGACTACGGCAGCATGTTAACTAATTGTTGCGGTACGAAGACGGAGGATAAAGCGTACTCTCGTGACTGTAAAACATGTCGAACGGCGAGGCGGCAAGCCGCTGGCTCCAGGTATGTTGATAGACGGAATCGAGAAAAGAATAGGTATACGGGCCACCTCGAAACCCAGGCTTGGGTGGTTGCCCCGAGACGTGGATACCTTCGCCAGTGAGTTAGTTTCTACCGAGTTACCTCTGCCGGCCGATATCTGATGCTCGGTGGAATCCTGTGGGAAAAGATGCGGTGGTGGACGGTGGATAGGATGTACAGGACCGATAGGGGGCGGGTTAGTTGCTGAGATAGGGACTCGTAGGGGATCGTAGGAGTTGTAGGAATTCCCGAGGGATGATTGGTTTGAAGACATTGTGGGCATGCTCAGGCGGACTTTGAATGGATTCAGATCAGTAAGCCATAGGCATATGGCTCGTGGAAGTTGCGACAGGCACTGGATACGAAGCACTTGCCTTACTTGCGGCCGTCTCTGGACGTGGATAGAGCACAGTAGCTTACACGGAGTTCGCGCACTGTACCGTGAAGATGGAGGTGACGGAGTCAGGTACCTCTAGGTAGAGGAGGTATCTGATCCAAGCACCTGGTGTTACAAGAATTTATATAGCTGTCTATACTTCTTGGTGCCCACCTGAGATTCCTACCTCTTATGTGCTTAAGGTAGGAGGTAAGGAGGGATCTAGAGATGAAGGCCTATACGAAAACTAAGAGAATTTACCTTAGCAAGCTGTGAGATCGCCTTATCCTCAGTGATCCCGGTGATGAAGTCAAGAGAGGATGCCTATATAGGCCCTGCCGACTTTGAATGGTTACTAATACATCAGGCTGCGTCCACTCGAGGCTCTGCCTAGGCCCCTGTTGAGGACAACATCGCTGGGAAACCGTAGCAAAGTATAAGAAGCCCGGAAAATCGTAGGTCCATAAACAGCATTTAAGATCTACTTCGCAGGTAGGCTTGTCTTCTCTTAAGATTCCTGCCTTCAAGTGGGATAGCTGGTTGCGCACGTTAGGGTGTCGGAAGAGACAAGGGATGAAAAGAGAGGTAGGTATCTGATCTTAGAAACTACCCACCTATTACCTGGCTAGGTACCTAAGGTAGGTAGGTAGGTAGGTAGCCTTCAGCGTCGGTGTCGCGCAGGAAGAAGTATTATTATAAAGCGTACAATCCCTGATCGAATACAGCTATTATTCACATTGTCTCGTGGCAGGTGATTAGGTGCCTATATTAATCGACACGGCTTCACCTATAGTACAGTATACCGCATGTACCTTAGGTTAGTCAACCTACTAAAAAGTCGGGACCTTTCGGGATCGCCCACCGATACCTGCCGACATGTACTCCCCCCAATTGACAGCCCGTACTGGAATATACCAGGGCTAGGAGGGAGATCGACGTACGTGTATAAGTACGTATCTCGGTACTTGAGGCATTTCGTTTCCACCGAGATGGGCCAATCACAGAGCTCGACGATGGCGGAAGATCGACGAACACATTGCAGGCCAAGGCGCCGGCCGTGATCCGCGCATGTGCGCGAGCAGGTACCTGTGAGAGACCGAGTACCTGGAGTACCTAAACACATAACCCTGATTTGTGTGTCCTACCGGAGATCACGCACGTACCTGAGCGGGTTTAGGTACCTATTCCGGAATCATTCCAACCAGCAGCAGGTCCTCGCCTCTCCCTTTCTCTCTCTCGTCCTCATCCGGTCTCAACCGGTCTCGTTTTCTCTCTTCTACCGAGGGCATTTAATCTCATTCATCAATCGCCTGTTCGCTACCCCATTCACTGCTCCCCTAGCTCGGGATCTGCTCTTACTTTCGCCATGCGCGTATTAGGCTTTCGAACGGGGCCGGCGAAACCGCGACGGTGACTCGAACCCCCTCTTCTTCACACACCCCGCCATCACCGTTGGTCTCCGCAGCACATCCCAACTTCTTGGCTCGCTAGCTCCACCGACCCCTCGGCGGAGGGAGACCCTGAAAACCATACCTATGTAGGGTTCTTATTTCACATTCTGAGCACGATCGCCCCCCTCTGTCTTCTGGGCCTCTTCGCCGCCTTTGCTGCTGGGTGATCCGATCGTCTGGACTTCCCGCGCGCGACATGGATCCCTCCATCGCCTCCGAGCTCGCCAAATGCGCCGACGACATCCCGTTCCGCGCCGTGCGCAACCACGTTCATACCACCTGGGCCAAGACGTTTCTGTCCCGGCCGGAGCTCTATCTGCAGCCGCAATCGCTCGCTGAAATCGAGAAGATTGTCAAAATTGCGCACAAATGTCGCCGCCGCATCGCGACGACCGGCTGCGGCCACTCGCCCAGCTCCTTGACCTGCACCTCCTCGTGGCTGGTGAATCTCGACAAGTACAATCGCATCTTGTCTGTCGATACTGCCACCGGCGTCGTCGTCGTGCAGTCGGGCATCCGGCTGTACGCCCTTTGCGAGGAGCTGGAGAAGTACGGCTTCGCGATGCCAAACCTGGGCAGCATTAACCAACAGTCCATCGCCGGCGCCATCTCCACCGGCACCCACGGATCCAGCCTCAGGCACGGCCTCATGTCCGAGGACGTCCTCTCCCTCCGCATCACCATCGCCGACGGTACCACCAAACTCTGTTCCCCAGAGAGAAACCCCGAGCTGTTCCGCGCTTCTCTCCTCTCGCTAGGCGCGCTCGGCGTCGTCACCGAGATTACGTTCCGCGCCGTACCCGCATTCACCTTGCGGTGGCAGCAAGTCATCGACGCTGACGTGAAGATTTTCAATGCGTGGGAGAAGGACCTCTGGACGCAAACCGAGTTCGTCAGAGTTTGGTGGTATCCCTACACCCGACGCGCGGTGGTGTGGTCGGCGGAGAAGACGGATGAGCCGCTTATAGAACCCAAAGTGTCCTACTATGACGGCACTATCGGGTACTACGTCTACCACAACCTGCTGTACATCTCGCAGTTCTTCCCGCGCATACTCCCATGGGTCGAGTGGTTTGTTTTTGGCATGCAATACGGCTTCCAGAACGGCACGACCAGCAGCGCCGTTCAACCCAGCCGGAAAGCGCTGTTGATGAACTGTCTGTACTCGCAGTTCGTGAACGAGTGGGCCATCCCTCTGCACAGAGGGCCCGAGGCCCTCCGACGTCTGAGCAGCTGGCTCAACCAACTCCCCTCTTCGGATCCGGACTACGTACCGCACAACATCCCCTTTCACGCCGGAGGACTCTACGTGCACGCGCCGGTCGAGGTGCGGGTATCCGACACCTCGCCTTCTAACCCAAAGTCCTCAACGCCGAACAGCAGGCCCTACCTCGACCCGACGGTCGAAGATGGCCCAACGCTGTATCTCAACGCCACCCTCTACCGGCCCTACCACACGGACCCGCCGTGCCGGGACCGGTACTACGAAGCCTTCGAATGGCTGATGCGGGATATCGGCGGACGACCGCACTGGGCTAAGAACTTTGAGACGTATGGGCCGGCGATCGAAGACATGTATGGTGACCACCTCGTCGAGTGGCGCCAGGTCCGGGAGAGCGTCGACCCGGATGGCATGTTTGTGGGCGCGTGGCACCGTCGGCATGTCCTAGCCAGCGGGCCCCATCTCCCGCTCGAGGAGGTAGAGGTTAAGCGCGAAGACAAGCCGCGCGTAGGCGTCGTGTTCGAGGGCGCCGTCGGGACCGGACAGTAAGTGGCCATGCTTGCCTGCTTGGCATAGTTAGCGGTGCGGGAGACTATTCTAGGTGCTGTCCGGAAACATCTAGTTCCTCATCACCGACATGTACTATATATGGTACGACCTATCGTGAGGAGTACCACACATTATCCCTCTCCTCTTGTTAGAGTTCTTCATAGCCCCACGGTGTTTATACAAGCCATACTCATAGAGCTATACACCTTCTTCCTAGCGCCCGGATCGCTTTCTAGTAGCGCTCCTGTTGACGTCTATATTTTCCTTAGGGGATAGGGATCCTATGCTAGTCATGCTGTAAATGTACGAGAATGCTTCTGGCAGCTGCCGCGATACGGTAACATACCTATGTCCCATAATTACTTAACCCCCTCCCCTCTTGCGACGTGTAGCTTTTCGCAACTAGGCGACCCCTATCCCGCCCCGGGAAATGGCCGGTGTTGGTAGCGATAGGCAGGGGAGACATGCGTCGAGAGGGCTCCATCTACGGCCGGCCATTGTCCCCCAGAGGCAGCGTCTGGCGATTGCTCGATCTCGCCGAGATCGAAGGCACGCAGTCTCTGCACACCGACCTATTTTCCAAAAGGGTTAAGAAGGAGCAAGGGGAGAATCATAGGTAGGGTATGCCGTAGATGTCTGGGATTGGCACAGCGACAAGGCCAACAACCCTCGGGCAATCGTAGGGCTAGGATGCGTTCTAGCTCACACCCCTATCCGTCCACCTCGTTGTTTCAACGTACGTATGGACGTTGTTCCTTTATTCTCAGGGGGCACGGGTCAGGTGCTGGGTCATGGGTATTGTATGATCGTATGTATAGTCTCGGGGCTCTATACCTACCTACCTTGGGTCCCAGGGATAGGGGCTGTTAGGAGCAGAAGCCTCGGTTTCCACAGCCTCTTTCACTCTCGTCTTTCCTCTCCCTGTTCCTTCGTAGCGCGGCGACGATTGTCGGGGGTGATACGGAGTCGCGGAAAGGCTGCGTGCAACGGTGCCCCGCGGCACAGGCGTAGCGCCGCAGAGGGACAGCACGGCGCGTCCTAATATCTAGGTACGGGCTGGGCATGCACGCCTTCGCTCGAGGCCCGGATGTGTGCCCCCGAGAGACAGCCCAAGGAAGCCGACGGGAGGGTGGGCGTCGGTGCGTAGCACCGGAGGAGGGAGAAAGGATGGGGGCGAGCGACGGATGGATGTCTATGTACCTAGGTAGGCAGTAGGCAGATATGGAAACACAGGCGGCCTGCGCCGCCCCTCCGCAGCGACTCGCGAGTAGAGAGGCAGGCAGGCAGGCGGACGAGCTGCCCACCGGGCTTGGATTGCAGGTACTCCTCATGCACCCGGAGCGGGCTGCCGCCGTCGCCGCCGCACGGCTGCGTGGCTTACACACCTGCTTGTCGGCTTGTCTGCCTGCTATCTCTTCCCATTCTATGCAGCAGCCCGGCTGCAAACGGCGGGGCTTACTTACAGGTGTTACCTACTTACATACCTACCTACCCACATGGAGGTCAGCAGGCGACGGTAGGGGATGGCGAGGCGCCGAAGGGAGAGATGCGTGGTTGTCCTTTTCTGCCCCTTCGTTCGCTAGCTCGCTGCACGGGTTGTCTCGTTTGGAGGACGAAGAGGGCCAGAGGCGCCGGCAGCGGCATGAAGTGAATTTATTTATGTAAGGTAATTGCCGCATAATATCCGCGTGTAGATGCTGATTATCTGTTTAACATCAACGCGAGTGTTACCTACCACATAAGCAACTCGGCGGGTAGGTATAGAGGATTGGGGGTGTTTACATTTGCATTGGGCCTTGCGGCTTAGGTACTCTGCATAGGTACTTACCAAGAGGTAGGCCCGCAGCTACATACACGCCTTGCGCAGGGCGGAACGGGATGCGGATACTCGCCGCACATCGACTCCCTACACGTAGGAGGTATGTAGGCAACTGACTCCAGACGGGCGCGACCACGGCCTTCAGCGACGTGACGTGCTTGTTGGCGCCCACATGCCTATCTGCCTACCCACTGCCCTTGGCTCCATGAGGGGAAGGGGGGCGAGGGAGGCGAACGCTCCATGCGTTGCGCCGACGGCGAGATGCACTTAGGTAGGCCTGTTCTCTACACAGTAAGCAGCCCGGGAGCGTTGGTTGAGGCACATTCGCACGCACACATGCGTGCGGGACAGACGGGATAAGCATTGGTGGAGATATAAAGGGGGGGCGGATGCATGGGTGGACACGCTGCACAACATAGGTACCAAATAGGCATGTACCTAATTAATCGTAGCCCCTAAATCTAGCTCCGTGTGCCGCTCCGCGTAGGGTGTAGGTAAGTAAGAAGTATCTCCTACGTAGTAGACGAGACTCCCAAGGGCGCCATCGTCGTCTTACTTGCGCGCGCGCGCGCATTGTATTCTCCTGCTGAATACCGATGGCTTGATAGAGGAATAGCGGCACCGTTAGTTCCTCAGCCAGGCTAAGTATGTGCTGTCTAGGCAAATACCAAGACTTCTCGTATCTTGCGAAATACCCACCAACCTCCAAGTGCCTGAGGTGCGCTCAAACAAAAAAAAAAAAACGTGCGAGGCTGTAGATGAACGGGCAGTATCTCGTAGACCGAAGCTTTCAGCCGACAACAATTCACGCACGGCATGGCACCTCTTACGGCTGGCTGATCAGCTGCTTGGCGGGCGATGGGTCCAGGCGGAAGGGGACCGAGCGGCGTGTGTATATCTAAATTGCCACACGTGTGCCACGACGTCGATGATTTCTGTACGAGTTTCGGTCTCAGAATCTGCACCAGGGGCCGAACCAGACCCGGCCGCGACCGCAGACTAGTGCGATAGCACTTTGTCGTGAAGGATCCGAATTTAGGGCCGGCGAGTTAGTCAAGCCATGGCGTAATCACATAGGTATTTCTCTCCCCCGCACGTGAAGAGGGCGAAAAGAGGAGGAGATCAAGCAGCCTCCCGGTTCTACTACCGTACGGATAACTCGACCGGTGGTGTCAAATGCCGGGGCGTGCGTGCCCATAGCTGGCTTTTGAAACGCCTCGGAATACGAAAGCACATGCACCATGCGGGTGCGGAGCGTCGCCGCTTAATGCCGAGTGTTCGCTCCTCTGTGAGACACAATCCGGAACCCTCCCTGGAAATTCGCCTGCGAAAATCCTGCGAGGGGCGATTTAGAGGCCGGATAAGTACTCGGTATTATATTTGTGGCAGGCGGCGTGGTTGGCGCCCGGAATGTGTCGGTCGCCCGCTGGTAGCCTGCAGACTCGCCGATTTGCTCATCATCCCCATCGTAGTGCCGAATCAGCAATTGATTGCACTGCAGCGGGTTGCTACCTGATGTCGTCTTCTCACTGCATGGTTGATTGGGTGGACAGGAAGCTGACGGGCTCAGTATAGTAATCGGGTTAGAACCGTTGGGCTGTGCCTCGAGAGGCTTATCGCCTACGACGCTGGGAAATCTTGGGAGGTCACGGGAACAGAGGTGGTGGACAGCAGCGAAGCTGACCAGAACGTGACCTCTCGTGTGCTAGATTGTCCCTGGCCGCGATATGGGGAGGGGGAGACAAGACAAATTTCACGCCATCGTCATAGGTGTCCCAAGAAAGCACGGGCAGTCCCGAGGATCAGGCGAATAGAGGCGCATCATCGATCACCGAGCTGCTAGGTTACCTGGATCATGTGTTTCGATCGAGGCTCGGTTTCGAAGGCTCGAGGCTCACTGGGCTTCGCTGCTGAAGGATGGTGGACTATTGGGGACCATCCGGGGTCCCCATGCGAGCCGTCGGGTTGTACCGCACGCTCTGGCAAAGTACCGGTACTTTGGGCCACTATCTTTCTTTCTTCCCTTCTTCCTTTTCGCTCCTGACGATCATTTGCGAAGAGCTTACGACATACCTAGATAGGTACACATAAAAGAGGGGACGGGGGCGATTGAGGAGGCGATGGGGGCGATATGGACTGAGATGGTTGTTAGATCGTCGTATCGGGCGGTTGATTCCCCTTCGCGGATGCGGGTCTATCTGCCGTGTTTCTAGGTATAAATATAGGGATGTGTGCTGGATGCGGTCGTTATGCGTGCGGATCGACTTCGAGACGCGAACGAGGTGATGTGAGAACACGAAGTGAGCTACCGAGCGAGAACGAATCTGTAAGTGCTCGAGAAGCCAGGCCGTACCTCTGAGGGTGACCGGGGGGAGGAGGTGGATACGGACAATCCCAAAGATCTCAAGAAATTCCGAGGCCAAGTGCAGCAGTCGAGACGTGCTAAGCCTACTGTGGATAGGCGGAGGCACGCGATTAGTCTGGCAGCGAACCAGGAAAGGATCCACCCGAACGGGAACAGTGGAGGACGAGGAATTCGAGCGTGTGTGTGTGTGCCATACATATGTACGTAGGTGAGGTAGATGTATTTGAAAAAGGACGGATGGATGCGGTAGGTGGGTTAGGTAGGTAGGCGGCTGGGTGATTCGGCGTCAACGTTATTCTATTTTTGCACGGCGGACCCGTCGTCGCGCAGCAGAAGCGCTTAGAAGAGACCTTATAAGAAGGGAGAGAGAGCATTCCGAGTTCCTGAGGTGTGTATCTCCGTTCGAGTATTCTGGTGTAGCGAATTGCAGCATTGTCGCAGGTAAGTTTAGGCGGGCTAGCTAGTGACCGTGGTGTTGTGGACTACTCAAGAGGTAATCTCGTTAGCAAAAAAGGCGCGGCATCGCGGCGGATACGGCATAGGCCCGCCGAAGCTCAACTCGTGTCTCACGATGTATTGGTTTTGCCGCATACGGCAACCGGCGAATACGACGCAGCATTCGATGCGATGGAACCAGAGAGTACCTGGTAAAACGAGAACACCCAGCATCATAAGAACAGCCAGAGAGGCTAGAACAGCGGTGGATACGATGACACGCACCCTGTGCCATTGTTTCCTTTGCCAAGTTAGGTTTGTTGACGGGCTGGCGGTAAACGCTTATCGGCCATAAGACATCATATCCGACATCACCACTATAGGTATGACATAGTGGTCGGTAGATGCCTGCATAACTTGATGGTTGAGGTGCCTAAGGCAAGTTGCATATCTTAGGTACATGTGTTAGGTGCATATGGGCGCGCATGCATCCACTATACACTATACACTATACCCGATACACGCCAATACGCTCCCACATTACGTAGTGGCTGCCTTTACCTCAGGCCGAGACCTACCGGGTACCTGCCTCTACCTAACTTAAGCTATTGGACGCCTAATGTGCCTCTGTACCTTGATCATTCGGTCAGCTCTTCGAGATTGAGGCGTGGATGATGGGAGCTCCGTGTCTTGTACGTATCTTGCTGAACATATTGCGATTCGCTTGCTGGGCATGCTGGTCGCCTATGTTAGGTACCTGTAGGTGGGTAGGTTAGGTGCCGAAGGTAATGAGAGCGCGTGCGAATCCAGGGACCAGGTTGTTTCCGTTTATTGAATAATATTGGATAATACGCCCTCTTATACGCGTACGTAAGCTGAGGCACCCCATTGCGCTCGAGGTACCTGACGTGGTACACTGGCCTCCTTCCTCCCCCCAAGCCTCTTCGCGCGCCTCCCACCCCTTGCTCCTGCTCTTGCTCTTGCTCTGGTCCCTTCCCCATTTGGGCATTTAGGAGAGAGAGGGAAAGGCCGCGAGCTTTGGCAGCTTCCTCTTCCTTCCCTCCTTCCTTCTCAACACACTCCTTCCCGCATTCGCGCGTCTTTCTGACTAATACTAAGGCGACGACCGTCCGTCGACCCTTTTGCTTTCTTCACCGGGTGGCTGCCGCTGTACCAATTCACACCGCAGACAGGTTGCCTCGCAGCAGCTCTACCAGTACACACCCTTCCTGTCATTACCTACTACTCCTACCACTACCACCACTACCACCACTACCACCACTACCATCACCACTATTACCGTTACGACCACGACTACGACTCCACAGTCAACGACCTGGCTTGCCTGCCTCCCCTCCCTCGCACATAGTAATCTTATCTTAATCCTAATCCCGTCCGCGCAGACATCTCTGTGCGGAACGCGTTTGCTTGCACCCTCGTTGCTTGTTCGTCGTCTTGCCTCGGCCATATACATACACCCCAACCGCATACACGCCGTCGCATTTACACAGAGTCCGGTCCTGGCTGGCTGGACCTTTCGTCGTCTTCCCCTTCTTTGTCCCTCGGACCTCCCCTTGCTACTAATAAATACAGCCGTTGCTCCCACCACTGCTGCTGGTGCAAACTGCCCTCCACCCCATGTCGTCGGTGCCCTGCCTATCTTGCTCTGGTTGCTAGGTCGGATAGAAGACGCCACGCTCGGGGGCTTACGCCAAACGAGAAAACCAAGAAAGACACAAGGAGAGACTGAACCCGACCCTAGGCCACGGTGATCCTGAAAAGGTATGGTTGACCCTGTACCAATCACGCCTCGATGTACAGCTACTTGGGCACCCCGGAACAGTACGGCCGTCACTCGGCCCTCTGCTTTAGGCTGGTCATCCGCCCCCATGTCCTGGAATATGGATAGGTCGGTTGGCTGCTTTTCGCAGAGGCGCCTAGACGGGCCCCTACCCTTGCCTTAACTACACACTACTTGCCAACTCCGCAGCTCCGGCAACCAGCGAGATGCAGCAGCTCCCTCTGGTCTATCATCATCTATGTGCATCTCTCCACCACCCTCTCTCCACTTCGCCTCTTCCCCCCTCCCACCCCCCCTTCTGCCTCGTCTCGTCCTCTCGTCACCTACTAGTATGTATCTTGCCGACTGTCCCCGGGGAGGATTCCCTTCTTCTTTCCCGTGCCACTAGGCAACGAACCACACGGAGAGTCGAGTGACCGTTGTGACCGGATTGCTTCCGTCTGTCATACGACATTCGAGATCGTTGTGCTGATAGCAAACATCTCCTTAGGCTCGTCTGCGTGCCCACGCATATTCGCGCGTATCCGTCGCCGATGCTTGGCCCGCTCTAGGTTCTACCATATCCCTCTCACGACAACGGACGAAACCACGCGGCATTGGCTCCATGGGCGCTTCTTCTACCTTCGAAATTCTGCCAACCCTCGTCTGAAGCGACTGGCCTGTCCCGACGCTATCTCTGGATTGTCTCGTCACATTCCCCGGAAAGCACCACAGTCGGGTTGCGGAGTCTTCGGGACCCCTCGGTCCACCAGTCGTCAAGATGGAGTCGTAAGTCCAATCCGGCCCGCCGAATGCGCCTCCTGACTGCCCGCGCTGCCCCGCGTCGTCTATCTCTTCTGCCTCTTATCCACCACCTCCCCTCTTGCCTCTTCGACTACTCCAGGATCGTACCAATTTGTAGCCTTCCCTTATCTGCTTATATTTCGCACACTAATAGGATGCCACTTAGTTTCATCCATGTGGCCGCCTGGTCGCAGCACCGGAGCCCGAGCCCTGCTCCGCAACGTACCTTTGGCCACTTTAGGTCTCTATCCACCATGTCGCCGTCTTCTGTTACTCGTTCAAGATCGCCGGGAAAGTCGCAGTCCTCGTCAAATATATTCTCCGATATGATGATCCCGCCCGGTTTGAATGTTCACGATTCACCTCAGCCTAAGAGGAGGTTGTCGCACACTTCCCTCATGGAGGACCAGGATCACAGTACCATACCCGACCCTCGGATACGTGTCGTCGCCCCCACTGACGGCGAGGGCCCAGTCCAACCGCCTCACCACCCCGATTTGGACCAAGAAGTCGCCACGCTCAGCACTAAGCTCATCAATGCGATCAACCACCAAACTAATCTGGATGACACGCTTTCGGCGACGAGACAGGATTTAGAGGCTGCTCGCGGGCGGATTCGGGAGCTAGAAGATGTGGTGGCACGACAACAGGAAACCCTCTCCGGCGACGTCTGGGTGAAGCGCTCAGCTGTCGAGATAGAGAAGGGTAAGCTACTTGCGCGCATCGCTGAGGAGAAGCGGTTGCGCGGCGAGGTCGAGAAGGACAAGAGAAAGATCGAGCAGGAGCTCGAAACATTAACCGTCTCCCTGTTCGAGGAGGCGAACAGGATGGTGATCACGGCGAAGGAGGAAGCAAAGAAGGAACAGGATGCCCTCCATCGGAAAAACGAGCAGTTGAAAGCACAACTAGCCGATACCGAAGGCCTCTTAAAGTCTCAACAGGAGCAATTGACAGAGCTGAAGGTCGTCATGGAACAAATCACCTCTGAGCGCGATGACTACACCGGCACCGCGCCCTCAACGCCCGAGATGAGTAAATTCGATCCGAGGGAAGAGGAGATGCAGATATCCGATGGAAGCTCGAACTCTGGCGGCATGGAACCGTTGCCCCCCACCTACCCGACAAATCTTCATCACCTTGTCCACCCCGTGCTGAGAACCGATCTGCCGGCCTACGACGATTTCCTATCGCTTATCCAGACGTCGAAGAGAGTATCGAGCAGTCGTGCTTCGCCGGGGTCGTATAGCGGCCTCAACCCTCTTCTTGGTCTGACCGGCACCGGGTATTACGGACACGCGTCGGTCCCGTCGAATTCCTCAACAGTATCTCTATCTACCGTGGGAACTAGCCCCAACGTCTCCCCGCAAACGCCTAATACGCCGGCCTCGTCCCTCAGCGTGGGATCCGCCGCTGTCGCGATCCCATTGCCCCCCCTTAAGGAAACCAAATTCTACAAGAGGGCCCTGACCGAAGATATCGAACCGACTCTGCGTCTCGATCTGGCACCAGGACTCTCCTGGCTTGCCCGTCGGTCCGTGATTAACGCCATGACGGAGGGGACACTTGTCGTCGAGCCGGTACCGACGAACACCCCGTTCGCCTCTATTAGCAAACCGCAATTCTATCCTTGCTCCCTTTGCGGTGAATCGCGTAAGGACGCGTCTCGCCTGCGTAACCATCGTTTCCGGACAAGTGAATCGGATTCCGCCCAACGATACCCCCTTTGCAAGTATTGTCTCGACCGTGTCAGGGCAACTTGCGACTTCCTCGGTTTCTTGCGTCTGGTTAAGGATGGGCACTGGCGCGCAGACGACGCCGACTCTGAGCGAGTTGCCTGGGAAGAGAGCGTTAAACTGCGTGATCAAATGTTCTGGAGTCGCATCGGAGGGGGCGTCGTTCCTGTGATGCACCACCACGGACGCTTCGGTAGCATTAGCGAGAGATCTACCCGGATCAGCCAATATGGGAACAGCCCTTCGACAGACGGCAGTAAGACGGACGGAGTTGAAGGGCCGCCCAAAGGTCCCCGCGAATCCACGATCACGCTGAAACAGAATAAAGTCTTGGTGGGCGACGAGCAACCAAAACTTCCAACCTTGAACTTCTCCGACGGTCAGACTATCGACTTGGCGGCAAACGAGTCTGTCACGACTATCGATGCCAGAGACTCGGCTCGACATGCGAACGCCACCGACGCCACCGACGCCGAAGCAAGCAAAGACCAGGATCAATCGCTTTCGCTTACGATTCCCGCCACTTTAGACGAGCAGGCGTCTGTATAATTATCGACGCCCGAATCATACCCAACCTTAATAACCAACCTCCCTCTTTCGCTTCCACGGGCTACAACCTTTTTCTCATAGACATTTTTATTGTATACGCGCGGTACATATTTCGCAGCGCTGGGGCATAGAGCATCATGTATAATACGGAAGTTATCGAAACCAGCTACGATTGGCGGCCTCGGGCGAACGGGTCGGGCTGGCATTGGTGCATTCAGCGGATCGGCGTTGCCTGGTTGTCGATTTGGTTTGTCCGTCTTGGGTGACGGCAAGTAGAGAGAGCCTCAAGGGTATAAGGGACTCGACTCGAGGAACTTGGATGGTATCTGGCATTCTCGGGTCCGGGAGGGAATGCATGGCGGGCTTGGAAGAAGGTTCCGCACTGCCTGGGATTCGCGCTCTGGGACGACTGGGGGGGGGGCCGGGGAGGCCCGAAGCCTGGGCAATCACATAATAGGAAGGACCGCAAATACGATACCGCGCCTAAATGCGACAGTGAAGAGCATCTCGTAGACCGGACAAATTGTGTGCGATAGCTGTGCACGTTTATTATGAGGAGAATGAAGCCAACGAAGGTACGCACGGCCACATCATCCTACGACACAATTCAGACGCGCTCGGCCTAGGTCCGTCGCTGCCGTCGTCCTCGCAGTCGTGGCTCCTGTCTCGCGTTCACATGCAGGATTGCCCTCAGCCGTTATACCGTTGCATGCGCCCAGCCTAGCCAAGTAGGGTAGAATGCCCGCTGCAGAGTTAGGAACGTTCAAGTCATAGGGCCTAGCCAACCGGCGGCATCCTACATAGATAGATGGAATATACCGGCCATATCTGGATGCTGAATGGGTCGGGGTAGTGGAGCAGCGTGGACCGGAGGATGCCGTACGAGACGCGGGGACGGGGGGAGGATCTAACGAACCTGAAGCAGGCCCCGGGCGCGCTCTCGACTAGCGGGTGCGTCGCGGTGCGTATGGATGAAGGTTGTGTAGGCGTGCTCTGTGAAGCACGGGTTCTGCCGAAGCACGGGTATGGACCAAGTCGCCCCGGAAGTGCCGAGATGGACTCTGGACTGTCCCCACATAATCATCAGCACGGCGTATAGTTTTATCCGCTAGACCCAGGTCAGAGGGTGAGATCGGAGCCAGGAATCCGGTTGGTGGCGTCGGGCGAATATGAGATGTGAGGTTCTATAGGTAGATATTACCTACCCATATGTGGGTGCGTTTGGGGGCCATCACACACACACCGGCCAAGTTCCTAATCCGGGGGGAGGTGGGCCATATATAAGGTAGGTATGTAGACCTAGCTGGCTGGCCCGGTCTGCATCGGTGGGAGCGTGATGGAGGACGGGAATGTCTGGCATGTCTGGCTCTCTACCTGCCAGGTATGGGTACCTACGTGCCCGAGGTAGGGAACATTATAAGCGTACGTAGGCAAGGTCTGTCTACAGGAGTGTGAATCACCTCCGCGGACCGAATCCTTCGAGAGTGTCCGGCCGGGCCTATCATGCCTCTTCGTCTAATGAGGCCATCCGCCCAGCTGCTGCTTCGACCGACTCCGGGCGTGGCCCAGTGGCCCTGGCTCTCGACAGGGCACCACGTAGGTACATGGGGACTCTAAGTCGAAGCAATCCGGATCTCCAGATACACAAATTCCCAACACACAGACGCCCGTATACACAGCTCAGGTCCAAGCGCTTATCGCTTCACCTTGCGAACCACACAGCAACCACACCAGCAGCGTCGCACCGAACCACACACAGCATGACACTCTCTCTGTTCCCCCGTCCATCTTCTTCCTCTTCCAACCCTTTACCCTTGATCGACGCACGAGCGACCTGCACCGCCCGCCGTGAGGCTTCGCGCCTTGTTCGCTTAATGTTCCCGCAGAGAGCGCGATCTGCGTGATGGATGTGCTGCTCTCTTGAGGCCTGGATTGGGCTGGGCTAGACCGGCCCGCGAGGTGGTATTCGAAGAAACAGGACCTGCCAGAAGACGTCCTGATCGTCTCCGCTCAGAAAATAGCATCGGGCAGATTAGCAACTGCCGTAGGGCTGTTAGACCTACGGCCCCTACCAGACCTGCTTCCAGCCAACACCCTCCCGGCCTCGCCATTCTTGTATTATTCCCCCCCCCCCTCCTCCGCCCTTCTCCCCTGCAGTATGTGTCTATAAACTGCACCACACACACACCACTCACACACGCACGCACACACACGCACACAGCATCGAAAGGTCGTGCCCCCCCAGATGCTAGGTGGCTAAGTTACCGCTTAATCGTATAAGGGACCCTGTTGATCTTACTGTTGTGTGGCTCCGGCGTCGTCTTACCGAGTCCTTGCAGGCTACACAGAGCAACAGAGCTATAGTACCATTTAGTAAGAGCCCAGAGAGCCACGAAGGATCAGGACCGCGCCGCTCTCCATAATGGCCAAGATGATAGAGATCGAGGCGACAAGCCCATCCGCCCCGTCTCAGCTGCGCACAGCAATATCGACTACCACTACTACGCCGCCGGCCGCCGTCGCCGCTAATCCGGATCCTAGCGCGCCGCCCGTCAAGCGCCGAGCCCCTATAGCCTGTCGAAGGTATCGTGTCCTTCCCTCCCCTCCCCCCGCCGGAAAAAACTCCGTGCCCTAGAAAAATGCCGCTAAGCGAGCCACGATCCCTCCGCCGCGATAGATGCCGCCGGATGCGCAGCAAATGCGTCCACGATAAGAAACCCCCTTGCAAGTCTTGCATAGAAGCGAACGTGCCCGATGAATGGTATGCAGTTTTCGTCTCCCCTATTCAGCAGGGACAGCCAATCCTCCCAACTTGCATCTCGTCTCTCCGTCTCCTCCTCCCCCCTCCCCTGCTTATCTGCCGCGCGCTTACACGCCCGTTTCGCAACTTCGCTCAGCGATTTTCCCTCCCGCGGCGACCTAGATCAGGACCGGCTATTCCGGCATCCACGGCAGAGGGCCGACAAGCGGGCCAGGAGGGAGCGGGAGGCGGCGACCAGCGGGACGCCGCCGTCACCGGGCGTGTCGCGCCCCGACGGGCTCCTCGCGAGCTACCGGCCGCCGCGCGTGGACGACGAGTGGGCGCTGCTGCCGGGCGTCGACGCGGTGGTGGCGAGCATCGAGGCCTTCACGCGGCACTACTACCAGCTGGGGTTCATCCCGAAGAAGCGGTTCCCGCGGCAGGTGCGCGAGAGCCCGGCGACGGCGAGCGGGTTCCTGCTGCTAGCCATCCTGGCGGTGGCTGCGCGCTTCGACGACGACGGCCGCGGCGGCCTCGCCGCCGCCGCCGAGTACATGCGCCGCGCCCAGCACCTCGCAATCCACGAGCTCTACCAGCAGCCCACCCTCGAGCGCTGCCAGGCCTTCTACCTCCTGAGCATTGCCGAGCAGGGCAGCGGCAAATCTAACACGAGCTACGTAAGTCGCCGTTCCATCCCAGACGAGCACAGTATATCTCCCTCCCCTCCCTCCCACTCCTCTTCCTCTTCTTCCTCCTCCCCTCCAAGCCTACCCCTGAAGAAGTGGTCCGAGAGAGAGAGAGAGAAATGCCAACCAGTCAAACTCACCTCGACGCGTGGTTAAACAAATCGAAAAGATCAGCGCCGGCATCGCCTTCCGAATGGCCGCCCTGATGCGCCTCCACCGCGAGGAGGCGTACAGCCGCATCACGGCCCAGTCGCCGATCGAGCACCGGATCCGCGCCGAGTCTGCGCGACGCACGTTTGTGAGTTGTTGCGCGGCATTCCTTGTGTTTCCTCCCCACCCCCCCTTTCTTCCCCTGACTCGTAGGCCGGGGCGCCGCCACTCCTAGAAGTCCAGCGCCGCCAATCCTCTCTCTCCCTTCCTCTTCTTCCCGCGAGCAGCCAGCCAGCCAGCCAGCCAGCCAGCCCAGCTAACCAACCACCTCCCCGCCGTCACGGCCGCGGGCGAGCCAACGACACAGTGGATGCTACACAGTATGTCTCCCTGCCCCTCCCCCTTGCTCTTGTCCCCCTTTTTCGGCGCTCCATGCCTAACCCCTGTCTCCTCCTCCCTCGTCCGGGCCCCCCTCCCCCCCACGCGTAGGCCAAGACAATCTCACGTCGGGGCCGTACAAGCCGTCGTCGCTCGCGCCGAGCGACATCACGGCGCTATTACCGAGCGACGAGGCCGAGTTTGAGGCGGGCCGGGTGCCCGCCCTGCGCGCGGCGCTCGCCGGCACGCCGCCGGCGCTGCGCGACCCCGCGCTCGCCTCGCTGCCGTCGCGCTCCCTCTTCGCCTCCCTCATGCAGGCCCACGACCTCTGGGGCACCGTCGCCCGCCGCGTCCTGCTCTCCTCCTCCGCCGGCCGCGGCCGCGGCCGCCCCGCCGCCCCTGACCACCCCGACGGCGAATACGCCCGCCTCGATCGCCGCCTCCGCGACTTCGAGCGCGCCCTGCCCCGCGACCACGTCTTCAGTACCGTGCTGCTCAGCGCCCACCGGTACTACGCTCAGGATCTGGTAAGGGGAGGCTGGATTTTTCCCTCGTTTCCTTTTCTTCCCTCTCCGTTGGCGTCGCGTAGTTCTGTTTCGTGCTCTTGCATTTCTTCTTAACAGCCCGAAAACGTAACCCCTTCCCCCCCATTGTCATTGTCCCGGAAGCGGAAGCAAGACGCCTACCTCACTGAGATACCGAAAGCTAATAAGCCCCCCCCTTCTACCCTCGTCTCCCCCGTCTAGGCGTACCTTGGTCTCACCGGCTGCATCCGGCTGTGCCACATTGTGCTGCGCAAGGAGTATATGGAAGAGTACGTGCATGCATGCATACGCATCCCTTCCCCCTCTCCTCCCAGGCTGCGGCCCGACCGCGTCGTCGGAACTAAACTCGTGCCACAGGATGATCCGACTCGCGCAGGGTGACCCGACGACGTGCCCAGAGGTCCGGTTCTACAAGACGATGGCGGAGGAGCTCTTCTTCAACGTGCGGAAGCTGTACGAGCAGATCGAGGCGCACTTCGAGGATGGCGTCACCATTGGTCGCGTGGGCTCCCAGATGGCGGTAAGTTCGGACGTTACCTATCTGCGCCCGCCTGCTGCCTGCTGCGTGCCGCTCGCAGGCTCATCGAGCACCTTGCTAACCCGCACCGGCGGCTGCAGGGCTTTATCATCTACGGTTGCGGGCTGCTCGCATCGTACCTGTGCAAATTCCCCCAGCGTAAGGACCGCTTGCTGCCACATGCTCCCCTCCCAACGAAGCCGGCGAAGAAGACGAGTCCCGCTGACCAGATCCCAGTCGACGTCCACCGGCCGGGCCAGGACCTCGAGGAGATCCGGGCCGAGGGCCGGACGATGTACGCGCGCGTGGTGGCGGTGCTGCGCGAGTGCCAGAAGGTCTGGCCGCTGGCCGAGACGTGGTGCAACGGCCTCGAGAAGTGGCACGAGGACGCGAACCCGGAGCGCACCTCCTTCGAGGCCGGCACCATGACAGACGGGGTGAGTTCGGCGCCGGGCCCCTGCCTTTCCCTCCACGCGTGTGCCTCTCTCGCTCCCTCCCTTCCTTCCGTCTTCCGCATCCCCCGCCCTCGCGCGCGCCGGTGAAACCCTCCTCCGCTTCGCTAACAGCCCCTTCGCGTAGAAAGAGCCCCAGCCCTACGCGCTCAGCGTGATGCGCCCTCGCGGGCCGGCCGCCGAGGCCGTCGACTTCGGGCGGCTGCGCGCAGCCGCCTCGGCTACGCCGCCAACGCCGACGACGCCGCGCGCGGACGACGGACAGCTGCCGCCGCCGCCTGAGCCCGCGTTTGCGCACCAGGTGTATCTGCCGCCGCTGGCGCAGGGGCCGGCGCCCCGCGCGCTGCCGCCGCCGTACCGCTACGCCGCGCCCTCGCCGCCGCGCCCCCTGGGCCACGCCGGCGCCCCGCCGGCGCCGCCGCACGCGTACCTGCTGCCGCACCACGCGTACCCGCTGCCGCTGCCGCTCGCGCTCGCGCACGCGCCGCACCTGTCGGCCGCCTCCTCGCCGTCCCCGCCGCGCCCGTACTCGTCGCCACCGCCCCTGTACTACGCGGCGCCGCCGCCGCCGACGACGACCATGATGGGAGCCGCGCCGGGCGTCGTGCTCGACGACGGCTTCGACAGCAACCTGCAGATGCTCGTCGACGGGGCCGGCGGGCCGTGGATGCCGGCGGCCGACGAGATGGACGCGGTGGAGGCGGCGGCCGCCGCCGCCGCCGAGGCCGAGGCCGGCGCGCTGTACGCCGGCGCCTACGACATGCTGCCCAGCTATCTGCCGTAGGCCGGCGGGGAAGGGCAGCCAGCCTCTGGGAGAGAGAGCGGGAACGGCAGAGGGTCGCCGCCGCCGCGAGAACTGGGCAGAACGAAAAGAACACCCCGTGGCAGAAACGAGGAGGACGGGCGTGCAGGCACTGGGGAATAACCCGGCCTCTGGCCCACGGGGAAGTAGCGAGAGAGCGATAGAACGGAACGGATCGGATCGGAAACAGATCGGAAAGGGCGGAGCGTGCGGGATGGGAGGGAGACTGTTTCAGCGGAGGCCGCGCCAGGCCAAGAGGGAGGAACGGCGTTTGGGGTTCGGAAGAGGGGGGGGGGGGGGGCAAATTAGGCTAGGGTAGGACGAAGCACGTCCTCGCCAGCACTCGCACATGTAGCCTACAGCTGACGCGTTCGCCTCGCCCGCCGACACGGCTTCGTCCCTGTACGTCTTGTATTGTATCAGTGCGTAGGTAAGCTGCCATGAAAGCCGCACTCGTCCCCGTTATAGATATACGCCGCCGGGGCGACTCCCAATCAATTTCTGGCAGTACCCCTAGACTGTGTGCCTGCGGGCGAGGTAAGAAGACACGACGTTAAAAGAGTTAGGACTTGAGCTTCATCTACTAATAACTCCTACGATGCTAGCTACCACAGCTGCGTCGAGCTCATGGAAACGGCAGCTACACTAACAACGACCCGACAAGATAATAACCTCGTGACGCGGGGAACATGGAGCAAAAGTTATATGCGGGTAGAAGAGAGCCTCTATTTGCCTTAGGTATCAGCACTAAACTACCAGGACCGTTACTTCTCGCAGTTATCTTCGTTTGGGGGTGGGGGGGGGGGAATGAAAAAGCCCAGCCAGGTCTGGAGAGGATCGCCGACCCTATAAAGCTCCGGCTGCTGTGCTCGCCAGAGGGTCGGCGCTGAGTTTTCGTCAACTCTACCTCCCCCCCTTCCCCCCTCGCGTCCTCTCGCGGTAGGCAACGACGGTGATGGTGACGACGAGGGTTGCAACCATCGTGTCGATCATCCGTGCATCCCTTGATAGATCCACTCGGTCGGTCCGACAGGACTCGGGTGGAACTTCCAACGAGAGAGCTTCTCTCCTTATGTCTAATTCACTTGAATTAGGCCAACCCCCCCCCCCCCCCCCCCCTCCCCCTGCGGAACGCATCAGATCCAGCTATCAGGGTTTCCTCCTCACTAACATCCTCTTAAAACTCCTTTTCTTACATGAATTCGTGGCCCCCCTCCAAAGGGGCGTACATGACGTGATCTTCTCTCTAAAGGGACTAGACATATCTCTGTTATGGCTCTGCAGACCAACAGGAAGGAAAACTCAGCAAGGGGTGGTTAATATCTGGGCAAGGGCTGCTTGGGAAGGGCATTTCCGTTGGGTGTGTATTGGGGAGGGGCGTATGGGATTACTGAGTAATGGGTGGGTGGGATTATATACACAGGGGTCTTGTGAAGTGCAGAGTGCCAGGGGAGAGTATCTCGGGGCTGGTGCTGGTGCTGGTGCTGGGTACTAGAGTGCTGCGATGTGGGTGCTGCTGGGTTTGCCTCTGAACTTAGTATACGAGGCCAGACTAGAGTCGGACTTGTTCGTCGGGAGGATCGGGTGTCGTGGCGGGGGGCGGGCGCGGGTGGGCGGATGGGGTTGGCAACGGGAGCGACTAAGCGGCGCGTTCAAGTCTGTTGCATAACGGACGCAGTGCCGCCGAGCTGGCGCTTGACCTGCTCGCGTGCCCATCGTGCAGTCTCAATAGTACGAGGCTGGAAATCCCGGTTGGTCTTCGTCTCCTTGATCATAGCGGTCACCCAGTCCTGTCGGAAAGCCTCAACAAGCTCGCCATTGGGGAAAGCGTCGGCCAGGTCGCTGGCCCATTTGTTAGCATCTCTATACGAGGGGAGTGGAAGATACTGCGTCACTAACCCGATGACACCCATGGAAGATCGCATGAGGGACTCGCTCCGATTCATGTCCTGAGATATGATGTTAAGAAGTTGGAAGATGGACTGCACATATGGTTGGAGCGTTTGGGCTGTTTATAAAAATGTTGTCAGCGTCGATACATCGAATAGCCGGGAGGGGGAGAGGGGCACTACTCACTCTTGCCGCTCATCTTTAAGGCACCGATGATACCTCCCCACGCATCCGTGATTCCTTCTCGCAGAGAGATGACATAGTCGTAGAGTTCGTAGGAGCCGTCCGGCGCAGCGCTGACAGTAGCAGCCTGTTGCAAGACTTGGGCGACAACGGAGAGATAGGCTTCGAAGTGACCGCCGATCGCGTTGGCAATGTCGCCAAAGCACTGAAGGATAGCAGGCTTGAACTGGTTGGACAGGGTCGTGCTCTAAAACTCAATGGTTAGATATATAGTCTGGCAAGTTGCTCCATGATAGGATATGAGAATATACCCCCCCCCCCCCCCCCAACCGCCTCTTTAAAAAAATTTTTTTTTTTGAAAGGGGGGGGGGGGGGTTGTTATATAGGCATCGAAAGGGGATAAAAGAGGCTACGAACTCGGAGGTTATTCAGGAGATAGTTCATGAAGTTGTCACAGTACGGCTGGCTGTGCTCGCCCATCGATCGAGTAATGTCGCTGACCAGGCCAATAGCCATCGAACAGAGACTTGGCTCCTCCTGGTTCCCGAGCGCGTTGTAGAGGAAGGGCGTGAAGGCGTCCATGTACTTGCTAAAGTCCTCCTCCATAGCATTTGCCAGGCCGCTGATCGTAGCAAAGATGGACTCGGGGACGCTAGACTTGGCGCCGGCCGTGTTGAGGATCTGTAGGGAGACGTGCATGATCCTGTCGCCTTGGGGTGATATCTCCTTTTCAAGTCTCTGGATGATTGCCTGCAGGACGGTGTTCAAGCTCGTCTGCATCTCTTCCAACGCGATCTTGTCTTCTATGCTGACAACCTGGCTCTGCATGGGGATGGTCTCTTCGAGTCTCGTGATGATCACGTCAGAGAGCTGAGCGATTGCTGGGAAGCTCTCGGTCGCCGCGTGCTGAACGAACGCGCTCAAGACTTCGTACGAAGTCGTGCGGACAGAGGTTTCGGAGCCGGCATGCGACGTGACGGCGAGCAAGGTCTGGACGCTCTGGTTGAAGTGACGGGTGAGGGGGTTCGAAGTCGCGTCAAAATCGCCAGAAAAACGCTCTGCGAGATTCATCAGCGCCCAGCAGCAGGATGCCGCCATCTTAGAGTCGTGAACGCCGGCGAATAAGGATCGGACCAGCGAGTCCAGGTGAGCGTCGGGATCGATAGCTGTCGAGCAAGCTTCGGTGATACGACCGAGGGCGTAAGCGGTCGAGTCCTTGACAAAGGTGGAATTGTCATCCATCATGGTAATCAGTATGGGCAGAGCCTGCTTGACGATGGGCTCCAGCGTCTTCTCTTCTGGCCCTTCCATAATGGCGCCAAACGCAGCCACGGCAGCCTCTCGGAAATGCCAGTCATCGGATCGCAGGTTCTGCTCGACAAATTGGATGACAGACGGGATGATGTTAGGACCGACGGCTTGGGCATAGAGCTGGAGGCATTGGTAGGCAGCACGCGAGATATTATATTCGTCGTCCGTAGCGTCTTCGTCTTGCTTCGTCAGAAGTTGCAAGAGCGTAGGGACAACTTCGTTGGTGGCAACGCGCGAGAAGTTGTAGAACGGGCGCATCTGATCGGCGCTATCGACCTGTAGCGAGGCCATATTAGCCCTGTAGTCTACCGACCCGCTCGTCCCCAGGCGGGCGCCAACCACGGTAACTTACCTGAGCATTATCTTCCTCGATGTTGATCTCCTCCTCGCAAACGGTGCTCCAGAATTCGACGGCAAGCTTGGCAACATCCTCGTCATCGTTTTTCATGCCCAGAATCGTCAGACCAAACAGGGCCTTCTCCATATAGAAACGCATGTTCTCGTAGTAGAGAGCCATGATGCGATTGAGGCAACCGAATGCACCCTGCTGTATCCGCGCGTCGTCGGCCTGGGTGGCTTCGCAGACAACCTGCATAATGTAGTTCCTCTCGCCCTCGTGCTTAAAGTTGTTGCCAACAAACTCGAGAGAATCGCCCAGGGCGGATATGGCAGAGAGGCGCACTTCCGTGTTGGCTTCCTCTTTACGGGCACCCTGTACGACAGCGGTGAGGATGGCATTAGAATGCCCTATGAGCGCGGTTCGCAGCTCGGGATCTTGACTTTCGCAGATGTAGCCGATACAGGTCAGGGAAGCCTGCTTCTGGTGGGGCTGACCGCTGCTGACATTCTGGACAAGGACGGACAACAGATCAGGCCATTGGCTTCGAGGTAGCTCGATGGCAGCAACAGAGGCGATGACCTGGGCGGCAGCCTGGCCCGCCTGCGAGTTGCTTGACGAAAGAGTTTGTAGGGCGAGTTCCTTGACTCGGGTCTTGGTATCTTGGTCTGTCTGTTGCAGCCATTTGGCCTGAAGCTCCTGCTGTCGGGCGAATTCCCTGGTGGTGAAGGCGTTCTTCAGAGCAAGGCCTGCTGCAACTCTGATGTTACTCTCGGCGCTCTCGTCGGCCAGGGACTGGACTAGGGTGGCTAGGTACAGAGGCTGAAGGGAAGCACAAGGAGTCAGTATCAACACAAAGAGCGGCTGGGGGAGGCGACAGGCCATCAATGGCAACGTACGAAATTGGTTTGGGCAGCTTGGGAGAGCTGCTGCTCAGCGCCTGTACGCGTAGCCGCGTCTACGTGAAGGGGGAATGAGGTGTCAGCATAGCGTCGAGGACGAGACAGGGTATGTGGGTGAGGGCACGCGCGACGCTCGTGGCGACCAGCACACACGGCGCCCTCCCTCGATCTACGTACCTGGAGACAGCGAGTTGCTGAGGACAGTGTTGATATCACTGCTGTCAGCCATGGTGTCGTTTGCGCGACCGGCAGTTGTCCTCTTCCAGCTGGTGTTCACAGGGTCTGGGGTGCCGGGCGTCAGTATCGAGACTAGGATTTCGCGTTGCGTTAGGATAGCAGGCAGGTCAAGTACGGTAAAATGCCTGTTGTGAGATCAAAGCAGCAAGGCAAGGGGGGTTAGTCGTGGGAAAACCTCCACGTAAATGGCAAGACGGATTGACAAATCGTGGTCGGTTCTCGCAGGGAAACTTTAGGTGTGTCTAGGAATTTTATTAGGCCGAGTCCGAAGCGGAGAGGGGCGACGTTGTTGTTGACGAAAGGAAAGGAAGTTTAGGAAAGGAAAAAAAAGAAAGGGAGAAGACGAAGTGTGCAGAAGTGAAGTCCTCCGCAGGATAGACGCTGGACCGACTAACCCAGAAGCGGCCCTGCTCTGTTTTTTTTCGGGCAACCCACAATAACCTTCAGGCAGGTATGTTTGTCAAGCAATTTACAATAGACCCTCTTTTACTTAGTATTTTTGGTGTTTTTCTCCCGAGGTTTCGCTTTAGTTTTGGGGGTTTCCTTTATTTATTTTTTTTCTCGTCCTTCTCTATACGTTCAATTTAAAGCGCGGCCGGTGGTGAATTAACGTTAGGTACTATATATAATGCATAATGCCCAGCTGTGCGCGGGCACCTAGAGGCGGGGTTGCTTTTATTTTATTTTATTTTAAATCTTTTTAAGCTAGGTACTTGATCATTGATTCAGCGTACCTACCTACCTGTCCCTAGGGTACCTCCTAGCCCATGTACCTACCTACCTAGGTAGAGGTAGGTTTGTAAGGAACACCTAAAAGGCATAGATACCTCTAAGGTAAGAGAAGTAAAATGCATTGCTATTCGCTGCTAGAAAGGGTACGTAGCTCAAGTACCTTATGCGCCTGAAAGAGCACCTTGACCACCTGTGAAAGGTAGGTTAGGTACCTAGGTACTTCGCTTCCATACACACATTGAAGGAAAATATTCAGTAGCGGAAACCTTTTGATATATTTAGGTACTTCCAAAGCGTATCATTATTTCAAGAGCAATGGTCTCCCTTTTCCAGGCTGTATAGCTACAGTGGTATATTCTTTTGTAATCATGTGTCTCCTGGTAAAGATATGCTGCATACCTGTTACTAGCCTGGAGGGAGAATAGAAAATGCAAATGGTACTAACGATAACAGCCTGCTACCTTTCCTACATTACACCTAACCCACCATAGGTATAAGTACCTAATCTAAGTGCCCACACATATCAACGATAAGCTACAGCCTGTCACTGGCAACCTAGCAAACCTTTAATGTTTTTCTCTCCAAATTCACCACATTAACACTAACTGAAATTCCAACGTGACAGGACCAGGCCAACCCAGCATGTGTATCTAGCTACCTTGTAGATATCTGCTGCTGCGTTCCATGCGTAGAGACAGGAGGCTACCTCCCGGCAGGTACCGCTCAGGACGATGTTCACTACCTTAGGTACCTACAATACGCCCCAGTGGTGCTGGGTTAGGGTGCTTTTGCGTAGGGCAGGGAGAGCGAGGTCAGCACTGCCTACTAGGGGTGGTTGAGCCTGGGAGCTTCTCGGGAATCGTCACAGCTTCTTAGGTAGGTACAGCAGGCTGCGATGCATCTCACGTATCTCTATATTAGGTACCGACCTCGTCCCTCGGGCGGTGTGCAGGACATACCTCGTCCCACACTGGATATGCGCAAGCAACTAACTGGCTATGTTTCAATAATAACTGAGATGCCTCCATCTATAGCAAGGCCAATCAATTGACCCGTTGCCCTTGGCCCATCCTTGCCCGTCACATGCCTATTTACCTAAGGCATGAGGCGTCTGCCCTGAAGCCTTGATGGAATGCCTATATCAAGCTGTATTTGGCAACATAGACATCGGCTACCCTCTGTGCTCCTCAGTGCAAGGTCGCACATGGCACATTGTGCACACATTGTCAAGACAGCCCGGGGGTAGTAGGTAGGTATCCCCAGCCATTTGCAAAACGGACCAGGAGAACCGGATCTTATTTCTTCCCTTCCATCTTTTTTTTTTCTCGCCCCTTCACCCCCGCATCCAGTCAGCCGCCCTCGGGACCACCTAAACCTGGAGGTGGCACCAGCATCCCATACCTCGCTGGTCACGAACCCCAAGACACCAAAATTCGTAGACCCAAGCCCTAAAAGTGTTTACTCGCCATCATGACTCGTACCCAGACGTCTGTGTTACGGACCCTTACTTTAACTAGTAGATGCCTACTTCTCTTCTCATGGGAGCTCCCGGTAGTCGGTTGGTGAGACGAGGAAAAATAAAGGGGGAGGAGAAAAAGCAAAGGAGGAATGGAAACAGGGATTTAGATAAGATAACGAACAATCCAAATCAACACACACATAGAGACAGAGAGACACACACACAGAGAGAGAGAGAGAGGAGGGAGGGAGGGAGAATAATATTTGTATTTACTTTGTCCTCTTCTCTTCCCTTGCTTATTCTTTTCTTCCCGTCATTGGCTTCCTTTATTTCATTCGCTATCCCACTCACTTTTCTTTTTTTTTCCGAGAAATATCCACCCCACCACAGGCTACCCACCTAGCAAAACTGCCATCCCATGAAAACTCGGCCTTTTCGTTTCCTGCTTACATGGTAGCAAATCGAGCATCCTGTCCCGGCCCAGGCAAGAAGCGTACGTTGGGGGCGACGAGCCCTCTACCATAACAGGCGCGCTTGCGTACGACGGCCCGACAGATCTCTCGCCAACATAGATACCTGAAATCGCGCCCAAGGCCTGACGGCTCGTCGCCCTCCAGCACCCCCGCAGCGTGCCCGTCGCGCCCCCCCCCCCCCAACAAGTGGACGATTGGGCACCTACGTACCGTTTGCTTTGGCTTCCAAGACCCCGACTATCCCGCGCGTCTTGTCGTTGGCAGCAGAAGGTCCGTTCAAACTGCGATTGTAGGCCTCCCAGTGTTCGCCAAAGCTAGCCTGCGAGGCACGTTTGGCCATGACAGGACTTCCTGGCCGGCTCAGGATAAACTGATGGTAGACGGCGTTAGATAACGGAGGCGGGGGCTCGGCTGTCGGTTTTGACCGGGGCACAAGAACACTCACATTGCTCGCCGCGCTCAAGAGGGCCACCAGAGAACTCTGCACCACATCCTCGTGAATGCCAACGCCCCAGACTTTTTGCGCCGTTCCAGCAGCCGTGCATTGGATGTATGTAGCAGCCTTGACTTCCCTGCCGCCTCCTATGGCGTGCTCCTTGTAGTCTGCGACATCGAGGTCAATCCCCACACCCTTGAGAGCGTTAGCCAGAGACGAGATAGGGCCGTTGCCGCGGCCCCGAAGCTGGTATTCTGTACCGTCGATGGCGATAATTCCCTGAAAGACTCGAGCGAGATTCTTCGTATCTCGTGCCCCGCCGGAGGCTGGGGGAGCTGGGGACGTCGACCGGTCGAAGGAGATGGAATAGTCGATGATGTTGAACCGGGGGTGCTCTTGTAAGAAATACGTTCGCTCAAACAGGTCCGTAATCTCGCCCGACAGGAGCTCCCGCCCGAGCTGGTCCGCCTTCCTCTGCACCACGTCGCTAAAGGCGACTTGAAGGCCCCGGGGAAGGTCGAGGTTAAGCTTGCGCAAGATGATCCAAGCAGCGCCGCCCTTGCCGCTCTGGGAATTGACGCGGATGATAGCCTCATACGTGCGGCCGATGTCCTGCGGGTCAAGAGGAAGATAGGGAATTTGCCATTGGTCCTCGTACGAGCTTCCCTCCTTCTCCCGTAGCATCATGCCTTTCTTGATAGCGTCTTGATGTGAGCCGCTAAAGGCACATACGACGAGGGACCCACCATACGGCGCCCTGGGGTGGACGGGGATCTTGTTGCAAACCTCGACGGTGTCGACGACGCGGTTGAGGTCGGAGAAGTCGATGTTCGGATGAATTCCTTGCGTGTAGAGGTTGAGGCCCAGGGTGACTAGGTCCACATTCCCCGTCCGCTCGCCGTTTCCAAAGAGACACCCCTCCACTCGGTCGGCCCCGGCCATCTGCGCCAGCTCGGCGGCGGCGACGGCACACCCCCGATCGTTGTGGGGGTGGAGCGAAACGCAGATCTTCTCCCTCTCCGAGATGTGGGTGCAGAAGTACTCGATCTGATCCGCGTAGACGTTCGGGGTAGACATCTCCACAGTCGCCGGAAGGTTGAAGATGATCGGGTTCTCTTTCGTAGGACCCCACGCCTCCTTGACGGCCTCGCAGACCCGGATGACGAACTCGGGACTGCTATCCGAGAAGGTCTCGGGGCTGAACTCGAAAGCCCACTCGGTACCAGCTTGCTCCGGGTCGTCTTTAGTTATGGAGCGAGCATACTTGGCGCACGCGACCGCTCGCTCTGCGCTCTCTTCTTCCGTGAAACCGAAGACGATGCGCCGGAAGCACTCGCTCGTCGCGAGGTAGATGTGCAGGATGGCTTTCTTCGCGCCCTTGAGCGAGTCGACGGTGCGGCGAATCAAGTCCTCGCGGCACGGGGCCAGAACCTGGAGCCAGACGTCGTTGGGTACGGCGCCGGGAGTCTCGACGAGGCGCCTGGTAAAATCAAAGTCGGTTTGCGATGCGGAGGGGAACGAGACCTCGATTTCTTTGTATCCAAGGTCGACCAGCATCGTGAAAAATCTCCATTTCTCCTCGCCGTTCTGCCGTAGACGCACGCAGTCAGAGACGGCGTTCGCAGGGGTGGGGAAGTCCGGCCGTACTAACCATCGGGTCAACCAAGCTCTGGTTGCCGTCTCTCAAGTCGGTGGCCAGCCATCTCGGGGCCTTGTCGATCGTCTTAGACGGCCATTGGCGGTTCGGCAGGTGTAGAGGCGTAAACTTCTTGTATTTTCGGGAGGGGTCCTTGAGCCTGTCGCGGGGGAGGGGGGGGAGAGGTTAGCTAGACCGTAGGGTGGGTGCAATGTGAGTGTTGTATCGGGCCTATCCGGCGGGTTTTGCTTTTGCACTCGCTATTCCCTTCCCTTGCCGGGGTACGACTTACATCGGCATTGTGATATCGTAGGGTCACGGCGGACACCGCAGCGCGGGGCGGATGGATGAGCAACGCGGGCCGGGCGAGCCTCACGGAGAGCACGTAAGCAGGAGTATAGTAACCGGGTTCGGTAGGGACGGCGGGTTCGGTATCTGTAGGGTGGACGTGCTGGAGATATGGGAGGAATGTGTGTAAGATGTGGTTGTGAAGAAAGGTGTGGGAAGCATGTAGGAGGAGAGTATAGAGGAGAATATTATCCTACGGATAGGACAAAGAACGGCCCTTCTCCTACTGTTTTTAATTCTAGCGAGCCGGCCGCAACCTACTCATGGGTCAGAACTCTACGGCGCCTTTCCATCGACGAGCCTAGGTTCCGATTTGGTTGGGAAAAAGAGAAAAAAAAATTCATACTGCATTTACCTACATAACCTCAATCCCGGCAATCGTCGGCTCCAAGAATCCAGCGCTACAGGTACCCACTGCATACATCAAATCAAGGATGTACCGGCCTCTAGCTAGGTACCTACCTAGGTATCTTTCCTAAAGTGTCTGGGTACATATCTGGTCGTATAGAAGTTACCCGCAGAGGTATCTTGGACAGGCTAGATACCTGCTAGGATACATGCCTACCTGCAGGTGTATACATACTTACCTCCTAGGTATTGAAGAGGCGAGACAAATTCCTTGGCTCGCTCCACCGAAGAGGGAAAAAACAGGTATCTACTCCGTACCTCTGTAGGGTAGGCAGAGTGGTGTAGAGGATGGAAGTGAGGAAAGCCCTTCGCAAATGGGGTTTTCCACACAACCCCGCAACTAGCCTGCTACTACTGGAGGCGTCCCTGTACGTACCTCAGCCACCAACGGACCTGCATACCTGTACTAAACGACCTAGAATTACGTAATGGAGAGAGCGCGGCATAAGAAGCTCGCCTTGCCGTGCCTGAGGTAGGTAGGTATGGTAATCCTTCAATCCCTACGTAGGGGTGTATCGGCTCATCGTCCCCGTCTGGCCCCAACGGCGATGTCGACACCATTTTGCCTGCCTTACGTGGCGTTCAACAGATCTGCTCCGGAACGTTCGCCAGCCTCTACGGCAGACTCTTGGTGAGGAGACAACACACACACGCAGTTGCAGCGATCGTAGGCGAGTCTTACCACGCCTACCGATTGCGCGATCGAGATCAAACCAGACCGAAAACACGACCTAGTAGTTGGGGAATAGCGGTAGCACGGGACGCGCAAAGCATATACCCAAGGTATCCATTTTTATGTGTATTGGTAACACTACCTGATAATTTGCAGCTCGATACAGAACTATGGGATGAGGTGCTCCCGATCCAAGAGGTGTGGGATTGGGGATCGGTATCTCTCCAACCGCCCTTGAGCGCGGCGGCAGGGCAAGAAGAAAAAAGATGGGAATCAGCACAAGTTTTCCCGAACTCCTCTCCCCCGGTTGAACGCCTCGCTATGATTGAATGTAAAATGACCTCTCCCTCTCTCTCTCTCTCTCTCTCTCTCTCTCTCTCTCTCTCTCTTCTTTCCCTACGCCTCTGTGGCAAGGCGCAGACAGAGTGGAGACGGCGATGATTCACGCTCGCTGTCACGCCCCGCACCGTGGGAGACCAACCTCGGGTGTTGACCTAGTCACTTGCCCCGAAAGCAAATCTACCACGTGAAGCTCTCCTCGACAAAATCGACCACCGAGCTCACGTCTTGTATCTCGCGCACCGCTTGTCGGACGTCGTCCGCGAGCCCGCCGGGGCCACATACGGTGACACACATCGCGCCGATCTGCTCCTCAACCTCCTTCTTGAGAAGTGTTGGGATATTGGGCCGCCCCGGAAGCATTTGGACCGTCGTCGACGCCGAGTGGATCTCCCTCGCGTTCTTGGGCCGCGTGACAAACAGCCGTATGTTAAGGACTTCTCGCCGCCGCGGCATCCGCAGGATATCGTCCATCCAGGGCCGCACCCACTCGAGCGATTCGGTGTCGCGTATGATCCATACCAGGGTTATGCGCCTCGTCGCGATCGTCTCGTCGTTGAAGCCCTGGATCAGCGGCCTGATGTACGAGATCTGGTGCGTGATGCCGGTCGAGCCAGCAAAGAGGACGACGTGGCCGTACGATTCGAGAGAGTGGTGGCCGGCGTATGGGCCTTCCATCGCTGCCCTCAGTCGGATGGGTTGGCCCCCACCCTTGAGAGCTTTATCGTATAATTTCCGAGTGAACCCGCTGTGAGCGCCGATGACAAAAGAGACCGACGTTTTTCCCCCTCTTCGCAGCGATACGCTACTATCTTTCTCTTCCTCGATTGCTATCATGTCCGGCCCGGGGCGGTGTTCGACCCAGGCGACAGAGAATGGGTGATTTTCCCAGGGGTTGACCCCCATGAATCGGAGGTAGGCGTGGGTCCCGGGCTCGATGTCTACGTAGCGGGGCAGATGCACCGTGACACGACAGGCGTCGGCAGGCATCGGCTCGATGACCGCCTCGGTGAGACCGCTCCGGGACCAGTTGTTATAGGCGAGGCGAAACATGCGCGCCACCCGCTCCGCTAACCAGAGCAGGAAGATGGCCATCATCCACGAGAGCTGAGGGAGCCCGCCAGGGAGCTGCGCGGTCGCGCAGTGGACCCAGGTCATGATAAAGACGATGAGGGCGAGGATGATGTGGATATTTAAGAAGGTCTCGTAGAAGGCGTGACGGACGGGCGAGAGCGAGAGGAAGAAGAGAACGACGAGCGCGATCGTTCCGGCGAAGCCAGAAGCCAGGAACGTCTCGTGGGTCAGCTTGAAATTCATCCCTTCGTAGCCGTCCGCGGCGGCGGCGACGTAGGCCCAGGCGACCGTATGTATGATGGCTTCTATGACGACTATGCGGCCCATCCACCGATGGAGCAGGTTGTAGGTGTCGAAGCTGACCCTCAGCATCGCGATGAGGGGGTTGTTGCGGCCGGCGAGGATGATGAGGGGGACCATACTGACCACAGATAGCGTGCCGGAGCGCCCTCGGATCTCGGCGGCCAGAGCGTACTGGTTCTCCTGGGACCAGTTTACGTGGAACATGTAGACCATGTTGCTGATCAGGTAGATGCCGAGGATGACGGTGTGGAGTCGGGACGGCAGGGTCCCTATGCTGACGGCCGAAGAGAGCTTGATCTCTCGGTTGTGTCGTTTCCTCCACAGCGGCGCGTAGATGAGATGCTTCTTGAGGCCCGGCATCCAGCTCCATTGAGATTTCCTCCAGTATCCTTGCTTCTCGGCGGGCACGGACATGGTCGAGACGTGCCGCAGTTTGCTCCAGGCTATGTCGAGAAGGCGGATGGCAAGCATCGCCAGCGCCATGATCCCCAGCGTCCACCAGAGCACGTCCTTATACAGCATGTTGCTATCCTGGTCCACGCCGTTCAGCGCAGTGGCAAAGGGGGCGATGGTGGACGTGGGATCGTGTTCTTCGGTTCCCGTATGCACGGTTGGGGTGGCCGTGCCTTCGTCACGAAGTGCTAGTATTGCTGCTGGTGTAAGTGGCCCGAGGGCGGCGATCCGGCGCCGTATGAGCGACATGGCTCAGCGAATGGGTATCAGCGAATAGCGTGGTAGTGAGCGCTCTCAGCGCGAAGAAGAAAAAAACGAATATTCCAAGCGACGCAGCGGTCCGGAAAACGATGGGGGACGAGGGGGTTAAGGGGAGGGGGGGAACAAGGAGAATCTATAGCAAAAAAGGGCGATTTGTCCGATAATCCAGAAGCCCCGGGGGCAAAGAACACTATTATGCATTCGAGGCCTCTATGAATGCATTGTGTTCTAGAAACAGCAAGGGTGTCTGGAGTCAAGGGCGAGACGATGCTTTTTGTCAGGGTTTTAAGGCGGCTTTGTAGTGCCTTGGGGCGCGGCAGAGGCACGCCTACGTCCCTTGCCTCGGGCCACAGCAAAGGATAGACACAAAGAGAGGGGGGGGGGACTCTGAGTGCCGCCCGGTCCTCGCGTTTTCTAGCCTGACAGGATAGGGTGACTTAGGTGCGATATGCTGTCCCCGTTCCCTTCGTCACCTGCGATAGTTATACCTGTATAAGTGGACAGGTGGGAGATCTAGCCGGCAGCCGGCAGCCGACGACTCGGTATTTTCCCAGACAAGCAAAGGGTATGGCGGGCAATAAGCGCGTCGTGATATATTGCCCGTCTACTGTAAAACGATGGTAATCGTCCGGTAGATGGACTGGCTCTGTAGGTTGGTCTCCGGTAAAAATGATGGGGGTTGTTGTTCTTCTTTCGGGTGGACAGAGAGAGCACGGATGTATAAGTGAACGATAAGCGAGAGCGAAGGATGGGGTGAATAATCCGTCGAGTAAATAGGCGGAGGGAGAGAAGTACACGGGATGAGTGAGTGACTGGATGAACGGGGCCACCGTTGGACGGATGACAGGAAGCAGGCAAGGAACGAGAAAGCTTGCCGAGCTTGCTGGCTGCCCCCGAAGAGGAAGGGGAGGGAGGTAGGGAAGAAAAAAAAAACAAGGTTGAATCCTGACCACAGGAGGGAGATTAGCAGAGGGAATGAAGTAGAGATGCAGATATGTCAATCAGCAAGATTGCAAGTGGTCGCCAGGGCCACAACGAGGACGATCTCTTTACGATCTCGCCCCCAAAGTGCGGATATGATTCCAACCAAAAGAGGAGGGGTGGAAATTGCGCCGGACAGAAACAGGCCAAAAAGACACCAAACAGGAAGAGATAGGAAGATCGTCGAGGACAAGCCCGTCGGGTCGGGGGGGCTTACGGGTTTATGCAGGAATTATCGTGACGAGCATGTTCGGTTCCCCTGAGCCCAGCTCGGCCGGACGTAGACCATCGAGTCAGGTCGAGAAGAGGTTGACGCACGGCATTCTGCCACTATGGCGAGGCCCACAGCGGAACATTGTGACGGCGCAGAGGAGTATGAGTCTTTTTTTTCTCTCCATTCTCTTTCTTTGTTTCCCTCTTTCATTCTTCCTCTCCTTCTCTCGATCCTTCGCCTGCGGCTTCCAGCATCCCACCACGTGTTGGGCTGGGTTTGCGCAGCTCGGACAGCCAGTGGCGGCACCCGATGTCGTCGACAGCCCAGACGCCGGCTCAGAACCTGTCGCTGCTGCGTTCCTGGCCGCGCTGACTGGGCGGCGGTGATTTGGCCACAAGCGCCGATTACTGCAGGTGGTATCCGGACATCCCCCCCCCCTAGCGGGAGACCCAGATTCAGGAGGCAGCTTGGCGATTATTACTACGGCGTGGTACCTCGACGACTCCTTCGCGCTGCAGACGCGGCTGGCAGGATGCGGCAGCACGCTCGCACTCGCTCGTACCCCCGCTGGTGTGCTCGCTAGTGCCCTCCCGCTAGCGCATGTATTCCGCTCCTTGCCGACGCAGGACGCAGGGGTACCGGCGTAGGTCGACTTGATAGGGCGAGAGCGTACGCCGTCTCGCAGCCCCCGTCGCCCCGGCGCGCCCTGGCGGTCTGTTAAGAGCTGCCGCTGATTGGCGCGGTGTTCAGCCACCCCGTACCGACCGAAGGGCTTCAGGGGCTGGCTGCTCGCTAGGCCATCTTCCTCCACTCCACTCTATTGTTGAGTGGCGCTCTGTACAGCGGGCTCTTCCTGCTACCGTGTGTACTGCGGTATGTACCGCCTACGTAGGGATGCATGTCCCTTCCACAGAGGGATCTGGTGTCTTAGGTACCTCTCCGGGTACCCGTCTCGCAACCGGTAGGTACGGGACATAGGAGGGGAGGCCGTCCGTCCCCGCTGCCAGCCTGGGCGGCGATCCAATAAGAGGGTTAATCTGATCCTTGCTTCCACCATTTACCCAGATTGTTCGCGACGTCAGCGTCCGCACACCTATCATTTCTTCTCACAACTTCGTGCTTCCTACTGAGCCGTCCTTTTTTTCCCTCCCTCTCCGTACTTCCACTGCTTCTGCCCAATGCCATGTGCTGTGAAACATGGCAGATTACACCATCCGCTAGACCCTGCTCCGCATCTCCTCCCCGTAAGGCAACCCAACTTTGGGCGTACTAGCCCTTTTTCCCGCCTGCCTCCGAGTTAGATGATGCTCATATGACTCGTGGGAAGCGACTAGCCGCAAGGCGACGCGGTACGGGTCCTCCGCCGAGGTCGAGATCGCATGCCCGAGTCAGATATCAGCCGCGAGACCTGTCCTAAAAATTCGCGTGTATGCGCCGGTGCGTGGGCGACATTAATTTCCAGTTCTTGTCACGTCTCCCGCCCGGAGGCAGCGAAATAGCGAAGATGGCTTGGTCTCATACGAGTGACGCTTTGCGAATCACCCGCTAGATATATGTCGCCGCCCCGTCCCACGATAAAAAGAGCTAGATCGTTTCCAGACCTGCCGTGTTCGTTGCGACCGACGTGACCAAGCAGATAGGTAGATGATAGTTCGGTGCCATATCCGACGTGAGTATCTTCCGAGTGTAAACAAATACGTGCGTCGCGGTACCGCTCGTGAAATCGGTTGGTTCCCTAAACGCTTCCGCACATCTTAGCGATGGTGGAACACGAGCAGCTAAAGGTACCAAAGATCCCTGGTATGCGGTACCCAGCTCGGGACGACGGCAGATGCGAAAATGCAGTGCCCGGCCACCCAACACGTAGCGCCGCCTCTCTCCCTCCCTCTCTCTTAAACTGTCTGGACGGATGCGCCACCAGAGTTTTCACTGGCATCCGCTAGCGTAGTACACGGCAATATGGCCATACTAGCTCCCTCTGGATAGGTGCCGATCATCAACCATCGCGCGCGTCGACGTCGTGATGAGGCTGAACAGACCGCGCTGAGGCTGCGGCGCATCGCCATGCAGCCAGGTGCCTATGTCAACAGCAGTCCCTCCTCGTAGCCGCAGAGCCGGATACTACATACACATCGCGCGTATTTGATAGGTAATCGTTTGTCAGAGTCGCGGAGTCGGCAGGCGTGAGAGAAAGCGGTGCCGGCTTAATGGTAACGACGTCCCCATATTTCCCCAGATCTGGGACAATATGACGATGATAAATGCCTACCTACCTACATGGTACATAACCTACCTACGTGGGTATACACAAGGGATCTTTCATAGGCACCCAAGCTGCTGTGCTCACCGGGATCCCTTTGCTCGTCCCCCTCGATCGACGCCGCTAGGAACGCGCTGTCTTAACTTCCTCCCATGTCTTGCACCTATGTACGCGGTACTACGTATGTGGTACAACGTATTAGCATCCTTATCGAGTCCTTCCCTGGGATACCGTTGCGGGCTAGTTCGCTCTTCTGCCAAGGCCCGATACTGGCAGCCAATCTCGCCGCTAATCTCGGATGAAACAATGGGAAATATCTTGTCTTGAACGCGCCGTGGATAAGGCCACCTGTGATGCGCTCTACCATGCTGATAGCAGGCGAGTCGGGCCGGCCATCGGAATCCGCTCGGGAGGCCTAGATGACCATTCGTAGCACGATAGGCTTCGGGGAGCCTCTGCTTCGGGTGCTGCCCTGATAATCTCCTACCCACATCATTCCTTCGTTGGGCGCATTTTAAAATCGCCAACGCCACATCGACCTTTGTGAGAGCTGCGCTATCTAGGTATCTATCCTATCGACATCCCCCCCCCCCCCCCCCCCTAAACTACGAGCCTAAACGCTGTCTGGCTACACCGCAGCACGGGCAAGCCGACGAATCTCTCGGTCCCGCTAACTTCGCCTCGGTCGCCGGTAAGCGACTCGGAGAGACTAGACGTTGTAAAAATCTGTGGCCATCTCTGCCACGTGGACTTGGCACGCTGGAAACGCGAAACTCGTCGGCGTTGTAAGCCGCCATGCCGTGGTGTAGTCCATCGGCGTTCCTGGCGGGGCGGGTTCGTCCACCCACTCCCGCACTTAGGTATACTTTGAGAGGAGTCCACGCAAGAGGAAATTTCCTTCCAGCGGGTTCTTTTAAAAAAAAAAAAATCGCACGAACCGTTTTTGCGGCGTAGGAGCGAAGTGACCTGCTTCCTTAAGGGTAGGTACCTAGGTACGTAGTAGATAGCGCACCGAGTTTACGGTATTCCTTTAAATGCATACAGTCGTATACCGTTTACTATATTATCCCTCCTGTCGGGTTACTAAATTGTACCACGCCTGCCAACGCGTAGTCTCGTCATAGGCGGGAAATCACGGCTTCGATGTCCCGTTATTTTGTGAGCCACGATAACCTCACACCTTTTCGTCGACTCGATAGAGTAAAAAGAAGAAGCAAAGAATAGAATCAAAAACATACGCAAGCCCAAGGATGCCTATTCTGTCCTCGGGAGATCTCTGACCTCGCCTGATTCAGTTGACGCCGGGGCCCCCACGGAATCCAGGAGCTACTGGCTGTGTCTGTCTGCTTTGGGGACTATTCACAAGGGATCACTGCATGGCAATGAACAGGTGACAGCGTAGAGCACCTGGGCCATTTCTTCTGCTCCCGGACACGCGCCAGGCCGCAGCACCATGTCCCGCTTTCTCACCCCAGCCAAAATCGGCCTCCTGGCTCTCATTGAGCTGTACACCCACAAGGCTGTCCCGACGGCTTCCATTGTCGAAGTCCTCTCCTTCATAACCTCTCACCTGATCGAAAATGACGTCTCAACCTCCTTCTCCTGCCCCGAACGCCGGTGGAAGCCGGCCGAAAGTACCGTCAGCCTCGTCATCTCCATCGCCGATTTCGAACGGGTCTTGGCGCCGCACACCGCAGCCTCGGGCATGCCGGGCCGGAGCCTGTGGTACGTCTTTGTGGATAGGCTGTGGAAGATCGACTCACTAGATGCCCTGCACGAGTTCTTCGACCGCTGCGCGAACCTGCTGGCGAAATCAAAAGAGGAGCTCCGTCGGGATGCCGAGATGGGTGTACCCGCACCGGATCCGGAAGCCATCCTGCTCTCCCGCAACTCGCCTTTCGGCGCCTTCGTGCGCAGATCCCGGCTCGAGTTCACGCGGCTGCGCTTTCACGACGCTTTCGAGCTGTGGAAGGCCTTCATCAGATACCGGCAGACTACGGCAGCATATTACCGGAAGAAGACGCCTTCCTTCCAAAGGCTCAGCTTCGACCACGTCCTTCTTACTGGGGAGAGCGACTGGGGTGCTGGCGTTGAGAGCGTTGCTTCTGTGGCCTACGGAGATATGCTGAGGGACGACCCCACCTCAACCCTACCCGTCAGCACCGACGACGTTCAGAAACTGCTCGAGTTTCAGATTGAGCAAATGCAGAGATACGGCAGTCGGATACCCCCAGAGATACAACGACAATTCCACGACTTGCTACACGACAGCCTCGTCATACCGAGCTTGTCCCACTATCTGAGCTATCTGGATGCGTGGAGAGCCGGGGACTATTCTACTTCTTTCGACTACTTGCACCGATACTTCGACTACACGATGCAAAATAGGGACAGGTCCTTTTACCAATACGCTCTCATGAACCTTGCAGTGCTCCAAGCAGACTTTGGGTGCCACAAGGAGGCTATCTCCGCTATGCTCGAAACCGTGTCTACGGCTAGGGAGAACCGAGATATGACCTGTTTGAACTTTGCCCTCAACTGGCTCTTCCACTTTGGCCGAGCCCACCCCGAAATCACCAAGGAGCTCGAGTCAAATAGCATGCTGGGGACGGGCAAGGAGTCGCTGGCTTTCCTCCGGAGCCGGGCCAAGGAGACAGACATGTGGGCGCTCTGGAGTTCCTCGTTGATGAGCGAGGCCAAGATGACCCTCTGGAACGGCGAGAGCGTGGCGACGGCCGTCGAGCACCTCGTCAGAAGCTCGCAGATCCTGGTCGAACGCAACATGAAGGGCCTGGTCGGCTCGCAGCTGTCGATCAGCATAGCGCTGTGGGACCGGCTAGGAATCACCTATCTGGCCGCGACCGCCGCCGAGGTGTTCATCCGCTGCCACGCGCGCCACACCATATTCGACGACGAGCTGAAGGTGGCGGGCCGGCAGGCGTCGATGCTGACGCTGAAGGGCAAGTACGACGAGGCGCTGGGGCTGCTAGAGGCCATGGACGCGAACTCGCTGCGGGCGTGGCGGCCGAACCAGTCGTGGCACAAGTACCGCGGCATCATCAAGCTCAAGCGGGACATCCGGCGGGACAACCTGAGGGAGGCGGAGCTGCTGCTGTCGCAGCTGCTCCAGTCCAAGCACGAGGACTTCGAGCCCGACCTCGCCTTCGTCATCGACAACCTGCACGTCAAGTACCTGATGCGCCGGGGCAGCCTCGACGACGCCTTCGCCGAGGTCGAGCGCATGATGGCCGAGCTGCGCGACGAGAACCGCGACGTGGCGCTGCGCGTGCGCCTGCTGCTGCTCAAGGCCGACATCCTGGCGCGGTGCGGCCGCGCCGAGCGCGGGTTCACGGCCGCAGTGCGGGCGGCCCACGTGGCGTGGCGGGCGCGGCTGGCGCCGCAGCTGTGGGCGGCGATGGGCGCGGTGGCGCGGGTGCTGAACGCGGTGGGCGAGTTCGCGGCGGCCGCGGCGCTGCTGGCCGCGGCGCTGCCGCGCTGCCTCGAGTGCGAGGACGCGGCCGCCGCCGCCGCGCTGTACGCGCAGCTCGCGGACGCAAGCATGGGCCTGGCGGGGCGCGCCGCCGCCGCCTCCCCCCCGCGCCGCGAGCGCATCGCCCAGGCCCTCGAGGCCGTCGAGCGCGCCTTCGCCCTCTACGCCGCCGTCGAGGACCTCCCCTGCCAGTGCGAGATGCTCGCCAAGAAGGCCACCATCATGCGCGTCTCCGGCGACCCCGTCCTCGCCAACGACTGCGCCGCCGCGTACCTCGCCATACGCAGGGATGCGGCCGCGCGGGCGGGGGGGTGGGGGTAAGGGGGTAAAGAGAGGGGAGGGGAGAGGAGTTGGGGCGGTAGGACGGGTGTAAAGGAGAACACTAGACGAGTCTACGCGTCGAACACGGGAATCGAGAGGGGAACTTGGCAGCACGGGTGGAGTTGGGGGGGTAGGCATTGCAATCAAGAGGCACTTGCGCGACGGACTACGAAGTCTGGGGGGGGGGGGTCTCTAACTATAGGTGTCAGGCCGGCTTTAAACGAGATTCGGTCTTGATAGTATACATAGATCCAATATATACATACGTGTGCACAGTAGGCAGGCTGCCAGCTAACTTGGACCCTTTTACCCCGTCTCCTCCCTGAGGTCCCCTTTGCCCAATGCCAGCCGTGTGCTTTGTCAACTCCACGACTATATTCTCCGGCTAGCTAGCCTCTGCCACTCTCCCCACCCCTTCAGGGATCGCGTATTCTGTAGACGGCGTATAACTTTTAATTAGGTATGTGTTGAGGTAGGTCGCAGTGAGATGTTCGACTGTCGAGCGGGCAGCTTGCGTAACTTACGCTACACAGGTGACGAAAACAGCAAGCCTACCAGCCTAGCGGCACGCATTCAGTTTCGGCCTTTTAGGCGCAGCGTCGTAAACTGGGTATTTTCCTAGTTGTCTCATTTGTCGCTCCAGGCGATATTCCGGCCCTGCTTGTCGCGGAGCTGGCCCTCGCGGGGGGGGCGGCCGAGGGGGTCGGCGTCGGGGGGGTCAGCGTCGGCCTCGGAGGCGTCGTTGGTGGCCCAGATGCGGTCGACGGCGAGGTCGAAGGGGCCGGGGACGCGGTCGGTGAGGCCGAGGCCGACGGAGCGGACGCTCTGGCGGAGCATCTCGGCCTGGGGCTCGACGACGAAGCCGTGGTTGGTGCGGACGAAGTCGTTCCAGCGGATGAGGACGGTCTCCCAGGCGCCGGGGCGGCGGACGTAGAGGCGGTGCTGGTGCAGGTCCGTCGGCTCGAGCGACTCCGTCTGCACGTTGACCAGCCAGCTGCGCCCGTCCGACCGCACCCGCAGCGCCAGGTACGTGTACATGTCGATGTCCCACGTGCCCCGCCCGAACAGCGTCCGCGGCCGGTCCAGCGTCCGCCACGCCGCGAACCCCGACCGCTGGATCTGCGGCCGGTCCGGCGGCAGCGCCGTCGAGATCGTCCCGTGGAAGTGCGCGTACCCCTGCCCCGTCCCGGAGCCCGGCCCGCCGGCGTCCCGCGCCGCGCCGGGCGCGGACGCGGACGCGGACCCGGGAGGAGGGATCCAGTCGAGCGTCGCCTTCGAGAAGCCGCCTATGTCGGCGTCGCTCATCACCTTGGCCTCCTTGAGCGACTCGGCGGTGTGGAAGTTGTGGAGGGGCATCGGGCCCGAGGGCCCCTTGATGCCCTCGAGCTTGAAGGCTGCGGCATCTTGTCAGCGTACGGGGCGGGATTCGCGGTAACGAGGGACTGCGCGGGCTTCTATGGTGCTGTGTGTGTGTGACTGTATGTAGGTACCTATGTTGGCGAGGCGCTTGAACTCGTCGAGGCTGCGCCCCCAGAAGCCCTTGTACAGGCACGCCGCGGTGGCGCGCATCTTGGAAGCCGACGTCGGGATTCAGAAAGGTCTGCAGAAATCAGATTCGAATCGCGGCCAGGCGAGCAGAAAACCGGCGAGGCGGCGAAGTACGGGGATCGGATTAAGGAGGTGATGTGGTCGATGAGCCAGACGGCTCCGTCATCCGATTTGACATCCGTATCGCGCGGGGCTATTCCAGAGATCCTCAGGATCCAGCGTATGATGGTGGTAAAGAAGGTAGCGAAGACATCGCTACACTAGAGCAAGGCAAAGTACCTAGCTACCTGTACGCATAGTGAAGTGGCGTCTTACGTAATGCGATCTAGGTGGAGGCGGGGTCAATGAAAATGGAATTACGTAGGTACCTAGGTAGTCTCGTGCGTTTTGGCTGGCCCGCTTCCTGTGATCCCACCAATACCTACAAGCCAGTCGGTAACTAGTATTAGAATCTTAGGATGCTGAACCTGATAAACCGTTGATCTATTAGGAGAGATAACTAGAAGCTATTGCGAATTAGAGAGCTTATTGGCTCCAGTCAATAATGGGGTCTCGGATTCACGATACCTAATCCGGGGATCCACGTTACTCCTCTCCTCCCTGACCCTCCGCGATCTCCTGATGGATTCACGATAGCCTCATTTGTTCCCGCAACCGTTGTCGATCCCGCTCGAGCATTCTCCCGAAATTTCCTTGCCTCTTCAGTCAACTTCGACGGGTTTTCTCGACAGTGTTGAATACGGTCCCGTCCACGTTTTCACGTGCCAACCTCGGAGGTCAGTGGTATAGGTATCTTTGACATCTATCTCATATGTGTAGAGGTCTCTGGCGAGATTATGACGCTCAGTGCTTTTTTGCCGGCGACTCTTCAGGGTCAGGATTTGGCCCCGGATTGTCGTTCCCTTCTTTATCGCACTTCGGTCTTAACAACGACAATGTACCCACCGCAGGCTCCATCTCAGATATTTAGCCTTGTATCCATTTCCGGTTATTTCGTGGCATAAACATCTTGTTTGCACTTGATATCGGCGGCTTTACCGCGAGCGATTAAGTGACCTCCTGTGGAGAGTGTTATCTGAGGATGTGTAACAGTTTAGCGACGTTTTTCCAATAGGTGTCTTTTCTTGAAATCGTAGAGCATCTGCTTGCCAGTGACGAATGGAATCTATCACGTACTCATTATTCCGGTCTTGGTTTGTTAGGGGGATGAATGCCTTTTGCCGGAGCGTCCATATCCATGAGCCCGTTCTCGAACTTAATACCGTTATCTAGTTTTGCAAGGGCAATATCCGCGTTACGTATCCGTTCGCGGACAAAGCCAACCGTCGTGCTAGGTTTGCCAGGATCTCTTCTGGCAAGGCTTCCCAATTGTGCCAGGAACAGGTAGGCCGTCGCTTTTGACCATTTTCAATGAGAACACCCACGGGGATGGAGCGCTGGACACCCCCACCCCCGGCTAGGGCGCTGACCACAGGTAACACTACCAAGATTGAATTGACCTATGATCGGCCGATAGTGTTAATACTGAAATGCCGGAAATAGTTCTTATATCTAACGCACCATCTGTCTGTATATACTCAGTCTCGTCAGCCACAAGACTATCAAGGCAGGATCCGGGTTTATGGGGTGATATCGTCATGGAAAGCCGCAAGATATTCACTGGCGTTGCTCGGCTCAATGTCACCATAGGTGCCCATGAGGGATCACGAAGAAGTGTCACGCGAAAACGTAGACGCCTATATTCCCGTCGTGGGTTATGTAGGCTTACGAAGTAGGACTCCCTACGTAATGAGAAGGTTATAGGCTTCGGAGGCGTGGAGTCTGGCGATGCTGTCAGTTAGTTGACTGTAGAACCGGGTTACCCACGTGCCATAGTGTCAACCAGGTTAGGTATATTACTTAATACTACAAATCTACAACTATTCGGCCTACTATTTCACCAGCTGATGGCGAACTGGCTTTATTATTGACGTCGCTACGTTTTCTACGAGTCAAGATCTTGTACGACCAGTTTCATGACTGCACCTTCAGTCAGATACGGATCAAGAATCTGTTCGACCTTCTCGGCCCAGTCATCCGACCAGTCAGAATGGGCAAAACACGATGCATACTCCCAGTAACTAGGATACCAACCAGCGAACTCCCAGTCCAGGATAGCCACCACCTGAAATCTCTTCAAGCCCCCCTCAATGCTTTGCTCCTGGACGAGGATGTTTTTTCGTTGGAAATCCGAATGCGTGAATACCATTTCGTGGTTACGCAACATGGTTGACAAATGACGAGAGAAGAACTCTGACATCCAGCCCCGCCGTCCATATTCATCCCAATTTCTCTTAGACCGTAAAACAAGAGCCTGGCAGACATCTTCCTCTGTTGTAAAGGGGCCGGTAACGAGCGGGTCGTTGTCTAGCGAGAAGAAGTAGCGGTGGGGTAGCGGCCCTCCATAGACTCCACTGGCAATCCCAAGTGACGGGAGAGCACGCACATGGTCCAAAATTTGTCGCAGTTGGCTCACAATAGGCGACTTTTCCTCTTCAGATATGTGTGGCCACACATCGTCAAGACCCTGACCAGAGATAAACTCCATGATGATGAAGAGCTTGTCACTTTCCCAGTACATGGCGTACAGGCGAGGAGTTGGGATTTGTGTAAATTTCTCTAGGAATATCAACGCGTGACCTTCATTCTCAAATACTGCGGGGCCGTATTTGACAACAAATTTATTCTTCACCAAGACGGTGCGCCGAGCGCTCGGATCGAAGATACTAAGGAATGCTGCCGTAGCGGCCTCGATCTCGGTTCTTGTCGGAAGAGGGCCGGGAATTTCGTCCTTGTGGCGAATCCACGGGAGAGCAGGAATCGCCTTCGTTATGAAATTTGTCGACATCGTGGGTATCGGAAGTACAGATTCCATGACAATTCCATGATAATTCCGTGATAATACCGTAGAGAAGACCTGTGATTTGCCCTTCCTGGCTGGCTTGGCAGTATCAGCGCAACGCCAACAGCCAATGGCGCTGCCATTTCTGACCCGGCCGTGTGGTACGGTCCGTAATGCAGACCTTTGGCCTACCTTGCTGCCTACATACATGAGTCAACCCCCACAAGCAGGCAGGTAGATCCGAGCGATTTATATTAAGACACAGTTGGTAATTGGTAACTGTCGGAAGTGTGACGGCTTAAAATGGTCTGTTGTCCCTGGGAAGTCTAATACTCTGCATGCAAAAGAACTCGTCGAGTACCTATACACGCCCAAATACCTGAGACACAGTCCTTCGGGGCACTCCAGCACCTCCGAAGCAGAAGGCTTTCAAAACCAGGATAACGGAACCAGTCAAGCCCCTGAACCCCCTGACCTTTTACGAAAGCGGGGAAGCTCGTCGGTCGTTGAAAAAATGTACTGAGTGGACGGAGGAGCAAGTGATTCCTACACTACGGCGTCAAGGCTTGATTCAGAAGCATGCTTCTTAGCGATCCGCATGATGCCGTAAAGAGTGTTTGAAATTAAGGATATTGTTGTTCCCGAGTTATGGATTTTTGTTTGTTGGATCAGGAATAACACCTCCGGCACCAGGAACTAGATTCTCTCCTACAGGTCACTCGTTTTCTCTATATGAGCATGTCCTTTAGGCGAAATACGCCAGTCCGCTCTTGAGAATGAAATAGGGAGGTATGTCACACTCTCTATGCCCCGACATCTCCAAGATGAGGCAGATACATGTAGGTAGTTGGTACCCCGACTTATTGATTCTTATTAACGTGGCTAGTAGAATGAACAATGGTGCATTATGATTAAAACTAATGGTCGGGGACGATTACTACTTTTTTTTAGGCACCAGTGTGTTATACTGAAGAGGAACAGCGTGGGCACGCTGTTGGTAGGAAACAGCTATTATAACTGCCAACAACTAACTCAGGTGCCAATTAATAGGATAACAGCTGCAACAGCAGGTTGGCAGCTGTATCATATGATCGGCCAGCTGTAGGTGGCAGCTGGAAGAAACAAGAAGAATGACTAAGATGAAGACGACGAATACAAATGCATGGCAGCGAGGATGACAGCCAAAAGAGTGTATTCTATCTGTGCAATGATTGCTGTAAATGGCAATAAAGGATAAAAGGATGAGTGATGAAAATATTACGTGCGAGACCTAGGTAAATATAATAAAGTAAAGCGGAAGACCTCGTGTTCACACGTGTGGGAGTTAGGGGTTGCAGCTATAGACTAGGTAGTTTAGGCACCTACCTAGGCAGCCTCTGATTATGCCAAGGAGATGGAGGGGAGAGACTGGTACTTATAGGAACGCCTGAAGGGGTACCTAGGTACGGTATATCAACAGCGAACGGTTTAGGTGGACGTTAAGGGGATAGGAGGCACCTAACTCAAGAGAAAAAAAATGGTTTGACGGAAGAAAAGATACAGGTAGGTACATGCGAAAGTCAAGTACCTAAAGAGGTACTTCCGATCTGTTGGACACGTTGAATGGGCCTAGCCTAAGGATTTATGACAGGTAGCGTTAGGTACCTCCTCCTACGTAAGGTACCTACCCTACGGTATCTCTTATCAATGTACGGGCTCCTTGCCCGCCACCGCAGCCGCGCGTTCATCCCGTCATCTCGCCGTGGCGGTCCCAGCGCCAAGAGCCAGGTCCAAAGCTCCGTCCACCGCGCTATTCCATCCAAATCATCTTCCACCAACGTCGTTTTACCTATGCCATCCGCGTCCAACGCAAACTCGACGAACCCCCCATCCCCCTCCCCGTTTCCCTCTAACCGACCGTGCAGGACGAGACGGTGTTATCGAGACTGCCGAAGTTGCCTCTTGTCCCCGTACACATACCTCGCACCTTGTCCTCTCACCCCCTGACCAGCTCCGTTGGATGCGATGCGCTGTGGTGGTAGTCGTCAGATAGCTGTGGCTCGCCCGTGAAGCTCCATCCCATCTCGACCTAATTCGACCAGCCGAGACCCAACCTACCTCACGCCTCACCGACTCCTCGCCTCGCCGGCCGTGACGGAGAAGCAGTACGTCGCTGGCGATAAGTACACTGGCACATCCACCATGGCTACCGTCCGCAGCCTCGACCATACCAAGTCCGTGTCTTCTCCCTCCTCGTCTCGTCTGCGTCTCCTGAAGCCCACCCCAACCTCCTACTGCAACCCGCACACTGTCTTCCACCCCCTACATTATGGCCGATACCTATCCCATTACTATCCATGGCCGTATTAACTATGGCCTTCACAGGTCCGAGGCCGAGCTCGCCATCAATATCAGGAAAGCCACTAGTGCCGAAGAGACAGCGCCGAAACGAAAACATGTGCGAAGCTGCATTGTCTATACCTGGGACCACAAATCCTCCCAGTCCTTCTGGGCTGGCATGAAAGTGTAGGTGGCAGACGCTCTAGCTCTTGCCGATTCACCGACTTCGCCGCCCCCCTATCATGGCATTCCCAGAGGAAGGGGGAGGGAGTTCAGGGGCTAACAGGGGCTGACGGGGATACCGATATAGGCAACCCATTTTAGCCGACGAAGTGCAAACATTCAAGGCTCTGATCACCATTCATCGCGTCCTACAAGAGGGCCACCCGCAGACGTTGAGAGAAGCGATGGCGAACCGACAGTGGATCGATAGCCTAAATCGAGGGCTCTCCGGCGAGGGTGTCCGTGGCTACGGCCCCCTGATCCGAGATTATGTGTATTTCTTGCTGGCAAAATTATCTTTCCATCAGCAGCACCCTGAGTTCAATGGCACCTTTGAGTACGAGGAATACATCAGTCTGAAGGCCATTAACGATCCTAACGAAGGCTACGAGACCATTACCGACCTTATGGGCCTCCAAGACAAGATCGAGCAATTCCAGAAGTTAATCTTCTCACATTTCCGCGGCGTAGGCAATAACGAGTGTAGAATATCAGCCATCGTCCCGCTGGTGCAGGAGAGTTACGGAATTTACAAGTTCATCACAAGCATGCTGCGAGCCATGCATTCCAGTGCGTTGAAGGCGACAGCTTTGGGCCGGGTTCTAGGCTAACGTTCTGCGTAGCGACCGGTGACAACGACGCCCTGGAGCCTCTGAGGCAACGCTACGACGCTCAGCATTACCGGTTGGTTAAGTTCTACTATGAATGTTCGAACCTGCGGTACTTGACCAGATTGATCTCCATCCCGAAACTACCCCAAGATCCACCCAACTTGCTCGCGGACGACGAAAATGCGCCAGCCCTGCCGGCCCGCCCGAAGCAGGAGATCGAGCGTCAACCCACCCCCGTCCCCCAGCCCAAGACCGAGGAGCCCGGCGAGATTGCCGAATTCTGGCAGGGCGAGATCGACCGGCAGAATAAGGAGTACGAGGAGCAGCAGCGGGTGCTGCATGAACGTCAGCAAGCCGCTCTTCGTGCCCAGCAGGAAGCCCAGTTACAAGCGCAGCGGGACTTCGAAGAACAGCAGAGACGCCTGGCAGAGCAACAGCGGAGGGAGCAAGAGGCATTGCTGGCCCAGCAGGCACAGTGGCAGACGCAAGGAAGGCTGGCTGAGCTCGAACAAGAAAACTTGAACGCGAGGGCGCAGTATGAACGGGACCAGCTCATGCTGCAGCAGTACGATCAACGGGTCAAAGCCCTCGAGAGCGAGCTATCGCAAATCCAGAACAATTTTGGCCAGCAGATAACTAGCAAGGACGACCAGATCCGGGCGCTCCAGGAACAGGTCAACACATGGCGAACGAAATACGAGGCCTTAGCAAAGCTCTACTCCCAATTACGCCACGAGCATCTCGATCTGCTCCAGAAGTTTAAGACGGTTCAGCTAAAGGCTGCGTCGGCACAAGAAGCTATCGAGAGGCGCGAGAAGCTAGAGCGCGAAATCAAGACAAAGAATCTGGAGTTGGCAGATATGATCCGGGAACGAGATCGGGCGCTTCACGATAAGGATAGGCTGAGCGGCAGTAATAAGGACGAAGTCGAGAAGTTGAAGCGAGAGCTGCGTATGGCGAATGACAGGGCCGATAACCTGGAGCGAAGCAAAGGGAACGAGTTGTCCTCCATGCTCGCCAAGTATAACCGAGAGATGTCTGATCTAGAAGAGGCCCTGCGGACCAAGTCCCGCGCCCTGGACGAGGCCCAGGCGAAGCTCCGGGACGGTAGCTCAGATCTCGAGCAACTTCTCCGTGACAAGGAGGAGGAGCTCGAAGTTTACAAAGCCGGCATGGACCAAACCTTGCTCGAGTTGGACGAATTGAAGCGTAACCAAGGCGACACAGACCAGGTCCTGGACGGCCAGATCGATGTGTTGATAATGGCCAACCTGGACAAGATCAATGATATCATCGACTCAGTGCTGCAAGCGGGAGTCTCTCGAATCGACGACGCGTTGTACGAGCTGGATTCGACGATGCAGGCTGGCAACCAGAATGCGTCGCCATCATACGTGCTGTCTCAAATCGAAAAGGCCGCGTCAAGTGCGACAGAATTTGCTACCGCCTTCAACGGCTTCATTGCCGATGGTCCCAACGCCAGCCATGCGGATCTGATCAAAGCAATAAACGTCTACGCGGGAGCCACGGCGGATGTTTGCAGCAACACCAAGGGTCTGACCCGCCTTGCTACTGACGACAAGAAGTCCGATCAGCTCATGAACGGTGCACGTGTGGCTGCCCAGGCTACTGTCAAGTTTTTCCGCAGCCTCCAGAGCTTCCGGCTGGAAGGCATGGACGCCTTGCAGAAGACCGATGTTGTTATCAACGGTAACAGCGATGTTCGTCTAAACCTGCAGAAGTTGACCGCCCTTGTCGAGACCTTCGCCCCGGGATTCGGCCGACTAGCAAACAACAAGGGTGATCTAGGCGACCTCGTCGATTCGGAGTTGAGCAAGGCAGCAGACGCCATCGCCGCAGCTGCTGCTCGCCTGGCTAAGCTGAAGAACAAGCCTCGGGACGGATACTCGACATACGAACTCAAAGTTCACGATTCTATCCTCGACGCCGCCTCGGCGGTCACTAACGCCATCGCCCAACTGATTAAGGCTGCCACCGCCACACAGCAAGAAATCGTCCAAGCAGGACGGGGCACGTCGTCGAGGACGGCCTTCTACAAGAAGAACAACCGGTGGACCGAGGGTCTCATCTCAGCGGCGAAAGCGGTGGCGAGATCGACCAACACCCTCATCGAAACGGCGGATGGTGTGCTGTCTGACCGCAACAGCCCGGAGCAGCTGATCGTGGCGTCGAACGACGTGGCGGCATCGACGGCGCAGCTCGTGGCCGCGAGCCGCGTCAAGGCCGGGTTCATGAGCAAGAGCCAGGAAAGCCTCGAGCAGGCGAGCAAGGCGGTCGGGGCAGCGTGCCGCGCGCTCGTGCGCCAGGTGCAGAACATGATCAAGGACCGCAACCAGGAGGATGATGCGGTCGACTACAGCAAGCTCAACCCGCACGACTTCAAGGTTCGGGAGATGGAGCAGCAGGTGTGTTTCACTCTCTCTTTCACTCCTCCTCTTTCGATGTATCCCTCGTTTTTTTTTTTTTTTCTACGCGATGATTTGACTAGATGCTTACCGAGAACGCCTACAGGTCGAAATTCTGCAGCTCGAGAACTCGCTGGCGGCCGCAAGACACCGGCTCGGCGAGATGCGCAAGATCTCATACCAGGAGGACTAGAGGGAGCATGCGTGAGAAGGGGGAATGGGGAGATGAGGTACGGGTTTCTTGGAAAGTGGGCGGTTGGTGGTTATTACCAGCAGAGACCACGATTGTTATCTTTTTTTCCTTCTGCTTCTCGTCTCACTTCTCTTCCTACAAGTAATCCTTGCAAAAGTGGGCGGTTCACACGTGTCCACATCGACGCCTATCTGTGCCATGTATTTGTGAAGGTGAGGGCGAGAGTTCTGTACAAAATTGCCACACCTCAGGAGGAGGAGGTGGAAGAAGTGATGCTGTTGCCGTTTACCCGCCGAGCTTAGTCTAGGTAGCTAATATAGGGGTTTCCAGTGGGGCCTCGAAGCAGCCCTAACGACCTTAGTTCGGAGGCAGAGGGCGGCTGTAGAAGGAGGATCTACAAGCCAGCTTTCGTATTGTCTCTTGTGATCTCTCACGAAGGCTCCATCTTGGTAGTGATGGTTACGGGGAATAGGTATATATGCCGAGGGAGATAACCCTGCACCTGTGAGAAGGGGTAAGGGCCCTTGCAAGGACATGATATCTCTAGGGCTCGAAGAAACCCTGTGTTCAACCTTTCAGGCTGGCGATATGGCTAGCCAGGCACATAATGATCAGCCGCTGGGACCTGGTGGTTACCTTTAGGAGCAAAGCAGGCACCGCATAGTTTCTACTGGTATTCCGGGCCACATTTCGAGGATTATCGTGTCGATAAATGTATTCTCACGATGCGAGGTGATGGGGAATAGGTGGACGCGACGAGGGCGAGGATAAAATCCCTTCTGCTCTTTCGCTTAGTGAATAATAGAGCTCCGTTTAAGAGCTAGAGACGATGGTATGAATCCTTTGGTTTGGTTTCTGTCAGCCAAGGTGATCAGCCAGCTGAAACTCGACCATTGAAACCGGAGTTCAGTACGGGGAGGAAATAGGCATTGCCCAGGTCATGATAACAGATGCGTTATTCGAACTGGGGAGAGGGGGATCCTCAAAACGCATGAACCAGCACGTCTCTCCGAAGAGTATCTTTCCATGAGCACATGTCACTAGACCCCTATCCCATCTAGATGGGAGTTTCCTCAGACGATGGTCATGACCTATTAACTAACCTTGCCATCCTACGCGTGCTTCTCCATGCTATCTCCTAATTGCTGCTTTGGCAAGCGCTTCCATGGCTGCCCAGCCCTGAGATTAAGGAAGATAAGGGCTAACTATTCACAGTGTATGTGGTCCATCTCAACTTTGATGGCCCCAAAAGCGGAGCCATAAACATGAGCCACAAAATTGTCAGGCACACAGTAACCCAGCGGTGCTTGCAGATCCGGATGCATCTAGTTATATACAGGTCTGTAGTACTGTGCTGGTCGATATTGTCTTTCTCCTATCCAAGCTGTGCTCCGTGAGATTCTGCCTCAGCGGCTGGGTAATTACAATATATGTGTAGGCAGGTAGACAAGCATGTTCTTGACTCGCCCCCTACTCGAGAGCGAAATCTGCTTATGTCTAGAGAGAGATAGATACCTGGGTACCTCCATCCCATCATTCACATATATAGGCATTTACTTTGACACATTCAATAATACAACAGAAAAAGAAGGGCTTAGAAGCAGCTAGCTACGTACAGCTTATTCAGTTGTAATAATTATTAAATAGGGGAAGTTTGTAGAGAGAAAGAAAAAAAAAAGGGGGGGAGGGGGCTGGCAGGTGGTTAGTCACTCAATGTTGACTTGCCCAAAATGGCAAGGAAGCAAGCAGAAGCACTGTGATTCGTGGAATTAAGATAGAAGATCACGCAGCAAGAGATAAAATGGGGGTTGAGAAGCATTAAATCAAGTAAAATTCAAGGTGGTGAAGTTCTTCGTCAAGATGGATCACTGGCAAGTAAAGTTGCATATATAATAATTTCTAACTTACCCTTTGTCATTATTTACACAGGCACACAGGCACACAGGCACACAGACATCCGGTATCAGCTTAGATCAAGCCACGAAATCCCTTTCTCCCTAAGAATGCTGCTCAGCATGCCATCAGCCACAAAGCTGTCTACACACATCTGAATACAGAAGAGGGGGGAGGAGGTAATACTTGGGGATGCTCTACGTAGAAGAACAGATACATTGCTACCTGGAGTAATACCTGTATCGAGCTCCCATTAGTGCCTAAAGTACTAAGGATATTGCAAAAGAAAAAGCAGTATTGCAGTGCGGTATCCTGACCCATTATGCATCCTGTTGTATATCTCTAGCTCAATATCTTTCCAGGTAAAAAGTCCGCATTTCTTTAGCGATAGGGGCATCCCATGACATAAACAGCGGCTACAGAGGGTCAGCCTTCCGCTCTTGTACCAGGGTCAAAACTTCCTCGGCTCCTTTAGGATATGTACGTGACTAGGGAGATTACAGAAGATGGATCTGGTGCTGAACTTGGTAAATTCACCAGTTAGTGAGTGAGCAAGTATTTGCTCTCAGATAACCTAGCCTGGCTAATTGTCTTGGACCCGGCCCCTACAGTCCCTACGTTATCAGCCCAGAGTGTATGGAGATTGGCGATGTCACAATAAACATGCCACACCACTGACCTCAGCTGTGGATTACATACATCAGAGACGGAAGGCAACTTGGTGTAAAAGCCATGTACTTGTGGCTGCTGGCCCGCCCCCACAGTAACATATGTGACTCTAATCCTGCAAATAAACAAATCCTATGTTTGCATCACCTCCTCGAAACAATAATCGAGCTATTGTAGGCCAGTGTGGGAGGTCTCGGCTCTCCAGAGGTATATATTCTCTGATTCAGATGGATCGAGAGCTTCCTTCGCTTGCATCTTACCAGAGTAACCTCCCCGTCCTCGATTTGTGCCATTATTCGAAATGCTATTCACTGTCTGATTCTACCCATGGACAGAATCATACTGTCCTTAGAATATTATATAAAGCTCTTCACCCTCCCCTTCATTGTTTCTTCCTCCTCTCTCTCCCTTTCCCCCTAAACCTTCAAGTCAATCCAGTTCCCCGAATCTCCCAAGATCTCCACCTTCCCAGCTCCTCAGCTTCCTGATTTCTCAGATTATCAACCTCTTGGCTTATCAGCTTCCCATATTCTCAGATTATTAGCCTCTTGTATTCTCAGCTTCTCAGCTCCTCAGTTCTTCCGCTCCCAGGCGTGTTCTCTGGTTTTCAGACCCTATATTCACCACCTTCCCAGGTCCCTAGCTTCCAAGTTCGCTAGTCCATTCACTCGCCAGCTTTTTCTTTGTAGCAAGGTATGTATTGTGTCCCCTCCAGCTCCCTGTCTCGGCTATTTTACAGGATCGTTCACAGAGTACTATCATTGGTAGGAACCTCGATTGTATAATGATGTAAACCACTTGTCAACGATGAACAACGATAGCTTCTATTTCCCGCCCGGCGGGCACCAGGTCAATGAGTCCTATTGCCCGGGTCAGCCCGTCCAGTATGCCAACGAGGCAACCCAAAGTGCTTTACATGATTGGGAATCTATAAAGAACTCATTTCAACCATACGTGAAGGCCATCACGCTGCAGCGTTCTCGATGGGAGTCGTGGGGCCAAGATGGAAGAGAGCTAGTCAGGCGTCAAGCACTGTAAGTATTCCCTCTCTTGACTACATTATGGCCTACGTGGGGGTTATCTAGGCATCAAAAATATACACGCACATCTAATACGGGCCCGTGTTATCAATATATGCTAATCGCGTTTATAGCAAGCTCTTCCACACCCACAGAGGTAGTCGAAACGTCGATTACATCTTGGATCTGCGAAATATAGATGCCATTCACTTAGGGAACCCTGAAGAATTCGCACATGATCCCCAAAGCCCTCTGATATGGATAGAACACGGAGGCCGACCAATGGCCGCCATCTCTAGTGCTTGGTCAAGTCTTCAACGTCAGCAGGCCTCGAACACTAGGGAGACAATGTCTCTCTCCAATAGCATGCACAACGAGCAGAACCCACAAACCCCGGCCCAAGTCCAAGGTAACACACAAGCAGGACTCGATCCCCTAGGCAACGTGATTCGAGTGCCACAGGCTCAGCAAGTCCAGGGGAATGTCCAGGGCCAAAGTACATGGCAACAACCTGGAATGGCTCTCTACGATTCACACTGGCAGCCAGTCGAAATGACTCATCAAGGACAAGTAGCGCCTTTGTCACGAGTTCTACCCGCCACTCAAGAATTACCGACGCTCGAGGGAAATCCCTCAGCGAAGAGGGCCCCGTCATCAATGATAGATCCTAGGCTTTTCAAGACTCCGCGACTGTCCGAGAATGCCACCAGGGCTATCACCGCTGAAGTGGAGCGGGGAGAGGGTGCAGATCAGAGCAACAAAAGGTTCTCTAGCGAGGGCTTTGCACAGAACGAAGATAGGGACCGCGGCCCTCCGGGCGACTAGAAAGCCCCGGAGGGGTGGCCCCGAGGTTTCGACTGGCGACAGTTGCCTCGCCCACGGAACAGCTTCATGATGTACCGCATGATGCATGAGCGAGAGCTCGGAGAGCGGCTCCGCCAATACTATGACGAGATCGGTACGGCGAGAGTAGATGCCCAGATCAGCAATGGAAAGATTTGTAAGTGGAACCTGTGCCATTTCCATCCCCGACAGTCCGCCCCAATAACTCTTGCTAACTCTCTCTCTCTCGACAGCCCGGATTTTGGGGCAGCAATTTAGGAACATGCCCGAAGAACATAAAAAGTTCTTCTTGGACATGGCTAACAGAGAGGCCATGATCCATCGCCAAACATATCCCTGGTACAAATATAGGACCAGACAGACCAACGCCGACGGATCAAAGGTGGTCAAGACGAGCCTGTCTAAGCTCGCTCTTCCTGGGTACCTCGAAACCGTCCAGGCTATAAGAGACTACCATGCATTCTTACGAAAGAACAACTTCCCTGTATTTTACCCGTCGCGAGGAAACGACCTTCCAGTGATGAACGCGGTGTGTCGTCGTCGGGAGGTGATATTCTCTCCTGAGAAGTATTGTCGCGACGATCAGGTCGCCAAGATCCGTCGCCAGATGAACGAGCGAATTCAGCAACAGCCAGCGTCTGCCATTCCCACGCCGAGTGCATTTTCTGCCCCGGAAGAAGCACGGCCACTCAGTGACACAACACACGGAGGTTTGCAACCACCTATGACAAACGGGAGTGATTCCATTCAAAGTCCCCTCGAAATATCTCAGTCAGCTGGCCAGTACAACAGCCACAACAGCCAATCTCCAAGGAACAACGTATCCCCAGCCAAACAAGCCAACCAAGAACCACACACCCAGCAGGCTCAAGCCATAGAGGTGCCTGAGCCCTTAGTTGAACATGGGCCGGGATCGACAATTGGGGAACCACAGACAGGCAAACAAGACGCTGAACAAGACGCGCACACTGTGGGGGGGCCCAGTAACGTCACCGGATCAGTGATGAGTGATCCCAGCTTTCATGAATACGTTGATGCCCAAGCATGGGCCGATTTCAACTTTCTTTTTGGGAACGAAGACATGGACCACAACGGAGTTTCTTCCACCCAGGCCATAGCCCCGGATACTGGCGAGACCCAAGTCCTAGATCAACCGGACTTTACTCAAGAGCAGCCAGCTTCTAGCGACAACGGAGTCGAAGACCCGATTCTGGAGTTCAGCAGCTTCGACAACCATGACTTCCACACATTGGAAACTATCGATCAGGCGGGGACGTGGGCCTCGATCGACGAATTATTTGCCAGCCCAGCCTCTCCGTCCGACGAGCTTGGTTCGGCTCCGAATACGACACCAGCACAGGTGCCCACCCCTCAGAAGCAAGAACAGCCACATAAAAAATCGTCAACTCTAGTATCTGAGTCGAGTACTGGGACGTCACACACTGCTGTCCCCACGGACCGTGACCAGTTCCGGACCACATTCGGGGTCCTCGACGACATGTCCCTCAGTGAACCGCTGGATCTCGACGAGGACATGACAGCGGCATTTGGGAACTCCGGGCTATCATCACTGGGTTCTCAGATGCCCGGAATTCTGGCGTGCCTTAACGGCTTCGAAATGTCGCCCGACGGCGTTTTTGCCGCGGCCCAGGAGACACCCGCCTCGGCGGGGATGGATCTCACTAGCGAAACCGAGTAAAGCAGCAGCGTTCTACTTTTTGGTGAGTTAACTGGCGAGCCTCCCCCGATCATGGGCACTGTGACAGAAGCTAACGTGGGTGCTAGTGGTGGCACTCGGACAAGAGATTGGACTGCGAGTCCGAGGCCGCCGGAACTGATTGGATTTGAGGGAGCCCGGGCTATTCTGTTGTGCAGCCAAGACACAGAATAGGCCCCGTCAAACCAAAGGGCTACCCCTCTTGTCGAAGAGCGAGTTGGCGAATGAGAATACAAACCTAGGCACAACCGAGTTTGGGCCTCGTGGGCACATCATCACCGCCTATCTCACCTGTGGTTGGGGAGAAAAGGGTAGGGGTCAAGCGGGGGGCCAAAAGAGTAAGCGTTGCTTTCTGAAGGGGGAACTGGTGGTTCTTTCTACTCTCCAGACATCTCCTATTACTATGACTTCTGTAACGATCGAGATCTTCCAGTCTCTCGTGACATATGTGTACAACCGCCCCCCGCCCCTGACCGCTATAGCTCTCCCTTACTCACCCCCAACCATTCCTCCCTGACCGAGCGCCGCCAGCCCACACTTACCTGCCAGAGCCAGTCTGGCAGGCGGCGCTCCGTCAGGGAATGTGAGATGTCTTTGACGGTGGGCCTTGTAGATGCCGCATCTACAACTGACGGGCCCGCCGCTCTGGTGAACGCCGGAGAGCCCAAGAGCAACTGAGACAAGCGCATCGCGCGCTTTCATGTGCCCGTCCGCCGCCCTCTGGCATCGCGGCCTTCGACCACGTGGTTGGCGACTCCTCGCCAACGGCCGAGGGCCGAAAAACCACCACCGCAACAGCGCCAACGCGTGCGCCACGGGGGGACTCCTCTCCCCGAGACTAAACCAGAGTTTATCTCCTGGTTGGCAAACCACCGCCACGATAGCACCAACGAGGCCTCTACGGGGGGACACCTCCCCCCAGCCTTGAACTTGGGTGTATTTGACAGGTTTTTCGCCATCATCATGGTGCTAGCGAGGCCTCTGTGGGGGAACACCTCCCCCCCTGGCCTCGAACTCAGGACTATCTGACAGGTTTTCCGCCAACACAGCGGCCCTAACGAATCCTCTCCGCGGGGGGACTCCTCCCCCCGGACTCGGAGCTGGGGGTTTTCAAGCTGGTCCATAAGCACAATTTCACTTCATTTACCGCCCACCGTGGCAGCAGTACTTGCCCTGGCTAAGACCCTGCTTGATGGGAGCCGCTCGAGTCGGCTCCCATCAGGCGGCGGGACGGTCAGGGCGAGTACTACTGCCGCGGTGGATCCGGGATCGCACTTCCCTGCAGCTGCAACCAGTGCAGCTTCAACGTCCCGTCCTTGTCCGAACGGCCGTGATTTCAACCGTGGCGCGCGCGGCAACTCGTCTTTGAGGAGATGGGGCAGCAACCGGTGTACCAACCCGTCCTCGTCGTTACGCTTAGCACCCTAGCCAACATGACATTCCATCGCATGTGGAAGCTTTCGGCACAAAATTGGACCTATACCTTGCGTTCGGAGATAAGAAATCGACAAAAAACCAACTCCGTCAAGAACGGGTCTTATCGACTCAGGGTGTAATGGATCTCCTCAAAAGCCTCCGGCTTGCGGACCCCGAGGTGTTGACGATCCCAACCTGGCATTTCGACTACGGCTGCGTCTGAAGGCGCTGGAGTAGCGACGCGACTGTTCAACAATACGTCGAAGGACAACACACTTCCTACATACTCCGTTCAACAACACTTCCCGTATTCCCGGTCTCTGACCGAGACAACCGGCATACCAGCCGGCCTTGTGCCACTCTCACCTCCGGTCGAGACAAGGGCCACCCATCATGGCACCGCCATTGGGTTGTGCAGCTCCCGGCCTATTTTTTTTTCCACTGTGGGCGCACAAGCGCAGTCACGTGTAGCTGCAAGGATGAGCCCTGCCACACGCTCGCTTGGCTTAGATAATAAGCTAGAGCCACAGCCCACATCAATTCAAGCCACTTGCGACCTCCACCGTCTCCCACATCAACCAAACCACAACAATAATAACGACAACAACGCCGAATACTAACATTGCCGTGCGGCCCGGGGAGACATTAATATGCCAAGACAGGTATGTTTGTCTCCGGCCGGCCCGAAACATAAGGCCATCTCACGGAGTCTGTCCCGATGAGAGAGATTCTGGATATTGGGTTTCTAAGAATTCCTGGTCCGGATGTCTACGGCGGACACTACTACATACAGTTGATACTCAACTTCGCATTATGAACCTCGGGGGGATGGGAAGGTCTTTACCCAGCCTTCTAGGCCAATTCCTTCCCAAATCAAGCGCAGTGCGTCGATCCAGGTAGAAGACTGGTCTCTTATCCAAGAGACCGCAACAATAACAACCTCTAAAAAACCCCCCCAAAAAACAAGAAAAAACGAAAACAAAAAGGGTATCCCACCAACATCTACCACCGAACCCTAACGGTGGTGCCATGATGGGTAGCCCTTATCTCGATCGACAGTAAGGACGACACAAGACCGGCTAGTGTGCCGCTTGTCTCGATCGAGGACCGAGAACACAAGGACGTTGTCGAACGGGGAGTGCAGGCCGAGAACGCAGGAAGACAATAGGAGTCTACCTCCGGGCCGGCAGCGGGTCGTTACAATACCCGCAGCCCAAGCTACTTGGGTGGGGCGGGGTGGGGTGGGAAGCTCGAGAGGAGAAACGAACCACTCATTTCTATACTCCCTCCCACCTCTTCCCCACGCCCAACTTGTGCGGGGGCTTACATATGACTACGCGACACAGCGAGAAAGATGAGCGCCGGAACAAAATGTGACTACGCGACACACGCGTGGCGGAGGAATGCGGGGGGGGGGGCCGAGCGACTGGAGGAGGAAGAGAAAGCGTGGAGAGGGTGTGTTTTGGTGCGGGGAAACGTAGACGCCTACATGTCGCTATTTGGTAATGTCGCAGACTTAGATGGCGCTCTACGCGACGATGCTGATGTCGAAGATTGGAGACCCTACGGAAATTAGGGTTAAGGGATCGCCGTCAGGTGCTGTACACGAGCTCATGGCAATGTGGTGGTGTATTATATATATATACCCAGGAATTCCAAGGCTCAGTTCAGCTAGAAACTAAGTCAACAATTCCGAAACTCGTACCTTTCAGCAGGTTGAAAATTCACGCCACGTATGTTTCTCAGCAGTTACATCGTTCTGTGTGCCCTTGTAAGCGCTAGGCCTTGGTTTTGTCGCCTTCACTGGTTCATTGGTAACGTGTAAATGTCGCTGGCTATTGCTTGAGTCGTGTTTGAGATATATACTATTACCAGTCATGGGACTAGACTATTTCCCATGAGCACACGGGACAACGGTAGGAACTAAGCTATCTATCTACCGCCACGTAGCTTAGGTATTGGTAGGAAGTTGTTACACGACGAGAGGAAGCTTCATCCGGCAGCTGAGGGGACGAAGCTAAGCCATATCGCTTACTATGTAGATGAGGAGAATCCTTGAGAGGTAAGATCCGTGTGTACAATATCAAGAGTCTTATTCTTTGCATAGTACCAAGGGTCTCATTAGGGGTAAGGCGGTAAGTAGGCGCGGATGTTGTCGAGGCGATAATGGCAAGGTATATGCAGGCCTAGATTCATGAGATCTTCTCATTCAGACCGAGAAGCGTTCCAGTCGCTACTCCATATGAATGTGCCACATCGCCACTCTGTCCCTTTCTCCTTCTCGCCCGATGGACCGAGTGGTCGAGGGCATATGAAGAATGATCTCCCTAGATCAATAATTAGGCAATGGGAATTACCCGTATAGGGTCGTAAATGTGCGGTGGGGAAAGGAGACGATGTGGAACGTAAAACGGGTGAAGGCTTGCTTACCTCGATTGACACCGGGTTTCTTAGTCACTAGGCTGATGCAGTCCTCCCCGTGGTCGCATTTGGGCAACACTCTTTTACCTAACAGTTTGGTCCAGGATTCCTTGGACTCGATGGGATCGAACACTTTCTCTGAATTGTCCGATTGGGAAGTGGCTTTCGGTTGGCCCTCATCGTTAGGTTCTGCCGCCGCCCTGATATCTGAGGCGCCGTCCGGTCCACCGAGGTCGTCGCCTTCCTCCGAATTGGAATTCCCACTAGAATCACCCCTAGAATTCCCGCCGGAACCGACTGTAGTTTTGGGTTTGAAGAAGCCCATAAGGCTGCTTTGTCCCTTGGATGAAGATTCCTTAATCAAGGCTGCCTTCGTCTTTTTCTGTGGCCTGTTGTTGGTTGACGCGGCGTCGGAGGGTGTACGTTTGAGACCACCAGATATCGCTTTCGCTGGAGAAGGCGCCGATGTTGTCGACTCGGATTGCGAGGGTGCAACCTCGACGAAATCTTCGCTAGCCATCGAGCTGGGTACTGGCGGCTCTTCATTGGCACTCAACGAGGGTTCGTTGGGCGGCGTTGCTTGCTTCGATGTCGAAGCTCCGGATTTCTTTGAGAACATGTCCTTAATGCTCCGTCGGCGGTCAAACTCGGGAATGAGCTTTGCCGACATAGGCAGCAGATCCTTCATGGTCCAATTCCTATGCCGGACCCCGTCTTTAAAAACGCCGGGAGGGTTCATGATATCTCTAAGATGGACTTCTTTTCCGTCAATTTCCACTACGTCTTTGAGGGTAGCAAAGACAGGGCAGTGATCGGATCCCATCAACCCCTCCTGGATATTCGAGTCGCTAAACCAACTTTTCATGTTGTCGCTGCACAGGACGTAGTCAATCCGACTGCCGAAATTGGAAGGACGGGTATTCTTCTTGGTATCCCAGCAGGTGAACATGCCTTCGCGGGTGGGATGGAAGAGTCGTCCGAGGTCCCATAATACCGGATATTCCCTGTTCTCGTCCCTAGGGCCTCGTACCCCCCCCCCAAAGAGAAGCTGGTTGAAGAGGCGTCGGGACGGCATGGCGAAGAAATCATCGACTGTGACGCCTTCCTTCTTAAGCCTCTCGAAAATGTTAGCGGTATCTATAGGCGCGCTGATGACGTTGAGGTCGCCCGTCAGAATAACTCGCTTGCCCATGGCCACGAGATTGCGTATACGAACGTCGAGCGCATCGAGATATCCTAGCCTAAAATCGTCCCGACTCTCGTCGCGGTTGGCTGGACTGTAGGTTCCGATGAGGACGAAAGCGGGAAACTCGACGATGACGCAACGTCCTTCCGAGTCCAACGTCACCTCGTCGACCAGCCCGGAGAGTTGACCGGGCTGCGGGTAGCCTCCTATTTGCTGGTCCGGGGGGAGATCTCGGAACTTGGTCGAGGAATTGGGCGGGCATAAGACGCCGATGATCCCTTCCTCAGCTCGGATTGGTATGCAGACGGAGTTCCGAGTGTAGATGGCCACGCCGGCGTAGCCTTTCTTATGTCGCGGTAGGCTGAAGAACACATCCCACCCTGGCACTAGGACCATGTCATCCTGGAGATCCTTGCGCTGGATCTTGGTTTCCTGCATGACTACGACGTCGGCCTCGAGGATGTCGAACATGGCCTCGAAGGTGCGCTTCTCCCTCCATGGCTGATACCCGAACGGATTCCTATGCGCGGGGGCCAGATTAGAACTATAACACACATCACCTCTGCGAACATACTGCCATACCGAATGCCATTCACTGTAAGCGATATTAGTTCGTGTCGTCGATAACCCATAATGGAGGGGGGAGGGGAGAGCTGGGCGAGGCTAACCATTCCACGAGGTGATGCGAATACCCATGTTGCCGAAGGCGTCTAGTGGGGGTCTTGAGGATGCTGGTGGTGGTTCCGGTGGACGCGCTGCCGTCATTCATCATTCGCCTAGCTGCTGCTACCATTGGCTAGTTCCCGCTGGACGGGCGGAGGATTCCCCATACAAGAGAGCTTCAACAGGCCCGGCTCGCCGGTGGTATATTGGGGGCTGCCAATGGCTAGGGAGCTGGCTGGAGTCACGATCCCCTCCTACGTAGGCGGGCCTCGTCGCAGATTAGCGCCGGTATGCCGTTTATTAGGCGGGTACGCTCGGAGAAGATGTCGGTGGGAGAGGAAGGGAGACAGGAGAGGCCGGGTGTCTGGTGATTCGCCGGCGAATTGCCCAACGTCTATGCCTGTCCACGATACCACGTGTAGACGGATATGTTCCCTTAAACGTTCTTGCCCTCTCGCCGTGCGTGAGAGTTGACGAGTCGCGGTGTCCACGGAGGCAGGGGCCCACTTGTCACATGGCCGTCGCCAAAATAACCCGGGTGCACGTGATCGTTATCGTTACCGATGTCTCCCTTACCTAATCAGCAGGACTGATGTCATGATCGCCAAATCGCGGCGGCGGATTAACCGAGGCAGGCCGCGAGGTACCTTTGTACCCTTCGGCGCTGGAGGTAGGTAATCGAGCCTGGCCTCATTCGACAATCCCATCGGACCACCCCAGATAAAAACCCAAGCCGACCAAGCCCTCCACGCAAACCCCGAGTCCGGCACAGCACCGCCCACACTATCTCCCCTCCTTCCTCCTAACGACAGCATCCAGCATCGAAACCCCGTCCGAGAGACGTCCCACACCTTACCATGCTCCCTCAGCGACAGCTCTTCCGTGGGGCGCCGCGCCTCGCCGCCCAGCTGCGCGCCGCCAACGCCCCCGTCTTCCGCTCTGCCCTGCAGCGCCGTCTCGCATCGACTGAGAACGCCTTCGTCAGGGAGCGCCGTGCCGTCAAGGAGCACGCCGCCGGAACTACCGGTCAGTTGTCCCACTTGTCGACTAGGCCTGGATAGGGCCCGGACAACGTCGCTGACGCTTTAGACAGAGCTCTGGCGCAAGATCTCCATCTAGTAAGAGACGCCCCCCTTCACCCACCTCAACCACTTCGAGTCGGGATGCAATATCGAGGGTGGATACCCGAGCCGGAAACAGCGCAGAAGACGACTCGATGAATGGTAGCCAGAGATGGCAAACGGGCCAGCAGCCAGGCTAACAAAATACCTCACACAGCGCCGTCGTCCCCGCCATCCTTCTCGCCGGCGTCAACGCCTGGAACTTGTGGAACGAGCACTGGGACCACTGGAATCACATGCCTCCACTAGAGGAGCGCGTCGAGTACCCCTACCAGAACATCCGCACCAAGAACTACCCCTGGGGTGACGGCGATAAGACCCTGTTGTAGGTGTCCCCTTTCCCACCTCCCCCGGTCCGTCAGGTATCACATAGCAAGGCATATTGCGGCAGAAGGATAGAGAGGATGAGATAGAGGCAGAGAGTTGGTAAAGCATTCGGCTAACTAGGAAATACAGCTGGAACAACAAGGTCAACTACCACAACAAGGACAAGGCTACATAAAGTGCTAGCATCAGCTCCGTACGGTCATTGGTTATAAAAGTGCTCTGTTCGTGGAAAATGACCGCCAACGGTGGAAAGGAGTTGTGCTGGGATAGGCATGAGATGGATGGTGGAGAGAGAAGTGGACAGAGCATGGGTCTCACCCTTGACACCACAGAAGGTCGCATGTGTGTCACTCTCTGGAACGTTGTAGATATGTTGTTCTCTTTGTTATTAACCCATGACCGAGCATTACATCGAAGCTTTGGTTGCTACGTTTTTTTTCGCAAGTTTAACATGCGAAGCATATGCAAAATGTAGTGGTCCAGTAGATTTCCATAACCAGCGCACTTTTCAACTGATCCCCGCTACCTGTAAGATTTTCACGCTTTCTTAGGTTGCATTATATATTATCCCTGTCGATCCTTATAGCTTCAATCCATAATAAATGGTACCGCCCTGTCCGAGCCCGAACAAGCGGGCATATACTCATAGTTGCGGCCAGTCCCCCGTACGTGAAGGGGGCCGTAGGGAACGGAGCAGAACCCGCCTATGATGTCGCACAAACGACGAATATTCACGTGGCAGACGGTCTCGGATACTTATAATTCAGCTTTCGTTTACTCCCGGGCAACTCTACCTCGACACGACGTGCTCTACTCTCCCGTCTCGCCTCTGCTACCTCCTACCACCCTCCAGCGCCTCCGTCTTCCTCCTCTTCAATCCAGACCAACAAGCACGCTTCCCGCCTCCACACTTCCACTCCCATCCACCAATCCGTCCAAAACCGCCGACCGCCCCATCCCTCTATGCCCTCAACCTCCCTTCCTTTTCTCTATCCGCGACCCTCGTTCCTCCGTCTACTCCCAAGCTCCGTCCCTCCTTCCGACCCTCTCGCAACCTCCACTCCGCGCTCGCTCGCTCCGCCTAACTTGTTCGCCGCATCCGCCTCGCTCTCTCATCCACCTCCTCTCGCCCTCCTCGTCGCCCCCGCCCTCCCGTCGTCGTCTCCCCCGCTGACTTCCCTCTCCCTCTCTCTCTTCCTCTCTCCGTCGCGCTTCCACCTCCTGTCCCGCTCCTCCTCCTCACTGCCTCCTCTCTCTCATTTCTCTCTCCACGCCCGACCCGCGCCGCCCCGATGCTCAGATGCCGCACTGGCCCTTGACGAACACGAACGACGTCTCGTTCGGCGGGATCTGGAGACCGCAGCGCCCGTCGAAGCGGCAGAAGCCGCTGAATTGGCGTCGGCTGCACGGCTGGCCTTCGAAGGGGCTGGCCTCGCGATCGCGCGCCGGTGCTATGGAGCGGAGCCCGCGGTCAGCGCCTGTCCCGCCTCACCGGGGAGGGGGAGGGGGGGAAGAGCAAACGGCAACCAAGAAAAAAAAGGGGGGCTCTACTTACCCGCGAGGGCGGTGCCGGCGAGGAAGCTGACGAGCGCGACGGTGAGGCTGGTGAACTGCATGGTGGGCGGCGGTGGTAGGATGATAGTTTGTCTTGTCGTGTTGTAGGTGGGCGGGAGGACGGATTACGTTGCGATTAAAGTCGACAAGACCCGAGCCGGAGAAAAGAGTAGATTGCAAATTAACGGTGTCAAACCGAAGTGCGCAGCACTAGAGAAAGGTAGAGTTGTTGGGGGGGTTGTTTTCAAGGAGAAACCGGTAGCTGAATGGCGAGGCGCGAGGAGAGAAGGGGAACCAAGAGCACTCCGGGGAAGGACGCGAAATTTATATACTCGGGCGTTGGTCCTCGGGTATTATTAGGCTATCTACCTACCTACATCATACATATCTCTGTGCCTGGCTTGTTTTGAGGATGATCACAAAGTTGCATCCGCTTGCCACGCCGAGAGCTGGGCCCTAGACGGGGGAGGGGAGCGGAGCAGGCATCGGGGTTTCCACAAAGGGGTCCCTTTCGAGAGCCGCAGAGAATACACTAGACCACATAGAAACGCCAACATAGACTTGGGTGCATATGTTAGCTAGTATTACCGCCCCATAGGCACGATCCAGGTCCCGGAGAGAGATGGCGGTCAAAAGATAGTCATGATCATGCCCTCACCCCCCCTCCCCCTTTCCCCCCTGACCAACACGCTTGTGTAAGTGCTCTGGCCCAACTGGAGTTCCACAGAGAGCAGAGCGACAGAGAGAAATCAGCTACCTAGTTAGTTGTCTTTCGCTATCACCTTCTCCTCTACACAGCTAACTCCCGCACACGCACATGCGCACATGGGACAGCCCGACCATTACGTTTCACATGCGGCAGGGGGGGTCTTGTTTTCTGTCGTCGTTGATGTTTTAGCTATCCAGCTAGCCCGCTCCCCGATGTCAACAACGGGAAACCCTTACCCCCTTTCTTCCCCAGCCAAGAAATAAGGCCCTCCCCACATCGAACACGATAGGAAGGCATCCACACGCGACAGCGTCCCTGGCTCCACGGGACTAGGGGTGGGGGGGGGGGATTGGCGCCTACCAGCGCTAGGCTGGGCGGCTTCGGCATGGACAAGGGGTGCTGGGTGAAGGCGAGGCGATCGTAGAATATACTCATGAGGTAGGTAGGTGGGTGTGTTACATGCATAGATCCCTATATTGTACATCTATAGTCCTACACCGTTTGTACCTGATGGGTGTAAAGAGGTCAAGGATGGGTATGATGCGGGCGGTGCCGGAGGGATCCCGACGGGAGCGAGCTTTCTGGCTTCCCTACCCCTTATCCGCTCCCCTCCATATAGGCACATAGATTCTAGGTATATATACATGTGCGCTGCCGATACCCGTCCGCTGTCGTGAGGATCGCCAGCGTTGCAGCGTTCTGGAAGAAACGGCCCAGCCAGCTAGGCTACACACACGCCCAACCCCTATTATAACCCCTTTCCCTGTACCACATGAGATGCATGCCGAATACGGGCCATTGTATGCGCCAACCCCCCAACAGGTGACATCGCACCTCTGTCGTTGTTTTATATGCTGCTCGCTTCGCCCATTACGCGACAACCCGCATTCTCTGCTCTCCCCCATTCCCTTATCCTTATTTTTATTTTGGAAGGAGGTTAATGTTTCCGATGGACTCGATTAACACCTCCCAAGATGTTCTCCGTATACGCTAATACACACACTGTGTGACATCGTGATGCTACCTAGCCCTCCGGTAAGGAATGCGCCTAACGTATATGTACGTGTAGGTGTATGTAGTATTCTATAGTGTAGCCGCGTGCCGTCGTCTCTGACAACTGTACGAACAGGCATGTAGTAGAATACATATACATACAGCCTACCACCCGGCATCCAGACCGGCGTCTCAATCTTCTCTCTCTAACGAAACGGACGAAAACGCGCTGGGTTCAGCTACTCATCGCATCTATCGCTCAAATCGCCTCGCACCGTGACGCGACACGACACAGCACACGACTAGCACTTACATATGTATGTATTCATATCCGTTAATAACGATGCACACGCCCAACACCCCTTATCCGCGTACCCGTAGCCTAGACCAGAACCCCGTTACCCGCATCCAAGTTCCCGACCTCTAATCTATACGATTTGAAACCCATCGAGGATCTACCCAGGTATACGTATATTCGTACACCGCGTCAGCGTAAGGCTGCGTAGCGTAGGCACACAGCGGCTAGCTATGTTCGCCCCCCCTCTTCTTCGTATTACCGTGGTAGCAGCACAACTGTAACGGCGGTAACAGCAGCAACAGCAGAGGTAACAGTTGAGGCAGTCATAGTTGGGCAGTATTGTACCTACCGTCCCACCCTGACGACGTTGCCGCTGCCGCTGCCGTCGTCTTCGCTGGGGCTGATCCCCGGGTTATCTACCCAGCTTGTGTAGCCGTCTTCGTCGTCATCCTCGTACTCTCCCGCTTCCCCCCGTATTCCCTCTTCCTCATTGAGTTGCTGCAGCTGTCGCCACTGTTCCTCGTGCTGATACGCGCCGCTATTGATGTGATTTCTACTGCTATTGCCACCGCCTTCCTCCGTCCCCCTCGGCGGTAGCTCCGGCGGATACTTCCCCTGGCTGCTGCCTCCTGCTTCCGTTGATATTAGCTCCTCGCTGCTCGCGTTTAGCTCCGCGTCTTCTACCCACGGCTGTATGTACGAAGACGTCGTTGCCGTTGACTCGTCCACCGGTAGTGGACTGTTCGGCTCCGAGTCGGCCGGCGCAGCGACCACGAGCACGTTCTCGATCTCGTTGTTCTCGTGGGAATGGATCTGCGAGACCCGTCTCCGCCTCGGCAAAGGGGGCGCTGGCACCGGCCTCCGCTCGATATGCGTCATATTGATATTGTTGGTGAGATTCTCCGTGCTCCGACGTGCGAGCGACGGCGGAGGAGGGGCGACCGGCTTCCGCTTCGGCACGAGGATTGGCGAGCTCTTTTGCGCTGGCCCGGGAAGCGGAGTTCCAGGAGGTGGGAGAGGTTGGCCGCGTCCCATAGGCTGGTTGAGGTCTACAAGAGGCTCAGGTACTTTTCTTCCGTTGCCGTTTCTATCACTCTGTCGCTGTATCGCGTTTAGACCCCATCGCTTTGCTGTCGCAGCGGCGTTGGACATGGCAGCCAGAGTGTTTCGCTTGTTTTCGGGGGGACCATTCGTAGGAGCCGGTGTGAGCGGTTCTTTCCGGGAAAAGAAACCTCTGCCTATCGAAGCGGTACCGCTTTTAACAGATCCTGTTCTAGATAGTGCGGGTGAACTCGGCACGCCATTGCTCTCGTTGCTCCCTACGGAAGAGGTAGTGTGGCGTCTCCCGTGTGTCGTCGACGCATCATCATCTTCCTCATGTACTTCGGGGATTGCTTCGGTTGATGAGTTCGAGAAGCCATTGACGGATGGCGCATCTAAGAATGGGTTTGAGGATGGAGTTACAGGTGTTTGTGCGGGCGAAGTATTCTTCGACCTCGAAGAAACGCCTGCCGTTGCGCCAGCAGCCCCATCACGATCTAGGGGGCTCGCCGGCCCGAGAACGTCGGCATGCGCAAGGTCCGCACTTGAAAAGGGACCCGAAGCTGAGAGGGATCCCGAGCGCAGGGGACGCTGCACGTCCGAAATGGAACTTCGCGAGCTCTTCGAATCGAGAGTCGTTGTAGATGCGGAAGCGCCTAAATTGGGTTCGCTTTGTAAGTTTTTCTTGATACTGAGTCTCCTAGCCCAGAATCCTGATGTCTGGGGTGCTTCCGTGATAGGCATGGTATGGCTCTTCTCCAGTGAAGTGAGCTCGGGAGGGGAATCGGTGTTGGCCTCTTCGATCTGACTAAGTTCGTCTATGTTCCCGAGCTGAGCAGCGATGGCTTCGTGATCGGGCGAATGCTCAACTGCATCGTCTCCCTCGAATATCCCCCCGCGCCATTGCTTGTGCTCGGTATTGAAGAAAGGAACATCGTCCCAGAATGGCGCTACAAGGGTTTCGGCCACCACCTCCTTGATCCTGTTCTCGATCTGTCGAAGGATAACCGTGTAAGTAATCTGCCTTGAGCTCACGATGGGCTCGATAGTCATCTCCATCTTGGGCATGGATTGGAAAGAGAACCATATCCGGTTACTCGGCGGGGGCTTGATCTTGAAAGCGATATGTCCTTCGAGCTTCCTCAACACTACAGCGAGGACAAGGTTGACCTCCCGGACCTTGAACCGGGGACCGAGGTCGATACGCGCCGTAGCAGCTACCTCCAGCCTGAAGTTCCCAGTATATTTGACGTCAACCTCCATCCCACATTCCCCCTCAACGCTGAAGTCCTTAAGCCTGGGGTTCATAAAATAAGGCGCCGCGTCCCCGGTGGTGACGTTTTGGAGTGTTACCCTCGAGAGGAACGACGGTCGATTAACACGGGATATCTTCTTCGTGATCTTCTCCCTTATAAGGTTCTCGATGTCCCTGGTCTTGTAGATACCGAGAAATATCCTTCCCAAGAATGCATTCAGCCACCGAGTGTGCAGGTGCTCCTCTGACGAATGCAGCTTCTGAACCAACGATATGATGTTCTTCACATCAAACCGCTGGGGATTCGGCGCCAAATTCGGGCCAGAAAAGGCCTGTCCCTGGTTTCGGAGTAACGCGAAATAGAAGTCTTCTTTGGCAGAGCAGTTCTCGGAGAACAGGTAGAACGGTTTCGATAGTTGGGTATCGGGGGTTAATTCTTTCCCATCAATCTTCCTGCTCAGGCACAGGGCATTCCGTTTGATGAACAGTTCGCCCTCGGGTGTGCGATCGCCTCCAGAGTATATGCTCACATCGTGATGAGCGAGGGAGATGACGTGCCTCACCTCGAGCTGCTCGTCGTCGTCGAATAACATCAAGTAGCCGTGCCTACGAAGCATGCATGAGATTAGCCACCGCCTCGTTTTTTTGGCCCTCAGCCTTGTGCCAGCTTTGGTTAGCTAGCTAAGCAGCCAAGTACAGAACGTACCTCAGTACGACGTAGAACACATTCCCCGCCTTCTTGGGCCGTTGGCTGCCGCCCTTGTTGTTGTCACCGAGAGGATCCGGGTTCTGCTTTCTGTCGAATATGCTCTTGTACATGGCTTGATAGACGCTCTGGCTCGGTGCAGCGACGGTCGTAGACCCGACGGGGGTGGAACGCTCGATCGGTTTGGCATTGATGCCCATGGGGACGTATTCACGACAGACGGCGAAGTAGCCGGCGGCTACGTCAGACTCAGCGAGGAGGCGCTGCCTAGACTCTTCCTTCTGGGCATCTCGGAGGGCAGTCGTGTCGTCGCCCGGCTGCACGATGCTTCCGGGGTCGTTCTCGTCATCTTTACGGCCCGAGCTGCTCTCGCTGTCGCGAACGGGAAATGTGAGGTGGGCGTGGAAGAGTACGAGGACGACGAGCAAGGGGATCAAGGTGACGCCACCAAAGAGGTAGGTCAGGAGGAATGCGGTCCAGCTCATACCCATCGCTTCGGGTGGTGATGGCGAGGACGGCCGGCAGAGTGCGAACCTGCTACCGGTTGCGGCGGGCGGATTTCGAGGGGCATGGATAACGTGTTTACATCTGAATTCCCGCCAGACAGAAGAGGATCGAGGTGGATTACCAAACTACGGGGTACGTCGGGAATGATGCGAGATGAAAGGAGGGAGGATGAACGAGGGGTGGCGGACGGGCGGAGAGACGGGATCTTTATGGCAGGCGGGATGGGGTGGGTGTATTAGTAGGGACAATAACCGCCGTGACAGAGGAGGAGGAGGAGGAGGAGGAGGAGGAGTAACGGAGCAAGAGGTCCTAGGGAGCTTTGATAGCTGAGAACGATTGCGCCGGCAGGAGGAGGGAGCTATGCGCGTATACGTGCATGCATAGGGCAGGTACCTACGTAGGAAGGATGTTGTACGTGCTGGGCGTCTGTTCTCTAGGGAGGTACTTAGGCTAGGCTGACTGGCAATGCAAGTATACGGTACGTAAGGCATATACGGATAGCGAAAGGATATATGAAACGGTGGTATGAACGATGCGAAGGTTGGACGACGGGAATACGAGCGAGTGTAGGCGCCACGTGGGGCTTTCCCAGCTCCAGGTTTGCGGGCCGCGGGGAATCGATACCTACCTAGGTATATACATATTTCTATATGCCTATACACACATATATACATACCTACCTTGGTATATACCTATTATGTATATCCACACCAGCGATGCCTACACGTATATCTGCCCATTTCTAATACGCCTTGCTGATGGCGCCGGCATGCCCTCTTATATCTTACGGAGGCGTCGTGACAAGTGGGAACTTATATGAAGCGTTCCTTGGTGGCGGCTATAACGGCAGAGTCACAATCTCCACCCCTCTAAATTCATATGTATCTTTCCGGGCTACCCTCGTCTTTACACACCCTTGCTTAACTTCCATGTCACTAGCCTACGTATGAGTATGCAAGTACATATATACCTGGTACGTGCACGGGGAGGCGTGCAGCTGACCTTTACCTGTACACACCAAGGCTCCTTCACACCCATCAGGTACTACGTACATGCGGTATACGATTATAGGTATATACCTTAGTATAGGGATGCATGTATGTACACACCTAGGTACCTACCTGGGTACCTTAGGTACTTATGTACATTCTATGACCGCCTTGCCTTTACTTAGCGCCCTACGTCTATGCCGATGCCGCCTAGCCTAGCGTTGGTAGGCGCTAAACCTCCCTACCCCTGGTCTAGACGAGGTGCCTCCACATACCCATAGTAACGACCTCGGATTTGAACGTGCCATAAGTAAATGATATACTTAACCCTTCACACACGCACGGGGTATAAAGACGGAATAACAGGAAAGAAAATACTCATCATCGTCACACTCGATGCGTCTACGTCCCCATGCGCCGTTATATCGACTCGAGACACTGAAGTGGCATCTCGGTCAGGCCCCCCTTGTCCCCTGGCAATGCACCTCTGTCTATCACCCGACCAAACCCCGGACAGCCGCGTCGTAATCCCGCCGTCTAATACTCCGTCATGCGTATTCCGGAAAGCTCCCCAGTCCCGTCGGGGACGTAAATAGCAATGCTAGGTATATCCTGTGCCCCAACCCGGATGGCAGTCCACCTAAAACCCATCGGTTCTTCTTACCATACTCTCCCCTCCCTCACCACTCCAGCGCCTCCGCCCCGACCGAGCCGTCGAGCAGCTGCTGGATCGCGGGCTCCACGACCGCCCTCTCCGTCCGGCAGCGCGCCTCCTGCTTCATCCGCGTGTAGAACACGGGGCAGTCGCGGCTGTCGCACGGCACCGCGTCGAGGGGTGCGAGGCCCGCGCAGCTCCGGCAGAGCCTCGTCACGTCGGCGAGCCGCCGCTCCTCGCGGCCCAGCTGGCTCCGCAGCCGCAGCGCCGACGCCGACGCCTCCCGCCGGCACCGCGCGCACGCCGGCCCCTCCTCGTCCCCGCCCATCCGCGTCCGGCAGACCACGCACACCGCCGCCTTCATGTACGACTCCAGCGTCGTCTTCCGCCCCGCCCCCCCGGTCCCCTGCCCCGGGTCCACCCGCCGCACCCGCTGCACCTTGGGCATCTCGTCGTACCACTGCCGCACGTTGGCCCCCACCAGATTGAAGATCCGCTCCAGCGGCGGGATCAGGTTTTTCACGATGTAGTACTCGGCGTCGAGCTGAAGATGCGTGCTGTCTAGCAGCTCCTCCGGCGCGATGCAGCGGTCGATGAGCCGCGCTCCCGGTGCCCCCGACACCACCACGTACGGCACGCGCTCGCCGTACTGCGGCTCCGCCCTCGCGTCGTCCAGCATTTTTCTCGTGCTGACCAGGGCGCCCGGTGGCGGCGGCGCTTTGTCGCTGTAGGTTCCTAGTTTGACTTCCCTCGCGAAACAGAAATCTTGTATCGAGACGGCCCCGCGCATTATCTTCTCGCACTGCTTCTGGAAATACGACTTGACCTGGCTGAGGTCGGCCGTCTCGAAGAGGATCTTGAGCGCCTTCTCCTCCACCATCTGTTCCGCGGGCGTCCCATCTCTCCTCACCGTCTCGATACCCTTGGCGTCGAACTCGGGCTTCACCTGGTCTTTGCTCTCGTACTTGTATCCGACGTAGCGCTTCTTCGCTAGGAGCACGCATGGGTGGTAAACCTTCTCGAACTTGAGCTTCACGGGACGAGGATTCATGTCCGTGATCGCCTTGGCGATCTCGTTCCCGATATCGAACGCTTGGTCTCGAGTCCTCCCGGGGAGATAGATGAACAAGCTATCGGTATCGCCGTACACGACTTCTGCTTTCCACTTTCCCGCCGAGTGGATAAATGCGATTGCCCTCTCTAAAGTCTCACGCCCAGTTTGCACAATGCTATCCGCGATCTCGGAGCAGGGCATGCGGCCGGAGAATGACGCCGATGTATAGCCATACGTGACGTTTGCAAGCAGCTTTAAAGCAAGCTGTCTGTTGTTGAGGAGCTGCTGCAGGGTCTTATCGTCTTTATCCTCCTTCATCCCGCTCTTTACCATCACCCGCGTTTCTAGAATCTCCGTCAGCATCTTCGCTAGCAGAGACTTTCTGATCTCCGCTTTGCAATACATGATGCCGTTCGGGGCGATGTTGATGTAGTCCTTGAGCAGCTCCAGCAGTCTATTTTGCCGCTGGTATTCTGTAAAGCCCATCTTGTTCACGCCACGCCAGTTCACAATGCGGCCGAGGAAGGTCGAGTAACAATAGTTATAGGCGATCATGACGCTGGGGTATAAGCTCTGGAAGTCCAACACCACCAATGGGCTGTTATAGAATGCGCTCTGGGGCTCCATAACGAGAGGGAGGCATTCGAGCGCATTCTGGCCGCCGACCTGCTTCCTGTCGGGCGAAACCAGTATGAAGTTTTCCGGCTTCGCAATTCTAGACATGATTGACTCGACCTTGAATTGAGACCCGCGGGAGAAAACAGAAAAGAAGTCGACGCCCAGAAGCCGTGCCTGCTCGCTGGTTCTCGGGATGAGCTCGTTCGCCTCGAGAATTTCTATGTCGAGTTTCGTCCGGGTCAGGTAATATCGGAGGAGCTTGCTGAAGTCTCCGTGTCTCCCTCCAACATACCACTCCGTCAACGTGCGCCAGGAGTAGTGCGGAATCCGGCGGTGCAGCAAGTGCCAGACAACGTTCTCCATTGTGTACTGAAGTAAATCCAGCTCGCCGCGCATAGCGCGCCAGATGTTAATCATATGCCTGCCTGTTACCCGAATCGTTGAGGTAGTGTTGAAGCCCCATCGATCTGCTTCCTTTCCGATGCGCCCGAAGGACTGGCTTTTCATTCGTGAGAATTCGTCGCATAGATCATAGTCATATTTGAACTTCGCTCGTTCGATCAGATACCCCCAGGAGCTGCCGTGGACCTCGTAGCCGGTGAGAATGTCTGGGTCATGCGTTCTGACAATTTCAACCATCCTCCCCATCAAGTCGAGCTCCGATGCCTCTTCGATGACCTCGGCCCGGGTCTGCCTCTGTATTCTCCGCGCCAGCGATCCATCCTCCGAGAGAACGATGATGCCGGACTGGACGGCCACAGATGAGTCATCACCGGTAGCGAAGTTCTCATCCGACTTGGAGCACCAGAAAATGCACTGGACTTCGTCCTCCTCCGGATTTGGAACTAGCTTTCCCCTCGTATTCACGTGTAGTTCTAGGCTCATCGTACTCATGTACTGTGCTTCGTGCTGGACGCTCGTCGATTTCCTCTTCTGGGAATATTTGAACCCATGCCTATTCCTCGGGGTAGGACCGTCGATTTGAGACATGTACGGTTTAGGTTCGTGAACCCGAATCTTCACAGTGGGGTCCTGAGAGGAATTTGCTACTCTCTGTCTTCCTACCCACCAACCCTGCACCTCGTCGAAAGAAGGCGGAGGCTCTGCGATCTCCCAGCCCCTCAGCGAGCACTCCCGACGCTGCTTCCTATACATCCGGTTGTCCTTATCAACATCTAAGGGCAGGTCAGACTTCATGCCATAGTTAGCAGGAGCTTCCCCTGTCGGATCAAAATCCGGCAGATACGGGAGCGTATTGCCTTCGAGGCGAAACTCCTGGCCGGCATACTCTCGGACTCTTTGAGGTACGTCGTTCTCGTTACTGTAAAACGCGTCTTGGTAAATGACATTGGGCCGGCCTAAGATGTCCATAGACGATAGAACATCTTCCGTTGATGGCGGCGACAGATTGAATACGTGGAATCGGGCGTGAGGTCGAGGAACACATCCAATATCAAGAGGGTTTGCGGTACTCCTCTCCCGCGTACCGGGTGGTACGGAGCTGGTGGACTCGGGCTTTTCCGTGTGTAGAGTCGAACCAGACGAAACATCTTCTAGGGGAGTATCTACACCAAATGTGACGTGTTTGGTAGGCTGGCTATCTTCGCTTTGCTGAGAGGCCGTCCGCTGACTCAAGCGTAGCTTCGTGCTTGGGTCGTTAGGATTTTTCACGACCGGAAAGTTGAGAGCCTGGTTTCCAGATCCCTGAGGAATCTTCTTCAACCTTGGCTGTGTGTTTTGCGAGGATGGTTTTTGCATACTGGAAATGTCGGTTAGTCCTAAATCGCCTGTGGGCATCTGATCTACAGCGTCCGGGTTCTCGAGATCGGAAATAGACCGAAACGCCACACAACGACGTTTCGTCTCTTGTTCCTCGAGCAACGAAGAGGCTGAGCGTTTCAAGATCCCGTTGACTTCGACGGGCACCGTATCTCGAGGAGCCTTGCTTACAAGTCCTTGCTCTTTCGCAACATCTAGTAGACACTCCGAGATTGGAATCTGGTGTCTACTCATGGTACGTAAGCAGCTTATATGCACGCCAGTGACGCGCATTTCTGAAAAGGTCCGCCCATCCGATCTAGCACTCAGGTCTGGTGAGGCGAGGGGGTTGGATCGAGCACGTGAATCGTTCTTGTCCTTCTGAATAGTCTGAAATGGAGATTTGCCGGCTCGTACTGAGCTATCGTTGGGAGCCTCATCCTCTTTCGGAGGCTCAATATCGCGAAGCGCATTTTCATCGGGGTCATCCCGGAAGGCGCCGTCATAATTATCCGGCTCAACATCAAAAATGCGATCTTCGTCTACCAGTATGCTGCCAGCAGGGTTTTCATCATCTCCAAGATGTTGACTCGCCATGCCAAGAGCACGTTCCAAATTTTCAGGATACAGATCCTCGACGGATTGTAATAGAGTGTTAACCGTTGACTCTAGGGGCATGTTCTGAACAAATGAATCAAAGGTGAGGTCGCTGCCATCACTTTGCCCGCGCTCCTGTCGTATCAGTTCCCTTATCTGCTCTCTATACTCTTCTTCGTGGATCCATCCAGGGGGCTGTGAATGACGCGGGTCTGCGGACATAGATACCATAGCTTCGGGGGGGGAGGGGCCACTTCCTGGAGTCGGGTCATGCATTCTCTTCTTTCGGCGCTTGATTTCATCCTTCCACAGCCCAGCCATGCTGTGGACAAGTTTCACGTCAGGCGACAAGGGATGCTTCCTCTCAGTGAAATCGTGATGGAGCTGTCTCTCCTTGATCTCGTGCCTATTGAGGATGTCTTGGACACATATGTCAACTTCGACCGAACAATGACTCGCACGGGGGAGGTCTGCATCCTCCGCGATGAAGGCACTTGGTACCGATCGCGTATGCCACCGATGCGACCACCCTACATCCTCGTCGTACTCAGGTATGGGCGCCCTGAAGCAAGCTTTTCGTGCCTCGATGTACCCACACCCATAAAGGTTGTAGTCAGTCATGAACTGCAGTAGGTACTGTAAGTGTGCCTCATACGGTTGGAATTTCCTCTTCATAATGGCGCCTTGCTGGAGTAATTCCGCGAGACGAGTCATGGTAAAAGGGTTGAGCATGTAGATCTTGAGATAGAGCCGGTAGCCGACGTGAAATCCGTAGAAAGGTATTCCCTTGACAAGGGTGATCCTAGCCACATATTTACTCTTCGCATCGTACGCATTTCGACGGTAACTCACAGCCAAGGCGTGGTCAATGGAGAGGTGAAGCTGGTAGATGTATGCACCCACTGCTCCCGTGTCAGAGCCAAAATTCCAGTTATAAAACCCACGTACACGCGTCTTACCATCGTCTGAGAGCAAGCCTCCGTTGTACTCGATATACAGGTACGGGAACGCGCCGTGTATATGGGCGCATACCTTCTGGCCCGTTTCTGTCGAACCGAAGACTCTAATAACGGGCACGGCGGGCTCTTTAGCCAGCTGAGATGGGTGGACGTCATTGCGAAGCAGAGGATCGTATTTCGTCTGAACAGCCTGATAGTGGTCTATGCAGTTCAACCGCACGCGAAAGACATCCATGGCGATTTATACATGCTGGCGCTGGCGGGGATTCTGGCACGAGGCATGGGGGTGGATTGGCCACCACGCACGAACCCAGACAGAAAATGTGATATGTGATATAAGCAGGGAACTGAAGCAAGGTGGGAGAACCGATTGTGCTGCGTGTTTGGGTCGCGCACCCCTCAGCCAAGGACGCGTCGGTGGACTTGGCTAGAGGAAATGCAGCTGGCATCGCGACGCGCTGTCAGGTGTTGTGGTCCGAGTTCCTTTTATTCAATTTTGGATGAAAGGTGGTCGATTAGGTAAGATATTCACGAGAGTACATGTCCCAGCCACAATTTTTTTTTCTGCACAGCCACTTCGCACTAGCCACAAGCTATGTATGCTGATAGGTCCTTACTCTACGGTCTATCCATATTCCTACATCTTCCTAGACAGACATTTCAGCTCTTCGATAACCATACCCACCGCATCGAACCTGTATAATCCGGCCATAACCTGCCTCCCGAGTCGTCCGTACAATCGTTTCGAATCTTACCACGACATACTTTCGCCATGCCGCCGCCGCCGCCACCTCCCTCGCGGAGGAACGACAAGGCATCGGCTGCCTCCAAGGAAGAAAACATCTACATCCCGTCCTTCATCAGTAAGCGGCCCTTCTACGCGGGCGAGGAAGGCGACCAGTCCGACTATCTCGAGCATCAGCGCCTGCACAAGGCGAAGGACGACCAATCGAAGTGGTACGACCGTGGAAAGAAGCTCGGGCCGGCCGCCACCAAGTATCGGAAGGGTGCGTGTGAGAACTGCGGCGCGATGACGCACAAGGCCAAGGACTGCCTGAGCCGTCCGCGCGCGAAGGGTGCCCGGTGGACCGGCAGGGATATCCAGGCCGACGAGGTGATCCAGGACGTCGAGCTCGGCTGGGACGCGAAGCGCGACCGCTGGAACGGCTACGACCCGAAGGAGTACCGCCACGTCGTCGAGCGCTACAACCAGCTCGACGAGCTGCGCAACCAACTGTCTAGCGCGGGCCAGGACCAGGAGGGCGAAGATGGCGAGGGCGAGGAGGGCAAGGATGCCGGCGAGAAGTACGCCGAGGAGTCGGACATGGGGCGGCATCAAAGCACGGCGACGAGGCAGCTGCGGATACGAGAGGACACGGCCAAATACCTGCTGAACCTCGACCTCGAGTCGGCCAAATACGATCCGAAGACACGGACCATGGTGGACGCGGGCGCGACGGCGGATAAGGCGGCGCAGCTCTTCGCCGAAGAAGGGTTCCTGCGCGCGGCGGGTGACGCAGCCGAGTTCGAGCGCGCGCAGCGGTACGCGTGGGAGAAGCAGGAGAAGAGCGGCGACACGAGCCAGCACCTGCAGGCGAACCCGACAGCCGGCGAGTTCTACCGGCGGAAGGAGAAGGAGGATGCGGAGAAGAAGCGCGCCGCGCGGCTGCAGGTGCTGCAGGACAAGTACGGCGGTGACCAGCACGTCATGCCCGCCGCTCTGCGGGAGGCCGCCGTGACCGAGTCGGAGCAGTTCGTCGAGTACGACGAGGCCGGCCTCATCAAGGGCGCGCCCCGCGCCGTCGCCAAGTCCAAGTACGCCGAGGACGTCTACGCCAACAACCACACCTCCGTCTGGGGCAGCTGGTGGTCCAACTTCAAGTGGGGATACGCGTGCTGCCACTCCATAATCAAGAACAGCTACTGCACGGGTGAGGAGGGAAAACTAGCCTGGGAGGCCGCCGAGAGGCAACGGACAGGCGTGGATTTAATCGAGGAGGCGCCGTCGCCGGCGCAGGCGGAAGAAGCCGAACCGCCGAAGCAAACAGCGAAGAAGCGCACAGTAGAGGAGATGAAGGGCGGCGTATCAGAGGCCGAGCTCGACGAGTATCGCCGAAAGAGGACGGCCGCAGACGATCCTATGGCCAAATTCCTGGGCAAAGACGAGCTAGTTACATAGTATCCGTCACATGATCGGGATACCCGTTAACTGTAAATATGCACATTAAGGCGAGGGTGTAACGACAACATATCACTGAGTATAGCGACTGTACCGTAGCAAGTATCATGGCGGTCGTGAAAAATGGATTTTTTTTTTCATGCATTCCGTTTCCCCGAGGCCGAACGCCTTGATCTATGGGAGCTGTGGAGCGTCCTTTCATGAGCTCTTAATATGACCAATTCCCCCATCCAGTGAAGCTACCCACAGGTAATCAAACACAACGCTGATGCATCTACTCTTCCTCCTCCTCCTCTTCGCCACCGTCGCCCTTCTCCGTGGCCTTGGCCTTCTTCCGGGAGACGCGGCCGTGGCGCCCGCCGCCGAAGGGTGAGGTCAGGGAGAAGTCGATGTGCTTCTGGGAGTCGAGACGGACGATGAATGAGGGCACGTTGACGATCTGCTTGCCGACGCGGATGTGGCGCTGGCGGATCAGGACACGGGCGTGGTGGATAGACTTGGCGAGACCGAGCTTATAGACGCAGGTCTGGAGGCGGCGCTCCAAGAAATCTTCGACCTTGAGCGCAAGCACGTAATCAAGCTTCGTGCGGGACTCGTCGAGCACGCCGACACGGACCAGACGACGAATGAGGGCGTTGCCCTCGAACAATCGCTTCGGGTCTTTCTCGTCGAGGGTAAGAAGTTGACTAAAAAGGCGCGCCCAACATTAGCCTTCGGATATCATCCCCGGCATCGCAACGGGGAAAGGGAAGGGTGGTGGTGAACATACCGAGCGGCACGACGGATCTTGGAGAGGGTAAGCTGGACACGCCAGACCTCTCGCTTGTTGCGAAGACCGTACTCGCCGACAAGCTTCAACTCGGAATCACTGGTGGACACCGTGTCAGTTTCTCTTCACAATCGACTTAAGCAGAGTCAAGCTCGTGCTCAGTGGCCGGTGATACTGACAGACGGGCAGCCTCGAAGGGACGACGGGGGACCTTGGCGGTCTTGGAGTAGGACAGAGGCGCCATGGTTGCGTTTCGACAGCGGAGTTCCTGCCTTTCTTCTACACGGTGGGTTTAGGCGACGAGAAATAAAAGAAGAAGAGTGTTTGAGGGTATCATGGGATGCGCAAGAAAAGCGAATTAGAAAAAGACGGAATAGACGGAGAGAAAATGTGGGATGGAGAAAGTACCCAGGTACCTAGGGCAAGAGATGTGCTATTCCTAATAGGGCTTAGCCTCCACTCGCTTAATCCAACGGGCAGGAGCGGAAAACGAGGTGGGCAGCAACTTCCATAAGCACCACACAACAAATCGGGTCCGAAAAAATTGCCCTAACTGAATTTCCCAAAGGCGGACGGAACAACAGCGTCAACCACGTCGAGACAACTCCCACCCATCTTTCACCACATTACAACCCGCATCGCCTCCCAACTCACCACAACACCAGCAAGATGGGTCATCCCGCAGGTCTTCGCGCTGGCACTCGAGTAGGTGCAATTGGCCACTTCCCAGGCCAAATTGTTCTCACTAACGCTTCTTCTACAGTACGCCTTCTCCAGGAACTTCCGCCAGAAGGGCCAGATCCGCCTCTCCACGTACCTACAACAATACAAGTATGTTTTCGGCGTCGGATCTATCGGGTAGCGGGAGGGAGGGAAGGAGTAGGGGAAGACTAACAGTAAGACAGGGTTGGCGACATCGTTGACATCAAGGCAAATGGTGCTGTTCAGAAGGGGTAAGGCAAAATATCCATCCATCCACCCCACCCAGTCGATAATGCGACCGACACCACGACAAAAGCCGGCCGGACGGTGAGAGAGAGGGGAGAGGACGGGCTGTGAATTGGGTGGAGGCCAGCGCGTGTGCGCTACGAGATCCTGGGAGCTGACCGGGCGACAATAGTATGCCTCACAAGGTCTACCACGGCAAGACCGGCGTCGTCTACAACGTCACGAAGAACGCGGTCGGCGTCATCATCTACAAGAAGGTGAAGCACCGGTACATCGAGAAACGAGTCAATCTTCGCATCGAGCACATCAGCCGGTCGCGATCAAGAGAGGACTTCCTCAAGCGCGTCAAGCTCAACGCCGCACTGAAGAAGAAGGCCAAGGAAGAGGGCGTCGCTGTGGTGACCAAGCGACAAGCCACCCAACCCCGCGAGGCGCGGACGATCTCGATGGCGGACAATCGCCCGGAGACGGTGACCCCGATCGCGTACGAGACGACGATCTAGAGCGGGAGGAGCCAGGACGGGTCGGTGTTTTTTCTGGGTCTCTTGCCGGTTGCTTTTCTCTCTGCATTAGGGGCTATTGTGTTTTCGCGCGCGGCCGGGAATCGATTCTTCTGTGCATGGCAAGGCATGGATGGACATTGGGCGACGCCTAGAGGAATGACAAAACAAAAAATATACCAAATGCCAAAGAAAGCAGAGACAGGTCTGGCTGCTCCTCCACAGCTCTCCGAATGTGAACCAAGCAGGCATGCAAGAATGGCGCGCAAGGAGGACAGGCTTCGAGTCAGACCCGGATAATCCATCTTACTAGGGCCTGCGCTCATGCGTAGTGCGGTAGGTTTTCGAGCGAGCATCACAACCTATTTTACGACGATACTCACAAATATCGCCTGTCACCCCACGCCGGGCCTTGAGGAGGAGCAGAGACAGTGATAGACTACAATAGTAAATTATTACAAATTCTTGTATTCGGGTATCAATTCGTGCTCCATGAATGAGCTGCACACTAGCCGGCACCGGGCCCTGAGCCGATTGTCTACGGCTAGGTATCTATCCCCTCCCTGCACCACTCGCAACAGCCGCCTCTCCCCTCGCCTTCACGCCTACCTACCAGGTAGGTAGGCTGACAAGTAGGTATATACCTTAACGGAGCCTTAATACCCCCCTACCCGTTCGCAGGTAAGCCCAGCCATAGCGATCGCAACCTCGTAGTTCGGCGGGAACGCGTCGGCGCGGTCAGCATCGAGCTCGACGACGGCGCAGTCGGCACGTGGCCGGGGCGGCGGCGCCGGGGGCAAGCCCAGCGCGGCACGCCATATCTCGTCGCGCAGGCTGCCGCCGATCTGGACCATCTCGGCCGCGCGCCGCATCCGGGCGCCCGCCTCGTCGTCGTCGTCGTCCCAGCCGCCCTCGCCCTCGCCCTCGCCGTCGCTGTCCGCCGCCGCCGCGGTCGCGTGCAGCCCCAGCACGTCCCCCGCCGCCCACGGCGCGCTCAGGTACAGGTTCCCGTAGTCGTCGCGCCCCGCCGCCTGCGGCACCCGCGGGTCCCGCATCGCGTCCCACCCGCTGGCCACGATCCGCGTCTGCCGCGCGGCGCGGCGCGTGCGCAGGCGCCACATCAGCGACGAGATGAACCCGCCGCCGCCGCTACTAGGTGGTGGCGCCACGGCCGCGGCCTCGCGCTGCGTGTCGGCGCCGGCGCTGCTGGTGTTGCTGCCCCGCCGGCGCGTGGCGCCCTCGGGCAGGATCTCCTGCTGCTGCTGCCAGCGGTGCGGCGACGCGTCCCGGCTGCTGTCGTCGGCGGCGGGGGTGTCGTCGGCGAAGGGGTGCGCCGGGAGCTCCGCCGGGCCCTCGTCGGCCGAGGGCGCGGGGGAGAGGGAGAGGGACCGCGCCGGCGGCGACGGCGCGCCGAAGAAGCCCGGCCCCGTGCGCTGCTCGCCGTACGCTTCGCGGATCACGGCCGTGACGGCCAGCAGCTCGCCGCCGGCCTTCGAGCGGTGGTTCTTGGTGCGGGGCATGATGCGTTGGTTGGTGGGAATCGCACCCCGCGTTCGCGTTCGCCTGTAGTCTATATAGGTATATAGTGCGGGTGTGTGTGTGATGAGTCGGTTTCCGAAGTCGACCGTGTAAGTCGGGTCGATCTGAGGAGCTAGGTATACGCTTATGCCTATATACCCGGGTATATTCAGAGACTGAGAGGCCGAGAGGGGGGTGTGCCGAAGCAGGCGGGCTCCAAGGCAGATGTCAGGCAGTTCGGAATCTAGATTATGCCTAGGGACTCTAGGATGGCGAAATCGCAATCTTTCATCTCTCTCTCTTTCGCTCCCTCTATTCGGTTTATATATCCCAGCCTCGTAAGCCTTTTCTGCCGGCTGGCGGGAGGAAATCCAAAAGGGACGTGGGAAGGGCAATGATGGAAGGGTGAAGGGTGACGGCCGCGATATGTACCCATGCGTACGATACAGCAACGCTACCTTCATTACATCCCGTAGCCAGGGCAATAAGGGAAATGAGACCAGGCTGCTGATAAGCAGATCCGTACATACGTAGAGGCAGGCAGGGACACTGACATGTTCACACAGGCATACCTCGCCAACCGCATTTCGCAGTTAGGAGCGCGGGACGCGCAGCCCCAGTACGATGGGGATGCTCCAGATGTGCGTGGCTCACGGCTTCACTTAGACGCGGTACCATCCAGGACAATTCCGCACTGAGCCTAGCAGCGTAAGCCTGCGGCGGGTCTACGACCCTGCCGAGCGGCTGAACGAGGATCGACGGGGCATCCCTTTCCATCCTCATTTCCTTCCTCCGCTGTGGCGGGTCTGTCTTTGATTTTTTGGTCTCTCTCCCTGTCTCTATTTCTGTCTCTATTTCTATCCCCATTCTGTATATATTCTCTGCGTACCTCGCTTTCGCTCTCGGCTGCGCCTCGGACTCTCCACATGTCTTCCTAGCTAGTGGGCCGCATCATCATCCTTCGATCTGACCCCGTCCGGCGCGGCATCGTCCCCTTCGCTTGTCTTGGCGCGCGTGGTTGGCGAAGTGCCGCACGCACACCGCACGCGCAAGCCCATCAGCGAGATTACGACTGCCTACGTAGATCTGTAGGTATGTAAGTACACCCACACATCTGCCCACCATAAGAACCCTGCTTAACCCTCTTCAAATCAGCAGATTGTCGAAGGGATAATCGGGGAGAAAGAGGGGAAAGGGAAGGCGGACAGAGAGACAGGCTGGACAAAGGGCAGTAAACAGGAACCCCGTTGTGGTCTCCCATAGGTAGAGTGTAACACTGCGTGGTAATGTGTCGCAAACCTCGTCTACAAGGCGGTGGCTGGGCCTTCACCTGTCCTTGCTTACGCACCCCTGGCTCGCTCGACTCGAAGGGAGCGACGTGGAGTGACGAATGGATAGAATCCGAATCATGCCCAATGTTCCATCTACTAGAACATGCACACGCATACACACACGCGGCCGGGCCTCACGTGGAATCCCTTCCCGCCCTTCCCCCATCTCTCACCGGCAAATGTGCCGTGGGGGTCGCCATGGCACGCGAGATAGAGGTAAAACAAACAGCCGACGATGGCCCGCCTGGCTGGTAGCAAGTAGCTACAACCGTCGCGAGAGAGGAGAGGTGTAGGCATTATGGTCAATTCGGACCCAAACTCCAGTTCACCGTCTTCACCTCGCGACGTAAATCGCCCATCCGATATTAAAATCACATGAATCCGTGCGCTCACCTACCTATCACAATAGGCACCTACACACCATCAGAGAACATACCTGCCGAGTATCGCATATCCGTTTCCACAACACCCACCGACGCCGATCACAATTGCGTACCCGTCTTCCATCGTAGCGGTCGTATAGCAGCTACCTATACCACTTCACCAAGAAGGTCTACACCCTGCGTACTGTGTACATAAATAAATGTTCTTTGCACTCGTATGTGACGCCAAAAAAAAAAACGCCCTTCCGGTCGTGCCGGGATAGACTACGTATATATGTAGTGTAGGCACTCGAGTTTGGTAGGAGAGCAAAGCACCTCTAGGCATGTTATTCCCGGCAAGACGAGCGAGCACCTAAACCTACGACTGCCACTCACCCCGGTCTAGCTCTGGCTCGCGCTCCAAATCTACCTGAGCCCGGAGAAGCAGCAGGCGAGCGACGACTCTCGCCTCTCGACGATAGCCTTTGCGCCGGTGCGTAGGCATAGGTAATATATACGCGAGACGCGCCAGACGGACGCACCGCGCTCGGCTGCGGTGGCGTGACGTGCTGATCGCGAACCCTCTAGCCTAACCTAGTACACCTGCCTGATCTACCTGACCTACCTCTAACCTAACCTACCTGCGTACGTATTTTGTCATCGGCACCGTTCGCGCGACGCCAAGGTAGGATGTGCGGGTAGCACATCAAAGTTGCGTTCCAGCGTCGTCGTCTTAGCTATTCCAGAGACGATACGACGGCCGTCGGGCGGGGTGATTTCACAGAGGGTGCTACTAGTTCCACGCCGCCTTTCTCTCCCCCACCAATCTTCTCGCCCTTATTCCTAGGTAATAAAAATATATATACCTTGTTCCCTAAACACGACGCAGATCACCTCAGCAAGGAGAACACGAGTCCCTCCGTATATTCCCCAAGATCAAGCTTGAATCCATTCGTCATGGTATTGCTCATCCACGTAGAAAGGCAACTTAGATATCTAGCCCCTTACACCTACTCCTCCCCCCCCCCCCTCTCTACCCTGAGGGACGTAGCTTTGCTGCCTATGCACACGTAGACCTATATACACACACATGGTGATTTAACTACACCCAAATGTCTCTCGACCGCTACCTTTCGAGAATATGTCACGATCGGCGGACCCCGGATCCTCGCATGGCACCGCTGCCGCCTGCACCTTCGGGACCCGACCGAATCAGATCAACTCATGATAGCGAGCAAGATATTATTGCCACCAATATTGACGGCCTCTGTCGACCCCACTTCTCCGTCAACGGGTTCACAGCAAGTGACTGGATCCTATAGATTTGGCGAAGTAACCCCGACGGAAGATCTCCCGCCAATGGTATATGCAGTGTGTCGTCTTACGAATAAAAGAAGAAAAGGCCCGTCCTCGTTGTACCGGATATGCAAGGCGACGCGAGACGAAGAAATCGCAGGTCGCGAGAAGGAGAAAGGAAAAAGAAAACCGGGTAAGAGTTCCTTTCTGCGCAGGGGTATATTGGAATAGAGAGCACGAAGGCAAAGTCAGCTGCGGTGCCCTATTTGCATCATATCCTAAGGATGGGGGAAATGATGCTTGCGCGGTCGGTGCCTACGATTAGAGAATCTGGAGAAAGGGTGTGGCAGAAATGTCGGGCTATGTGTGTAGGTAGCCCGAACGGCGGTCTATATCGACCGTGGTCGTGAGAACGGTTATGCGAAGAAAGGAAGTAAGGAAGTAAGGAATGAGTGTGAGGTTCTCATATGCCTGGGTACGCGCTGCCGGGAATCATGCCTCCTCTCCTCGAGTTCGATGCCCCGCGAGTTGACGGCAGCTGAAAGTCGGGGTTGCTGTTGAGAATATTGACTTCGTTTCGGCCCACCGGTTTTCGTCGCGGCATCGGCTCGTAGCCCGCGTGCGGCGGTGGGTTCCAGCGAGGGTTGATGCCTCGTTGCGAGACCGAGGTAAAGCCGGATTGTTCGGAAATCGCCGGACTCCTAGCTCCCGGAGGTATCTCGTCATAGCCTATCGGGCCGTCTGGGACCACCTGCAGCGACCTAGAGGCTGGCTCCGTAAAGCGAGGATCCACGTCTTCGTAATAATTGCCCCTCTCGACCGGTGCCGGCTGGGGCGGCGCGGGTGGATGCGGGGGGGGCGTTCTGTTATCGAGTTCCTGCGGACGCGCGGGAATGTGCAGGGGCGAAGGGACAGTCGATGGAGAGGCTCGACCCGGTCCCTGATTCCACACCTGTCGAGGCGGAACATATTGCCTGCGAAGGGAGTCCGTTAGCCATCCGGCTTTTCATCACGGGGGGGTCCTACTTACTCGTCCACACTATACCTGCTTCCTTCGCTCATGTAGGTATCATGTCGGTGGGCAGGCGACGCTCTCGCCTGCTGCAGAGCTAACATCCCAGCCACATCGGTGTCGCTGTCCCTAATTCGGTCGTTGAACTGGCCGGAATCCTGCGGCGCCTGTGTTGGGTTTTGTGTAGGAGGAGCACCCGTCTCCACGGCCTGCTCAGCAGGTCTTTCATGCGCATCGTCGATGCCTGGCAACGGAGGCGGCGACTCCGCTCTGGGTAGCTCACTGGTTCGGCTAGGGTTATAGGCTTGGTAGTTACTCGATTCCGGCATCTCGGGCGGGACGTTCGGTATGGTCGGTTGCGGCAAGGGCGGCTCCATTCCATAGGGATCTCCCGGCGGTCCCGGAGATACCTGCCGGCCCGGAGCATAGTTCCCGTACGAGCCGGCGGGAGATGGTCGTCGGTCGTACGGCCCGCCGCCTGGGTAGGTTGGCGGTGGCGTTCTCCCGCCTCTCATCATTCCGGGAGGGCCGTAGCCCCCACGGGGCGGGCCGTAGCCTCCTCGCCCACCCGGCGGCGGACCATACCCACCACGACCACGTGGACCGTATCCACCTCTTCCATTCGGGAGCGGGCCGTATCCCCCACCATAACCCCCTCTTGGGTATCCTCCTCGTCCCCGATAACCGCCTGGTGGACCTCCGCGGCCTCTCGCGTTCATCTGCTCGAACGACGGCCCTCGCCGCATCGGATACTCATCCGGGGGTGCGTTGATCGGATTCCCGTACTGGTCCCTCGGCAGAGATACGTTAGAGCCTCCTCTTTGCGGCGGTAAGTTGTATGCCGAGTTCTGCATGGTCCCATCAGGGGGGATCGGGTTCGGGGACCTATTCGACGGGGTCCGGGAGGTCAAAGGTATTTGCTCGTCGCTGCTGCGGTCGTCTTTGTTCTCATAGGTAGCAAAGGTGGCTAGCTTATCGCTCGGTCCGTTTGCTCCAGAGACGACAGGGATGGTTGGTTGCTGGGATATAGCAGTAGAAGAGGCACCGTCTGGCTGTTGTTGTACTTGGCGGTTGTAGTAGTTCTCTCCACTCATCTCGGCATTTTCTGCGATACGCTTTTTCCTCGCCTTCCTACTAACTAAGGTGCGACGCATAGCACACGAAACAATGAAACTCATGAACACCAGAATCGTGGCGGCCAGGACGATGTAGGAGCCCCAGGCCATGTGAGGAACGAAGAGTAGGACGTCGATTAAGAAGGAGAGGAGGCATACTAAAAACGTAATGATGCCGAAGATAAACAGTAACAACAAATAGCGGGGAGAATGCGAAGGAGAATGAAGGTGGGCGACAATGGCAAGCACGAGCATCACCAGCGTCAAGAGGCAGGCAACAGGGTGGACGACGAGGATGGCGGATAGCGTCGTTCGCGTCGCGGGAGGGAGGTCGAAGGTAGCCGAGTCTACCGGAGAAAATAGATTTCCTGCGATGGGAGTCAGTCCAATAGCAACGAAATGCCCTAAATTAGGATATAAATGATAGCGCAGTACAGACATACCCGTATCGTAGCCGATCTCTATCGGGCTGCACACACCGTTGTTGCAGTAGCCAAAGACGCCGAAGCTGACCCCTTTGTACGTGCCCAAAGGGATTGCTTTAATGATGGGAGTCGACAGGACGGCGAGCAACAGCATGGCGAATGCGGCAAATAGCAGCACGGCCAGAGGAGTAGCTGGGCGCAACATGGCGACGGCCTAGCAGCGCGCCGACTCGCATGAGCCAGCGACGCCGGAGGAGGAGCGGGCCGGTGTCGAGCGGAAATGAGCGGCCAGAGTCGACTCGGACTTCAGAGGCGATGGCGGACTTGAGCAGGCAAAGATGGGCGACGAGGATGCACGGATATAGGCGGCGGCGACATGTAGATTAAGGTCAGAGGCACATCAGACGAGAACGCGTTTCGGACTTTGTCATTTAGCGATTTGGTGAATGACGATCCGAGCTTGACAGAATCCGAAGGTGAATATCCGAAATCGAAAATCCGAAGTCGACAATCCGAATTGCCACACGCCTGCCTGGCTGGTTGTGATTCCCCTAAGCCTCCTTTTCGATCCTTGGTCCTCTTTCTTTTTTTTTTTGTCCTCTTTCGAAAGGATGGCCGGACCCGACACGCTTCCCAGAAACGAGTGACTGACTGACTGACTGACGGGCGGACGGACGATGAGGGCCGCGGCCAAAGGAGGCAGATTGGCTGGGTCGACCAAGTGGGAGTGGCAGTGGCAGTGGCAGTGTCGCCGATGGTGACACGGCGATGGTGGGTGTCGAAGGTTAGGGAGTTGACTTGGACGGGTGGAATTGATTGGATTGAAGGGGGTGGAATGGGAGAGACAGACGAGTGGTGGGTGATTGGGTAATTGGAGTGCACCGCCCGCGGGTGGTGGTGGAGAGGTGGTGGTAGGCGGGCAGGCAGGTAGGTAGAGGTAGGTATTAGGTAGGTGGTTAAGGTGGTGGTGGTGGTGGGCGGGTGATAGGCTCGACTTGATGGGGGTGGGAAAAGGATGGGAGGACGAGTGGGGACGAGTCCCGATTTGCGTTGCCATTACAGCCAGCAGGTACTGTACATAGGTACCTCCTTCTCCATCAGGTAGTACCCTATACCTGCCGTCATCCAGCCAGAGCAGCAATCCTAGGACTGCCTGGGGCGCAGAGTCGGAGGTTTGATACGTACCAGGAACCTACTCTTACTCATAAGGGGGAGGTACCTGTAGGTACCTAAGGCAGCTCCAGATGGGTACATCAGGTACCCACCTGCTGCATTGGGTATTTTCGGCAGCAGATAGACACACCTACCCTACCTGGTGCATATACGGAGAGGTACCTCTAGCCTTACCTATACGCGTAGTACGTGTATACCTGAGGTAGGTACCTAAGGTACCTAGGTGGTTAATGCGTGCCAGCAGGGTGAGGTTAGGAGTAGGTTGGTAATACCACCATGTCTGAGGTCCCTAAACCCTAGAGATACTCTCTGGCGGTTCTGTTTTACGGCGAGCCAGGCGCTAGGTAGACATCAATGCGACATCAGGGAAGGGTAATGGAAGTCGGGCGAGTTGAACTTATCGTCGTGATCTGGATGATGGGACCTGTCATCTCTCTCCACCGCACCTATGCTACCTAACGTAGCATCGTAGCGCGTACGTATGCATGCCTATATTGTCACCACTAACCTCGAATGCTGACCCTAGGCTAGTAATCCATGATGTTATTCATATTCATGTTATTCATCGTAGTGCATCCGTACTCCTGTCTACAGGTACCTACTTCGACCACATCCCTACTCGGGCACCGATCTAGTTCCGTGCTAGAGGCGCACGCCATATATGTACAGAGAACACACCACCACACCCACAGGGGATATACATATACGGGGGAGAACACGTCTGCATCCGTACTTGGTGGCGTATCGTCGACCAGGACAAACTGCATACTTAATATTACATCTACCTACCTACATACCTGCGTCGTTGACCGAGACCTACTATAATGCAACATTTCCACCCACGACGCCGGAGCGGCCTAGCATGGATGAGGCCTGCTCTCTCAGCTGTCTCGCTCATAGACGGCTACTCATTCCCTTACTCATACACCAAGCGTCTGAGCAGTGGGGCCCATCCCAGATCACCAGCCAGCCCGCCCTACCTGAGGTTATCCTGGCTGTGGCTGCGAGTACTCGGTACCTACGTCGACTAGCCCGTATGAGTAGGCTTAAAAGTACCTGCTCCACCACGTACCCGTCCGGAACTAGTCGGATCCGACTGGATCGAAGCTCAGAGCCATTGGAAGCCTTGCTGGTGCCTGTAGTGGCTATTACTCATACATATATTTGAGGGAATCCTTTATCTACCTCCTACCTATCCGTCTTGTTAACCCGTAATCTCAGGTTCGCAGGAAGAAAAACTCCTTTACGGTATAGGCGATCACCCAATCGACAACACACCTACATACCAACGTAACCTACCTATAAACAGCAAGCACATCCCAAGGTCGCTATCGTGTCTGGGAGATGCAATACACACCTGGGCTATCGAGCGTGTAGGCTGCCTCTGGCGCCGTGCTTCCACGCGTCGACGTCCGTGGCGCTCTTCTGGCTTGCGAGATCCGTACGCTGCTACGTAGCAGGCGTGTGGTAGGCGGGTTCTAAACCCGAAAGTGCTGAGCAAAGTAGCATCCACGGGGGTTATCGCACATAGGTATGTGGACGCGTCCTCTACCGTCCCGGCCGGGTAGAATCCACCATCCACTACCACTCCGCACGGTGAGGTGCGTAGTAACACAGATCAGGTATACTTGTAGGCATGGAGGTAAGCATGTAACTGGAGATTTGTCAGTACGTAAGGAGGTGCTTGCGCACCTAACCTAGGTATGTATACCTAGTATCTACGGAGGCCTGGTATTGCGCAACGACAGCGTAACGCGGCGACGTAGTCTCTATCCTGCTATGGAGCTCGTCGAGGCGAAGCACATCGAAACGTCGGGGGCCTAGGCCAACCAGAGCTCTGGTCAGGTCGGATCTCGAACTCGCTCCCTTCGCGTGCGCTTCCGTCAAACACCAGAAACCCCAAACCTGGCTGCGGATTCCGATTGGCTCGCGAGAGACAAGCGACGTGGGCGAGGCAAGCCGACGAGAGACCAAGATCACAAGGTGCTTCAGCGACGAGCAAAGGCGGCTACTGTCCAGCAAAGACACAGATAGGTACCAGAGGCAGGCAACGGCTGCCTGCTGCGTAGTGAGGTATTCATATCCCCCTCTCCCTACCCGCCGGCGTCTGACGAGGGCGGACGGGTACATCGCATCGAAGGTCGACCCGCGATTCTGATTCGAGACTTGGCGGCAGTGGTGACGGGCGTTTCGTCATGCATCAGCTTTTTCCGCCCTCCTTCTTCGAAACTCTAGATGACCCCGGGTCAAACATAGGATCTGCGTCCTATGAGCAGCTCCTGTCGCAGAGCCCCAGATTTCAGGGATAGCGTGCAAGCGGTGAAAACAAACGCGATCGCTGCGCGCCCGCTCTCCGTGGATCGTACATGCACGGCGAGGGTCTGCTGGAGAATTCAAGCTTTTCCTCAAGCGCCTATCACTCGTAGATCTTGAGCCTCGATCTGTTCCCTAGATACGTATGTGCCTACACATCTGCATAGGTAAGTACACATGTAAGCTGGAGCTCCCGGATCGTCCATATCGGAAGACTACCTAAGATCGACGATCTCCTAGATGGATCAATGCCGTCTCCTAGAACAAATCTGGGTGGAGATGCACTCCGAGGTAGGTATAGATACAAACCTACCTCTAGATCTAGGTACTCTATGTAGAGGTGCATTGGTTTCTTGGATATCCGGCTTCTACTATCTGTATTCAATACTTCCACCCCTAGAAACACTCTACGCATAGGCGCGTAGTATAAAAGAGAGCGAGTGCTTACGGTAGAATATCCCGCGCTTAAGTCGTTGGGTCTAGCGAGCTCGGATTACGCGAGCAAGCGATGAGAAAGTCGAGAATTGGTTTACGGATTGAGGTCGAAGTTTGCGAGCTACCTTAGGTACCTACCCTACTGTTACCGACCAACTTCTCGAGGGCAAAATCAAAGGGGATACGTCTTCTCTCTCTATGTGTCTCTATTCTTCTCTCCGTTCTTCTCCACGGCATTACGGATATTACGAATCTACTAACTGTCTGCCTGATTGACGACCGAAATGGTGCGGTAGAAACGAGCGTGGGGCATTAAAGCGGTACCTATTGCCGACCACCCACTTACGTCGGCCGAGCCCAGCCTGGGGCGCCGAAGTCATTGGGGCGGATCGGCACAAGACAAGGCCGACTCGGGGTTGACGGCGATAAGGCCTGCGCGATAAGGTAATGGCAACGGCATTCGGTCTTTCTCTTAAATATCGTCATTGAAAAGCCCATTCCGCTTACCTCTCTTTATTTCCCTCTCGTTCGCACCGCCGAGGTAGGTAGTTCATGGACGGACTGCCATAAAATAGCACGCCTGGAAAATAACCACCTCCTAGAGGGGGTCGGAAGCTTCGTCTTCCGTCTCCAAACGCAGCTAGAGACGATGCTCCGCAACGGCGCATCCAACTTCTGCGCCCGTCAAGCCCTCTCCTGGCAGAGGATAGAAGCTCACGATGGCACGCACGCGACCGGAACCGTCCTCCGCCTCTCGACTCGCCCGCTTCGCCCCGTACGTCAAGCGGGCCGGATACGAGCCTACTCGTCCTTCGAGCCTCTTCGCCCGCCCTCGCCCGCTTCTCTGGGCAGGCCTAGACAAGCGCGCGAGTTCAAGCGCGGCCGGAAATGGGGCCGGCGACTGCTGATCGTTTCCGCGATAACCGGCACCGTCTACGTGATTGATAAGCAGGCCTTCGCCTCGGGCATCGGACGGTCGCTGCTGACGTTCAGCACTGGCCTCCTCGTCGCCCTCGACTACAAGCTCAATTTCCGCGCCGAGCCCATCTTCGGCGGCACCATCGAAGACCTGCACATGCGCAGCGCCGAGCGCCTGTTCGACGTGCTGCGCGCCAACGGCGGCCTCTACCTCAAGATCGGCCAGGCTATCGCCATGCAGAGCGCCGTCCTACCCCCCGAGTTCCAAAAGATGTTCGCTAGGATGTTCGACGACGCGCCGCAGGACGAGTGGAAGGACGTCGAAAAGGTCATCAGGAAGGACTTCGGAGGCAAGAGCGTCGAGGAGGTCTTCGGCGTGAGCTTTACAGGCGAGGAGGGCAAGGGGCTGATGGAGCGCAGGGCCAGAGCTAGCGCGAGCGTCGCCCAGGTCCACTGGGCAAGGCTGCCCGACGGGAGAGAGGTCGCGGTCAAGCTACAGAAGCCCGAGATTGCCAAGCAAGTCGGTTGGGACCTGTGGGCGTTTAGGTGAGTGCCATGGGCTTCGAGGCTACCTGGGAGCTACCTAGACGCCTTCCAGACGCGCGTGCATACTGATTTCCGAGGCAGAGTAGTGATGCGGGTGTATACGTGGTGGTTCGACCTGCCCCTATACAGCATAGTACCATTTATAACGGAACGTCTGATGCTCGAGACGGACTTCGAGGCAGAAGCCAGGAATTCGGAAATAATGAGGAACCTCGTCAACTCGGAACCCAGCCTCAAGGGTAGGGTATACGTCCCGAAGGTCTACCCGGAGTTTACGACGAAGAGGGTGCTAGTGACGGAGTGGATTGAAGGCATACGGCTCTGGGACAAGAATGCGACGCGCGGAAACTGGCTAGGTGGGCATGGCAATGGTTCCCCCGGCGTTAACAGCACTCAGCTGCAGTTTAGCCCATCCGATATGGAGGCTGCCCGCCGGGAGTTGCGAGAGAACCCATTCAAAGAACGGCTGAAGCCCGACCGCGAAACCTGGAAAGGGCGGAGCGGTAAGGGTGGGCTTGGTCTATCGAGCAAGGAGGTCATGACCACGATGGTAGACCTATTTTCGGCCCGGTACGTATTAAAAAAGAAGACTGCATACGACCCATGCCTTGCTGGATTCCTAATCTCTGTATAGGAGGCGTACTAACTAGCCGGTAGTAAGTAACCAACCACCAAAGCCTTCTTTGCTCGTTGGGGAGACCTGTGACGGCGCCGGCTTCGGCTCATCCGAACAGCAACGGAACCGGAGACGGCAAATGCCATCCCGGCGGCTACGCAATACAGAAAACAGTGCTGACGTGATTGTGCCGCAGAGATCTTTAAATGGGGCGTCGTGCACTGTGATCCCCACCCAGGTAACATCTTCATCAGGCGCCTCCCGTCGGGTCGGGCGGAGCTGGTCCTCATCGACCACGGGCTCTACGTGTACATGAGCCCCGAGTTCCGGCACCAGTACGCGCTGTTCTGGAAGTCGCTGATGACGTTCGACAACAAGACGATCGCCGAGATCACAGAGCAGTGGGGCATCAAGGCGCCAGACCTGTTCGCGAGCGCGACGCTCATGCGCCCGTACGAGGGCGGCGACGGCACCACCAAGGACCAGCTCATGATGGATCTCAAGGGCAAGACGCCGGCAGAGCGCCACTACGAGGCCCAGCAGCGCATGAAGCAGGGCCTCCGCGACGTCCTGGCCGACGAGGACAAGTGGCCCCACGAGCTCATCTTTATCGGCCGTAACATGCGCATCGTACAGGTGGGTTACTTACTTTCATACTTGCGCTTCGCCCCTTTTCATTCCCCTGATCCTAGGGTAGACCCCCACCCCCCTCTTCCCCTCTCACTAAGCGTACATTCGTGTGGTACTCTCCTATCTGGTTCAGAGGTTTCCTATCGAGAGTTGACTGACGCGCGCGCCGTTGCAGGGCAACAACCAGTTCCTCGGGTCGCCGGTGAACCGGGTCAAGATGATGGGCAACTGGGCGAGCCGTAGCCTGTTCCAGGACCCGAACCTGCCGTGGCGGGAGCGGTTGGTGAACGCGTGGCGGCACCTGCTATTCCAGACGGTGTTGCTGGCGACGGACGTGGCGTTCTACACGTTTAAAGTGCGGCAGTGGCTCGGGTGGGGCGGCGGGATGGAGGATGAGGTGGAGGCGCGGATGAAGGACATGGCCAAGGACTTCGGCGTCGAGTTGCAACACGACGTCTTCGACGGCTGAAAGGGACGAGGGAGGTCGGCGGCACCTGTCCCTCTCCCCCTTACATGGAACAGCATTCACCCTTTGTGGGTTACAGACCTACACATCAGACCTCCACGCCCACTTGTCTCGCATGTATAAGTAAGCACAAGAAGAAAAGGAGAGGCGGGAATGCGAAAGGGCAAAAAGAAGTAGATGGGGTAGACGGGCATACGGCAGGGGTAGGTAAAAGATTCTGACTAGGCCGGCTCACATGTAGGACTATTACGCGCATACAGACATACATAGGCACAGACAGACAGGATACGCCCAGGACAGCGATGGAGATAATTCCCCTCCTTGCCCCCCTCAAGAGAGAAGAATCCTGCGGCCCCTCTGCCAAACACTCTTCTGGGAGCTTTCCCTCCTTTCCTTTCCTTTTCTCTCCTCTTCTTTCCTTTCTGCCCCTCCCCCGCTTCTTTTTTTTTTCTTCTCTCTCACGGCTGCCCGCTTGCCTCGTATCCGCTCTACATATTCGTATATGTACCTACCTATGTACGTGAGACGAGCGGCGCCGCCTCTTTAATCTCAGGCGCGCGGTCTCGGACACGCACGCAGATAGATAGACAGACGGAGAGGCGTGCGCTTACGGTCAGCTTGGAGGAGGGTGGAGACATGCCTGCCTATAATAACCTAGGAATAGGTAGGTAGAGATATCCGCGCCGATCTGCCTGTTGTGTTGGCGGGCGGGTGCGTACGCAGACGCGGCGCGCGGAGCGGAGATAGGTAGTAGACTCTCTGGCCCCGGCAGGCGGTGGCCGATGGCGGCGTGCGAGAGAGAGAGAGGGGGATGAGGGGCCGTGGCGTGCCGCCGCCGGGTTCTGCTGGCTGGACCGGTGCCCTACGTACCTAGGTAGCGCCCATACGCGCATGTGTGGTAGGCAATTGGGAGACAGTACGGCTGCTGCCATGGGGGCGCGTAGGCGTGCGCAGATAGGTAAGTAAGTACCTATTAGGGTGGGCGGGCGCATCTGGGCTTGGGGAAGTGTCTCTCTCGCCTCTCGCCTGATTGGACGGCCACGCGGCCGACGCCGAGCGCCCGCACGGCGCGGCGCATGGGCTCGTGTCGTGCACTGGCTGGCCCTGCTTCGTTTCCCGTCCCCTCGCGCGCGTTGTGTGGTTCGGTTCCTTTTCGGCTTGGTTCCAGTTGTAGGTGCTGTCAAGCTAGGTACCTACCTCCTATGGACTGATGCTCTCGCTCCCTGCAGCACGGGCAGGCATATAGAGTCCGACCTCTGATTTGCCTCTCTCTCTCCGCCCTCGTATCGCCGTGGCTGTTGTCGCTGCAGGTGGCCGCGAACGAGAATGGGCGCGTTACATGACACCTACGTACCTAGGTAGGTGGTCAAGGAGGTCCGCCGGTAACTCCGCAATGCGGCCCGGGCATGGTGGGATCGTGGGAGAGAGGTAGGTAGGTAGGTAGGTAGGTAGGTAGGTATTTCCGGAGGCAGCGCAATCGTTGCGCATGGGCTTGGCCCGCTCGGCCGTGACGGCGACGAGGTCGACCGTTCGACTGCACGAAATCTGATGGCCCCGGGCACGTGCAAAACGCCAGACCGTTCGCCCAACACTGCGATGGGTACCCGTGTCGAAGCAACGCGCACGCATGTGCATGGATGTACTAGGTACCTACTGCATGCCTGCATGCTGCGCACATATTCCATGCGCGTCCTTCCGTGGCTCGCGGCTGGAGCTGAAGAAGACCGGCGCGAAAACCTGCCTAACAGGTTCGTGGTGCTCGTTCGTCGCGTTCGCCCGCCAAGGAGACAGGCCCAGGTTTAGGTAGCTGGGCCGAGGGGGCCTACAGGCGCCTCTGCGTGTCTGACAGGACCGCGTTTCTCTCTTCTCTTCTTCGCTCCTCTCTACCCGTCGCTAGCGGAAGCGCTTGCGAATATGGGCCCATACATCAGGTACCGTAGTATAGGAGGTAAGTATATCTCTATATGTGTGTGACAGGTAGGAAGCTAGGTACCTACGCGCAATATCCGGGATACTAGAGTAATAGCATTCCTACCTCACGAAGAAGAAGAAGAAGTATATTTAACGTCACGCATTCTACCTAAACTAGATAACCTTACGAGTCGGATATCCTCTGGTCAGCCCATCGGGACTCTGCTACAAAAGGTGGGGCGATGTAAGTACCTACGACGGATCGTCCTAGTCACCAGGGAAATCATGATACTTATGATTAAAAAAGCTTTAACCGTCTGATGGGCAGATCCTTTCCCTCATCGAAGCCCTTTTTTTTTTCTTCCAACGCCTCCTCGCTACGTTCCCCTCCCGCTCTCCTCCTCATCTCCTTTTCCCTCCCACCCAATGCGCACACATACGCAGGTCTGACGGGCTGGGCGTCGGCCGCTTAGCTTCTTCTGGCAGGCCAGGCACCTTCACGAAGGTAAGTGCCGGGGCCCACTGCGTGTGTATACCTACCTACACGTGGGTATATGAGTATACCTGCTGTAGGTGGCCTATACATTAGGGACCATAAATCCTTCCCATACCTGGGAGCAGGCGGGAAATCAGACCAGGCCGTCGGGATATTTTACTATGGTCCTCCAGGTTGGGTGCTCCAGCCGGCTGGTGGGTACGCTTCCATGCGGTCCCTTGTTTGGTGCACGAGATTGGCGACCGGGGGAGGGGTTCGTCGCCGTTTTGCATGGCCCAATCCGCGGGCAATCACGCCTCCAATCCACATGAAACCCGCTAAAACGCACGCAGAGGTCGGGCCAGCAATGCGAGAGAGAGAGAGAAACAGAGAGAGAGAGAGAGAGAGAGAGAGAGAGGGTGCTGGTCTGCCTCACGAATCTCGTCGTCGGAGATGGGATTTGGAGGGCCGCCTGCCTAATGTCCATGACCTAGAGCTTGCCCACCTGCCTCCAAGTACCATGGAACCTACCCACCTGTAGAGATACCTAGGTACCCAAGGTAATAAGGCAATGAGAAGTGCTAGAGGTACCTAATTATGAGGTAGGGGAGGCCTGTGATGCATGCACTTATGGGGCATCTGCTTGTACCTACAGGGAGAAGGTACCTACACAAGGTATGGCTACGGCGTAGTGGGCAGCGCAGCAGGTGCTATGCTACCCAACGTAGGGTGTACCCCGCCTAGTGCATGTTAACCCATGGAAAAGCTGCCCCCTTTCGACCTACTCACAGATTTGCTCGTCCCTAGTCCCGTCTGGTTCTGCGGGCACGAGGGAAGACAGTGAAAAAAAAAGGGGGGGGGGGCAGAGGGAAAAGATGCTGATGGCATGGAATGGGAGAGAGGTTGGTTTTCTACTCGAAGGTATGTTTAGATAGGTACCTAGGTAGGTATGTTGTAGGCGGCCTACCTGTCTTACTTCAGCCATGTGGATGTATGCGATACCTATAACAAGGAGGTAGGTACCTAACCTAAAAGTGCCCGATAGAGCTTGCATTTCCCACCCCTATGTACACATGTACAACCCCCCGTTCCCGTCCACTCAATCCGCCTCCTCCCCAATGCCCCAAATCCCTTCTCTCACCGTGATGGTTCACCTCCAGCTCCACGTCAACGTCCATGACTCCCAGTTCGCCCTGTGATCCTCGCGTCGAGCCAGCGCGATCTGCCATCGCTATCACTCCCTCCATCATCTCGTCCCATCTCGCCGTCTACTGCTTCCTCCGTCCGTCCATACCTACTTTTGTCTATCCCATCCCATACGCGCGGGCTATGCGTGTCTGATGTACCTTCGGTCCTGACAGCTCTTGTCGTTGTCGTTGTTGTTGCTGCACAGGGAGCTGTAACAGCTATTGCCCGTCCTCTTGCGATAAGAGTCGACTTTTTTTTCTCTTCTCTGATTGCTATACCTCTTCCTTTCTCCCCTTATACCAACCGAGTCGCGAGTCGCGCGCGAGTCACCCTCACTCATTTACGTTCCCTTTTTTTCCTTCTTCTGGTCGTCGTGGCAGCAGACCAACAAACAAAATCCTCTTCCGCGATCTGGGCCTCCTAGCCGCCAACTTCCCTCCCCTCCCAGTCTCCAATCAGCCATCTGGTTAACCGTCGACCACCCGATACGAGACTCGCCTCTTCCCGCCTCTCTCCCTTTTCCTCTTTTATATCTGCGTCGTACCAGACAGCTCGAGCCGATTTGGCAGAAATCCCGTTGATCGCCCACACCTCTCCCCACGATCACCTGCAACACGTCCCTCTGTGTCTCAGTACGCCATCAGGAACCCGACCGCTTTCTTTTTCCTCCTCGCTTTCGGAATCCGGTCGGCTTCGTCCAGTCTTCTTTTCAAAGGTTAGTTAGCTCTATTTCTATTTCTGCATCGCCGGCGCGTCGCTACCCCCAAGCGAGCCCATCCCCAGCTCGGCCCCCTCTTCGTCTATCAACCTGTCGATGCAGCCGGGCATGCGTCCTGTACTTGTCGCATACCCTCCAGTCTGTCGCACCCTGCTTCGAGACGGTCGATCGGAGAATACAGCTCGGTTTCCCATTGGCCTCCCCCCTCCTTCGATCCGTCCACCTCTCCGCCCGTCCTGGCTGCTTGTCTGGGGTGCCGAATCCAATCCCCTCTGCCCTCGCTTCCTCCCTAATCAACACACCACCCGAGGTCAGCAGCCAAGGGGAGAGAGTGAGAGGGTGAGCAGGCGCCTAGGATGCTCGCTGGTCGAGGTCGCTGCAGTTGCCCTTCATTCTCCTTCTGCTACCGGTATCTCTTCATGCTGATGGTGTCCGCCGTCATCATCCCTCATCCACCGTCATCATCCCAATCCTCTTCCCCCCTTAATATGATATGCTTCATAGAGGAAATTGGATAGCATTGACATCACAAAACCTACTCCCCCACTTTTTTTCTTTCCCTCTGCCGTCCGCTGCTGTCGCGACGTGCTTCTGCCTCCCCGCATCGACGCATTGACGAGCACCGGGAGATATTGGATGTAGCGCGAGGTAGTCTCGGACAAGTCTTAGCTGACCTCTGAATATCTGCGCACATCCAGGTACTTGCGATTTCGTATGCGTTGAACCTCGTCGTCTTTGTTTTGTCCCCGTCCACGCGATCTAGTCCCGAAGCTGGGAAACTGTGCAGCTGAGATATCCATAATTGGAAAAGTGGGATGAGAAGAGAGGATCTCTCTCGCTAGTCACGCATGCGCGCGCATCCCTCCGAGCTTCCAATCGCAGCCGCGATCGTTTCGGATCTTCAGTTCTTAGGAACCCGCCTAACTTGTCTGTTTGCAGGAGCACCCACAGGACAACCCTCACGGTGGATAGATTAAACACGAGAACAGTGAAATAAATAAAAAAGGCAAGGAGAAGGACGGAAAGAGAGCCAGAGAGACAACAGCCAAGCCAGTCAGCTGTCGTTTCTCGTTCTCCCTGCAGGTCGAACTCAAGCCGGGCGCCCCTCTCCATCAGTTGCCCGTCTGGCCGCCCTCTTCTACTTGAATTGCGCCAACGCACTCCTTGGCCCACCCCCGTTGGCCCACCCTCGTCGGTAGCGGACGTCATCACGGACTTTTGCACAAAGGAAGCCCGTCCTGCGCCGCTTGAACCTTCTTCGAGGCGGCCATCTGCAAGGGCCCCTTCTGCTCCCTACTTAACCGGGTCGGTGTATCTCTTCACTCACCCCCCCTGCAAGGGATACATAACCTCGCGCAGAGATTCCCCTGCAGGTACATATACCCGTTCCATCGACACCGAGCTGCTCGTATCTTGAGCTTATGCTTGCGAGGGGTAAACTATGAGTCAACCGCCTCGACGATCTAGTTTCGGGATGTTGCTTCGACGTAGTAAATCCGGAGACCTTAAGGGGAGCCGGAAGCACCACAAAGCAGAGCAACGCGAGACCATCCCCAAGTCTCCTCCCCGCCTGCCCGCCCTCTACAATGGTGCCCAGCCGCCTCCCCCACTACAAAGCTTTGGAGGCGACGCTCGCCCCGACTCCCTCGCCATTGTCTCTGGGACAGCCGACCACTCTTTTCACCGCCAACCGCCGAGAGCCTCTATCGATCCCGGCCGCCCGTCAATGTCCTCGTTTGCTAGCCCCCCAGTGCCCCCCGTTCCCAACGGAGCCTGGGTCGACCCCTACGCTCGTACCGAAAGCATGACCCACCGTGGCCGATATAGCTATGCGAGCAGTGCCGTGAGCACCATCAACAGCCCTAGGAGGGTCCGTAGGAGGAAGGATCCTACGCCTTTCAAGTAAGTCGCGTGTCCCCGCCCGCCGATTCGTGAATGCACTTTCTGCGTCCCGGTTGCTAACCGTCGTCGTCCGCAGCATCTTGATCGTGGGCACCCGCGGTTCGGGGAAGACCTCGTTCCTCGAGTTCCTCAAGACGTCGCTGGCCCTGCCGCCTAAGAAGCGGTCCCAACGGTCGACCGAGATCGAGCAAGAGGTCACCGCTACCGCAACCCCTTCTGGCAAATTCATCCCCCACTACCTCGAGAGCGAGATCGACAACGAGCGCATCGGACTGACCCTGTGGGATTCGGAGGGCCTCGAGAAGAATGTGGTGGACTTGCAGCTGAGAGAGATGTCGGCCTTTTTGGAGAGCAAGTTCGAGGAGACCTTTGCCGAAGAGATGAAGGTCATTCGGTCGCCGGGCGTCCAGGACACGCACATCCACGCGGTCTTTCTAATTCTGGACCCGGCTCGCCTAGATCGGAATATAGCTACCGCCAACGCCACCGCCACCAACGGCCACGACGAGCACTACTCGCCGGAGGGTAGCCGCATCGTAGGCGGCCTTGACGAGGATCTCGACCTGCAAGTTATGCGAACGCTCCAAGGCAAAACTACGGTGATTCCGGTCATCTCCAAAGCCGACACGATTACCACGGCGCATATGGCAGTCCTCAAGAAGACCGTTTGGGCTAGTCTCAAGAAGGCCAACTTCGACCCCCTCGAGGTGTTGGGGCTAGACGACGAAGGCGACGCCACGCCGGACTCTAGTAGGATTGATGAAGCTGACGAAGAGGAGGCCGTCGAATCCGAAGATGAGCAGGAGAAGTCGGAGGGTCAACAAGGAGCGCCCGACGTCGCCGAAGACGAGAGCCCCGACGAGAACGATCTGCCGATCCAGGGCCGGGTTTCGTCGGCCTCGAAACGGCGCTCGAATACGTCGGGGTCGCGATCTAGGGCGTCGGACGGCGAGACGACTGACGAAGTGCCCTTCCTCCCCATGTCGATCATCAGCCCAGATCTGTACGAACCTGGCGTTGTCGGTCGCAAATTCCCGTGGGGCTTCGCTGACCCCTATAACGAGGAGCACTGCGACTTCACTCGGCTGAAGGATGCCGTGTTTAACGAGTGGCGCGGCGAGCTGCGCGAGGCCAGCAAGGAGCAATGGTACGAGGGTTGGCGGACGAGCCGGCTGAAGCAACGACAGCCTGGTGGCAGCCGGCGTCGATGAGGATGAACGGTGAACGGCGGTGCCATCCCTGATGGGGTGCTGGATTACGATGCGGCATAGCTTTTACGGGTTGTCACCCACTTTTTCTTTTTTTTTTCACCTCTTTTTATATCTTCGCGTTTTGTGGTCATCACAGCATACCCCCTCGATTGATCGTTTTCTTGTGTGTATTATTGCCTGCTCTGGTTTATCAGGAAAGGGCAGGAAAAGCTCGGCGGGTGCCGATTATTTATTTTGGGGGGGAGGGGGACTCGGGGGCTCTCGAGAACAAGAAATTCTTTTTAACCTCTTAATGGGCTCGACCAAACGACGCGACCTGCCGGCACGAGTTTTCTTCCTCCTCGCGAGGACGGATCATGGTATGAGCAGCAACAACAAGGGTGCTACGCGCACTATTCGATTCCTTTGTATGATGTATTCTCGCTCTCCCCGCATTCTAGATTCCCTTCACTTAGGCGGTTGGTGGTGGCATTGGAGACGCACAGATCGATCGCCCCCCTTTTTTTTTTTTTTTTTTTGGCTTTCTTTCTGATCTTCTCGGGTCTCCCCCAGCCTACCTCCTGACGCTCCCATACTTTCTCGACCCCATCGCCTCCACTATTCTGTCCTCCCCCCCCCCCTCCCCTCCCACAATATTGCCCGGACGGAATACGGAAGGGTGGCGAGAGCGCGGGGACGGGAGGAGGAGCAAGGCGGGAGGGCAAGGGGAAGAGGATAGGGAACGGGAGAGAGAGAAGAAGAGAATGAAGAATGTGAATGAAATACCACTTACACAAAGTTTTAACTTTTTTTCCTGCCATCGCTGTCCCCATCGCCGCGCCGTGTGACTTAGGTATGCGCCGAAGTAGGGCTCTGCGAGAATCTCCCCTCTCCCCCTTTCCCCCCTTGCCCTTTTATTTTTGGGAGGGGGGGTAACTGCTCCTGTGATGGGGCCAGCATTAGTCACTCACCTGCCTGCCTGCCTGCCTGCCTGGGTGCCTAGGTAAGCACCTGTGTCTGTGGGTGTCTAGGTACCTATCTCTGTCCGTATGCCCGGGGTATGCGGGGAGGAAGTAGTAGCAGTAGTAGCGGCACCGAGATATAGGCAAGGGTAATAAGGGAGTACGGGATAGGACCGGGAAAGCAGAGAGAAAGAAAAAAAGGGGGGGAGGGGAAGGGGGGGGTGTTAAGAGGAGGTGAGGAGGCGAGTAGGTCAGGGGGCAGCGCAGAGCCTAGGCTAGGTAGATACTCGTTCTCGCGGCCGCCAGAGCCCCCCTACGCCCAGGTCCTGGCGGGAGTAGTGATTTTAGCTTCTCCCGTCACTCTGGGCCGGACGCGCGAGGTCAGTATTAAAACCCCTGCGTCCTAGGGTGGTGTCCGGTTGCACACATACCTATACCAGGAACGTCTGCGAGGAATATATTTCTTATCTCCAATGCCCAAAAAACCGAAAAGCGAGGCACCGTCGTCGTCGTGACTGACTGACTGACTACTCTACATGTCTGCGGTATCGACTCGAATACTACGCCGACCGTCTTTCGCTGAGAAGTCCCCTGTAGTGACGCTCCTGCCTGCCAACCTGCCTAAACGCCATTCGGTTGATCACAAAAAATGAATTTTCTCTTTCCGTCCCCTGTTGTCCGTATCATGCTTCCGCGAACTCTCCGAGCGCAAGTGTGCCGTGTCCAGTTACAACAAATCTTGCCGAAACTTCGTCCCCTTTGCCATCTCCCCTCCCCCTATAAATCCTCATGCAATAGCCAATCATCCTGTCGTGATTACCAATAATATCGGCGATACCTCTAGGCCTCCTTCAAGAGGCTCTCTTAACGCGAACTGCCGTCCCTGGGCGGGTTGTAGCCGGGAGGAAACCCCGAATACTTGGGAATGCTCCGAAACGTCGCGCCGAAAGGGGTCTCGGCGTGATTACACGCGGCCATGTCGTCGGCCCCTTCGACTGTGGGCCGGAGATCGAACCGGTTGCCGCTCGTGCCCCCGGGTCCTTCGTTAGAATTGCTACCACCTACACGGTCTAAGTCGTCACCGGCATCCCGGTGGGAAGGGATATCGAAATCCCTGCCGAGAGTGCAAACCCTGCTATAGGTCCCGCCGAGAGTCCCGTCCTTGCGAGCGGTTGGAGCATTGAGGTCTCCTCCGTGCTGGGATACAGTTTGCGAATGGAGCTTAAGCTCTTCACCATCCTCAAGCAGTAGGAGCTTCTGTTTCCACCAACCGTCGTTGGCCGCGGAGGAGACGTAATTATAATTCGAGGGGAAGGCGTGCGGATAGAACTTTCGTGCCTCCTCTGGGGGGAGTGTGTCGATGATGTGGTCAAGGCTCTCAGGGGCTTCATTGCCGATATTTGCTGGAGTTCGTAAGGATGGCCAACCCCTGCTTTCTGGTACAGGGCTCGATCGTTCACCAATAGTATGCATGCGTCGCCGAAGCTGAAGGGGCTGGGGTGTGCGAGACGGTAGAGCGGATTGTTGGGCGCTGGCGATGACGTCATTAAGTTCGCGCAGCCGTTGCGCGTCCCTTCGCGAGGCATCGCTAGCCGGATCCAATCCAGAGGGACGGTACTGCCGCTGGCCAGGAGGACCTGCGGTTAGGGGTTGAGGTGCGCCTGGGCCCCTAGATAGGACGGCAAGACGACTCGCGGTCTCTCGAAAGCAGGGAGCGGCGGCAGTCTGATCATGAGTTCCCGAGAGCCGGGTGAAGTCGCCATACTCGTCGGCTCTATCCGACTGCGGCAGATGGGCCATAGCGGCAAACTCGGAGCGAGTGTCTCGGAGGCTGGCTGGGGGTCCGCCAACAGGGAGATCGGTTTCCTCTCTAGGATCAGGAGCCTGATTGGTCGCCGGGGCAAGAGGCTGACGGGCCTTCTCAAGCATCTTCTGGGCGGATTTCTGCATGGGATTTGGGTATGATGCCAAGTTGGTCAAACTCTTGGTTGTCATGTGTATCAAAGTGTTGCTGGTATCGTTGGGCTCTGTGATTTGGCGGTCTCGACCCTCGACAGGAAGATCGCCGGCGTCGAATGGGTTGGCGGGGAAGGTGGGTGGATTGGCTGCCTGAGGCTGCGTGTGTAGATACGGCTGATGGACGGGTAGTCGGGGTGACGAGGCGAGGATAGCTCGCTCTCGTTCTTGAATAGCAATGCGCTCCGCGAGAATAGGATGGTCGGGACTGACAGCACGGTCGAAATTCTGCTGCAGGGGCGAGTAGTGCTGGACAGTAGACGAGGGCCTGTCGCTATAGGGATGCATGAGAGCAGACTTCATAGCACGGCCACGGCGAACGGGAGGCTGAAGTGGTAGCGACTGGGGATTCCAGACAGAGCCCACAGTGGTGTATTGAGGTGCGGCCGAGCGTTGCGGCTGTGACTGCTCCGGGGGCGGATTGGTGGGATCCATGGTTACCATGTAACGAATTACGTGGGTAACCAACACGTAGGTTCAAGTTCGTCCCGAGCGAGGACCTCGGCGGATCGGTTAGTTTTATGTATGTGCGTGCGTCTGGGATGGTCCGATGTCAGGATGCGTATAGGAGGTAGATTCAGGGACCAGGGGGACGGTTGCTAGAGATGCGTCGGTGGTGGTGGGGAGGTTGGATAGAGGAGGGGGATAAGAAAACCAGCAGCGCCGAAGATCATGAAGAGCGGTATAGAGAGTGAATGAGGGTTGACGCACGAGTACGCGCCGGAGGGGGATGCCGGAGGGGGGGGGGGGGGGGGGGGTGAGTCGAGGGGTGAATAGGTGAGGGAGATGAAGATGAGTGAGGAGAGTCTGCGGGAGGAGAGTCTGAGGTGGACTGGGCAACGAGAGGAAGGTGAGGTAGGTAAGTGCCTACTTACTCACCTACCTGCCTACCTGCAGAGACACGCAGCCAGATCCGATAACGTATCCGAAGCATAGGCGCCGTCCGGGCAGGAGCTGTGGAGGGAGGGGAGGAGGTAGGTTGATTGCCCCTTCCTCTACTCGGCCGTGCTGTATTTCGCGGCCCGGACCAGGCGCCCTAGTCTCTTACGGGCCAATATTGGCTTCGGCTGCCATCCATGTTGCTAACCACCCACCCAAGTACCCGAGGCAGGGTCGCCCGTAGCCATGCCTCTACCTCTACGTGTCTCTGTCGGAGCCGGAGCGGTGAATATGGAGGCGACGAGGCATCACATCTGGATATCCTATTGTCGAGGCTAGCTCTTGGGTGCCGCCGTCTCTGCCTTAGGCACCTGCACCTAAGCCACAAGTATACATATACCTAGATGTAGGTACAGATACCTATATAGAGGGTAGACATCTAACCTTATACATGCCTGCCTGCCTACCTGATATCTTACGTAGGTACAGGTATATGGGAGGTATGTACAAGTATAGATGCTTTGGGCATGGACAACTCCTACCCTATATACCTGATATAATATGTGGCACTGCAGGTACCTCTACCTCCTCAAGATACCTCAGGTAGGTACCTCCCATGCACATGCAGATGTGGGCACGTAAGGTTCATACGCCCGTACTGTGCCAGGCGGTTGACGATGTAGGTACCTAGGTACTTTAGGTAGTGAATGCTAAAAGTGTGGAAGGCAAGAGGAAAGGTGGGTGCCTCGCTGTTGCGGAACAAGTCGCGGGAGGAGGTGGCGAAGGAAGGAAGGTAGGGGGGAGGTGTGGGCGGCGACAGAAGGGAAGCGGCAATGGCATAACGCGTACGTAGAGGAAGTCGGGATGCTACTCAGCACAGTACATACCTACCTGTAGGTAGGTAGCAGGGAGGAGGCAGGCATCTATCTATCTACCTACCTACGTGGACCGCGTCCGTCTCGCGACGTCGACGGCAGCCTGTTAGCCGCGTACGGCCCCGCCGCCTTCATAATACGCCCCGGCCGAAGGGAGGGAAAGATCTGGAGGGAGCTGACAGACCGAGATCTTCCCTCCCGCTTCCCCTGCTTCGTCCAGTGTCGCCAACTCTACAACTCCTCCTTTGATAAGACACAGGCCCAGCACAAACTCCCCGGCAAACTCCTAGCAAGCAACCGGGAAAGCGTCCAGCGAACCAATCCGACTTGTCCATTTCCCAGTTCTCGTTTGGCCGTTCCTCGATAGCTTCTCCGGTCCTCGCGCCTGGTTTGTCCCGAGCGGAATCGTCCTCCCCCACAAATCCAGCTCGGCCGATATTCACGTGTAGTTGTCGCACTTGCGGGGTTGATTAGGCGATGCAAAGCGCTCGGACAATCCCCCCGTGGGTGGTATGTATGGGGATCGGAGTCGTGGCTGGTGGTATAGCCATCCCGGCTGGGATATTCGTCCGCATTGGCACCCCACGATAGGACGACCGGCCGGACGCGAAGCATCTGGCAATGATTGAGCTTGCCAATCATCGCTAGATATACCTAGCCGTCTCTCCGGTGCTTCGCGTGCTATCGCCCTGTGTCGTTATGCATGGTGATAGGTAATGGGAAGCGCTCGTCTCAACGGTATGTAACTTATCCACAACCGTACCTGCTTGCGTCCTCGATGACGAAGCGTGAAGGCGTTTCTCGTCTGGACCCGTATGAGACCTGTCCGGTACTAAATAGAACCATTTAGAGTCAAGGTAATGGGCGAAGAAAGACAAAAGGGGGAGAGGGAGGGGGAGGGGGAGGGGGCGGACTGGTGTCGGCAGATAATGATTGTTCTCGCAGGCTATAGCCGCTCATCGCCTATCAAAACAAGCCGAGATGTTTTATGCGAGGCTCGGTAAGAATTAGGCATCTACCCACACCAGCGTTATGAACATCTTCCGAGCCCTGCCACGCTGATGATCGTCGTATCGTGGTTCGTCTCGACGCCGAGCCTGTTTCCAACATCGGTGGTTCTAACAACTGCTTCTAAGACCTACCTGGCGCCTTACGAAGCATAGCCATGTACGTGGGCATCGCTGAAACCGCACGGTACAAAGATGCAGTCTGGCGTTTGGGGCTTTCTGGAGTGTGATGCACGTGACGACTTGGATACCACTTCTCGGCCACACGAAGATCCCTAGTTAGGAGGAATGCATTTGAGTTGGAGTTTGCTCAAGTACGTTCACTGCGTAAACGACCGCTGACCACAGGATATAAGACTAGGCGCATTGCATGCCCACCAATCGTATTCAGACAGCCATGGTCGAGGCAACGCCGCTTACGAGAGCGGCGATGGAGAGCAACCTAGATGGACTATGACACACGGCCTGCGCCGGCGTTAGGCCTGATGAACGCCAGAGGTTGTCTGGCACATGGGCATAGCCTAATGGCGCACGTCATGCCTTGTTAGACATCGGTAGCGAATTGATTGCGAGACTGACGAGCAGCACTGAAGGTCAGACATCCAGCTGAGGCGGCCCGGGTGGCCCTTTTAGGCGGTCTAGGCCGACATACCTACGCTTGCTATTTAGGGAAACGCGCCCCGGGCCATAAGGCGGCTGGGGAGGCCTGAAGGCGCAGTTCTCTACATGCTCACCATGTAGGTACGGATTTCTTAAGGCGTGCGTGTTACGTGTGGCGGTGGAAGGTTGACGCCTACTCAGAGGTATCGCTCGTCGTAGGTATAGCTTAACTGCCTCGGCCTGCGGGGGACTGGCGGTGATAGGTCGCCAGGGGGTGTATCTGGCGGAAACACGGTCCAGCATCGGTCTTGTATGCAACGGATTACCCGTGAGTCTGTGTGAACCAGACAGGCTCTCTCTCTGCGCTTCGATGCAGAGATGGATTCTGCGGAAGAGATTGGCTGCGAGCAGCATTTGGAGACGGCGCATAGGATGCCGCACACCGGCCATCCTTGTCGAAGGACGCGGCACCACGCAACCTCCCGGAGCGCAGTTTGCTGCGCGCACAGCAGCTTCGAATCTTGATCCAGGCCCGGGTCTGGCGACCAGCACAGAGTACACCCCCAGAAATGGCCTTACTCATAGAGGATTCGAGCTGAACAAGTCCTGCGGAGTACCCAAACGTGCGGAGGAGCCGAAATCCCGGCTGCTTTGGACAAAATTATCTCGGAGGCATAGCATAACTGGCGTCATCATAGAGGATGGCACGATGTTGAGCCATAAAGTGGTGTGGAGTTATAGACGCACACGTCCAATGGGGAGAGGACGTATTCACATCCATCACTGATGCAAGAAGGGTCTGAGAACATTTTTTAAAGAACGGTAGGACCATTTATTTCATTTACATTTCGCCTTGGAGAGGAGAGAGAGGGGGATAGAGCGTTTTCTACCTCTCTCGCCTTCGGCCTAGCGATCAGTGTCGTCGAATCATCGAATGTTCTAGGGGAGGGGAGGGTAGATGTGGGATAGGGTACCGGGGGATGTGGGATATTTTCAATAGATGACCCCTTGGAGCCTGGTCTAGACTAGTTGGGACGGGTCATCCTACCATTCCCGTCTGTGGAGAGGGAACAGGGTGGTTCTTATTTGCCATCAGAGCCGAAGCACTTGGCACATTACCAGACTTAGTAAGACGTTTTTCCCTTATTTCTTGCAATCCCATACCTACCGGAGGGGGGAGACCAGAGGTTGAGGATACATTTCCTCCCCCCCCCCCCATTTTCCCTAATCCTTTCGACACTCACCCGAAGCCGAAGTCGAGGACACACGGAGCAACAGCGAGAAGCTTGGATTGCGTAGGGAGGTAACTCGACCTAAAGCCAAGACGCACTCGACCTGGGGATCTGCTGTGTTGCATGCTTGCGTCAATCTCGAAGCACAGCACGCGCCGCCCGTTGGTATCCTATTGGTGTAGGCCTCTTTGGGGGCTAGGGTACGGACCAGACAAGAAGAGAGAGAGGGACACCCCCCTTGGAGTTATACCCCCGTTACTTGGACCATCCATCAGCTCTCGCCCTGCTGAGAGGACAATAATAACACCGTCCGTTGAACCGCCGGTCTCGCCGCGCAGAACCTTCTCTCTCTTCTCTTCCTCGAAAACCTCCTTCGCAACCTCTCCCGTTTTCCCAGTCTCGCTGCGGCTTCTGGCTCACACGACACAGGACCATACAAATGGATTTCTCGCACACGTTCTACGGCGGAGCTAATCCCTACCACTTCATCGGGATCCCTCCCTTGACTCCGTCCCATTCCAACTCGGCCGCATCCGACGACTTCAACGCCAACAGCAACAGCACCAATAACAGCCACTCTCCCCATGTAAGTGCCTCTCGTGTCTCTGCTCTGTTCTATTCTACCGTAAAGCCGTATCAGGCGGCACAGCAGCGGCGGCGGCGCTGAACCTTCTTCCTCATCTAGGATGTTTATGAAAACTTCCAGAACAGTGATCACTTCCCGCCGAGCTATGATTCGTACGCTCAGTTCAATCAAGCCCCAGCCTTCCACGGGCCTCCCGGGCCGCCGACCCCGCCGACACACCCTCTGCACGGCCAGAATGGCCAGAACCAGCCTCAAGCGAACGGGGTCTCAGGTGTGAAGAATGGCTCCACTGACCTACTACCCATGGCAAAGCCGGACCCCGACGGAAGTCGGCAGACGGCGTCTAACTCGGACGAGGATGAATTGACACCCGCACAGTCCCGCCGGAAGGCTCAAAACCGGGCTGCGTGAGTGCCACCCCCCCTTCCCCTCTCGGCGGTACGGGCGCCGCCTTCGCTAACGCTCCTCACCGACTTCTAGCCAGCGCGCGTTCCGAGAACGCAAGGAACGCCACGTCAAGGACCTCGAGGCGAAGCTGGCGAGCCTAGAAGCAGCGCAGCACCAGACAGCCAGCGAGAACGAGAAGCTGAAACGTGATCTGCAGAAGATCAGCACCGAGAATGAGATCTTGCGTGCGACGTCGAATGTCCACGCCCAGAACGGTTCTGTGTCCCCGGCTGTGACGACGACTACAGGACCTATGCAGTACAACCCAACGGACTTCTACTCGGACCTTCTCCAAAACCACGCCAACAAGACCCCCAGCCACCGCATAGTGGAGTCGGATGGCGAGCGCCTCCTGGCTGCCGGCGCTACGTGGGATTACATCATCAACCACGAATTATTTAAGAAGGGCCTGGTCGACGTCGGGGACGTGAGCTTGCGACTGAAGTCCCAAGCCAAGTGTGACGGCCAAGGGCCCGTCTTCGAGGAACGTGTCATACTCCAGGCCATTGTGGAGAGTGTCGCAAGTGGGAGTGACGAGCTGTTATGAGTGGACGGATGACTGGAGTCGGCCCGAGAGACTAAGGTGTGACGAGATGACGACGTGGAACGGGAAGAGTCGAAGTCTCCTCTCGCACATCTAGGAGAGGGAGCGGTTACGGGAGGGGGGGTATGCTATCGCACCGCGGATTTCAACCAGAAGCGGATGGTTAAGGATCGACTCCTCTGCCACGACGAATGACTTAGCTTACGGGACACGAGTGGATGGGAACGTTTGCAACGACCGAAGGGCGATTCTGTAGAACCGACGCAACCGAGCCCTGATATCCCTTCACCTCGATGTCTATGTGCCGAGGAGGGGATGCGACGGTCGATCGGAGACGCAGCACAGGCGCCGGGCGGGGGACAAAACGGGCAGGCGATATACTAAAGGGAGGGGGGCTATCAATACTTGACGTACGGATCATGGGTGGAGTTTGCTATTTTTTTTCCCACCCCGATTACTTCTGGCCAAGGATGATAATGACACTGCTACTATACCTATCTATGGCATACAGAAGGAGGCGGCTCGAAAACCAGGACGAGTTTCAGGCTGGGACGGAACGGACATTCGCATTTTGTCCTTCTGCTCCTGCTCTCGTTCTTGGCCTCGGAGGGGAGGGCTGCGTTCTACGGTTTCTAGCTCAGGACCTGGTTTGTATAGGCGATCTCTCTTTATCCGTACGGTATTTGGGGCCATATACCACAACAAGATATGGACGGGTTGTTTTTTCGTGTTCCTCTCGCTTGGGGGGGAAAGTGACCTGGAGTGAGCGTGTGGGCCTGGTGAACCCGTTGCAGTCGGCCGAGCTTTTTTGGGGTCCCCCCCCCCCCCCCTTTTTTTTTTTGCCATGGGACCTGGGCTACGCGTGTATGTATTCGACTTATCTTGGTTAGGTATGGCCCAAGGTTGGCGCTTTTCTCTTGCACCAAACCCCACACGATACGGAAAAATCTGAGAAAAATTGCAACGCCTCTTCGGGCCGTGCTGCGCTGTACTGTTCCCGGGTTGCCTGTCTAGGTACGTGTCTAGCCGCACGTTAGAGCGCGAGGTTGCTACGTAGTAGGTAGGTAGGTAGGTAGGTGGGTAGGACTGGACCGAGTACTCGACCGTCCCGCCGCGGTGGTCGTAGGGAGGCGGAGTGGGGTGGAGTGGAGTGGAGGAGCTTTAGGGGCTGGCTGATTTTTCAGGAGTTAGGTGAGAAGAGAGGGGGGGGTAGGGAGGAGAGGAGGAGTAAGGAGTGAAGGGGGGGCGGATGGGGTAGTATGGGGTATGGGGTATGGGGGGGGGGAAGGAGAAGGGGGCAAAGATGGAGAGAGAAAGAAAGAGAGACAGTAAGAGAGGAAGAGAAAAAGGGGAGACGGGAGGAGAGAGAGAGATGGGGAGGGGGAGGGGGAGAATGCAGGTAGGCAGCATAGCAGCTGGTGGCGAGGAGCAGCAGCGCGAGGCGAGACAGGAAAAGACGAATAGCAGCAGCCGTAATTAATCACACTACCTAGCACTAGCCAGCACCCAGCGCTAACCCGGGGCGGCGGAGAGCGAAGACGGCGCGCGCTTGGCGGGGTCCGCTCCCTGGACCGGGCGGCGGGCGGGCGGGCTTACTTTTAAGGCCTTTTCGGGGGAGCGTGTCGAGAGAGAGACGCCCGTCGCGGCCCCGCGCGAACGGGTCTGCCTGCTAGCTGCCTAGGCAGCTCTACCTTGCCTCGCGCCGCGTGTGTGGTGCGGAGGCAGCCGTCGCGACTTGTCCACACAGCCGCGCACATACGAGCCCGCACCTAGCGAGGCGCCTTTCGCCGCCGCCGCTAGCGTCACAGAGCGGGGGAAGAGGAGAGTGGGGGGGGGGGGGGGGGGTGGCACGAGGACGCCGCAAGGCGCGCCGCGCCCACGGGTTCTGCGCCGTGGCGGCGGCGAGGGCAGGGTGAGCTACCTGAGTAAAAAGTAGTGCGCGTCGGCCAGTCGGCGAGTCAGTCGGGCAGCCGGTGTGGGCGGATAGGCGGGTCAGGCAGACGCCGGCACGCTTGGGTAGCTGAGCGGCAGAGGCGAGAGAGAGAGGCCCCTCGCCCTCGCGCCGTTCTCCCCTCGCAGGTCCCGTCCGCCGCTCATTTCGTCTGCTGCGCGCCACTCCGTGCCACTTCGTTGTCAGACGAGGGGGGGCGAAAGGGGGGAGCGGGGGCCCGACGAGAGAGCAAGGCGAGCAGTATAGCGCGAGCAAGAGATAGGAATAGGGCACAGATGGGGGAACACGGGAACAAGAGGAAAAGGAGGGAAGACGCAGCAGAAGAAAACGTCATCGTCATTAGGGAAAATCATCGCCTATCTGCTGTCTTGCTGGTGCCGACGGGTACGGGCATATATTACCCTGCCCTGCCCTACCCTATCCTATCCCACTCAGCGCAGCACCGTCTTCGCCATGTACCGCACCCCCTCCTCGACCCGCCTCCTTCATAGTCCTGTAGGTATATTTCAATTACTTCCGCCGGCCAGCTCGTCCGTCTGTCCGTCTGTCCGTCGACCGATCGACTATTACGTGGTTGGTATAGCGATACACATTTGCTCCTCCATGGTTGACGCCTAGCCGAAAAGAAAGAGGAAAAAAAAAACAGAGCAGAAGACGAGAAAGGTGTCTTGTAAAGGATGGCGAGCCTCCCTCGCTCGTCTCTCCTTTTCTCCAGGTCCCTTACCAGCTTCCTCTCTTTTCCTCATATTCTTTCTTCCGTGTTTCGTTATCCTGTCTTCTCCTCTTCACCTTAATTTACCTTAGCCTTCTCCCCTTTTTCCTTGCCATTCCCGTTGGCCTGCCCTCCCTCGACGTACGGGTGCTTAATGGTGAGGCACCAGATGTCGAGGTAGTCGCAGATGGTAACGATGACGTCGACGACGAAGGACCCGTACACGCCGGCTGCCGCGCCGAGCAGGCAGAATAGGAAGGCGACCTGGTACACGCCGTCGCCGAGCGCGCTAGGCCACCCCGACGCCCACCCGACGCGCGACCGCAGCACGGGCCCGAGAGAGTCGAGCACACCCCACGCTAGTGGCAGCCCCAAGATGTTATCGTAGGGGAAGGGCAGGTGCACGAGGTGCGCAGTGATGATACGCCCGACGCTGTAGGCGTTAACGAGCCCGGCGAACAGCGTGAATGGCACGAGGTGCTGCGTCCGGATCGTCGGCTGCAAGTACAGGTAGGCGACGACGAGGGCCCAGGTGCCGAAGAAGGGCAGGAGGCCAAGCAGCGCCCAGCGGCTGCGGTCTCCGCGGGCGCGCCGCGCGCGGATCACATTACGTGCGCTCTCGATCGTGTTGAATACAAGCACGATGCTGCCGACGATCATATGCCACTGCGTGAAGGTGAGGCCCTGCAGGACTGGTGGTAGCGCGTCGAGGCCTGGGAGCTGCGACAGGCCGAGCGTTGAGAGCATCGGCTGTTGCCAGAAGGAGGCGCCGCCGAGGAAGCCGGTCAGCGCATACACCGACACGAGGATTAGGATGCCCTCGACGGGCCCGTTGACGACGCCCAGCGTCAGGGTCTTGGTGTGGTACTCTTCCCAGGTCTGCACATAAAACGTTTGGAGCGCTGTTCCAGGTTGTCAGTTTGTTAGCCAGCCTGCCTCACTATCACTGCAGGCGGATCGGGGCAGGGTAAGAAGAAAACTCCACGGATTTTCCGTCTGGGTGGTGGTGCTGTAGGGTCCTTACATGAGAAGAGAGTTGCGACTGTGTACCAACTCTGCCCCATATTCTGCGACCCAGCGAAGATGAGGACCTCGAGGGAGGTGTTGAGAGCGTCGACGCCATGATCGAATAGCTCCCCGAGGGGACCACTCTGCCGGGTTCGTCGGCTGGGAGGGGGTTAAATCACACGTTAGCCTTCAGTGGGTGGATACTAAAACTCAGAAGATGGCATATATATGTCGGCAGGAACAGTAGCAGGAAAGTCACGTACGCTTGTGTCCCGTCGACGGCGTCAAAGGTCTGGTAGAGGAACAGACCGGCGGCCCACGAGTAGTACACCCAAGGGGGACAGTCCTGGTCCAGAGTAGGGTTGTACCAGAGCAGGGTGAGAAAGTTGGCGACGACGAACATGAACCCGGTCAGGGTGATGAGGTTCGGGGCCATGGACATGGGGAAGCACTTGATGACGACATTGGTGTAGAAGGGCTTGAGGATGTACTTGGACGTCAGCGAGTGGTCGACACCCGAATACTTGTACGCCTTGAGGTTCGGCAAGTATTCCTGCCGCACGTACACCATCGTGACGACACAACACGACGATGGCTCCCTTGCCGGCGTAGTCAGTGATGTAGTGCGCGAACGAAGTCGGCTGTGTGGAGACAAGTTGCCGTTGCTGACTGAGGTTTCGCGAGGGCGACGAAGACTAGAAAGACTGGCAACACGTCGCGAGTTGCCGAGTGGCCCGGCTGCTGGGCAGGCAGGCTGTACGCAGAACACCGGCGGCAGAGGGACGGAATGGGTGGGCGGATGGATGAACGAACGAAGCAGCCGCTAACCGATCAAGAATCCGGGTGGCCCGATCTAAGTGGGCACGACACAGACGTATGTGCACGCGGAATGATCCTATCGCGAAAGGAATTGATTCACCCGACCGTTGCGTCGTCAGTGAATGGCGAAGGGAAAGGAGAGAGGTTGAGCAGTGAAATAAAAGCACTAAACGGGTAGAGGGAAAATCGAATAGAAAAAAAAAGACTATTCAATTGATGGTTCAAGTCTGGGGTAAGGGCAACTTTGCTAGACCAGCTTTGCCTCGACTGGACACACGTCATAAACTCCCTAATGCATACCTGAGTTTGTCTAGGAGCTTATCGGGCCTGTCCCAGCCCGCGATCCGACCGCAAGTGGGAAGGTCGGACCCGACATGTGAAAAGGACAGCTAAACTGTATATGTAAGTATGCATATAAACCCATACATCCATTCGTAAACCACCCACAACATACTTAGCATACGTATGTGCTTCGCGGCTGGTCCGCTTCCTGTGATCCCATGATACCAGTCGGCAAACAACCAGTATGCGAATATTTAGGAAGACTGAACGGTCGATCAATTAGGCGAGCTAACTAGAAGCTTAGGATAACGCAATTGATATTTAGGTGTCGTGCGCTCACGGCTCGGATCCATGTTTATCCAGAGATCCACACATATACCCATACACGCATATGCATGTGTATATACATTCTACATATGTGCATATATACGCACACAGTTCTGACGAGCAGAGAGCTAAGGATCCGCGGCGACGCAGGTTGGGATGGGAGAGCGAGGAACCCCGGAAAGGCCCACACACCCGGTAGGAGGTAATACTGGCGCTGTAGGTATATATGCTGGTCTTATTTCCTACCGGACTCGGCTCGCCTTTGTTGGCTGCTCCGGCACTCTACCGACCCTCTCCCCACCCTCAGTTCATTCTTTGCTCGTCTATCGACAACGGAGGGACGAGAAGGGGAGGCGGGAGGCGGGAGGCGGGGGAATGAGATATTTCGGAGCCTTACCTAATCTTCTACCACCCGCCTTCTAGGGTACTTGATTGATCATCAGGTCAAACCCCCCAATCTCTAACAGTATGCATAGCACACCCACCTACACCCTGCCTTCGAAAACCTAAGGGATGAGGACCAGCATTTGCTGGTCGTGGTTTTTTTGGGGGGGCAGAAAACGCCTTCCGAACCCCATTATCATTATGCCACAGACGCTACCACGATCGCCGCCACGCCCTCCTCCTCGCTCCGCACCGTGATCTTGGTGGTAACCCCCGACTTCGACGAGTACGCCATCCTGACGGTGGCCACCACCCGTCCACCGTTGACTGTCTTGCCCAAGAGCTTGAGCTGGTGTGTCGTCTGGTTGACCGGCACGTCGGTGCCTTCTAGCGGCTGCAGCGATAATGTCTTGGTAAGTTGCTCCGTAGCATCTAGCAGCGATACAATGTTAGCCAGGTCGACTCGGGTGCTGAGATTATATCTCTCGGGTGGGCAAGGGGAGAGGGGGGGTGTTGAAAACACGTACCTGCAATACTACTTAAGCCAGAAAGCTGCATCGTCTCCTCGGCCTCTTCGCCTGAAGCGCCCACCTGCTCCCATACGTGGTTGAAGTTGCCCGCGAAAGTCGGGATCACGTAGTCGCTGCCCGCTAGGTCGAAGTCCGCCACCTCATACTCGTCGTCGTATCCGTTCTCTTCCGGTCGGTCGGTCATCGGGTCGATCTCCTTGCTCGTAAACTTGAGTATATTCGAGAAGGACGTTGTGGGCAGCGATCCCTCGCCGTTGATTTTCTTGAACGCTACGTAGATCTTTCCGGGCTCGTCGGTGGGGAGGGTCTCGGCCTGGATGATAAAAACTTCTTCGAGCTCCTCGTCGTCCGAGGGCGTCGCGACGACGGACACGTTCTCGAGCACCGTGGCGGGGAGAGTATTCTTGACTTCGTACTGGAGCACGATGTGCTCTTTGAAGATATGCTTCACGACCGATACCACATACTCCGTCTCGGCTTCGGTCAGCTCCACAACCGGGGACGACTTGAGCACGCCGCCAAACTCCTTCATCTCCGGGATGGACATCAGTTCCTGGGCATACTTCTGCGCAGCAGCTGCCGCTGTGGCCTGTGCCTCTGCGCCGGTTGGCGCCGCCTTTGTGGGTCCTGCCTTCGGTGGCTTCAGAGATGGCGTGGTGGCCGTGAGTTTCTTCGTCCGGTCTTCGGCGTCCGCCTGTTCACGGGTGACCACTGGGATCTTGCTGATGTCGAAAGGAGTTTCGAAAGCCGACTTGTCGTCCGAAGTTACGTACATGACAAGCTGGTGCTCAAAATATGGCAGAGAGAACATGTTTTCTACTCATCTGGTTAGCCCGTCGGGGGTTACCGATTGGATGGATGGGATGGGATTGGGTCATGTACGTACCATTCTTAATGAAACGTTCGCCGAGGTCATCTTCTTCGTGCATCAACCTGAGGTTAAGTGCGGCGCGGTCACGTACTTCATCGTCTACATCGTCTAAGCACCGAGTTAATAGAACATCGACACTGCGCTTGACTTCTGGGTCCTTCTGGCCAACACCGAACTTCGCCAGGGCGGTGACCGCCGCCGCCCTGACAATCGCGTTCTCCAAGACGACACGGTTGTAGATATACCGGATATACTTGGTAGGCTGGGAAGTCTTGGGGCCTTCGAGACCCAGCAGATGCAGGATACGAACAGCCAACTTAGTAAACTCGCAATCCTCGATGAACTCGCAGAGGTGAGCGAGAGCATCTTCCTTGGAATCCGGTACGAACTTGATGAGGTCAAACATGCTCTCCACGACGGCCCTCTTAAACTCGTAGCCACCTTCATCGCGTAGGATACCACTGAGGAAAGCAAGCATGCCGGCTTGCTTGCTCGGGAACTTGAGACACAAGGTTCGGATGGCCTCGACGATGGTGATCTTGAACTCGTCCGTGATCTCGGACATGAATCCGGAGATTTGCTTCATCAGGCGGTCCACGCTAGCCTCGTTGCCCGTCTTGAGGAGGGTGGTGATGGCGAAGGTCGCGATGGATCGGTTGCTGTTCGAGATGAGCGCCTCGATATCGGGGTTGCACACGTTAACAGCTTGCGGCTTGAAGGACGCGAAGTTATGTAAGATTCGAAGGGCGGCAAATTTGGTGACGGCCCTTGGCGAAGTGAGGAATAGCTGCAGCACATGGACAGCCTGAGTGACCTCGGCATCCGTGACATCCCGCATGTCACATATCGCCTTGGCAGCCTCGAAGTTGACCATCTCGCTCTTGTGCCTCAACCACCCGTCTAGAAGCTGCATCATGGGTTTCCTAAGGGATTGGTCCTCCTCGGCCAACTGCGCAGCCAGTCTGACCAGCATCACTATCGCGGCCGGGCTCTTGACTGCGCCAGCAGCGCCGAACTGCTGTACCATCTTGACGAGAGCCATCCTGTCGTGGGACCGCATCTGGTACAGGAGGCCGATGGCGTGGTATTGGGTCATGGTGGAGTTGTTGACGGGGAGCGAGGCGGAAGACGACGAGAAGCCGAGGGAGAAGCCGCCGGACGACTTCGTCGAGGCGGCAGCCTCCTGGGTTTCGGACTGCCATCGCCGAACGACATCTTTAGCGATAGGGAGGAGGTGGTAGGAGGACACGAGTGCGGCAGAAGATACTGAGGGATTCTTATCGACAATGGCCGTTTTCATCACACGCTCGATAGATTGTACGGTCGTCGCCTGCACGGTGTCAGTAAGGAGGGGGGAGTAGAGCGGGCTGGAATGTTCGCCGGGCTCACATCGATAATGCGACAGAGGGCCCGTATGGCATTCGGCCGGTAAATCGCGTCTGTGCTGCCGCCGGTATCCTTCATTATAGTGCTTGTGACCATGATAATATCCTCGGCCGAGTGGGCGATCTCCTTGATCACTAAGTGAACCATCTGTCGCAAGCTGGCATCTTTGTTCTGGAATAGCTTCGAGATGCCGAAGAAAAGGGTGGTGGCTTCGTTCGTCGGGAACTTCTCGCCGGTATATAGGAGGAGGGCGATCTTGGTCAGGAGGATGCGGCATCTTCGCGGCTGGATAGGAGAATTGTTGAATAGCCGGGCTTCATTCCGCACCGTTTAGCTACTCAAGGACAACTACTAGAGAGGACACAGCACGGTGGGGGCGACAATGCCGCGGAATTTCGAGGGAGAATTGCGCGGGCACCTACCTTCTTGGAAGACTTGAGTACGGTCTACCTTGACCAAGCCGAGATCGGCATCTTCATCTTTCTTGCCGTAGCTCATGGTGGGTGGTGAGTCGGCTGATCTGGAGGTGAAAGTTGAAGATGTCACGATCTTAGGAGCAGTTCGGTTCGCACATAGATAATAAATTGAGGCCAGCACATTTCCCTTGTCTAGCCCTGTACGTGAGAAGCGTTGTTACGGGGACGTCAGCCACCATCACGTGATCCGATCTCTCAAGCCGCATTTTACCTCTATAACCTTATGTCATATGCTCCGTAGATGCAATGCACCCCCTGAAAATGCGTCCCATTCTACACCGAGCATTGAATATATTACCTAAGATCAATACCTATATGTTGCGACGTTAGATTTGGTCTTTTTTACTCTTACTATATTCTGTCTTCTTCTTAAGCTCACATGTGCCGTTTAGTGTCCTCTCGGGATGGTGCTCGTGAGCTTCATCACGTTCTCTGCGTATCCTTCGGCGCCACCATACTTGGCTAGGATTTGCTGCACGTTGACGGACGAAGACTCGCATGTCCTCTTCCTGCCTATTAAGCCCGTATTCCTCGTACTTGGTATCCTCAGCATCTCCGTCTCTACCTCCCAACCGCAGTCTGTTGCGATGCCTTTCACCCATTCCACGAGCGACGAGTACGCTGACCGCGATGTGTTCTGCACCCTTGGCGCTGGCGCTCTGAACCTGGCGCCAGATAGGTCATGGCTGCAACACGGTATGACGATGAATGGGCAATCCGACACCGTTGCTAGTATCGGTGTCCACGGTGTTAGCTCGTCCGCATGGTTAGAGATGATGAAAGTCCCTTGTGGAAATAAACCATCGTGAAGGATATCCGGGCTATCTAGACCGCTGGCACTCTGCGCGTCTGCGTCCGTATTTGGATGTTGGTTGAGGACGGATGGGAGTAGGACGTGCTGCCGGAGGCTCCGTTTACACCCAGATACGTCGTCCTCGCAGGGGGTAGAGTAATTCTCCCACGACTTGCGTTCCCGCGCGTCAAAACCCCATCCCGAGTAGCCCTCCGCTTGGAGGATGTAGACGAGGAGTCCATTGCCACACCCGATGTCGACAAAGCCGGGGAAAGGTGAATCTCGGTACATCTGAGCCCAAAGCTCGATAAGAAAGGCTGCGATACACAAGTCTTCAAATACATGCTTTGAAGGGTCCGTGACCTCGACCCAACTCTTGATCAACTGTCGGGCATAGCTCTGCTTCAGGCGAGTATACGTTGTCTGGAGAGAGATTTGGGGGATGATGGTGTCATGGTGAACCCGCTTGACATACCCTGCCTTAGTCCCTTCTCCGTGCTTGTGGAGCATCGCTAGGAGGTTGAGACCTGTTCTCGTCAACTTCGGTGGGCGGTCTACATCGTCAAAAAAGTGATAGTGTATGGAGACGGTGCCTTCATCGGTCTCGGTGCTCCGTTCGTGAAGAAACGCGATGCCTCGCACCGCGGGATGGTAGAAGGGCATACCAGCCGGGGAGGAGACGTGAGGCTTGTAAACCACCATAGATCTCTCCACGCCGCCCGGCCCGTTACCATGGTAAACCAGACAGGTCTGGTCTAAGGGTTGGTCCCTTACGGTATTTCTTGGGATAAGCTTTCGTACCAGGGCCTTATCCAGGTGCATGCCCTTGAAAGAGAGAATGATGGCAACTGTTGGCTGAGCAGCGGTGGGTTCGACGGACGCCTGCCGGCTTAGGTCACGCTCCACCAATATGTCGGCCCGGAACAGCCAACTGGAATTGATATTCGGGTTGCGGATGAAATTCATCATTACCTTAAGGAAAATTTGGGAATCGAACCCACAGCTCTTCCTGAAGAGAGGCGTCCATCTAGCACCGGATGTGTCTTCTACCAGGCAGGGGGAACCTTCGACAAACTCTTCCGCCTCGAATACCATTTCCGGATATAAGTCACGATGGACGGGTAGTCTTGAATTGCCCCTTTTTTTATAGATAGAGCAGTTAGATGTTGGCATAAAAGGATGGCATAACGTGACCACGCCAGAAGGCAGCCGAATCGGGAGGCACGCAGACACGGGCTGAGATAGACCCGCAGGTTTCGCTAGCGGTCAACGCCGAGGCCGATGAGGCGGTGTTCTAGCAAGCTAGGGCCCAGGCGGAGACCCATGCAGGGGGAGAAGTTCAGTCGGTATGTACGTATGTATGCAAGTAGAGAGGTAGGTATGTAGGTGTAATATGTATGAAGAGTACCTGGGCGGTCGGTGCAGGAGCAGGCACGACAACCTGGAACGAGAAATCCAGCCAGAACGGACCTTGGATGTGTTGATCCGCGGGGGTAACCACAGTCGAATGGAGGTGTTGGAGATTCGTCAGGCGGCGGGATGATGGGAGTTGGGATTGAACAATTTGCCCCGGAAATGGGGAATTGGAGATTACCAAAGTGGTGATTGTCTGGGTTAGGATTTGCAGGAGGCGAAAGTGGAATGCGTATGCGCGTGCCGAGTTTTCCCGTCTCGCTGGTATGAAGGCATACGCGTGCGAGCATCTTAAATGTATACCTTGGATACCTGTATACACGTAGGTATAACACCGATATACTCATACCTATACATCTACGCATCTACGCGTATATGTGCATACTCGATAGGATAGCATCGGACGCGGCAAGGCGGGTTATGACATACCTGCCTCTAGCTAGTAGAGGTAAAAAAAATAAAAATAAAAATAAAAAAAGGTCGGACCGGCATTTACAACTCCTCAGATGACCCTTAAGAGAAGGCAAAAAGGGGGGAGGGGGGGAGGTGGAAGCGCCTTTCGCCCACTTCGCAGATTGTGCCATCAAAGACGACGTAGGAATTGCCTGATGGAGGCCGCCACCTCCCACGGGATGTCACGAAGCTTCTATCATTAGCAGGGTACACTGCGCTACCTGCGCGGATGGGGTTGGCCCCGTTAGGTTAGTGATGTGGGCGCCCCTCGAGGTATACGCCATGTACCTGGTCCGATAAGGCGGGCGGCGTGTCATCAACAAAGAGTACACGTGGATACACGCGGCGCCCACAACAACCCACCAGCACGTATGGGATATTTCCGCGTGCCGCGTACCGGCCATGTATCGACACCGTCCCCGCTGGCTGGCCCCTAGAAGAATGGCCTGGGCAGCTGGATTATGCGATTCACAGTTGCCCCTCCGATTCAAGACCTGGGCTGCCACACCACCTGCGGTCTTTCTCCCGGTCCGCTCTCTTCCTCCCATCCTCCTACAAATATCCATCGATTCCACCCACCGACACATCACCACCACCCCTTCAACTACGCCCGTACCCTTTTCCAGCATCGACAGTGCATTTTTTCCTATCCACCAACCAACCCGCTATCCTTCCTTTCATCTAGCGAGGCCACTGCTATACACAGTCGTCGGTCGCTTCACCCCGGGTCTACCCAAACAAAACCCTTTCCCCTAAGTCACCCCGTAAACTCGAGTTTATGTCAATCGAAAACCTCAAGACCTATGGTACGTGCAATACCCGCGTCGTCGAGATGCCGTCACAGCCGTCACGGCCCCGATGCGTGCCACCCTCTGCGAGATGATTTTTCATCTGGCGAGCGGTGGCTCCGTCAACACCTGCTTCCATCTCGCGACGGAGCGATGGTGGTCATTTCGTTTTCGCCGCTCCTATCCCTTGCCATCTACACGTAACCCGTCTGACGATACATATCCTGACGCGTACGCTAATCTATTCGATGGAACAGACCCCTTCGCCGAAGCCGATGAGGATACAGGTGAAACCAAGCAGGCCCAGAATTACATCCATATCCGCATTCAGCGTACGTTCCCCCTCACCAAACCAACCAACCCCCTCACCGACAGCCTCACGTGTGGGCGATCTGCGCTCGACGCGGCACTTTTTTCGCCCCTCGCACACCCAACTCGCCCCCAACCACCATATTTTGCGTGACCTCAAAACCATTCGTGCTGACGTGTGCCACCAGAGCGGAATGGTCGTAAAACCTTGACCACTGTCCAGGGTCTCCCCAAGAAATTCGACCAGAAGAAAATCCTTAAGGTCATCAAGAAGAAGTTCGGTATGTCACTATGTCCCTGCTGGGTGCTGCGCCGCACCGCGCCGCACCGCATTCCCCTCTTCCGGGATGACGAGGGCTAACCGGATCCGTTTCCTTCCGGGACCAACAGCCTGCAATGGCACCATTGTCAACGACACCGAGATGGGCGAGGTGATCCAGCTGCAGGGCGACCAGCGCAAGGATGTGCAGGAGTTCCTCGTCGACAAGAAGGAGGGTCTAGAGCTGGATCCCAAGACCATTAAGGTCCACGGTTTCTAATGCCGACCATGTCTGGGGACCGTCTGTAACGCCTACCTATCGATCACGAGCCACAATTGAGATGGTCAACCCTAGGTGCTGAAGGAGCGGGGCCGCTACGCGAGGACTCCTCGCTAGCGGTCCTCTACCACGTGCCAAGGGCTGCACCATTGATCGAGGCGTTTGCGGAGTGGTTACGACATGATACCCCCTTTTGTCGAGTAGTCGAGGCTTCTGGTATTCGAAATCAGTTGGACGAGGCGAGGGCTGAGGCTGAGTCTGGCATGAGGAGGGTGGCGAGGAGAATGAGGAGGACGATAAGGTCGCTGGTTTTCGCGCAGAGATGTGGTATGAATGACATGGACATGCAATACTCTCGTTCCCCTGCTCTGCAGTAATGCCATTACATATTACTCATCGGCATACCCGCCCGAAAAATCAATGCTCGTATTGCCAAAGACGGCGTCGATAGACACCGCGTGGAGGAACAGCTACCTAGACTCTCTCCGGTAGCGGGAGCTCTTACCAGTGGAGCCGGTCGTGATTACTTATTAGCAGTAGTGATCAAGTAGTCAGCAATTACTTTTCAGTCGCTCATTTACATGCAAATGCACTATGTGATAGTGTGTGCCCTTGATAATCTTTTCTCGTCGTCATGCCTTTTAGCTAGTTCTCGCTTTTCCACATTTAACGATGTTCGCGTGACCGTGAAGGTGTTGTTTCCCTCCTCTCCACACCTCGGATAGACGTTTCGCGCGTCCGCCTGCACAACCCCTCCCCTCTCCCCAGCTTCCTATCGAGGACAAGACGCCCTCTCGCGACACAATCGCATTGTGATTGATCGATTGTCAGCCCCTCTGATCCGCTCCTTTACGATTCCTCGATGCTGATCTCCGCATGCACGCACGCACGTGGGGTCTACCGCACAGCCCGGCAATCTCGAACGAGGTAACGGGGTAACTATCTGGCTGGCTTGGGTTGCGTCACCTCGCCACGCCGGAAACTCTCCGTTTTTGAAAGTTTAATAAAGTTAATTTTCTGAAACTCGTATTTCTCTCACCTGGCAATACAGAGAGGGGTGTGAAAGAAAAAGAAAGAAAAAAACTTAGCAAGGCGACCGGGACCGGGATCGGGAAGAAGTCTCCGAGGAGGCGGGAAGTAAAAAAAGAGAGATAGGGAGAGGGAAAGAGAAAGAGAAAGACGCAACGCGCAATGTCCCCGGACCGACACCGCCCGCCGACGGCGGCGACGACGGCATCCCTGCCGCCGGAGCCGGCGCCCTTCGCGGCGCGCAAGCGGCGCATCGTCGCGCAGCTGGCGGCGGGGGGCGAGGGGGGCGGCGGGGCGGCGGCGTACGCGGACGCGTCGCCCAAGGGCAGCGTGGACGAGGGGGTGCGGGCGCTGATCGCGCGGGTCAACGGGGTGCCGGGGCTCGCGACGACGAGCAGCTGCGCGGGGCGGGCGTGCGTGTTTGTCGAGGGGCGGAAGAGGGCGGGGCCCGCGGCGGGCGCGGAGGGTATGGAGGAGGAGGAGGGGGAGGGGGGAAAGGGGGGGCGGAGGACGCGGCTCGCGGGCGTCGGCGGCAAGGGCGCCGGCGGCACCTGGCTGTTCGTCTCCCACGACCCGGTCCCGCTGGACGCCGACGTGGACGTGGAGGTGCTGCTGGGGCTGAGCAAGGGGGGCGAGAATTTGAGGGGTGAGGATGAGGGGGGGGACGAGGACGAGGAGGCCGCGCTAGGAGAGGTCGCGGCTGCGCGCCTGGTCCACTTCAAGTTTGAGCCGATGGTGAGTTCCGCCCTTTTCTGGATGCGTGCTTGTGTGCGCCACGGTGCGGTGATTTCCTATATCCCCTCCTGATTTGATGAGAGAGAGATTGAGTCTCCGGCCAGGCGAGGCAGGCATACCTAAGGATCTCGGAGCGACGAAGCTGACCGCAGGCCTGCCGCGCCAGATCCTCCACGTGCTGACCGCGTCGCCGGAGCACGCGCAGCTGCTCCTCCGGTGCGGCCTGCAGGCCGGCTTCCGCGAGAGCGGCGCCATCAACCTGGTCCCGTCCGCCGCCATCGCCGCATCTGAAGGCCAGGCGACGCCGATGGTGGCCATCCGGTCCGCCGGGCTCGCGTTCGAGTCGCTGGTCGGATTCTGTCGGCCCGGGACTGGCGTTAACGACGGCGACGCAGTCGGCCGGATCCGCTGCACTGTGTCCCCGGCGTACCTGCGGACGCTGGTCCGGCTCGCCAACGCGCGGTTCGTCGAGAACGCCCGCCGGATCGAGAGGTTCCTAGACGCGCTCGCGGAGGCGACTGGCGCGAGTCCGGGTGAGAGAGCAGGGGAGCGGTGGGAGGACGCGCAGGTCCGGAAGGAGAGGAAGAAGGCGGAGGGGTTGCAAAGGAGGGAGGAGCTGCGGCGGCAGCAGCGAGAGTGTAAGCGAGATGGTGATGCTATTACTATTGTCCCGAAAGATGCTGGGGTGGAAGACATGACCCTCGGTGTAGGCTTTACGTAGCATGTATGTAAAAATAGATAGTCTCTAAAAAAGCTTCTATGCACTGATGTGTGTCTGGCTGTTGTTACAACGGAGTGTCTCTATTCGCCGTGGCCACCCGGTTCCTCGCTCCCCCTTCCGTCTTCCCGACGAGCTGCCCGAGGGAGTTGTCTTATAACTTCACTTCGCTTCGTCTGGTTTCTGTACAGCCCTCCCCTCCCCACTTCCACGTCCAGCTCGTCGCCCGTGCTCATCCACCTGTCGTCCCTGATTCGTCCGGCGCAGTATCAGCGCCTAGACTACGGTTCCCATGCCTCGGCCGGCCCGACTAGTTGCCCCTTTTCTTTCTCCCCCGCCGGCTCGCTCCCTCGACACCGGCAGGACCATCTCTTTCAACCGCCGCCCCCTCTTCCGGGCGCGACTACGACACGACCCGATCGACCCAGCTCTTTTCGAGGCGGCGGACCTCCTCCTTGAAGGCCTCGACCTCGCGCCAGCAGTCGAGCGGGCGGCGGTCGTTGTCGACGAGGCAGCGCACGACGTCGCTGCGCGCGCGCTCGACGCTCTCCGGCAGCGGCCGCAGCTGCTTCCGCTTGTCGAGCCGCGCGCGCAGCGCCTCGACTTCCTTCGACACGGTCTGCCGGTGCTGCGGGTGAGAGGGGGAGGAGCCGTCTGCCGGGGTCGCGGCGCCGTCGTCCGCGTCCGCGTTGCTCGCGATCTTGTCGTGCGCCGCCCGCAGCAGCGCGCTCTCGTGCTCGGACAGCCGCCGCAGCTCGTCGGCCACGCGCGCCTGCACGAGGAGCTCGAGCGTCTGCGCGCGCGAGGTGTCGGTCTGGGAGGGGCGCGCGGAGAGCGCAGGTAAGTACGTGGGTAACCGAGTGCGCGCGAGCATCGCCGTAGCGGTCGGGCCGAGGGCGTTTTCGCTACAGGTGGGGGGGAGGGAGAGAGACGGCGGGCGGGACTGGGCGGGATCTCTCTTACCTCGCTACTCGAGTTGAGGGACTCGGCGACATCGTGCGAGAGGCCTATAGACGACGGTCTGATCGACGCCGCGAGAGAGCAAGTCAGGTTAGCGAGAGGAGCACATGGCAGGGTAGCGGGGGGGGGAGGGGGGGAGACTGAATGATGCCGGCTCGGACACGACGAGGGTGGGGGAAAAGAGCGACAGCATGGGGGATTTCCTTACGCCTTCCATACATGTGAGGGCGACTCGCCGGAAGCCGGCTTGGACGCGCTGGTGCCCATGTTTCGTCGGTCGACTCGGGTCGTTGGGGCGGGCTGGCTTAGCTGTTCTGATAGCTTCACGATTTCGAGCGTCTTGCCCGGCTGCCGCGCCGGCCTGAATATTTCGTAGTTTTCGTTGTCGGAAAAAAAAAAATAGATAGTGTGAATTGACCAGGTGCTGTCCGCTATTCGCACGGTAAGGCTGATCTCTGGGGTTGTACGTAGGTACCTGCGTACGGGACCTACCTGCGTCTACTTCTCCACGTGATGTCACTCGATGCTGAGATGTACCATCGAAGATTTACTCGTCCCCAGGATTCTATTCAACCCCTGTTTGATTTCCACCCAGTCCGCCGTTATAGATTTTAATTGATTTTCATAATATAAAAATACCTCTACTTATGGGTGTGGTGGTTGAAAAATAATACCTAATTTAGGTGGCCCGTAGAGGGGTACTCCTATTTGCTTATAGCCCCCTTTTCTTCCGTAAAATCTGATGTTTCTCTTCAACATCGATTCTTACGCTGCCAAGAGATTGGTTCAATCGTGCAATAATTATGACAAATGAGTCCTTAATCGCAGCTCAACTTCTCCCGGGAGTTAACAATATTGGCAGGCTTCTTGAGTTTGCCTACAACTTCCTTACCAGGCCGGTCCTAGCTATGGCCCTTCCCTATGCGATTTGCAAATTTTTTTTTTTCGAACGGAAAGGTATCCTCGATTCGAAGCGTCACGTAGAAGACATGGGACGAAACATCACGGCATCCGCGCCTAGGGGATATGGTATCAATACATATTCGACCGATGCTAAGAGCCAAATACTTTATCGGCACTTCGATCGTCTTAACGGGGACACACGGCCACCACCCCTTTGGCCGTCTTTTCCAAGGGTAAAGTTTCCCAATGACGTGGAGTTGCGGGAACTTGACAGGGAGGCCTCTCCTCCGGCGCTTGAAGAGTTGGGAGGGCGGCGTGTGACGAGGCTGGTTCTCCAAAAGACGAAGGTAATGAGTGCAGACGACCGGGCGCCATGGCGTTATTGTTTGCTGATTCACTCTGTTCTCCTTCGCTGTAGTACTTGGCTGAAATACTTGAATAAACTTTCTCCCCTTTAAACCCACTGCAAGTCCCACGTCGTTTTAGTGCTCAGACTATTGATGCGGTCGAATTTGCACTTCGTAAGGGCAATATAACTGGATATGTCTATGGTGTAGGTTCATCGTACAATGGTCATCGTTTTCGAGAGGAGATTTCGCTTAAGCTTACATCTCATGGATGAGTCCTGTTATGGTATATGAGCCTTGACAGTTAATGTACAACAGGATCACTGCTGTGGACGAGGACAAGCTGGACTAAAGGTTTCTGTTCTCGGATATACAGATGACCAAAGCGTGCTTTGACTTTCCGTACGGAGATATATGGAACTCCAGCTTGACCTGTGCCCGAGCTGTCGACCTCACGTAGGACGCATAGCCTCCACCAGCTTCGTCGCTGCTGCGGTGTCAATGAACTCCACGATCTTGGAGATCGCTCTGCCGTCGGGCGTAAAGTCGACCAGCCAGCAGATCTCCAGCGCGACCCCCTCGTGGCCCCGGAATTTGGTCCAGTGCTCGGCGTGCGCGCAGCCCTTGCGCTCGACGGGGTCGACGACGAGGGACAGGACCTTGTGCCGCGTGACCTCCATCACGGCGATCTCGCCCTTCATGCGGGCCTCGTACTCGCTTTTGGTCTCGACCGCCTTCGCAGCCGGAAAGGTGGCTAGATAGCTGGTGGGCGCAAGGCGGCGCTCGCAGTCCGGCGTGAGTTTGGCGGATAGATAGGAGGTGTCCTGCTTCTCGACAGCGGTGTCATGACTCTCGAGGAACGACCTCAGGGTCGCTTGCATCTCCGCGCGGATGTTTTCTTGTGAGGCCGCCATGTTCGGGGATTGCTTGTAGGTACGCTTTGCAGGAATGGGGTGGCTTGCTCCGAGAAAGGGTGTGGGCTGTGATCGTGGTGTTGTGAAATATTAGCCTGGCCGTGTCTGGCGTAGACTGAGACGGGCGTGACATGTCTAAAGCCGATGCTAAATATAGGTAGTACCTAACCGTCGCCCGCTGGACTTGTTTGTTTCCTTTTCATGTAGAAGTGCAAGCGTGCTTATACCTACCGAGGTAGATATGCCGAGAACCGCCTACACCACTAGCATGTGTAGAGTGGATGTTTTGTGTAACTGCTTCCGCTTACAACAGCGTGATCGTAAGGTGACAGGTCGTACGCGGCCGCAAGCTGCTCTATGAGTAACTCGATGGCCTCACCAACTCTCACCGTACCGCACATCATTTTGAGTCTGCTCACGCGAGGAGTGGAATGCGAGGGAAGTATACGTAGTATTACAGCAAGTGATATTCTTGGGCTTGCAATAATGCCGTCCCGTATCTTACAAGGTGGGTTACACGTAAAGGGAGACCTACATAGAGTGGCTGTTCGAGAAACTAGGATGCCTAACCAAGACTATATGTAACGATACCGTCGAATATTCAGGCTTGCCCTTCCTTTCCGCCGGGCGAGAGCTCGACCTGCAGCGCCCTGACGTATTGACGCTGTGATGAACGTGCAATAGCAGTATTGCCATGTATGCGAATCTATGTAGCCTTAAAGCAACTCACCAAACCCAAGCTCCCACATCTACCATAATTGGGTGTTTTTATGCGCTGTTGGCGACTGCAAGACCCTAGCGAGTGAAGCACGCTAGTAAATAACGCCTTGTTTCCAATGCCATGGGTCCCATAACTAGCATTCTCTGTTGTCACGAAACCTGCGACAAAGATCGAGGTGAGAGAGCTACGCAATGTGCTAGCTAGCCCTCAACCCCCCCGCCTCCCCTTTTCTTCACGAGGAGCTTCGCGCTCGGGTCCACAAACACGTTCTCATTCGCATACATGTTCTGCGGTCGGCTCTTCCCGTCGGGGTACTTCCAGTCGAACTCCGTCAATAAGCGCACTATCAAGGTCTTAATCTCACCGACTGCGAAGTACCTCCCGGGACAAGCAGACTTCCCGTATCCGAAAGAGAGGAGATTGGGGTCTGTTTGACCAGCCAAATGCTTGTTCATCTGCTCTGGCGAGAAGTGCCGTTTGCGACAGCTTCGCATGGGATCGAATAGAGTAGGGTTCGGCGTCACAGAAGGATCATTAGCATGGTGATGGTTAGCCCAGGCAATCCAAGTCCCCGCGGGGATATGTGTTCCGTCGCTGAGGGTAAGCGGTTCCATCGCAACCCTTTGCGGGTGGACTGTGGTAGTCAGCAACGTGTCTCTTTGACCAGCGGGTCTGTTTACCTACCTAGCATTGGCGGATTGAAGCGCTGCGTCTCGATGAGGAAGCTATAAAGCTTCTCTAGTTTTGCGAGCCACTGCTTTGCATCGATGTCGCTTCGTTCGCCTAGCTGTCCGTACTCTTTTGTCACCTGGTCGATCTCGTCTCTTAATACAGGAAACCACTCAGGGTGAGCACACAAATCAAACAGCACATTCACAGCGTTCGTCGAAGTTGTGTGAATGCTCGCTAGACCTAAGACGCATTGCCGAGCCGCCATTTCTGGCACCATCACTTCTCTATCCGTGCCGTTATCCATCATCCAGCTTAGGAGAGTGTTGTCTTCCTCGGCTGGCTGCTCGTTTGATATTCTCTGCCGCTTTGCCTCGGCACATTTAGACATGGCCTCGCCAACGATTCTGCTGCCATTCCTGAGGTGACGCTTGAGCCTGTACCGTGCCGGGACTAGGTGAGCGACAATGGGTAGTGTCCACGGCGGGAACATCTTCAGCATGAATGCGGCAATGAACAGGTCCGCAGCAAAGTCGATCGTCAAGTTCAACCATTGCGGGTTCCTTGCCGCTTCAGATCCGACAAAGATACGCGCTGTCATGCGTGCTATTAACATGCGGATGATGTGTTGAATGTCGATCTCCGTCCAGTCTAGGCGAAGTTGGCTTCAGCACATACCTCTCATGTTCGAGGGAAAGGGAGTTACCGTCAGACTTAGGAACCTCAATATCCCAAGAGTACTCTAGCTCGTCTCTAGCGATATCGAGGTACTTCGACAGCTCGGGAATGAGCTTATTATTCAGTACGCGGATGTGGAGGTTTGTCTCAATTGCAAATTTCATCCAGGTCCATTCTGGAACTAGGTTCTAATCGAACCACCGGTATTAGCAACCTTTATGTGTTCCGCAATAGCCGCGTACTTACTCCCACGGCTGCAGGCTTGCTGTCGAACATCTTCGTGGGAAAACGACTAAGCTCATCTAGATATCTGATGGGCATTATCACGACGTCCGAGTCGTAGCGGGACACGACGAATGGCCTGTCCACGAACTAAATCCCACCGACATTAGCTAGGGATCTATGAAGAAACAAGGAAGGTCACACTTTTTTATATCCACTCTCGACTATTCCAAACGCCTGAGTGATGAACCTCGCCTTGAGGAGCAACGAAGGCTCGAACGAGGAGCGAAAACCGTGGACAGGCGCATTGGAGACGCGAGGGCGAGTCCTAGGGAATGAGACGTAAACTGAGATAATACCAAGCAATAGAACCAGGAAGTGCACATAATTAAATTTGCCAGAAATTGCTCTAACATATGCTTGGATAGCAGGAAGTTCGTCTTTGGCCATGACTTCTTCTCGTGATCTCTATGGTGGCGAAGGTGAGTTGGAGACAGTAGATGTTATTAGAAGGGTGTGGAGGTTAACGGCCTTCGAACTGCAGAGCTTCCTAGTTATTGTAATCTAACCGATTTAGCGGGTTCAGGGGCCTTTCTGGGGAACTGATCCCCCCCCAAGGTGCCAGTATCTCAGGATACGTATAATAATTAAGCCTAGAGCATACATTGCGTACCGATGTCTCTGCTCTCTAGGCAGGGCTTTACGGAATGAGATTGCGAACGATGATAGCTGAAATAAACCCGACCACCTTTTGCAGCAGGCCACAGGGAAAAATAGCTACCTATGACTCAGACAAGTCCTGAATGCTGTGCAATGTTCTTGTAGCAGTTTACAATGGCCAAGGGCCCGAGGGGTGGAGGCTTGAGACAAGGCTTGCCCCCAACCTAGGGAGGATATTATCATCCAGCGGACTTGATATGATGTTCGTGGCCATGCTTAGTCGGCAGAATTGCAAGCACTCAACTGTTACTAGCGAGGATCCCTGGAACATATGCCGGCCATGTAGTTATATATCTAATGGTTCACCAAGTCTATAATCACTGCTAGTCTCCGTGTCCCCGTTGGCAATGCCCTCTTATTGCCTTCAGTTCTCAAGTAACACTAGGCAACCCATAAGCCATTTTCGGTACTGTGCGAAATACTCGTTAACACGACCGAAGCCTGCGAATTCCCAACAGCCCCCATTCATATGTAGTATCTAGTCCTTGTAACCCGGTTGGGTCCTTCTGACCCAGAAGCCCCGCATATGGCTTGTAAGCCCGCCACGATCCCGCCAATGTATTGACGCAGGCTGCTCCCGGGAGGGCTGATATCTTGCCGTCCCCTGAGACATAATATACCTAATGTAGGATTTCTAACTGCGTCTGTGCCACCCAACTGTCTCATAATTATCGTTTGGTTCGCAGTGCTGTTATCCGGGCCTTGATCTTAGCCTACGCCTATTCGCTCCTACGTTGTAAGGATATTTATGTACCTACGTGTAGGTACATGTACATTCTGGCAACACCAACAGCTTGTAGGATATGCCACCGGTACGATTGGTCGTGCTACAAGACACTGGCGGCTAGATCTTATATTAGATGACTGACGCAGCGCTATTTATGTACAGAATGCGTGGGTGCTTGTGGGTGTGGGGGTGCTCTGGCAGCGTTAGGACTTAACGGTACAGGAGGGGGTTGAAAGCTGCCTACCTGCCACTCGGCGCAGCGGCGGCGGTGTCCATGAGCTACGCTTATTCTAATACCTATCCCCTCTTAATGCGGTTTATCTGTTGACGGAGCTATTGGAAGGCTATAATTAAGGCCCGGCCGGATTCCGTAATGACCCCAAGGCTTTAGAGACTATATAGTTACGTAGACTGAGCAAGTACGGGCTGTGCTGCCTGTTTTTATCCTAGCCTTAGCTTGAATGGGTATAATCTGCGGTCCTGAGCCTTATAATATTTAGCTACCATCATATAACATATACTATTACATACACTACACCTAGCAACATTGCCCCTACAACCATAGCTGCCGCTAGCAAGCAAGAAAATCGGCATGGATCAACTTTTCCCGGATGAATTGGCTTACTAGTAAGCCCATGTCGATGATAACCTTAGCCCCGTGATCATGGGAGTCGGGACTGCGCTTACTGCGATAGCGTTTTTGGTGTTTACAGCTCGTCTGGTTGCCCGTCGTATCGCTAGAGTCAGGTTGGGTCCGGATGACTACCTTTCACTCGCAGCATTGGTGAGGCAACGTTGGATAATCACCTAGCCGTCACCGGCGATAGCGAGAGGTGCTAAACTCTGCTTTAGATCTCCTTGATCGCGCTGAATACCTCGGCATGCTATAGTTAGTGAAGGACCTGGTTCCTGCTTATGGGTCATGGCTAAAACATGCAGTGGCTCAATACGGGACGGGAAAACACCTGATAGCGGTTGCTCAAGATCCGATGAACTTCGTCTGCATTAGCAAGGTAAGCGGACCACGACTCGGTTCTTTTAATGTCCTGTGGTGTGTTAACAAATGCTCTGGAAGGTATAATTGGCGTTTTCTGTCGGTTATTAGGGCGCGATGATACGTAGGAAATGGTCTGTTTTAGCGGTTTATGCTTGGATTTTTACCCTCTATACTCGAACTATAAGGATCGGTATATGGGTACTTACCATCTACATCGCGTTATAGTTCGTAGCCGGTATGCTTATTGTCTTCCTCGGCTGTGTGCTATTGAGTACGAATTGGGGCGTACCCTATAAATGTCTGCCAGACTTGAGAGTAAGCGTCGCTGTTGGTATTACTAATGCCGTATCTGATATCGGTGTCTTGGCTCTCCCGTAACCGGCGATGTGGAGATTACAGTTTTTATTTACAAGGAAGCTTGCCGTTAGTTTGGCGTTTTTGGTTGAAGCGTTGTAAGTGTCTTGATTAAGTGCTGAATTAACATCTAACTAACTTCAATAAGTACGACGGTAATCAGTATCGTTCGCATACCCCTCCTCGTAGGGGCTAACTCAGGCTCTGACCCGGATTCTACTTATATGTTAAGAGTTATTACCTGCATCGATCCCACTGCTATATGAGGCTAGCCTAACGCTGTTTCTTAGATACTTCTACCACTGCGATCATCTTAACCGTCGTCGAGCCCGCCTGCGTTATTATATGTGGCTGTATGCTAATGATTCCCGGTCTTGTAACTCAGCTCAAGCAACGGTACCATTCTACACAATCTACTACTGGGTCGGATGGAGGATACAGACACCCCTTGGTACCACGAGATGCTACCGATGGAGGACCCTTTACGAGAATTGAAAACCCAAAGACGCAGAGTATGGACGTGCCTCAAACGAGCAAGATACCAGAGACGTCTGAAAGCACTGAAATGTTCGAATTCCGTTATGCTAGGGATGCATAACTGCATAGCCCTGGGAGGCATCCTGGACATTCATGCTAGCGCGTTCTCATCATGAGTACTGGTTGTATTAGGAGGCACATAAGGTGTCAAAATGGTTGGCATCCTAGGATTCTGTTTTTAGGGCCTATTACGCCTTTTCTACACTCAATGCACTGGGAGTATTCGACAGACTTCATTCTTTTCGCAGCTGTTCTCCTTGTTGTGTTAGGAAAATGCTTTCGCGGTTTGAGTGCATACACGCGCGACAAGACTAGCCTTTAAACCCGAATAAAACGCAACCGGTTATTTTTCATTTAGTATATTATGCCTCCTGCTCCAGGAGCTAATTACTATACTGCAGCTTTTGAAAGATACGGTCAGGGTCGTATTTATGACTAATTTCGGGAAGCTTTTCCATGCTCTTAAACCCGTAACTAGCTAGGATATTCTGTCCTTCATAAGTATCGTTCATAAAACGGTATTCAAACTTAGAACTATGATTGATGGCTGATATACCGATGCTGTGGTCCATACTATGAATTAACTCCATCGCGGCGGCATTATCCTCTGAAGCCTCCTAAGAAGGTGTCACATGGACCCCTGCATATAGTCCCTGTTAGCGTGCTGTAATGGTTCGAAAGGTTTAAGTGTCTGGATCCTGGCTGGGGAATGGTAGAGAGGATTACAGTCTTGGTCGATAAGTGTTAGATTTAGAGGGGTGTTGAAGGAGCCTTTCACCGCACTTGTAGTGATCGGCTATGCGCCATAGTTTATTTCCTATCCGAAGGTTATTGCGCGCTTTGCATGCCCTACAAATGCCTTGTAACTCTCTTGGTAGGTAGAGTTGTCTATTCTGTGCGGGTGAGATACGACATAATGTCTAGAGATACCATGGTAAGTTAGTTACTTGGTTGCCTGGGTATAGAGTGGTGAGCTATATACCTTAATGGGCGACTTCCAGGCTTAGGGTATTGGGGGCCGTCGTAAGCTGTTGCCAGCTCTGCGAGAGTCCCTATAGTTAAATTGATTATGTTAGAAGTTGACTCGATGTCGTAGAATGGCTTGAAACCCTCCGGGTATTCGATAGGCCCGAAATATAAAAACCCAACGAAAGACTGTGGAACGGAAGTATCTTCTGATAATAGCTGATATACGAGGCTGGCTTTGAGATTATACGTAGTTAATTTCTCATAGGCGACCAATGCGTTTAACAGTTGCTGGTTTTTATCGGCGGTATATAGCCGCGTATAAAACTATATCCTGTCAATAGGCAGGGTCTTGTAGGTAAACGACGTTACGATACCGTAGTTTGGGCCGCCCCCTCGCAGCGCCTAAAGGAGTTCGGTGTTACTCGACTCGTTAGCTATAATCACTGTTGAGTTCGTAAGTACTATTTCGACCGCTACTACAGACGAGGCGGTAGGCCCAGCCAAGTTCGAAAACCAGCCTATCCCACCACCAAGTATTTGTCCACTAATGCCTGGACGGGGGCTTCGAGCGCCATTGACGGATACTCCAGTCCCATTCAGAGCCTGGTATACTTGCCCCCATCGAGAACCGGCCCCAACGGTAACAGTTTACTTGTTTAACCCGAGTAAAACGTAGTTGAGGTTGCTTAAATCTATGAGGATTCCGCTTTTATTAATGCTACTGTGATGGGTATTAAAGTCATAACTACCTCTACGTACTGAGAGTGCTGCCTCTGTCGAAGTAATAATGCTTATAACGCGTGCGACCTCTTCGGAAGTCCGCTGAGATACAATATACGACGGATATTGCCAGCAGTTGCTTGACCTATAAATGGGGTGTCACTAGTAGTTAAACTTAATGGTAAGTAGTTCCTGTTGGTAAGTAGACTAGTTTATCTGAATGCGTTCGGTATAAGCTAGGGCACCCCTCCACGAGCCACCCCTTCACGGACTACCGCGTTAGGACCTACGAACGCGCCTTTTAACGCGACGCCCTTGCTTAAATAACCTATAATTTCTCGGTTAGTTTTGATCTTTAGTAATTCCTTTTACTATTAATCTCTTCCTAATTTCTTACTAATTAAGATAGTATCTTTAAAGGAAACG